GCGGAGGTCTCATAATGGGAAAGACCTTGTGGGTGAGGAAAAATGAAATCGCAAAAGACTTAAAATCTATTGGAACGCGCTCCAAATTCCGATCTAAGCTGGAATTGCTCGAGAATATGCCGTTGTCTAGTGTTATTATTACCAATGACGAGATCAACGATTACATACAATCGACCAATGCGCGACTGTGTAACAAGAGGTGAGTTTCTTTCTTGGGATTAAAAAGGACATTTGATACTGATTTATATGCTCTCTCCAAAGGCTGGCTGTGGAAACTTGGGTTGGTGCCAATCTACCTAGCAGCGATTCCGACACTGTTACCAAAAAATTCGCAGACGAGATCAAGTCCTTCATAAAGGAAAGAGGGGCGGTTACGACGAATGTACAAGTATACATTGATTCGCTAGCGGGTTAAGGTGATGGACACTTAAGGCGGCTGTCTTAACTCAGATTGCCGGCAAATCTTCCGATCCCACAACTCCGGGTCTAGCAACATCCATAGTCTAAGGGTATATATAAGGCCCTGAAGTCTAAATACGGGTTGTCCTTAGGTTCTAGTAACAGCGTCTGCGTAGGTACCATTACGTGGAACTTCAGGCGGATGAAAACCCGGTATAAAAACGCGAAACGGATGATACAACTATAGCGTCTATCTATCCGCAGAAAGTAGAAAACTGCCACTGGCACTACTACTGCCGAAGCTACCTCGGACTTTTGTATCTACACTTACTTGGATAGCATTTATAGTGACCTAGAAAACACGGGAGAATGATATGAATCCGTCTCCCTGGGCTGCGCTGCTTGGGACGAAGCGCTGGACGGAATCAAAGCTAAACTCGACGATTCTATCTATACGGTCACCGTCTACACGGGAGAGACTTGTGCGTCGGCAGACCTCCTGGACACTTTGATATCAAACGAATGTTATGATATCAGCTCCGTAGGTGACAAGGGATCGTACAAGGTTGCACTGGCATGAAGATAGTTTGGTTTGGGATGCAGAGGCTTCGGTAAATTAACGCCCATCTCCTGATGGTTGCGATGCTAAATACCTGCTTGGCAAAATTCTCACATCTGTCATAAAAGCTTCTCGCGTATCAACTGACATTATTAAAAATTTGACGTCTATTTTGCTTCGGCCTAGTCCACCCACTTTTCACCATCATTCTCATAAAATAAACGGGGTATTCTGCTTTCTATATTAAGCCGCAAATCATCTGAGCAATCCTCGTTCATAAATCGCGGCGATACCCGCGGAACCAGGTTATTAGTGTATATTAATTCTCCGTTTGGCCTGAATTGGCGGAACTTATCAAATTGTATGTATGAAGCCACTTGCAATGCCCTTATCCAATCCCTCGATGCTATGGGCACTAATCTCCTCTCATTGGATATGGTGATAGGCCCTTGGTACCCCTTTGGGTCCTCCGTGGGCTATTCCAAGGGCCCTGAGGCATTCACTATTGGGGAACGCGATCAGGCGGGATTCAGGTTAGTGTACGGCCAGGGAGTGGAATCCTTAGCATAGAGGTGTAGGTCGCGGTGATTCAACTCAAAATGCTTGATACTGGCTAGGCGAGAAATATAGGGAGGAAATCATATGGCTGAAGAACCAGAGGATTGTTATCACTGGGGTGGTTTGAGATGCTGACTTTTGTAGACTTACCACTAGCAATCCCTCATCGCTGGTCCACCCAATATTCAGACTAAGGGGTTGTAAGTTTGGAAATTGATGGGTTAAATTAACAAGATCCTCGATACTGGCGCAGAGTGTAGGCCCTGAGGTCCGTATTGCCGTTCTATAAATGGTGGAAGTTTCTCTCAATGGTCCTCTGAAACGGAGGTGTTGCAAGGATCTGGCGTGATGACTTGCTAACACTTCTAAGAATGCTTGCGGAAGACCGTAGCTTATGAACGTTGTTAAAGGTGGGTGCGCTCTTAGGAAGGTGCGAAGCTGATCCATCTGCTCGAAATATGCAGGGGGATGATGATCTGTTGTGTATCGCGCATATGGATTAGGTATGCTAATCTCCAAAGATTTTAAATCGCGGAAGCGGCCAGTGATCTTAGGCAGTAGGTGAGTCCAATCTATATTTATTAAAGATAGGAACCTGAGACTCTGCCACTGCAGCTGCGTGGCCTATAGCACGCTTTGCGTTGGTCCAAATCTCATTTGTCGAAAGTGGAGGCTTTTGATTCGAGGCAGAACATCTCCTTCCTTGAGAGTTATCAGCCCCCTGTCAGTCTTTTGCCCTTCATCCTCTTCTTCTCCAGACAAGGGGTGATCCCGGGGTTTCGTCGCCACTCTCCTTCCTGGATCAATCTTAAGGTTTCGAGATTTGGACTCCGGCAGATGATATCTTTCAAGTGGGTTGGGTAGTCCGCAGCTGAGTATGGCCTAATTGGGCTGTCGTATTTCCCTAGGTACCACTGGGTGGAAATGGAGCGAACAAGAGAGAGTTGGCGGGCTGATGTGCGCTTTCGGTGGATCTTTTGACATGGCGTGATTTTGGAGCTAGCAATATGAACATTTGCTCCGGGGCGGTGTTTACAAAGCCGATATCGTATTACCCCAGGTATATATTTCTCATGCCACCAGCAGGCACTAGTGTTAGCTTCCGCAAGCCAACCTTGGAAAATGTTAGAGGTGGTCACATACTAGAAATCCCTAAGTCTTTCGGTTAAATCAAATAGATTAGAGACCAATCCGACCTCCCATTCGGAAAGTTTACCACAAAAGGGATCACCCGAACCATATTTCTGCCAACCAGGACCCATGACGATAATGGATCTTACGTATCTACAGAACCGAGTAGGACGGGGTCTATTTTTCACAGGCTACGCACGCCGTGGGGGCAATCCGAAGTCTAGTTTGAGAGTCCTGAAGAGGATTGGGGTTGCCATTTTGTACATTTCTTGGCTGCTCGTCGCAACATTTTTGAGAGAGGGACGATCGACCCAATCCAGCCAAGTTGAATTGTGAGTCAATGCTTCTGGGTAGGTGTATCTTCATCTGGGAGACATACTATACTCAGAATTTGATGCCAGATCTCTGGGGGAGCCCCACTGGAGGCCATTTGGAGGATTTTGTGGATGGTTCCATTCTGTCAATGTCTGTGGTAAAGATAAGAGAGAAGAAAATGAAATTTTCGAATGCACATGATGTGTCCTCGTGCAAACAGCACAAACCAATCAAGCAAGTACTGTCAAAATTGAATGAAATCAAATCTTTCCAGAATTTCGCTAGGCTGGTGTGACCTCCACTGGCATCAAATGACCGCCAGGTAGACCGCCTTTGAATCCTACGTGTACAACGCCTGAGGTTAAGTCCACGGGGGTTAGCGAGTCGAGGGCTTAGAAATACTAACGCGCTAAGTATCTTGCTTGTAAGTATGTTGGAGTATAAACTATTCAATAACAGAGCTACTTACCTACTGTACCCGTTTGGAAATTTAACCTTAGAAAGCTTCCTTACATATACTATAAAGGGGGAGGGGAAGCATCCATGGAAACGGGCGGCTTAGGCCCGGCTTCACTTTAGGATCAGGACTTCACCCCTTAGGGATACAGATAATAATACTAAAGATAATACTCCACGACTTTACTAAATATAGGCTAAATCACTTTTAAACTACCTTTACTAACAAGATTATATCATTAGACACAAAGAAGATCAAGTTGAAACTTATATGTACGTTTCACAGTGGTAGATATTAAATCTATGTAGCTTTGTTTTCTGCCAGCCGGTGTAACGTTCTGGAAGCTTGAGCCAGTCACGATTGGAACTTGGCAAGGACCGCAAGGGACCAGACCGTAGAGTTATACACGAAAATCGGTTTGGATAGTTTCCGAAGCTAATCCTAAAAACAACCCTAATTATAGTTTGGTTTAGTTTGGTTTTGCGACTTACGGTTTTTGGCGTACTCTATGAGCGGGTATATACCATCTTCCATCAGCGGGAAAACATAACCTAGGCATTCGATGTCCCAGCGTACGTCAGCCTCCGCAGCGAAGCACGGTGTTGCGTCCACCTTTTGGTCAGTCGTCCTCCGGAGTGCCTACAGGATACTAATGACTCAGACCCGAGGGCGCAGAAACTAGCATGCCCGGGCAAGAGAGTTGACGAGGGCCTTGGCGCATCGATCGGCTCTGATCTGTCCGCCTCGATGCCCCTGGCTCGTCATTCATCCGGCTGAAGCCGGACATAACAGAGACAAGAGACCATACCAAACTTACCCACCACCGCCGGGCATCGTAAGCAAATTTTCTGCAGGGGTTTTCGGCATGCCCACGTGACATGGCTGGCACAGAGGGATTAGCCGGCGTGGGCACATGATGCAACACCAGAGGATGGCCGGGGAAAGTCGCAACTCGGAACTGTGTCGGTTACGGTTACGCGCGGGGGCGACTGCGTTGATTAGTTGATTAGCAGATTAGCGGATTAGCGGATTAGCAGACTGGGGTCCCCACGCGCCACGCGCCACGCGCCACGCGCCACGCGCCACGCCCCACTCCCCACGCCCCACGCCCTCGACTGGCCATCCCGCCGGTACCGGGTCCGTGCGCCAATGCTTCGTTGCGTCTGGGCAAGGCTTGTTCTTTCGGTCACGGTCAACTCGGTCAACTTCCGTGGCCGCGGCCCTGAATTCCCCGGTCCGGGGCCCCCACAGCACCGACTGCCCGGTTCGGGGATACCGAGATATACACACTGGGCCGAGCGCGGGAAAAAGTGGATAGGAGAAGCACCACCACCAGAGGAAGGAGGAGTGGGAGGAGGACAACCTGCGGTCTCGCACTCAGTCAGCCCCCGTTTTCCTCTTTTTCCCCCTCCTCCTTTGTCCTCTTCTGTTTCTGAGTCTCGTTCCCGGCTCGGCCTGAATCCTGTCCCTTTAGGAATACTCCAGTCTTTCCTGCCCGTCGCTGGCATTTTCTGGCGGTCGCACTACTGCCACCTTCTCTTCTACCTTCTCTTCTTGCAAAAACAAATCCACCCCTTCATCATGGTGGGATGGACGCAACCCCGAGGCAAATCTCTGAGCCGCGCCATCGGCCTAGTCGGTGCATTCGGTTTCGTGCTGCAAGGCTATGATCAGGCGGTTGCGAATGGGTTACTGACCCTGGGCTCATTCATCACCGTCTGCCCCCAAGTCGACACGGTAAATACCACCGGGAGCCAGAAGTCTCATAATTCTACCATTCAAGGTATGTCTCACCGCCGATCCTCCATCAACGGTTCATAGAGGATGCGAATGGTGCTCAAACCTCGTGCAGGTACGACGGTTGCCATCTATGAAGTGGGCTGCGCCCTCGGTGCCTTGGGGTGCGTCTTCCTGGGAGATCTGCTGGGTCGACGCAAAACCATCTTCCTCGCAGGCTGTGTTGCGCTCGTTGGGATTGCCATTCAAGCAACCCATGTGCATTGGGTCAGCTCATCGCAGGGCGAGTGATCACCGGTATATACAGCCCCTACCCCCTCCTTCCCATCCCAATATCCCTCTCACGGCGGAAGGATTCACCATGCTAATGGATTCCCTTTCTTCTTCCTCCAGGATTGGGAGTCGGTGGATTCACGGCGACGATCCCCATCTTTGTCTCGGAGTCATCGGGGCCCGAAGCGCGTGGGCGGATGGTTCTTCTGGAGGGATGGTTTGCTATCGGTTGCATTGTCCATGTGACCTGGCTCGAGTTCGGTCTGTACTATGTGAGCGATAATTCCGTGAGCTGGCGCTTTCCGATTGCCTTTCAAGGAGTCTTTGCCATGGTGGTGGTGCTATGTATCATGTTCCTGCCCGAGTCCCCTCGCTGGTTAGCCCGGTCGGGCCGGTTCGAAGAGGCCGCCCAGGTACTGGCCCGGCTGGAAGATGTGCCTGTCGAGTCCGAGCACGTCGCACAGGAGCTTGAAATTATTCGACACTCCCTTCAGAGCGGCGAGCGGGACGAGTCGTCCGGGTCCGGGTCTCCCTTCGCCTTGACCAAGAATCGTCATTTAACACCGAACGGTGATCGCCCGTCGGCGTCAACATCCTCGCCCAGATGACGGGGGTCAACATCATTACATTCTATTCCGACACCATTTTCCAGTCTGACCTGAACTTCTCCGGTACCATAGCCCGCATTATTACCGGGTGCCTGCAGATCTGGCAATTTGTGGCCGCTGGTCTGGCGGTGTTGCTGATTGATCGTGTCGGGCGTCGCCCACTGCTCATAACCGTGGCGGCTGGTATGACCATTGCGCAGGCCTGCCTGGTAGGCCTCTCATCCGACATCCACAATACGTCCGTCGCCGGGGCATCACTTCTCTTCTATTTCATGGCACTGTTCTGCTTCCCCATTGGGTTATTCTTGGTGCCCTTCATGCCGCGGAGATTGCGCCCCTCCGCACCCGTGCGAAGGTGACGGCCATGTCGGCAGCGGCAAATTGGTTGTTTAACTTCCTCTTGGCCGAAGTGACCCCGGTGGGATTTGCCCGCATTCAGTGGCGGTACTATATTGTCTACGCGTGTATTAGCGCCTTTGCCTGCGTCAACTTTTACTTTTTCTGCCCGGAGACGAAGGGTCGCACTTTGGAGGAAATTGATGAGATCTTTGTCTTGTCGGACTCGGTTTTCGATACTGTCCGCGTGGCACGGGAGATGCCCTTCCAGACGGAAATCCTAGCCCACATCGATGACACGGAGAAGGTGGGAGCCGAGGACGAGCGTGTCGATAATGTAGGCGCAACCGGGGCGGCCGCGGCATCGTAACGCAATCCCGGTGTCGTCTATCGTTGTCCATGAACGAGGTATGGGCCTGTTACGAGAATAGAGGCAACTCGCGGAGATTAGGGCAGTATAGTTCGATATCCACGAAGCCCAGCACATACCAATAGTATCCGTGGAGCTATGCGGGCCGCTCTGCAGTGCCGTACTAATTGACTTCAAGTGATTGGGCTCTTATTTTTCATTTCAAAATTGGTGGCGCTGCGCTGGGGGTGGGTGGAAAGCCCACTGAGCCAACGTCCACGCTGGAGTTGGAGTGTCTCCGAGCACAAGCTGCTCTGTTTTGGCCCGAACCCCACCATGGGCGAACGGAGTCAGGAGGAGCAGTACTGTAGATAGAAAACCCCCGCAGAGATTGCCAAACACATATGAACTATGGCAGACCACAAGTGACTGTATACATAAGATCAGGAACCCGCAATCAATCCAAAGAAGCCTTATATCTGAATTTCACAAGGATCGTCGGCTATTGCCAGGTCGTAACGAGAGTCCTATCCAACCTCCCAAATTATCGCGGCGAAAGGGGGAATAATGCTACGCCAGTAGAAAACAAGGAAACCATCTCCATCCAAGAAGCGGTACATATCAAAGTCGAACAGAAATAAAAGAAATCCACACCTGCAGGTGAATCCTCACAAGGCCGCGACCTCATCCCCACTTCCACTTTTACTTCCACTTCCACTTCCACTCCCATTCCCATTCCCAACGGAGCCGCGCCGTAGCCGTCCTCAACTCTGCCCGTTCGTCGACAGATCAGGAGCGCGGCTAGTCCAGCCAAAGCCGGCTCGGAACGCCATTATGTGGGGGCCGAGCGGGAACATTCCTCGGGACTATGTTTGGATAGTCACGCCTTTCCGGCCCATCGCTTCCTCCAGGTGGAATCCAAAGACAAGACGATACAGGTCACGCAGCCAGGCGTACTGGCCATTTTGAACCATTGCCTGGCATGCGCGTGCCACCTCGATGGCGCCGACGCGGGCCTGGGGCCCAACATTGCGGAAGACAGGATCAAACGTGACCAGCTTTCGATAGTTCTTCAGCAGGGATGACTGCCATGGTGCCGAGCCAAAGGCATCCGAAGGGAGTGATTTCACGAATGCAGCCAGGTTTTGCGTGCCGCCTCGTTGATAGCCACTGTTGATGGCGGCCTTGGTGATGAGGACCTTCAGCCGGGTGAAATTGGGATCCTCCGAGGTCGTGGTGACGGTGTTGGCGGAGGATGCGGTCTGTCCCGACGACCGAGACTTCTCGGAGATGCCCGATGCATTGGAAGGCCATTTGGAATGGGGAGTTGCATGGCCAGTGCTGTGACCTAGGACGAGGATGTTGGGGACCGGGGCTTCATCTGGTGAGGCGGTGGCGGTGTCCTCGAAGATGGTGGTGGGCGTCTCCGGATTTGGGGCTTGACTCAACGAATCATCAACGAATTCCAGCTCCGACTGCAGCGAAGCTTGCTGAAATCCCGGGGCAAAGGTGGCCTGGCTGGGTCGGGGGGTTCCTCGATCCGAAGTGCGCATGCTGTTCAGAGTCCAGCCCTCACGGAAGATATCGCAGAGTTCCCAACAGGCCTGCACCGCCGAACCCAGCAGCTCCTCGTCTAACTCCTTCCCTTCTCTTTTACTCTGGCGAATACTAAAGAGCATCTCCACCAGCGCCCAGCAGGCACTGAGGAGAGAGTCCGTTTCCGTCAGACGGGTGCGCTGTTTCATGAGCCGGTGACAGAGTGTGATGTAGAAATCCAAGGTCCGCTCGCGGAACGCGTCGGGGAGGTTGCGGTCGTGCGTGTTATAAAGATGATTATTTAGTTCAAAACTCACTCGCAACACTGAGTCGGTCAGGTCGCTGTCACAAACGCGGACCTCGAACAATGCCTGGCAGAAGTCCCGGCACAAGTCGAGAGTGGGGTGGACTTGCGATGCATAGTCGTCATCACGAGTGTCGTATAACTTTTGGCATAGTCGCCAGCAGGATCGCCAGGCATCCTCCTGCATGCCGTCGTCGTGGGACCGCAGCAGCCGTTCACGATTAATATAGCTTAGACTAGCCAATGTATTGCATAGGGTCCAGCATTCGGTGAGCGCTGCTCGGAGAGCTTTGAGCTCTGCTTCTTTACTGCCGAAATAACCTGGCGGGAAGTTAGTTCCCATGCCCGGAAACATCTCCATGTATGTTTTAAATTCACTACCTTCAGGTATATCTGGAAAAAAGGTACAGCGATTAGCGACGGTGGACCCGGGAAGAGGGCCGGGGTGGGAGGGATGGAGAATGATGAACAGAGCTCCGATTTCGCGAGTACCTTCTAAACTGCTCGAACGCGTGCGTCGTTCGGATTCCTCAAACTCTTGTCGTGTTTGTGCCCGAGGAGTTGCTCGATCCGACCAATCTTTCGCTGGCGAAACACTCGTAGTCAAGGGAGGCGGCGATATAGGACTAGCGCCGATCTTTCCCAGCGTCCAATGGTCAGCGAGATCCAGCGTAAGTAGTCGTGCGTTAGCATGAGGGCTTGAGCACCTTCTTTGATGTCTCCGAGATTTCCATCTCTATCGACTGGATATGCTCTGATCCAGCCGAGGTTGATGACTCCTCATCTTCACATGGCTCCTCAGATGTCGGCTGCATTCTGACCTGGAGGATCATCAGCCGTGCTCTTGGTCGGAGGCAATGCTCTAAGGGAGGAAGCCTGACAAACTCGCCAAACCCTGGCGGGGCATGGATCACCGACTGAGGCGGTTCATCCTCATCAGACTTTGCGACGGAGCCATTGTGATGCATCTGCGAGGTTTGGATCTGCCTTGGTCAGCACGAGGTTCGAGTTTCTAGGATCTGAGCTCGACGCCGTCAGAAGAGTCGTTACTCTGGAACCGATACATACGGTCAGTCCTAGCGGAGTTGACATCCCCGTTCCTGGTCCTTGCACCAGCGTCGCTGGCCCAACTCCCTCCGCCTCATCTCTCTTATCGCCCTCGGCCTCCTCCGTCCCTGCCGATTGAGGGTAATTGGAGGTTACCAATGCAGTGTCCGTCGTGCTCGTCGAAGCTGGGTTGGGGGCCGAGTAGGTCGAATTCCTCGCATCCCCCGAGATGGAAGGACCCTCTAGGGACCTACACGCAGATCAGTGACCGAAACGACAGTGATCGCTTGCGCAATTCCGAATCGTGGCTTACATAGACTCAGGCCGCACAAAGGGACTGGAGGTATCGCAATACGGCAAGACGGACAGCGGCGACCTGACGGCCATCATGGCCGAAATTGTAGGCAGAGGATCGCAGTGGAAGGTGTGAAGAAGTCCAGGAAGTCCAGGAAGTCCAGGAGAAGATGGAGTGCGATCCCCGCGCAAGTGATTCTGGACGAGCTTAGGTCACCGTCAGACTAGACACCCATCGGTATTAGCCTCTTGATCCTGGGTATTCCCATACCACTGCAGTCGCTGTTGGTTCGAATCGCAGTCTCTGATACGGCCCAAGGATCGCGAGGAATGCGAACGAGACCCAGCTGGACAAGCTGGACCCCCTCTCTAGCAGTGCCATCCCAAGTGTTCGGGGGGGGGCTAGGCGCCTGGGGCGTGATGAGCATGCATCCCGGTTCTTCGTACCCACTCAGACGCCGTGGAGCGGGCCCCGGCTAGGCCACATGGGGATGCAGGGCGCTTGCACAGTTCGAACCCACGAATGACATTGAACCCTCTGATTCCACCGGAAAAGCCCAACAGGAAAACAGATTGGGGCCAATTGTGTGAGCGACGGCAGCACCACCGGAGCGGAGGCTCTTCCGGCTGTTCTGTCGAGGACAGTCGCCGGAGGTTGGTGCACGATAAGCTATGGCTCCACTGCGGTCTCAAGGAGTTATGAACTACTTCTCCCCACACTATAAACATTGGAAACGGGAGAAAGCTGAAATTGTCATAATCTACCGTGGTATGGCGGCTGCAATCCAAGTTACAGACAATTGTCCACCAAGTACAGGGGCCTCCATAGACGCCGAAATCCAGTGTGATGTGTAACGCCTTCCCAAATGCAAGTGGACGAGCATGAAAACGCATCCCGTCTCGAGAAATCTCGGACAAGTCCAGTCCAGCCCAAGTGGGGTCCAAAGAAAAGATGCAACCAGCAAAGTCCGGCATCCCAATCGCAATCTCGTCGAAACATCCGCTAGGGACCGGGAGACGGCGAATGACTCGGTTTAACCTCGCCTCCTGAGCTGATACGTTGACTGTATGATGGGGACCGCGGTGATTCAGCCGGGGGTTTGCCGGCGCGGCTAGTGTATGGCATGCGCACATGTGGAAGAGGGGTCTGGACGTGGAATCCCAAGTAGATCGCAGAAGAACATCGTCGAAGGAGAGAACGAATAGCAATTAAACCTGAGCCTTGGAACGATCCTTCTCCGCCGAGTTGTACCTATAGGAACCAGTCAGTTAAACCAACCGCACCCCCGGGGGTCTTGAAAGGCTCGATACATACCGAAGGAGCTTCTCAATGAGATCCACGTGGGTCATGATCATTCTTCGGCAGCAATAGCGCCGGCAGCCCAGCTGGTCCATGGCATCACTGAAGAGATCGTGAGCAAAGAAGAAGCGCACATTCCACCAATGAGGATCACCTACCCGTCAGGAACACCCTGATCGAGAAGCTCGAGATACCGCTCCCAGAGGTCACCGACGACCTAAACGGCTTTCAGCAAGAGAGTTATAGATCCAGCTCCAGAGGAGATAGCCACATACCTTGCCACAGGAGAAGCAGCGCACAGGGATGATCATGGTGTGTTTGCTAAGGATGTGCGATGGAGTGAGAAGAAGTGATCAGGCGAGGAAACGCGGATCAATTGGTTCACCGTGAGGAGCGATGAAACTTTTCCCGCGACGGCGGTCAGCGCGGGACCTGATTTCTGCCTATTCACACCGCCCTGTATTTGCGAGAGAAAAAAAAAGATGCGACATGCCTCTCGAGCTTCGTCTGGCTTGGTTTGATTGTCTGCACGAAACTCTCGGGCATGACAGATTAATTCCACAAGCTCTGCCATCTTCACCAAACAACCCGTCGGCGTATTCGTCGATCTGAAGGAACCTGCGCAATGGCTCCTAACCAGTCGGCACGACACCAAAAACGCTCTCGGGCCAGCGATGCCGCTGAGAAGGTATCGCGGCCAGGCGAGGAGCGAACCAAACGACGCCGAACCTCCGATGTCATCGATGTCCAGAGTCCGAAAGAAGCGAAGCCTGCGAGCACTGCCCAGGACGTATCCAATGACGATATTCCGTCGCAAGAAGTGAGAAAGCGAAAGAATTCCGCGCCATGGTCCTTCTCACGTCCCGTGGGTGGTCGCTACAGCAATCTGGATCCTGTCATGACTGTAGATGAGGCGTAAGTAGAGATCTCCCCCCCTGGTCCCACAGTGGGACTCGCTCCTAACATCACCTTACTTCCAGATATCTCTTCCTGGGACTTGACACTTCGGTGCAGGTCTTCGCGACTTCCACCTCTCGCCTCCTACGTACGTTGCAGATGGAAGCCGGACAAAAGGTCATTGGGTACCAACTGTGCCCCATCGAACCCGGTATTCTCTACATTTTCACCTCTGGCTTCGTGACCAAGTGGGATTGGGATTCAGGAAAGCGGCTCGCACGCTGGGGTGCCGATGCCCCAACTGTCGCGGTTGATTTGCCAGCAGTCGAGAAGAAGGATCGACTTGCATCATACTCTATCGTATCTCGAAAGGACGGAAAGAGACAGATCTTGGTTAATACACTGGGCGACAAAACGCTCGCCGGTGTCGTTGCTCTGGAGACCGCCGAACCCATCAATACTATCAGGGTTGCCTGCGAAGGGCGAGTCATTGTCGCTTGTGATGGAAGCCATCTTTTCCTGGGAACTACTCATGGTGTTGACCATGAGCTTCCTGAGTCTACCCGGTACACATGGAGGGCGACTACTCTTCCAGCTCCTGCCACCTGCTTCCACCTGCGAGAGAGTTCCAATGAAAATTCGGAACCCTCGGACACCGCAGTTGATCTGGTGGTGGGCGAGACTGGCGGATATATCCTGATCTACCAGGACATTTTGAATACCCTGTTCTGTCGCAACGCGGAGAAGAAATCATCCCCCCGGAAGTTGCACTGGCACCGAGGTGCTGTTAGCTCTGTGCGATGGTCCAGAGACGGTAAGTTTTGATCTCATTCAGTGCATTGATGTCTCGGTTTATCTAACCGTCCTTCACTAGGCAACTACCTTATTTCGGGCGGCCAGGAGTCGGTTCTGGTGCTGTGGCAGCTGGATACTGGGCGAAAGCAGTTCCTCCCTCATCTTTCCTCCCCAATTTGTAATATTGTCGTCTCGCCGAATGGCAACTCTTATGTGGTCAAACTGGCCGACAATTCGGTCATGGTCTTGTCTGCGAGAGAGTTGCAGCCATCTGCCAACGTGACTGGACTGCAACTGAGCACTGAGATCTCAAGCTACAAGGACTCTTCCTCAAGAAGACCGTTTGGTGCCGTTGCTACCTTACACCCGCAACACCCCGAACGACTGCTGGTTACCGTTCCCGCTTCTTATCATATCAGTCAACAAGGGCATCAACGCCCAAGCTCGGCCGTTCTGCAGACATTTGATATTCGCTCCAACTCTCATATCTCTCGCCAGGCCCTGGCACGGACCAACGCAACAACGTTGGACATCGGCCCGGAGGGCACTCCGATTGTTGCTCCCGATGTTCGCCAGATGGATATTGTGGAGGACGGGAAATGGTTGGCTACTGTTGACTCGTGGACGCCGAATCTTCAGGACGTGGAGGCTGTTACCACCAATATTTCAAAGGACAACCCGGATTCATCGCGTCCGGAGGTGTTCCTCAAGTTCTGGAAGTGGAACGCATCCGCCGACAATTGGGAATTGGTGACGCGTATTGACGGACCCCACTTCAGTGACTCCCGTCATTCAACGGTCCTGGGGCTAGCAGCTCGCCCATGCTCCCATGAGTTTGTGACTCTTGGCGCCGATGCATTCCTCCGCTTCTGGTGTCCGACCGCCCGACACCGAAGTGGTCTCAAGACCGACGCATCCAAACAAAACCTCGATACATGGAAGTGCCGGAGCATAGTTGACATGAGTGCATCGCTGGACAATGCAAGCCCAGCACTGGAGACAGCCTGTATGGGCTTCTCCGAAGATGGCTCCGTCCTTGCCGTTTGCTTGCCCTCCCGTTCTGGGGCGGATGAGGGACTCGTTCTTTTGATTGACGCACGAAATGGCACTGTGCACTACCGCCGGACCGGCGTTTTCTTTGGCAAGCCCTACTCCGCGAAGTTCCTGGGAAAATATCTTATTGTCGCTTCTTCCGGCTCTGTGGCTGGTTGGGACACTGTTGACGATGTCGTCAAGCCCATCCAACTCACCGAATACACTGGTTCTGTTGATCCAGCCCACCAACCGCTGGTTACAGTGAACACTCGAACTCAGACTTTTGCCATCGCTCTCCGCAGCGGTGGCAGTTCCACCACCGACCCCAGTAAGAAACGACGCAAGGCTCGTTACCATATCCGAATCTACGACGTCCCGTCCTTCGACCTGGTCTTCCAGGAAACCCTGGGAAGCAACCCGCTGGCTCTTCTTTCGGACGCATATTCTGGCGACTACATTGTTGTTGACTCCACAGCCAGTGTGCAGCGACTTGGCTGCTTGGACAAGGCATCGCAAAAGAGCCTGCAGCCCCAGGAGGTGACCAGCCAACTGAATTCAGGACTTGCGAGCATCTTTAGCCGGGGCCATGAGCGAGTTGCCACACAACCCGCCGATGAGGATACCTCTGCATCTCAGAATAAGGCGCTGGCTAGCGTGTTTGGGGACACGCCATCCTTCGCGCTGCCTTCCATTGGAGTTCTCTTCAGAAAGGTGGTCCAGACACTGGGCTCTAGCTAGGCTAGATTTTTGTACCACGGGGAGTTCACGGTGGATGCCAATGTGATATACTTGTGAATTAAAGCGGTCATTGGGACAAGTGTATTCTATACATGAATTTGGCAACTTTTTGCGATTCGTCATATATTTCGAAGAAGACATTACGGCCAGTCTATTATCCAAGTTTATTGCGAACGTTAATCGAGTAACTTGCTTAGATAAAGACGTTCCCACCTCATAGTTATCAGAAGGGTAGGACCACCATACAGCCGGACTAGAGGATATTCTAGGAGGAAGAGGAAGACATTCCAGACCCCGGATCCCATCCCAGATTTCAAAGACACACGGTCTGCCAGTTCAAAATCAAACTGACCAATGAGGTATGAGGAGTATGTGAGCCGGGTACATGATAGTCAAAATTTACACTAGCTGTATAGTTTGTTTCGGTAAAGAATTCGGTCGGGCAGAGTGGCTAGGGCTCAGCTCAAAATCCCCTCCCTCTTTCCCCCCTCGGTGATGAGATCAATGGATGGGACCTGAAGGCTTACGCGAAGGTTAACGAGGTATTGCATGCTCAGAATTCAATAGCGCCTTTTGCAATTTTGCAGGATGTGGAAGAGTTCTCCCTCAAGATACAGAAGACCATGTAAAACGCCAGGAATGCTCCCCGAGCCCCTTTCCTATCTAGTTCGTAAATGACATCTCAAAAAGGGCCCTATTCTCCCGCACCAAGTGATTCAGTGATACAGAAAAACCTCAGCGGTTTGATATTAAATTTGGCCAATAGTGAAGACAAGTAATGCCTTTCTCCCGTGAACGTGCGTCAAGTAGGCATCCAGTTCGTGATCTTCGTCAATAGGGAAAAATGTCTCATTCTCATGTTCATCCTTATCCATGCCCTCGATCTTGCTAAGGATGGAGTAAGGATAACGGCCAGTGATTATCTGGCGTACTTCTTCCACGGATCGGGTTGCCAGCTTATCTATCCAGGGTTTGGCTGGTGCCCCCTGGAGCTGACTCTGGGGGCTACTCTGAAACCAGACAGTGGTGTTAAGTAATGACGAATGAAGCATGGGGTCCATATACTCAAAAGCACTGCCCGCCTCGTGCTGTGTATTTGCCGAGAACGAAGATGGGTCGTTAGCTGCCTGCAGCAGCGAAGGATCGATTTGCATATCACCAAGTTCACTGGCGGAAATTGGGGCACTGGCGAGCGCTTGAGATGCAAGAGTGCTGATCCCATTACTGATACCGTTCTCGAGCATGTTATTCATGGGAGTACTGCTGGATGGTGCAGTGCTTTGCGCGCTGGCACGTGGTGCAGATCTCTTGCGAGCTGGGTCTCGCTTAGTCTGGTCGTCTCGAAGCCGTTTCATGACGTCCCGGCATAGCACTTCCAAGGCTTTCAACTTGGTTGCGTGTTCTGGGTCGGCCGGTCCGGGTTCAAGGATCCGCTGAAGCAGTGGCGAATTATGGATCCATTGCGCCTTCAGCTCCCCCCAATGTTCATCGCCTGTTTCTAGCTTGCTGGTGAAATGATCTGCCTTGAGGGTATCATAGAAGGCGTTACGGATCTGCCGACTTTCCTCCGGGTTGACCCCCAAGGCGTTCTTAGCCTCGGCGATGGTTATACGTCTCTCCAGAGTTCTCATTCGTTTTGTCACGTCTGTACAGACAACATCAAGAGCCAGGGCTTTCGCATCGCGCTGGGTGGGCTCTGTGTTAAACACGTGCTGTAAATGGGGAGATTCCTGAATCAATTTGTCCTTCGCTGCCTGCCATCGCTCCGGACCAGCAATTGTCTTTTTAATGAAACCTGCCTCCTCACAAATCCGCTGGAAGTGTTCTCTCAGCTGGCGATACATTGTATTGTCCAGACTGAGATACTGTTTGCTCTCATCGATTGTGGTTTCCGAGGGAAAGCGAGGGGGCCCTGGAGGGTCAGCAGGTAACCCAGCCCACCCACGAGTACGGCGCCGTCGCTTTCTGGACGCCCATCGCTCTGCACTCTCTGATTTCAGGCGGTCCAGGCGCTCTTTGCGTTTCGCTACAACTTCAGGCGCCAGACCAGGCGACGAGGAACGCGCTGCGGTGGGTGCACCGGATTCGGGAGGAATGGAGTCGGCACCGTCAAAGGACTCGTCTTGCTTGTAAACTTCCTGCTGGAGCGCGAGGAGTCCTTCGTCCTCTGGTTGTGTATTTCGTGCGTCGGCATTCATTTGTGACTTCATGCCATTGGGGACGCGAAGTAGCCAGCGGTTCTTGGCGCGAACGCGCATCAGCTCCCTCTCCTTGATCGCGAAACCTTCATCATTCAAAATGCGGAGCATATCACGCTGGTTGGTGTTATGCTCCCAAAGCTCCTTGACCCGGGCGACGAGCTCGACATTCTTGTGTGCAGGGTTCTGTTTCGAGGGAAACCCCCATCGCTTGAACTGTGTCTGGAAGGCACGCTTACTACCAACCGGCCAAGATTAGCCTCAGGGGATCAGATGGGTAATTCGCAGCTCAGGCAAGAAATCGAAACGGCTTGGAAGCTTACCTCGGCGCAAATTGATAAGCAGTCCTCATGTATTCCATGATCTCCTCCAGGGCCTTCTTTTCCTGGATGTACATCTGGAAGCAGATGTCCCGCTTCCCAGCCCAGTCGTAAACCATGACGGGAGAGACGCTCCCCCCTGGTGGAGGTGCGTCTGGCGGGGGAGAAGAAACCCGAGAAGCAGGGAGCTCTTATCGGACGTTTGTTGTCGCTGCTGTGCGCCGTAGCGAAGCTGTGAGGAAAGATGGCAGCGCAGAGGCAACACTTGCGCACTTTGGTCACGTGGGACCCGCTTCCCTGGGGGAAAGTTACGGTGTTCGGGCGTGGATCGGCTCATCGGCTTTCGATCAGCCGACTATCGATCGGGTATTTTTTTCGTTGAGAGCGTATGGTTGGGTCAAGCAGGAATGCTGTTTCCAATTAGTCCCTAAGTTCAAAGTAGCTGAGACCACCGAATGTTCAGGGATCATGATCGCGTCTACGTTTCCCACCAGATGAACCACTTGGCAAAAGAAAAGTACGAAGAATGGACACATTTGCTATCAATTCAAGCACATCACTCTCGGAAGAAGATGTATCGCTCATAAATCCCCAGACGCCATGGCCACAATCCAAACTGTGTGGTCCAGAAACTCCTGGAAGCTGCACGGCTGCCCAAAGCGCAGAAACAAGATCGCTAGATGATTGGCCTATAAACACGGATGGCCGGTGGCCAGATAGAAAAGAAATGGAAAAGAATCAGGATCAACTCATCTTCCGCATTCGTCGGCGGAATTTAAACACTCGAGTCCGGAGCCATGTCATGAAGAGCACCCAGGTGCTCTTTGATTGGGATTTCCATTGCTGGCCGACTGGTTTGGTATCCGCCCGCTTGGGAACCGTGGGATCCCCCGGTTTCTCAGACAGTTCTTCACTGGAGTGACCGATGGGAGACTCCTGGCCACCGGACATGTTATGCTTTCCTCGGCGCCGCGTCTGCCTCTCTTCGGCTTTAATCTGTTGCTTCTCGAGCCGACGAGCCTTGGCGGCTTCTTTCTCCTCGAATGCCTGCCGTGCGGCCTGAATGGTCGCCGCTCGCGAGACCGGATCCGTACTGGTCCTGGTTCGAGTTCGGAAGACAAAGTCGAGAGAGGGACGCGAGACGGGCGATGCAGTGTCCACCATGCTTCCATTGTCCCGCGAGTACCCAAACGACGGCCGGCCCGAGACATTCGTCTGTGAGATTCCCGGGAGGCGAGTGAAGGAGTCGTCCTCGATCTGTAATGACAGCCGTGGAACCGGTCCTGAGGAAGCACGAACCGTCCGGTGAGTCTCTGCATCCGGCAGCATCTTCGTCTGGGTTTCTGGGCTGCCATCGTCCAGCTCATCGCTGTCATTGCCCGAGGTCTGATGCGACTGACTCAACGGGGGGGTGTATGCTCTGGGAGTCGGGCGCATGGGATAGACATACTGCGAGCCCTGCTTGCCCGCACTCGACCCAGTCGTGGTCGAGAGCTGCGAAGTCCCACTGGTGGATCGGTGGTGCATGCCAGACGTCGTTCGACGATACGTCACGCCCGTCAGCGATTCACTTCGGCGCCGGTCCTGTTCAAGATTTAAGTAAATCCCCAAGCCCTCCTGCTCGGTTGAAGAGCGGGAGAGGTCAATGGACGGGGACACCGCATCGTCGCGCGACATCTTTCGAAGCATGGGCTTAATATGTACTTTTGGTTTCATGGGCTTGCTCTTGTGAGGGCGAGAGTCGAGGCCCTCCGAGGAGTCGGTTAGACCCATGCTCGACATTGAGTGGGTTGGGTCAAGGTTCCATGGGCGTTCGCCCGGAGAAATTCCTGGGATGATGTTGGCCGATCGCATCGGGCCACGTCCCTTGGACTCTGAGGAAAGAGATTGGTCCGAGTATTCCGGAAAGGGAGAGGGTTCTCGAGTAGTATCTGAATCGAGCTGTGACGGGGCCAGCCCGCCGTCATGGGGAGTCCCCCGAACCTCCATAACCGAGGGTCTCGAGCCAGTCCGGATATTTCTCTTGGAGCGCGAGAGTGACGCAGAATCGGTGGACCGGCGATTCTTTGAGGCCGCGAAGGCCGGCTCCCGCCCGTATTGACTGTCAGAGCGTGCCATGGGGGATACCACGACCTCCAAACTCTTGTGAATGGGGACGCTTAGCAACGAGTCGCACTGCGCATGGTGGCCGCGGGCGCCAGGACCGTAGGGTACGGGGGGATGTGAGGAACGTGGAGTGAGCTGGGGATCAGCGCAGAAGGCCCAGCTCGGCGAGTCGCGCCGGGGGGGGGGGAGGAGGGTTAAGAGGATGCACAAGTCTGCCGAAAGGGCGAGACCATGGGGCAATGAAGCGGGGAAGAGGAGGAAAGCGTAAGCGCGGAGAAGGGGGGGGGTTTGGAAACGATCACAAAGCTGAGGACCGTGGGTTGCGTGGGCGCATAATCCGATAAGCAGGTCTAGTTTCCCCGGTTCACGTGGAAGTCTGTCTGCCTTGCAGGAGTAGGGGGGTTTGATTTCCCAGACAAGGGTCCAGGCAGCGGAGAGGGACGGGGGTCCAGAAGATTGAGCAGGAGGAGAGTTCGAGAAGATCAATAAGATCGAGAAGATCCAGAAAATCCAGAAAACGCGAGAGTTCCACGCAACGGGGAGCGGTGAGGGCGAGGCTGTCGGGACGCATGCGGACGGCTCGGCGCGACAGGAACATTCTGAATCCTCCGGACGGAGGCAACACCCGCCTCGGTACGGAGTATTCACTGCCGCGCGTGGGCAACACATCAACATACAACAATACAACATTTTATTCAGATTCCCCTTCTTCCTCTCTTTCCATCTAGTCTAGCCTATCGCAGTGTCGTCCATGGCAGCTTCCCCCCCCCCCAATCTCTGTATATATTCCCCTCTGCCCTTGCTGATCTTCGGCCAGATCTGTCCGAGGGCTGGCCAGTTTCCAACCCAGCAGATCAAAGTCAGTCATGTCAACCCCAAGGAATCTGCTCGTCGGGCAGACCGGCGCGCCAAGCCTGCCGATCGAGGCAAGCGGCCCATTGGCGACGCGGGTTGCAGCCAAGAGCCAAGAAAGCACATCAGAGCCACCCACCCCCACCACCGGAGGGACGGGCACAACAAGCGGTTGGGCGGGCCTGAAATAATATGAAATCGGAACTTGAACTTTGTTTATCCTCCTTGTGTCTCCTGAGAGCTTGATTATCTTTTCAGCCTTACATCGTCTTCCTTCCACCTCTTCCACCATGGGCCTGTCGCTGCAGAGCCTATGTCTCTCTCTCTTGATTATCCTTGCCATATCTGGCCAGGCCTATGGCTTCGGTGCGGGCAACATTGCCACCCTCTCCAAAATTGAGGGGCAGAACTGGCGCCACGGCGATATCGAAGATACCCTGTTGACCCTCTTCCTGGCCCGCGTCGCTGGCGGACGCAAGTTCAGCAAGCTCGATGTCAAGCGCGTATACTTTGGCAACTGGCTACGTGACTACAGTCAGGCGGTTGATGTCGGCACCGTCAAGCACGTCAGTGCCGAGGCAATTCGTATTCTCATCTGGGTCCTGGGCTTCATGAGCTTTGGGTAAGTTTATCGCCGACCTCAGGATAGAAAAAGGTTGGGACTAAGAAAAGGTTCCCCCCTGCTAGCTATGGCACTCGCGAATTCGAGGTCACCGCCGAGCGCCTGGGGTGCTATCAGCCCACCGAGCATATCGACAACCCGCTGGGCTATGCAGAGGGTGATGATGCACGCCGCTACGACCGCCGTCTCCGTGGACCGGTCGACGAGCAGCGTGAGCTGTCCATTGACACGCGGACTGGTAGGTGATTCCATGTATTTTAAAAGCGTGACGCTAACCGGAGGCCTCAACTCTTCTCCAGGCCTGAAAAACTACATCGCCTCGGAAGACGTCGGCATTGACACCTCGGCGGCTCTCATCCGCCGTGTTCTGGGCCGCTCCATCGAACTGGGCCGTCGCTACGGCCGATCTCGCAACGACGATGACCTGCACGAGGCCCTGCGACTTCTGGGCACTGGCCTGCATTGTCTAGAGGACTACGCTGCTCACTCGAACTACACGGAGCTGAGTCTGATCGAGCTCGGCGAGAGGGATGTCTTCCCCCACGTAGGCCGCAATACCAAGGTCCAGATCCGTGGAGCTCGCGAGGAGGTCTATCCCATTGTGACGGGCACTTTTGGTGGCGTCGACTTCTTCCACTCGGTGCTGGGAGAGTTCTCCGACAAGACCAAGCAGTCGGAGCTCCAATCCTTGGAGGGTGTCATCTCGGAGTCCGAGAACGATGGGCCCTCAAATAGCATGCTGCAGGATTTGCTGAGCAAAATCCCCAGTGGACTAATTGGCAGCAGCAGTGACCAGGCGGGCAAGATGGACGACTTCAAGGCCAAGGCGGACGATGCTCGCCAGAACGGCCAGAACATTAGCCCCCGCCAGCCGGAGGAGTGGACCCGCTACCTGGAAAATGTCCAGAAGCAGATCTACCCCGTCCTCGAGTGGCACGACGAGCTGCTGAAGAGCATCAACGAGGCCATTGAGACGATCCCCGTGCTCCCCGACCTGATCGAGCAGGTTCAGGACGAGATCACTGTCTTTGTGTTCTCAGTGCTCGCTCCATACATCCTGCCCATCATCCAGCAGGCCAAGTCGGAGCTTGAGACGGGCTCTTCGGAAGTGATCCAGTCCAGCCGGCAACAGCAGCACATTGTATTCAACGACGACAACGCATCGAACCCCACACACTCGATGCTGTCCAAGGACCACTTCTCGAACATTCTCAACGAGCCAGCGGGGCAGATTGCGTCGCAGGTGGTCAAGTGGACGGTCCCGCAGCTGATGCAGTGCTGGGACGACGAGAACATCGACATCGACCGTACCCTGAACAGAATCATCTCTGGAGTGTTCCATCACCCTGCGCTGCACAGATATGGCGACGATGGCGCGGCTGACATGCGTGGAATCATGTTCTCCACCGTGGAGCATTGGTGGGGTGCAAAGAGCGAAGGAGAGCGTGAGGGTCTTCGCGACCAGTTGAGCCGCAATGGTGTTCGTGAGGGCCGAAACCACAAGGAGGGCGTTCAGGACTGCGGCCATGGATGCGGTAAGCCTCTCGCTCTGCCGAAGAAACACGGCAAGAGTGGCGGCGGTGGCGGTGACGGTGGAGGTTACCACCAGCCCAGCGGCAATGGACTCGAAAACCTTGCTTCTCAGGCCGTGGGCGGAGGCGCCCTTGGTGGTCTCGTCGGCGGCCTCGTAAGTAGCGTGGGCTCGATGGTCCTGGAGGATGGCGGCTCCGACGGCCGCAGCGGCCCGAAGAGACAGAAGAGTCCCAAGAGAGAAAAGAGCCCGAAGCGCCGGGAAAGCCCCCAACGGCAGAAGAGCCCTAAGCCACGCAGCCACTGTCGTGACGATGAAGAGCACGAGCATCGTCACCGGCCCCATGAGCGCCGCGAAGAGTACGAAACCCCGTCATCTGGCCATGCGCCGCCGCCCCCTCGGGCAGGATACGAGCATCAGAGCGAGTCTACGTACAGCGAACGCCCTGCGCTTCGCAATGACTATGGTCGCGATGAGTACCGCAGCGACTACTCCCGCAATGACTACCCCCAACAGGAGTCTAGTAGCTCGACCGCATACAGCGAGCCGCCCGCCCTCCGTAATGATGACTATGCCCGTGAGGAATATCGCAGCGACTACTCTCGCAACGACTACCCTCCCAACCCTCCTCCGGTCCAGAGCTACCGACGCGAGGAGTATCGGGAGTCCCAGCAGGACAATGGAGGTTACTACCAGCAAGAGAGCCGGCAAACCTATGAGTCCGGCCGAACCGAGTACCAGCGGACCGAGACGCGCTACGACTATGGAGCACCCCAGTCGACCTACGAGACTGTGCAGCAGAGCAGCTTCGGCGGCGGAAGAGTTGAACAGTAAGTTCCAAATCTAGAGATCCAGATATGCAGATATCTAGAGATCCTTTTGTTCTTGCTTTGTACATCGGTATATGGTATTGATCACACTGCTATAACAGAGAGTACTCGTCCGGCTATGGAGCACCGCCGCGCGGAGGATACGAGGGGGGATATGAGCGACCGAGCTATCAGCCGCGCGAGGAGAACTGTGGCCAGAGCTTCGGCGGCAGCGGCAGCGTTGACATCGTCGAGCGCCGGCCTCACCATGAGCGACGCTCCAGCGGCGGGTCTGGGTCCGGCAGTGGCAGCGATGACGAGCGGCGTCGCCGCCGACACCATCACCACCGGCGCCGCTCAGGTTCAGGTTCGGATTAGAACGGCCCCGGGTCCATTTCTGGTGTAGTCTAGACACCTACGGGCTCGTAAGAGCAAGGAGACGGCCAGGACGGATTCACCATTCCTTGACCTCGCCCGGCGCGGGCTGCTCAATACGAACGACCTTGTCGCAGTTGAGCAGGCAGAGAGGGTCAAAGGCCAATTTTAGCTAGAGTACGCCACCAGAATGTTAATTTTTGTTGCTGTAGCAGGTAGAGGATACAGGATCTTCTGTTTTTGGACTTACCCTGCGCATGGCATCCACGGTAGACTCGCCCAGCTCGTGGGCAAGATAATCGCGCTTGACGAGGCCGACGCCGTGTTCGCCCGTCACGGTGCCTTCCATCTCGACGGCACGCTTGACCATGCGGTGGACGACGCCCTCGGCGACCTTCTTCTCCTTGTCGCTGAACAGGATGATAGCTGGAAAGGGAGTTAGATTATAGTTGCCAAGGATGCAGCGAGTTTGTTTACCCCCTTCTCAAGGGCGTGGAATATAGCTTACCATGGAAGTTACCATCACCCACATGGCCGCAGATACCAGCCAAGAGGCCACTCTTGGTCATATCGGCCTTTGTAGCCTCGATGATATCTGGCAGTCTGCTCATGGGGACCGCGACATCGGTGGTCCAGACATGGTCCTCGGGGTTGTTGCGCATCGCCATGACACTCCACAGGGCGGTCTTTCGAGCGCTCCACAGCTCATCCATCTCCTTCTCGCCGCGGGCAAACTCAAAGGACTTGCTAGCAGCTTTTGAGGCAATTTTCTGCACCATACCAATCTGCTCCTTGACGGCGGCGGGGGTACCGGTGAAGCGGAAGAAGATGGTGGGGGACTCCTTCCACTCGCGGCTGGTGTACCCGCTCGCATTGATGCACTTCATTTGCACGTCGTCGAGAATCTCGACGCCGGCAACGGGGATGCCAGCCGCCACGACATGGGTGACGCACTCGGCGGCATCTTGAATGCTGGGGAAGCTCGCGACAGCCACGTTCTGACTCGCCGGCTTCACGGTCAGCTTGAGGGTGGCCTCGGTCACCAGACCAAGCGTGCCCTCACTGCCGATGAAGAGCTTGTTCAGGTCATAGCCGGCACTGGATTTGCGCGGTCGCTGGCGGGTCTTGATGACGGTTCCATCCGCCAGGACGACCGTTAGCGAGAGAACCCACTCGCGCATGGTACCGTATCGGTAGGCATTCGTGCCCGAGCACCCGGTGCCCACCATCCCGCCAATCATGGCCCCGGGCCCCGGGTCCGGGGGGAAGAACAGCCCGTCCTGGGCCAGCTGCTCGTTCAGGTCCTCCCAGCCCACGGCGGGCTGGACCACGACATCTAAATCATGCTTGTGGAGGTCCAAGATGCGATTCATGCGGCGGAAATCGATGCATACGCCGCCGCGCGTGGAGGCGAAGTGGCCCTCCAAGCTGGTGCCGCCGGAGTACGGAGTGACGGGGATGAGGCGCTGGTGGCAGATCTTCATGATGCGGGAGACCTCCTCGGTCGAGGCGGGGTAGAGGATGAGGAAGGGTGTCTCGTCCGCCTTGCGGGGGTAGGACGACCAGTCGGAGCCGGCATGGGTGTCGAGGTCCTCGGGGGCCGTCGAGACATTCTCTTTGCCGAGGATGTCGACGAAGTCGGACCAGGCCGCCTGAAGGTTGGACTGGGAGACATTGTGCTTGGGGGGCTCGAGGTCGGCGAGGGAGGTGGTGGATGAGGTGGGAAGGGCGGCGGGCTTGAGGGATCCGAGGTAGTATGCGCCGGACGAGAAAAAGACCAGCGCTATGGAGCGACAGGCAAGTTAGCAACGTTCGCCTTGCCAGACGATGAGCGCAACCGGGGTCCCAGGGTTGCGAGCATACCGAACATCATTGCAGCATAACGGCCGCCGGAGGACTGAGTCTGGTACTGGGCGAAGCGCTCCTGCTCGGCGCGCTCGCGCTTCAGCCGCTGCTGGGTGCTCTCATAGAGCTGGCTCTTGAACGACTGCTGCTTGTCGTTGGTGCGGCATCGGGCGGCGGCGGCGAAGAGTCTCTGGTGTGTGAGGCCTGGTGACGGGCGCGACTGAACGGTGCGTAGTGCCCCGCGGAGGGCGGTGCTGTGTGGGCGGACCATGGCGGGCTGGTGATGGTGAAGAGTTCCAGCTCGAGCGGACGGAGAGCAAGTTCGCAGCTGGCACGGGCTTGGCGTGGCACGGCCCCAACTCTCGGCCGGGTCGGACGGGGTGCGTCTGGGCTGCGAGGCCGCGGCAGGCTTCGTGTAGCTCGGAGGGATGCTAGTGGTGGCTGACCAGGGACAAGCAGCTTTCCTCTGCTCCTATCGGCCCCATTGAGACGTTGGCTAGGACAGCGGAGTATCGGGTGTATACTGCGACTATACTGCGACGGCAGCGAAGTTATCGGCCCCCCCCTGCAACTCCAACTCCAACTGTACAGTACACAGTGCCACCAAACTCCGGATCGAAACAGCTCAGGTCAGGTGGACCGTCCAGTGGCGTCGCAGTGACATCTTGTTTCACCGACCTCATAATAATGGACTCGTGGATCTCGCTTTGAGGCAAAATCGGGTAAAGTCCCCCGCGGTTAAAATCCCCATTGGATCCACCCGAAGGTCGCCCATGCGGTAAACAGACTTGCGGGGAGCTCAGCTCGGTCCATTCCTCGCTTTTTTGCCTATTTATATCCAGAGTCTCCCTGGTTTCTGTTCTGTTCCGGTCCTTTTTAATCCAGTCCCCCTTCTCTCCAATATTCTTGCTCGCCTTCTCCGTCTTCCCGCTCCTTCGTCTCCGTCATCATGACTTCTACCGCGACGGCCCAGGTACGGGTTATATGCTGCCCCGCCTCCCACCGCCACAATGGGAACACCCGCTGCTAACGCCGCAATAGAACTTGTCCTTTGTCCTGGAGGGCATCCACCAGGTCAAATTTGAGGATCGCCCCGTCCCCGAACTGAAGAACCCTCACGATGTCCTCATCAACGTCAAGTACACCGGAATCTGCGGCAGCGATGTATGTACCACGAAATGCAGGGCACCCATTCGAGGTGCGCGGGGAAGAGAAAGAAAGCTCGTCAGAAGCTGACCGATGGGCAACACTCGGGAACTAGGTGCACTACTGGGAACACGGCTCGATCGGACAATTCGTCGTCAAGGAGCCGATGGTGCTCGGTCACGAGTCCGCCGGTGTTATCAGCCAGGTTGGCTCGGCTGTGACAACGCTGAAGGTGGGCGACCGCGTCGCAATGGAGCCCGGGATCTCCTGCCGGCGGTGCGAGCCCTGCAAGGGCGGCAAATACAACCTCTGCGAGAACATGGCCTTCGCCGCCACCCCGCCCTATGACGGCACGCTGGCCAAATACTACGTCCTCCCGGAGGACTTCTGCTACAAGCTGCCGGAGCATCTCTCACTGCAGGAGGGCGCGCTCATGGAGCCGCTGAGCGTGGCAGTGCACATCGTGCGTCAGGCACAGGTCAGCCCCGGGCAGTCCGTGGTGGTGTTTGGCGCCGGCCCTGTGGGACTGCTGTGCTGCGCGGTGGCGACGGCCTTTGGGGCCTCGAAGGTGATTGCCGTGGACATCCAGCAGCCACGGCTGGACTTTGCCAAGCAGTACGCGACCACGTCGACCTTCATGCCGTCCAAGGTATCTGCGATCGAGAACGCCGAGCGACTGCGCCAGGAGAACGACCTCGGCGCTGGTGCCGACGTGGCCATTGACGCCTCTGGCGCTGAACCCTCCGTCCACACCGGCATCCACGTCCTCCGCAACGGCGGCACGTACGTGCAGGGTGGCATGGGCCGCAGCGAGATCCACTTTCCGATCATGGCGGCCTGCTCGAAGGAGCTGACGCTGAGGGGCAGCTTCCGCTACGGCAGCGGCGACTACAAACTTGCCGTCGGGCTGGTCTCGTCCGGCAAGGTGGATGTGAAGAAGTTGATCACGGGCACGGTCAAGTTCGAGGAAGCCGAGAGCGCGTTCAAGGAGGTCAAGGCCGGCAAGGGCATCAAGACCCTGATTGCTGGTTTTGACAGTTAAAAAAAAAAAAGTGCGCAGGGAAAAAGAAAGAATGCCCTTGGCTATGATTCTGGGTTGGTTCATGGAGCGATACTGGCCCTCCTGAGGGCTTCCGAGATGTGAAATGAGATAATGATGGAACGGAAATCATACAAAGATCATTGGCGAGATGCTATGTCGTCCTTTAATCGAGCTACATATTTCCGGTGAGGAATAGCGACCTCTCCGAAATTGTCATGTTTCCCATGTACTCCGTAGAGTGGTGCCTCGATAATTTGCAACTACCTGAAATGTTTCGATGAAAAGATTTAGATGATGTCTTGTCAACGGCAAACAAGTGCTCTGGTATTCTTTCTCGGCTGTCATATAGAAGACCCATCAAGGCCCCCGGTTGGCTAGGGGTGCTGCTGACTGTCCATTGTCCGGGGATACACAAGGAAACCGGCGCGATAGGCACAATAATACAAGGGAAGAAGAGCTACCCTTCCCAAGAAATGAAGTGAGCGAGACGGGGTGATTCGTTGATACATTGAGCATACAAAGTGGTCTCCAATGTGAATCAGAATTCATGAGCATTAGAGTAACTGAAGTGACTGGCTTACAGTTTAGTCAGCACAGTGATCGGTTCATGATGTTGAAGCCACCGTAGAGATTCCTTGGAATGTTTCCGATTGTTCTAAAGAGCGAATGCCTCGGGGGTTCTGGGACGAAGGTCTCGTCCCACTAGTCTTGACATGGTTGTCCCATGTTCACATTCTCGGTTTCTATGATGGCGTAAAAAGAACAAAAGCAGCAAGTGTACCAGGAAGAAAAGTATAGATTGCCCCAGGGGCATCTAGGCAATGTACAGGGGGCCAACAAGGAAATATGCATTCAATGAAGCATCTGTCGAAAGGAAATCTCAGAGAACGAACGTCAGAAGAGGGGGTATCGTGCGGGGATCGAGCGAAAGAGAGGGTGAAAGAAAACCAAAAAACCAAAAAACCAAAATCAAAATCCAGTACTGAATCCAGGCGATCGAGGCGTCTAACAACATCCTCGATTTCTCCGTGACGAAGAACCGCCTAAGCGGAAAACATCTTCCCACTCTCTCATGCCGCCCTTCCAGCCGGAGCTGGGCCGGCCTCGGCGGCGCGATGACCGGTGAAGCGGCAACGCATTCTCATCGAGCGTAGCTCGGCTTCTGATACTCGAGGCATCGCTGGCGCCGTGGCCGTACAGACCACCATCACCATATTGAATGCCGCTCTGCGGGTCGTCCGGGTCAATCTCGCCGAGCTCGATCTTGGTCAGAATGATGCGGGCTAACCGCTGGAAGACCTCTTCCACGCCTTCGCCCGTCAGAGCGGACACCTCGACTGCCACGGGGATATTTGACTGCGCGGCCCACCGCGCCGTATCCTCCTTGCTGACCTCGCGGCCTTCCGCGAAGGACGCAGTCATTCTCGTCCCCGGACCCAGGTAATTGGTTGAGCGCACGGAGCCGCCTGCATCGAAGGGCATTGACGACTGTTTACTCGAGGTACTAGACGGGGTGGGTGGGGGTCGGCCCGCATCATCGGGGTGATCGGCGGAAGTGGTCGTATCGGCCAAATCTGCTTTATTCCCCGCCAGTAAGACGGTCAGATTCGGCGAGGCCAGGGCACGGGCATCCATCAGGAAAGTCGGGAGCGCCGCGAAGGAGGCGAAGGAGGAGACATCGTAGACGAGGATGGCGCCCGCGGCACCGCGGTAGTAGGAGCGGGAGACGGATCGGAAGCGCTCGGTGCCGGCGGTATCCCAGAGCTGGAGCTTGATACGCCTGCGGCGCGAGCCCGTGCCGAGCTTGACGATGCGGGAGGAGAATTCGACGCCGATGGTCTGCGAGGAGAGTACTCGCCCTGTTGGGGGGATCAGGCAGGAAGTCAACAAGAGATATCTCACGAGCGAGGAAGAGCGCGGCTTAAAGGGTGGTCGTACATTCATTCATCACGAAACGGTGTAGCACGCAGGACCTGATTGACGTTGCGGCCAACGATTAGCACATGCCCGACCTCCCTTCTGCCATCTTGGTCAGACCCTGTTCCGGGGAGATTGTGTCACTTACTTCCCAGCACCACTGGGGCCGAGCAGGATCACCTTGGCGAGGTAATCATACATGCTCCCCAGTTCCTAGCCAGAGAAACTGAATTAAACGCGGGCGCCGTGAGGGGGTGGGGGGGGGGGGGGGGGGGGGTGTTTGGGGGGGGGGTGCTTGCCCAGGGGCATGGGAGGAGGATGCGGCATACCTGATCCTGGTCGGGAACAGAGGAGACGGAGGAGGAGTTGGAGAGACCCCTCGGGCGCACCATGGCGCTGGACTGGATAAGAAGGAATAGCCGGTGGTGGTTGAACGGAAGGAGGTTTGAGGGTTCCCCAATTTCCCATTGGGGAAGTTCATTTGGCCGGTTGGGTGCCCGAAAGTGAAGGCGCCGACCGAGGATCAGCCGGCGTTCGCATGTGGAACTACGCGATCAGACTATCATCGATAGTGTCGAGAGTGTCGAGAGTGTCGAGAGTGTCGAGAGTGTCTACTCCGTATAGCAGCTAGAATACTCGGGAGTCTCCCTGCCATCTTCCAACTCAAGATTTCTGACCCTCACCCAGATGAAATCTGGAATGTGTCACTGCTTCTGCTGCTCCCCGCCGTCCCAAAAGTCGGTCAACAATGCGACCAGGGGTCCGCCATGCGCCGCCCGCAGCAAGTCCTCGTTCCCCACCACTTACTAAGCCCTTCAGCCGATTAAAGGGGTGGACATCCAGCTCAGCCTCGTCTGGATCCACTTAAGGGTGGCTGATGCTTCATTGGAGCCAACAAAGAACGGAACGTGGCTTGGGGCGAATGTGCCTGTGTGCCCGAATCGAGGCAAAGAAGGAATACTCTGACGTCTCAGGGAGAGATGATGGCGACTGCCAGGGCCGTGGATGCTGATGATAGGGTGTATCTAGATCCATTGGCCGTTTGGGGACCATAATGATTCGCGATCATTATTCATGACCAAATCCGAACAGGAGACGAACAGTCGTGCAAGGGTCTTGAAATGCCGTCATTGCCAGGTCGGTGCCGATCCCGATCAGTCTGGGGACCAGTTGGACTCTTGTACGGAGTAAAGACAGAGATCTTGTTACAGAGGGTCTCCGTACATACACTGTAGTTGCAGAGTGGCATTACCTAATCATCTGCGCCTTGGGAAGTGCAGAGACCTGCCAGGGCCCACGTGGTGCCGCATTAAATACATCATCGGAAGAAAATGGTGGCGGAGCCCACGTCGGAGCCTGTTTGTCACGCTTCTCTCTCGTATTTCGCACGGTTGGGGGGCGGTGCTTGCCGCTCCGCTCCAACTGGGCCTGGGCGCGGCGGGTTCAGTGGAGTTTAGTCTCCCTTTTAAGCCGCAGGACCCTGACTGTTCTTTTTTTGCTTCTGGTCCCTGCACCTTCCCTCTTCTCTTTCCTCTCCGCTCGACATCTGATTCTCCAATTCCCGCGCAGACCAAAAGTACCTGCCATCTTCCCGAGATCCGAGATCTGACCTCATCATGAAGTGGACCTGGGCGACGGCTCTCCTGCTGCTGGGCTCCACCGGAGTGATCTCCCTGTCCATTCCTCAGACCGGCCTCATCGAGCGCGACACAGATGCCGCTCCGGTCGATACGGACATGGTGGATCTCGAAAAGCGGCGCGGCGGTGGCGGACGGGCTGGATCAAGCAGCAGTGGAAGCAGCAGTGGAAGCAGCAGTGGAAGCAGCAGCGGAAGCAGCAGCGGAGGAAGCAGTGGCGGCCGCAGTGGAAGCAGCTCAAGCGGTTCCAGCAGCAGTGGCTCCTCCAGTGGTTCCAGCAACCGAGGCGGTTCTTCTAGCGGAGGCTCTGGGGTATCCCCATCCTATGGCGGCGGCAGGTATGATTCCGGCTTTTCTTCCCATTGCACCCCCTTCTGGCTTTCCCGGCCGTAACATCAGGGGAGCATCATCCTGGCCAGGAATGTGGACGGGGCAGTTCTACGAATACGATGACAGATGCTAACATATTCGGCCCCACCAGTTACTATGCCGGCGGCGCCAGGACCCCCTACTCGGCCGGCGCGCGGTCCTCGTCGGGCATCACGCCGTTCTTGCTACCCGTCGCAGCGCTGGCGTTCTTCCCCGGCATCTGGCTCGCAGGGGCCTACTCCTACCCTTATCACCACCCGTACTACTACCAGGATGAGAACACTCACAAGAACGAGTCGCTGCCCGTAACGTGCCTGTGCGAGAAAGACCAGGAGTGCGGTTGTGACGATAACAACAACAGTACCTACTACGAGTCCCTGTTTAACGGCACGCAACCGCGCAATACCTCCGCTGTGCGCGTGGTCAATGTGAACGGAACCGAGGGGATCTATATTAATGGCACCCTGGCCAACGGCACCACCGCCGCCGATGGCTCCTCCTCGAGCACCACCTCGCGGGCCTCGGGCCCCTTAGTGACCTTGGTGCATGCCAGCGGATACTGGGTGACGGTGGCAGTGGTTGCTGCGGCTGTGTGGTCCGTCTAGAAGTCGGGCCAGCAATGACGGACGACGACAGCTTTGTATGATTGTATTTTTTATGACCCAGCGAGCTTTGTTTTTTTTCACTTTGCTCCTTTTCTGCTTGCTCTGCTCGCTCTGCTCTTGGGCTCCAGCTGGTTGCTTGCCAAGCTTTGCGTATCTGACGAGCGTTTGGGATAGACGACGGTCGATGACTGGGATGGCTTTTGTGTTTTGTATGCTCCCCTGCCTGGGGATGCTCTAATATCCTTCGTGAAAACCCCTGTACCATAGCTGTTCATGGGAGCAATCTGCCCCATGACTTTATCTTGAAGTCTCCATAAATTTAATGAACGATCAACGCCCGCCATGGTTCCAGCGCCCGAGTGGAGCCTCGCATTCCGCCGGTCGCTGCGCGGGTTACGTCTACAGCGTCGCGCGCTAGCCCTAAACAAGCCAAGCGGCCCCTCAAAGTTGGGCCGTCATTTCCTCTGTCCCTTTCCCTTTCGCACGCCCTCACCGTCTTCCCTTCTTCAACCTCTCCTGTCTTTTTCTGAAGCAGTGTCATTCTTTTGATCCCCACTCCTTCTCCTCCAGGCACGGGCTGTCGCATTCTTTTCTCCCAGCTCCATACACTCTCTTTACCGGATCACCCACCCACCTCGACTCCCAATATCAACACACGTAAACAACGGAGTTACTCAACCCATCAACCCACCCACAAATCCAGTCCAATCCACAATGCAGTTCACCAAGGCTCTCCTTCTCCTGGCCTCGGCCCTGGCCCCTCTCGCGCTCGCCACGGCGCCCACCGTGACCCGTACCCTGACTCTGGTGCCATCTGGCTACACGGCTCCCACGTCGACCCCGACCCCAACACCTACCTCCACCGTGACGCCCACGCCGACTGTCACGCCCACCAGCACTCCCCTCTCCTCGAGCGCCTCCTTCAGCCGCGCCCCCAGCTCGACTCCGCTGGTCAAGAGCACCTCGACCGCCGTCGAGGTCACTACTGAGACTGCTGCTGCTCCCGCGTCGAGCTCTGCGCCTGCCACCGGTGCTGCGGCGCGCCAGCTGCCTGGCGCGGTTGCGGCCGGTGTGGTTGCGGTTGCCGGTCTGCTACTTGTTTAGGAGGCGGCAGCGCTACGTTTTAGTGTGCGCTTACAGCACGCGCCGGGATCGGATCTTGAGGATCCGCAGCGCAGCTTGGCCTAGTCGCTGGCTAGCGCGCACAGAGAACACTGTCGTGGATGACGGACGCCAACATCCTATTGTTCAATGCCCCATGTCCTGGGAAGTCTTTGGGTTGAACACCCAACCGTTTTTCTATTTTCTTATTTTCTATTCTCCATTCTTCCTACATATTCTTCCGATGCACCTTTTTTCCCACTTCCTCCTTTTCCCCCACATTCTCAACGATCACGGTTATTGTGATGATTCCACCGACTTCTTGATGCCTATACCCTTTTACTTTTGACCCATATTTTCTTGCCTTTCCTAACGGCCCTCTTCACGTCTTCCAAGAATCTTTGTTTTCTATCTTCTATTTTTACCTTCTTCTTGTGTCCTATGACCGCTTGGATTGACGATCTTGGAAACTTCATAACTTGAAATCCCTTTTTTTTTTTTCTCACGGCGAGATGCACGCGTCTTTACCTGCCCTTGAGCTTCATCCAGGTTTTGTCGTTTGGTATTCGTATTTTGTGCTGCGTGTAGGATGTTGTCTACTGTAGATGTGTACTTTGTATCTCGCAATTCTATCCTGGTCATAACTCAACCCTCACATGTATGGGTCCTCCTCTCGAGTCATGGTTCAAACAATGCCCGCCAACCCATTGAAGGAAGTTGTCAAGGTAGAACCAGGACCACGCTTGAAGATCCCCTTCCGCAAGCAATCCCATATTACGAGACGGTATGAGGCCCGTGTCTCCTGCACGGCTGGCAGGCGCTTCTCGGGAGCTGAGCGGATCGAAGTTACGGACGTGACGCGGAGGTGATGTACCCCAGCAGCCTGCAGATGCAGACATTCCCAAGCGATGGAGTTGTCCACTAGCTCTACTCCGTATATACAATACACAATATCAAGCTCCGAGGGCTGAACCCGGAACGAATAGTGCATTGGCAAGGCAGGCGCGTCTCAGTTGAAAATCATTGGTGTGAATATTAGTAGAACCTAAATGGAAATTTTTTCTTTCGTGTTACCACACGGACTGCACGGCGTAGAGAAGGAGAAAAAGAACCTGGAAGAAAGGGAGAATGTAGGAATGAAGAAAAGAAACTATAGCATTCATGGCCATGGCCACGCCCACGCCCGCGCCCACGCTCATGCTGATGCTCGCTATTCCATTCCAGTCCAGTGCTCATCCTCGCGATCAGTGGTTTCGTGGGTCAGCAGATCAAGTCCATTCGTGATGCCATTGCTCATCACCGATAGCATCGCTCAGGTCATCAAAGTCGTATTTTCATCGAGTAAGAAACCATGCACCAGCACCAGCACCAGCGCCAGCCCTATGCATCATGCACCACACATCTAGTGGTGCCTCTCGCGCATCTGCACAAGAGTCGTCCATCCCTGACAGCAGGACCTCGTCATACTATGACCACACCAACAGCACTGCAGAGGGGCCACCTGAGCCAGAGCAGGCTCTCCAGACTGGGCACCACCCTTGGCAATCTGCATATGAGCCGAGGAACCCTGCTTCCCTCTGGACAAGCGCCGCACCGCCTGGTCCGCAGAAATTCCCCCAAAGACAGACTTTCGAAGCGAAGTGCGGCGGCCGAGTGAGCTCCGACGCGGAAACGTGCGGACGAGACGGGACTCGGATGGGAGACGCTCGGAACAGGCGAGTGTGGCGTACAGTTCGGACGGGAGGTCGTGCCAGAACCGGCAGTGGCAGCAGATGACGAATAATTTGGCGACGAGCTGGTCTTGCTGGGGCTGCGTTACCTCCTGGACCGGAGTCCGCCGCATCATTGCTATCACGCCGTCTCGGGCGACAGGTGGGTTGCCATACAGGCTAGGCGGGGTGATTTGGATTTCTCTCGTCGGGGGAGGAGAGTATTGCGTAGGCGGAGATGGGCGGGTGGGCTCACGAGGGGGCATGGTGTGAGAATGTCCCTTTCGATCCGCTGGGTGGTTGGGTGTGTCGAGGACTTCTTCGTCGGCGGTGTCATAGCTGGAAGCACCAGACGAGGAGCGACTGTGGCCTCGGCCGTTCAACACATTGGGTGAGGAGATACTCCCCGGCATTTCAGTGGCCAAATGATGAGCCCAGGGCACGAGTTCCTGCGAGCGCGTGGCGGGTGCCTTTGTCGTCAGGATAGTTGGAATCTGTTGGCTCTCATTGCCTGTTCGGCCATAAGGAGAGTTCTCCGAGAGTGCGGATTGCCGGCCTGGATGTTTCTGTGGGGGAATTACAGTCGAAGGAGGCCGGACGTCTGCTGTTATTGGCTGTGGTTTGTCAAAGGCCATGGGTCTGGGATTCCACCGTTGCTGGTGAGGTTTGACATTGCCAGCCGGGATATCTATCGGGCCCTTGAGCGACTGTCGGTGGTCATCGCGAGTGTTCTCCTTAGCCTGGGTCTGAACCATCTCTGATGGTAAAGTAGATGGATGCTGTCGATTCCGTCCCCGGGGCTCGTCATAGTTGTTTACCCGAAGGGGCTGCGGCACAAGCTCATAGTTATAGCGCGGTGGCGTTGGGGCCGCGGGCGTCTTGCCCTCTTTCTTCCAGTCAATGTCGTTGGTTGTAAAAGAATTCAGTGACAAAGGAGAAGACTTGTATCCCTTTTGATGCACGTGTAGACTGGGATCACCACGGCGTTTCTTGGGTACGGCGCCGATCGAGTTCCCAGGCACAGAAGCAGAGAGGGGAAGCACTTTCACGTTGGATGGACTCTGTGCGCTCTCCGGGTGTGCATGTGCAAGGTCATTCAGTTGGCGAGCGGTGGCCACTCGGGTAGAAGAAGGCTCAGCAGACTGCGGATGGCTCTGGCTTTGTGGAGACTTTCGCATAAGCCGCGGTATTGAAAGGTCTGCTGCGGTGCCCTGTGGAGTCCTAGAAACCGGAGGCTGGGCTGTCTCCGAGACCTTTCTTTCGTGTCTAAGACTCGCAGTGAACCTCTCGCGGTCGAGGTCCCCAGGAGGAGGATGGGTCGGTGGCGTGTACGGGTGAGGGTTGTCTCTCCCCCGGAAGGTATCAGCGACTGGATGAGCACCAGCCGCCGCACCCAGGTCCTCCTGGTAGCTGGTCAGATTATCGCCCGATTCCCAGCCACCGTTCTGTTTCTGCCACGCCTCCGCCATCTTCCAATTCTCTCGAAGATCGTCCGACTTGGCTGGGGTATGGTGCAATGGGCGAGGGGAGTGTTGCAGCTGGTGAGTCGGGATGAGCGTTGTTCCATGTCGAGTTGCCAGCTCTCGAGATACCGCAGTGCCAAATCGCTCCGGTAACAATAGCGGTAGAGTAGGGGGGCTTCCTTCAGCCTGATAGCCACTATCAGAAGAGCGGCGCCGGTCGTTGCCACTCGCAGAGCTGGCTCGCGATTGGGATGACCGTCGGGATCCCGAGAAGAAAGCTGTGAAAGACCTCGCTGACCGAGGTCTGTCGGAATTGGCACTGGAAGATCGCTGGGAGCCGTCCAGGGGCTGCTTCTTCGTCAAGCGCCGAGAGTTTCTCTCATGAATGCCACTTTCCAGTCTGGCCTGGGACTTTTCCAGCTGAATCAGACGCTTCTCCAGGTCTTTTCTCTCCGTTTCCAGTCGTTTGGTGGCTCGCCTCTCTTGGTGGACGGTGTCCTTCCAGGTGGGCGAGGAGCAGATGGTATTGTCCTCATCCTTGAGCTTCTTCTTCGCTTCCGGCGTCGCTGGGTGCTGGAGTGCTGTCTCTTCGTCCTTGGAGCGTACTGGTCGAACCGAGGGGCTCGAGCCGGGTGTACTTGTCGAAGGCAGACGAGAGGTTTGTGACGAGTATGTGCGCGAGCTACGCACCGTTTCATCCTGCAGCGAGAAGCCTGCTGAAGTGTCGTGGGCGTTGGCTGCCTCGGCCTGGGGAAGCGTCCCGTCTCGAGTCTGAGGCTGTACCTGCGACTGACTGCCCTGCTGCTGCGCGGTATTGTAGCCTGATGTGAAGCGCTGGTGTTTCTTTGACCCCGTTAGTCCAGAGATGGTTATACTGGTGGGTACACTACGTACCTTGTCGGACCGATCGCCGTGGAGCGCACGCTGGATGCGCTCGGAGATGGAGGATCGACGTCGCCTGCAGGGCTGACGAGAATCGTCTGCCATGGTGCTTCCACTCTTCCAATTCCCAGAACACGCGGAGGCATCGGCGGGCGCGTGAAGTGCACCAAGCTTTGGGGAGTGCCCGGCGACCGTGAGCAGTACCGCGGTGAGTGCAGCGGTACAAGAGCAACCCCTGGTGAGATCCGTGGAGCCCAACGGAGGCCCAGCAGGGCGAAGGTTGGAGGTTGAACAGCAGTCGGAATCGAAGAGCAAAATTCCAAACTCGCCACTGGGTGTGTTGCATCGGCTGTTGGAATTGACTGCAGCCCGGGCCCATCTGAGACCTGCAGCCCGACTATTCTTAGCCTGCCGGTCTTTCCCCTTTTCTCATTTCTTTGTGACTGCTCCGAAACAGATGCGAGCGTGGGAACCGCGGCGACAGCCTTTATACTTGGGTTGGAATCATGGGAGATGCTCGCGATCCCTTAGGGCCAGCCCCCGGCGCGCCTGTCAGCGCTGACTGGATTGCAAATGCACTGCGGCCGTGCATCTCGCACCGTCAAGTCTCGAAGTTAACTGCAACCACGCACAACAGCCCCCGTGAACGACTAAACCCAAATACCACGGAGCCAACATCGACTACTCCATTCTGGTGGACGACACCCACGGCTCGTACCCGCACAGTCCCCGCTTGGCACCAGATGGAGACACGACAACCTTATCCAAGCCCAGCTGGATTCCCCATCCGCATAGCACCATCACCTGGACACCGTTCAGCCTTCAGCCCCCCGGCGGATTTGAGCCACTGATACGACAGAGCAGCCACAACTCGTTCGGGCACGAACAACCAAGGCCATGGCCAACCGTAGAATCCCAGAGGCACCACCAAGCTACGACGATTCCCAAGCAGCATCATCGGGGATATCAAGCTCGCGCGGAATACCCCAGAATCAGCCGCAACAGGACCTGGCCCAGCCGCCGCCTCAGCGTCGAGATCAATACCCGCCGGGCGACCCCCCGCCATATCACAACTGGCAGGAAGCCGTCCCCGACACATCAGTCTTCCCACCACCGCCCATCTCTGGGCACTTCAGCTCCGGCACAGGCAACGCCTCCAGCGACGACGCCCAGCGCGCCCATGACTTCTGCGACTCCACGCCGCTCTGGGTACCCGTGATGCCGTCATCCACCGTCTACACCGCCGTGGCAACCCACGACCTACGGCCCGTCCAGCAGCGCGAATTCGCCGGCGAGCTTGGTTCCACGGCGACTGGCCGCTGGCTCGGCCGCACCGTCGACCGCAACGGCGATTGCTGCGTGCTCACGCATCTCCCGCTATATTTTGCCGCGCGGGACTCGCCTTTCGTCACGGAGAAGCGCAAAACGATCTACTTTGAGGTGACGCTGCGCGGGCTACGCGCCGGGCCGGGCGGCGATGCCAGCGGGCTGGCGCTGGGCTTTGCCGCACAGCCCTATCCGGCGTGGCGCTCGCCCGGGTGGGAGCGAGGGAGTCTGGGGGTGTTTTCGGACGATGGGTGTCGGTTTGTGAATGACTCGTGGGGCGGGCGCGACTTCACCGCGCCGTTTGGGGTTGGCGAGACCGTGGGGATTGGGATGACGATGGCGCCGTCGGAGGATCCGTTGGCGCTGGCGGATGCCATGTTTGGCGCCAAGCAGACGTGCAAGGTGGATGTGTTTTTCACCCGGGATGGGGCCCTGGCGGGTGGTTGGGACTTGCATGAGGAGATGGATGAGGAGTCTGGTGGGGTGGGCGGGCTGGAGGGGGATTTTGATTTGTATGGGGCTATTGGGCTGTTTGGGGGCGTGGACTTTGAGGTTTGCTTCGATCCGGCGGGTTGGCGATGGCGGCCTGCTGAGTAGATGGGGGGCATGATATGCGCAGTTTAGCTTGGCCCTTGGCATCTGGCGTCTGGCGTTTAGCGTTTAACTGGCTGGTCTTGGGATTGCATTGGATTGCTCGAATGCCAAGTCTGGGTGATGAGCCCTTTTTTTTTTGGCTTGGATGGGGGATTTGCATAGGGCTGAGATTGGGTTGGTGACAGGTCAATTGGCGCCGGGGGGGAGGAGATTATTCTTAATTTAGCTTGTCCGGAACAGCGCCAGGCAAAAGAGGAAAACTAGCACAGCCAGGCAGGAAATGCACGTCTTCTTTGCTGAGCCCATGTGCCTGCTTTCCCGTTCCAGCCTCGTGAGATCGGAGATCTCGATTGTCTACAGGCCACGATCACGATCACAAATCACGATCGCGAATAGAACCCCCGGCTCGACATAGCGGCCATGTTCGTACGATATTCAGCCCCGGCATATTAGAGCCCTTGACCATCACCCATCATCGGAATCTGGCCGTTCGCCGGGGCCATACTCATATAACTCGATATATATAATGCAGAGCACAGCACGTATAGACACCCTGCAGACTCGCGGGAGAACGAACCCGTCTGCGCTGCGCTGCACGATACGATGCAGGCTTACCAAGCCCTCTGCCCAGCCCTGCACTCTATCGTACATCTCCACATACGGACTAAACATCCCCTGCACGCCCAAGTTCCGAGTTCTAGAAAGGCATATCGCCCACGCACCACCCACCATCACCATGCAGTACTCTTTCGCTCACACGCATTAGCGGCTCGGGGGGACGCAGGTCATGCATCCGCAGGACCGCAGCTGCAGCACGGTTGTATCGCCGTCCACGCCGAGGACCGGCCGAGACGGCGCGACCAGGGGCAATGCAGTCGGCGCCCTGCCGCTCCATGGCGCGTCCCCGGGGCTGGAGGGCGTTTCCGGGGCCAGGGCCAGACCCGAGGTCCAAATTCCCCGTCGGTCAAGGTGCAGGAAGGGCAGGAAGGGCATGAACGGGGCAGCGCAATGGGGACATGTTATCTGACGTCACAGGGATTCTTTGGTCGAGATCGTCGGCCGGACCGTTTGGGTGCATTGCATGTCTCTGTGTATGGACATGGACATGGACATGGACGGATCGGCAACTGTCTTTCCCTCGACACGAGGGAAAGATCCGAAGGGAAGGCAGTGCGGGGACGTACAGGGACAGGCACGGGCTCCAGGTACGAAAGACAAAAGCCAAGACCGGGAATAGCGTGTCATAGTTCATAGTGATGGGTTGGGCGACGAGGGGAGACCCTGAAACTGTCTGCCGGATCGCATGCAATGCAGTGTGACTAGGAGCATTGTGATTGGATCGAATGGAAGTTACTGGACTTGGACGAGGGATGTCACGATGGAGGGTCTCTTCTCATTGAGTGTCATCTTATCTGCGTTCTGCATTCCGCGTTCTCGTTCTAGTTCTCCGTTTTGCTTTTTCTGCATCTGGTTCACCTGCAGCCAGGAACCCGGGCGAGTGGACGGGGCTAACTCAAACCGCATGCTGCTGGTGGACGAACTCAGCAATGGAGGAAGGGGCCTGAGCCATGCAGCGCGGGAGAAAAGGGCAATGTCACTTGCGACGCTTGATTTGTGTCGGCCGGGGTCTGGTGTCCTGGTGTCCTGGTGTCCTGGTCTCCTGGTACGCGCATCGACCACGAACCGGGAGCAGATGCATGTCATGGCGCGACGACCACCGGCCGTGCAGGATGCGTGATTATCCGAGGCGGATGAGACCGAGGAGTGATTGCTTCTGGCGGAGGCTATGGTGGTCTCACATATACCGAGTCTAGACGCGTTCGATGGATGTTTGGGGGGGTTGTGGTATGTTGTGGGCGCGGTATACCTCCGGATGATACGATCAAGCATTGTTTGACGGTCTCGATCATGGATCATTGGGACTTGATATCAATGTTGCAAAGGACCCGAGGGTGGGGCCTTGCGAACCGCGAGCTTGACTGGGCCTGCGCTGCTGTGCCAGGACCACATTGGATACGAATTGGAGGATTGAATGATTGGATTCGTGGATTATGGAATGACACAGTTCGTTCATGATGGTCTATTTTCAGGTTCGATTCTAGGTCCTCGTCCCCAAGCAGCTCCTGATGGCATATCTCCTGTGTTCTCGGTGTTCTCTTCGAGGTTGGCTCTCCCCCTGGAGCCAACTGCTTCAGTGGCCGTGGATCATCGTCCCCGACGGGGCATCCGTCACAGACACGAGCCCTAATCTCGCGCACACGGAACAGCCTCAGGCAACTTCGCCTGAAGAACCCAGAATCTCGAAATTGCCCAAATCCCGACCTCGCGACATCCATACACCGGGGTATCTGGATTACCGGGGCCCGGCCCAAAAAGACCAGACCAGGCCAACCGGTGGGGGGCCGGAGGGGGGGTGATTCACCCGTCCATTTGCGGGTTGCAGCAGGACGCCCAGTTAGGCTGGCTTGCTGCAGCTAGGGAATGGGGAACCCAGGAAAGGCCGGCAGGACCAGGGGTTGACGAGCATTAGTGCAGTTAGCTTAGTGTTAGCGTTCGTGGGAGTGCCGCTCGTGTGAATGCCCGTTCGGCGTCGCAGTCATTGTATTGTACGCGGCGCGCTGCTCTTGTCTGGACAGTCTGGACATGTCTGGACATGTCTGGACATGTCCCCAATTGACGGCCCCAGCACGGAGGCCCTCCTGAGCCTCCAGAGAACGGTCCGGGGGGGGAGGAGGAGGAGGAGGAGGAGGAGGAGGAGGAGAGGAAGATCTTACTGTACTTTGTGCGGCGTGCTCCGTGCACAGGACAGTGCGCAGATGGGGCCCCTGCCGTGCAAGGTGGAGGCTGGCCGTTGCCACCAGATCGCGCGCTACGTGTGAATCCCGTCGATAATGGTGGAAATTGGAATTGGATGTGGTGGGTCGCGGTTTGACCACGTCGGCCGGTGGAGTTGTGACGGACGGGCTGAGGGGGAAGGATGGAGTCGACCGTCGCGTGTGCGATTGATGTTGCTGTTGCTGTTGGAGGAAGGATTGAAGGAGCGCATGGGGGCGCTACGTGGTTCAAAATATCGGGGCTCCCCCACTGTAGCGCCGTCGAGAGCCCCACGGGCCAGGAGCAGAGTGATGTGATCCAGTTAGCCAGTTAGCCAGGGTGACTAGCGAGTAGGCGGGGTCAAGCGGAAAGGATAAACGGGTAAGATGGGCCTGTTTAGACCCAACCCGTCCAAAAAGGGAAGCAGCAGAGGGGGTTGAACTCCAACCTCTCCAGTTAACTCCGTCACCAAGTCGACCCGCTCACTAATCGGCTTGTCTGCGCCAAAATCCAAATTGGTACGAGACAGAAACGCCGACGGATCGACCCTCGGACAACGGAGTACTGCCCCTCCTCTTTCCTCCTCGGCTGCATGTCATCGTAGCCCCGTCTGTCAGAACTGGGCTAGTGTAGTGGCTGTCCAGCAGTTCTGGGGGACGGCTGAAAGTTCCGAGCATCCATCCGGACAGGCGCAGAGCACTCGCAACGGTGCATGGGGGCGGCGTAAATCGGGGGGGGGGGGGGGGGGGGCGCCAGCTGATAGCAAGTACTCCATACTCCTTTTCAACCATATTGTGATCCTGGAGCCGACTTTCTGCAGACCAGAAAAAGAAACGACTGGATCCGGGAGCGACCGGGATTTGGGTGGACTCGGAGCTAAGTTGAGTCTGGGCACGTCCGTGCAGCCGGGCGAAAGAGGAGTGGAGGAGCAGCGATACGCGTCTGTTTCACCCCGTCGCGACGAATCGGCCTTCAGCCCCAGCTGGACGAGCCCTCACAAGATGATATAATAGACAGATCCATACATAGATCCATATATTTATGTATGGATCGGTCTATTATATCATCTCTTTACATCTATATAATCTCTATAATCTCTATAATCTCTATATTTCTATATCTCTATATCTCTATATCTCTATATCTCTATATCTCCCTCTATATAGATCCGTATCAACAAAGACCTCTCGTGGTGGCCGTCCCATGGGTGTCGCGAGCCAGCAGGAAGGGTGGTACCCCGCCTCGGCGTCACGCCGAGGCGCATGAGCATCCGCGTGGAGGAGATCGTTTGATACCATCCTGGATGGTATGTCATCGGTATGAAGGGACTCGTCCACTTTGTACGTAGACCGAAGTCATACTAAGTTCGTCGGGGAGTCGCCACTGGAGAAACGGCCTGTGCTGGCCGTGGATGGGCGAACCATCTGCTCGACCAGAACCGAAGTACTAGGTTACGTGGACAGGCGACCCCTTGGCGCGTGTCCCGCTGCAGGTCTGATCTCGGGACGGTAGATAGGATCCGAATCGTTGTACAGCATGATCACCATCCTCCGGAGCCGAGGTGCGAGATACGACGTCAAGTCTCCGAGTATCAGATCTGGAGAGGGGAATAGACGAAGAGAGAAAGCTCGTCCGGTGAACAGAGAATATACTTTTGCACGATCAAGCCCGAGTGCATGGATAATGAGCGGTTCTCCCCTTTCGGCCGGCTGCAGCTGCATGCGCCGCTAAGGCTGGTCTTCCTCAGCACGAGCTCCCTTGCTCGATTAGACGCCAAAGCGATACTGGCGCGCCTGCGAGTCAGAGCCCGGTTACCAAAACGGAAAGAGTCGCCAATCGGGCCCGGGCCCTGGCCCCGGGGTTTCTTGATCCTTTGATGAGGTCCGGCGATAGGGGGGCCGACAAGGGAGTCGAGTTGCCCTTATCTAACGGGCCGCTCGAGGGAGTCAGCAAAGGTGGTCCCAGGGTCAGCCGCCTCGTCTGACGACCCTTGGAGGGACGGAGTCCGTCCCCCCGTCCTCCCTCCTACGCGCCACCCCGCTGGGTCGCCTAAACCCTGTTGGGGCGCGGCGGCATCGACCGCAGGCGATTCGAGTCGCTCCCCCCCGTCTGATACTTTTTCCAAAGTTCGATTTCGCACTCTTCGCAAACGGGACGCCCGTATTTTCTACCGCTTGCTCGTACTTTTTCCTTACGATCGGACTGGACCATTCTCCGTCCCAGGATTCACTAACGAACAGAGTACTCCTCCCTCCGCTCCGTGTTGGTTTCGGGCGCACTCGCGCCCCACCTAAGCTATTCGCACCCACGAGCAACCCAGCGCGTTAGCTGGTCCTCGGCTGAGCTTGAGCTCCTCGCGCTGGAGCTGGAGGAGCTGGAGGAGCTGGAGAGTTGTGCGGCGATCACCGCTAGGATTTCCCGCTTTCCCCTCCAGTGGGTTCGTGGGCTTCCGAAGCGGTTGTTGACTCGTGGTTGCCTGCCGGTTACATGCCCCGGTTGCGCCAGGTCGAGTCTACTGCGCGCGAGTGGGGGTCCCGGCCCTTCTGCCATTGTCGCTCCAAAACGACGCTTAAATTAAGGAATCCATCTTGTGCCACCAGGCGCTGCGAATCACGGTCGATCTTATGCAGCCCCAGAGGCGGTTAGAAAACACGGTGGATGCACCTTTCTTGGCTCCCCGCCCTTTCCACCAGTGGTGGAGGTCCGGAGTCGCGAGACCAGAGAAGAGGGCAATCAAAATCAATGAAATTAACAGAAAAAAAGGTACGGGAGGAGGATCATGAACGCGCTAACGGGGCGAGTCCACCGCGGCGCTAGTTGATGAGGTGATTCGCAGTGGTTGGCTTCTTGAGCCGATTCTTCCACAAATCAGGCCAGGCCCGGTTCGATAACGCGTCTCGAGCGGACCGTTGAAGCAGGACGCATCGGATTGCACGATTATGGAGTGATTCGGGGCCGTGGCAGGGGGGTCGCTATAGTGTCGGTTGGCGGATATGTACAGTATTTCGTATCTCTGATCGCTGCCAGACTTCGTGGTCATCGTGCTTCCTGCACCCGCCTCGACCGAGTTAGTCCAGATGCTCTGATAATATGACGGTCCAGTCACAGAGCATGCGTGCGTGCAGCCGGGATCCCCCCATCAATAATCATGTCGATCTGAGTCCGGCTAACCGACCGTGCAGCAGAAGGTTTCCCGGCCTGGGACTGGGCACCAATGGGCCCCACGGGCGCAACTCCATCCGAGATGCAACTCCTTTCGCACGGGGGCAGGAGGCTGGAAAGGGAATCTTGCGTGCATGATCGGAGATGGTCTTTTTTGGCATTCTGTCTTGCAGGGTTTTCATTTCTTTGATTGCTATTGTTCTCGGCCCTTCTTTGGTTTCCATTTTCATTTTCATTTTCATTTTCATTTTCATTTTTTTTATTTTATTTTATTTTTTATTTTTTTTTAAAAATTTATTTAATGTGATAACTGAGTATCTCAAATTGATCTCGTTCACGGTCTATCGGCCGCCTCGGCTGCATGCCACTGGAGAGGCTAAAGCGACCCTCGTCGATCGCGGCGTACCTGCGACAGAACAGTGCCAGAGAGCCAATGAGTTGCGGGAGGGTTCCATGCCGAGCGGCGTCCGTCGAAGCAAGGGAACAGAACCTGAACGAAATATAAATAGACGCGGAAATATAGTTCATGACATCTCGTCATTCGGGGGCTGAATGGGGGGGGGGGAGGGAGACGCGTCCAGAGGCAAGTGTCAAATGCAAAGTCAAAATCGGGACCATGATCCGAGTTAAGACGCTGTCATGGGAAAGGCAATGGTTCGTGTTGAAGGCGCTTAGTCCGTTCGCCCTGGAGAATGCGGAGGCAACGGCGCAGCTGACACCTGGTCGCGCATCCATGGTTATGGCTCGCAGGCGAAACTCTTTTTGGTGCCATGAGCAGGTAACTATATACAGTCGTCCTCCGGAGTATAGGAATGGTATGATGGACGGAGCCCCCCCCCACGTCGGAATGCGCATCGTTATCACCCCATCTGGTCACGATCGGGCATTTCGTGCAGGACTCGGTGAGTGATCAGACTCCCGCTAGAAATGGGCGCATGATGCGAAGGCAAACAAACAGAAGACCAGGCAGGCACTCGCAAGAGGTAGCCTCTCGAAGGCGGGTTTCAGGACCGAGTCGTTTATTTCCAGGATTATCTGACGGCGTAATACGTACCTTACTCGGACTCGGATCCCCACTCCATGTCACTGCGCTGCATGGGCCGCCGCCAATCCCTCTCCACCCTCGCCTCCATCTAGATCCAGGGTCTCTGACGCACGAGGCACAACTACACCTGCAGCACACTCAAAACGACAACGGGGACTGGGGCTTTTTTTTTTTTTAGCTCGGGATTTTGCTTTTTACATTTTTAATGGTTTTTATGGATTGAATATTTCTATGGTTCAATTGTTCGCGAGCGTTAGTATCAGCTCGTAGGCGTGTGCCTACAAATTACTCGCCTTCCACGCCTTCTGCTTTGGTTTCTAACTCCTATTCCGTCTTCCCCTCTTCCCCTTCTCCCTCTCTCTCTCCTCTCTCTCTCTCTCTCTCTCTCTCTCTCTCTCTCTCCCCCTCTTCCTCTCGTGGGCTGGTTGAGGAAGCTGTGTCTTCCCCGACATTCGTTTTGCTTCCTCGCCCTTTTTCCTACCAGCCCATCGCTCTTCCTCCCTCCCCTTCCCCGCCGCCAAATAGTGCATCCCCCTGTGGTGTTCTGGAAAATTGACCTGGACGGTTCCCGGTAAGCCAACAATTGCGAGTGGACCGGGGCGTCGTCGCGGCTAATGAGGTGGTTTCGGTGAAATCTAGTTGAATCATTGCCAGAGGAGGACACCCCGCCCCCGCCCCACCAAAAAGAAAATCGCGTGTCTTTGGGGGTGGAATCACAAGGGTCAATTAACGGGAAAGAGGCACCTTGCTCGATCGGAGACGCCATGGCATTTCCCTTCGTGCGGGCCTTCGTCGCGCTATTGTTAGTCAGACTGCTCCCGAGACCGGCATTGTGAGCTAACATCGGCAATAGTTGCTATCGCTACTTCCGCCTCGTAGTCAACCTGATCTCATTCTGGTCATTCAAGCCGATCCCCCCACCAGAGACGCCCAAACTCACCTCCCAGGATGTCACGGTGATCATCCCCACGCTGGAGGGCTGTGGCGAGGAATTGGTCGAGACGATCCGGTCCATTCTGGAAAACCAACCCTATGAAGTCCTCCTGGTGACCATCGAGGCCAATCGCAAGCGCGCCGAGAAGATGCTGAGTGCGATGCCCGCCTCGCATTCGCGCATCCGCTTGTTCACCGTCACCCACCCTAACAAGCGGCGCCAGATGACGCGCGCCATCCCGGAGGTGCGCACCGCCATCACGCTCTTGGCCGACGACGACGTGAGCTGGCCGACGACGGTGCTGCCGTGGATTCTGGCCCCGTTTGAGAAGGATGACCGCTATGGCGGGGTGGTAACCTGCCAGCGCCTGCGGCGTGCGGCGGCGCCGACCCTCTCACAGCGCGTCTGGGGCTTCCTGGGCGCGTTGTATCTCGAGCGACGCAATTTTGACTGCGGAGCGACCACGAATGTCGATGGCGGGCTGCCGTGCATGTCTGGCCGCACGGTGGCCTATCGTACGAAGATCCTCCAGGACGAGGGCTTCACCTACGCCTTCACCAACGAGGAGTGGTGGTGGGGAAAGTATCAGCTCAACGCCGATGATGACAACTTTATCACCCGCTGGATGGTCTCGCATGGCTGGGAGACGTATATGCAGTACCACCCCGAGGCCGAGGTGCTCACCACGCTAGAGGATAATCCCCGATTCCTGAAGCAATGCGCACGCTGGTCCCGCAGCAACTGGCGGAGCAATCTCACCAGCATGTTCCACGAGAAGCACATCTGGTAGTAAGTGACACCCTTTCTTTCCCGCGCATTCCCCCTGTGGGACGACCGCACCCAGCTCCATACCCAGCTCCACCTCTGTGTTCTTGAATTTGTGCTTTGCTCCCTGCTTGGTCTATGCCTCGAGAGATTCTATACTCGATTCGCGTCGAGTCTCCGCGCTTTGTGTTTTGTTTCCTCCCCCGGCGGAATTTCCCATCCTTCGACAGGAAAAGCTTCCTTGTTGGCCTATCACGAGAACTGTGTCCCCGCCGTGATCAAAGACTCGATGGGAAGAGCAAAAAACAAAAGGACCGCGGGTTGCGCGAGAGGGTGGGTGAGAACCTCGCGTCGACCGAGGACACCGGCTGCCCCCGATTCATCCCATTCATAATCACGTTTGGTTATGATCAAACGATCGATACTGTTCTCTTGTCCTTGTCGCCGGTCTTTCTCTCTCTTCTTTTCTTTCTTCTATTTTGATTTCTATGTTTTCCTTCTCTCCCGATCGTCTTCTCATTTTCAGCCGCAAGCTAACCATCCCTCTTTTTTCCCGCCTTGCAGCCGCCAGCCCTGGAGCGCCTATGCCGTGCACTTAACCACATTGTCGCCTCCGGCCTTGCTCGGCGACTTACTCCTCGTCTGGCTGTGCCACAAGGCTAGTGTAGGTTGGGGGGAGGTCTTGCACGACCGCGCGATGACTTCGCTCTACCTGTGGATGTTTACGAGCAAGTGGATTAAACTGCTGGGCCACTATATCCGCTACCCGGTCGATGTGTTTCTGTTGCCCGTGTCGGTGCTGTTTGGGTATTTCCACGGAGCCATCAAGGTGTACGCGGTGATGACCCTCAATGTGGTAAGTTGTGTTGTGTTGTGTTTTTTGCTTTGCCTTTTCTCTCCGGTTATTCGTTCCGTGGACATTTCTGTTTTGTGCTGCGGGTCGCGAGTGTTCTGGCCGGGTGGGCGGCCTCGCTCGCCGAGCCCCTCCTTCCCCCGGGCCCCCCTTCCTATGACACGCCAGCATCACAACGCTTTGATCACTACTCCTCCCTCTTGCAGCTGGACTTATCCACCGTCTTCCCGTGCGAGCCAACTTCCCATGGCGGCCGTGGTCGGCCCTCCCCTCCCCTCTGATTGGCCATTTCCCCCATCACCCGTGGCGATATGCACATTCTCTGCGTCTGTCAATTCCAGGACTCTCAGCTGACCCAGCATGTGCCGTTTTCTGTACAGACTACATGGGGTAGCCGTGATGGCGCCGACGACTATGACGCCGAGCGTATGAAGAAGCGCACCGATGCCGATCGCAGGAAGGAGCCCTACTACCCCAGCTACCTCACCAAATAAGCAACCCTCGCTTGCGCACTGCAACGCCTGCCCGAGTCCTCTTCCACCTGCTCCGCCTCTTCCGTCTGTGGACCGGGTGGGATCCGTTCTCTGTCCAATCTTCCCTCTCTCCTGCACGCGCACAAATCACATGTGCCGCCTCGATACCGGCGACCCTTCTCTCTCCATGTCCCCAGCTCAATCAGGGACCTGGGTCGTCTCTGAGATCGAGGTCTTCTCGTCTTCCAGCATGCATGCTGGACGCTGGCAGCTCGTGGCCCAGCCCATCTGTCCATCTACTTACTCTACTTCCCTAGGTATGGGGTCCTAGCACTGTTACTGGCACTCTCCGTGCAGTACTTCCGTACTCGATTTTTTCTTTTCGTGATTTTGACGATGAAATGCCGTGACGACCATTGTTTCGACCATGTCCGACTTGAAATTCTGTTATGTGTTTCGGTCCGCGATTCTAGATGCGTCCAGCGCTTGTCCTTTTTCTCTTTTCTTTGCTTCATCCTCGTTTTTGGTCGTCTCTTTCTCCCTTGCCGGGTGGCCAGCGTGTGGCGATTTGCCTTCGGCCATACACGGACTGGAGGAGAGCAATAGTCTCTGCAGGTCCGCTGAGACTTTGTCTCCCCCTCGTGTGCAGCCTTATGACTTTCGACAGACCCTGATGTGTGGTAGTTCGACTTGGGTCGACAGCCCACTGCTTGATTTCGTCCTTTTCCTTCTTTGCACATGATTGATGTTCAACACCAAAAAGGTTGATCAACCTCGAGCCCTGACGGCTTTGACTTTTCTCTTCTTCTTCTCTTCTTCTTTTTCGCTTCTTGTGTAAATTACAAAAGCATGGGGGGGATTCGTCGTTTTGCACTTGTTCTCGCGTGCTCTGCATCTCGATGTGCTGTTCAGCTGGTGTGATTATCGTGGACTCTTCGCTCGTCTTTGTTCTACCTCGACTTCTACTACCGGTGATAGCATTGCAATGTTTTGGGATTGGGTTCCCTCTTTGAATTCTTTTTTTGGGGCTTTAGATGCCAGATGGGAGGCTTATCTGATTTTTGATCTTCTGACATTCCCGGCCTTTTTCTCTCATTTTCGCTTGTGTTTGTTGGTAATTTCTAATCAGCCGGATTATATGCCGAACGGTGCTCCGCTTTACCTTCAAGCAAGTACTCAGAACGCAGTAGAGAGTCAACAGTCGAATTCCGGCGCAGAGCACTCAGCCTCGGCCGGGCTGGCTCAAACTGGTGTCCATTGTAGCGGCCTATCAGAGCGTCTCTGCCTGCGGGCAAATATGCAGTCGACCCCGCCAGATCCCCTGGGGTCAGTACGTATACTGTTCGTACGACCGAGCCTACGACCGAGCAATGGCTCCATTTTGGGCACATTCATAGGTCTGGTGATCTGCAATCGGCAGTCTGGACAGTTAACAATTGATCCGCGTGTCAATGGCTCGAATGTAAATGAAAGACTGTGTACATCGAAGTATAAAGGATATGTCTCGACGAGCTAGCCAAGGCTGCGGGCCCGCAGATCCGATCCTCCTAGAGTGTACTCCGTACTCTGTAGTACTTTGGTGGCGCGGGCAGCGGTCATCGGGCCGAGAGCTGGCAAAAAAGTTCCGCTCTGCGTTCTCCGCAAACCCGACGAGCTTTCTGCCCTTGCGACTCGCGACTGCACTCGACAATCCTACCATGGCTAGTCTTTCTCGAGCTGCGTTCCCGGTGCGGCTTCTCGCTGCTACCCAGCAGAATGCTCCGCTGTGCCGGCACTTCCACTCGTCGCCCTGGATGGCTGCCGTGGCGCACCCCGTCACGGCCCATGGCCCTCCGCCCAAGGCGCCTGCGCCTGCGCCCGAGTTCAAGGCGAATGCCGCGACACATACAGTGACCGAGCCGGCGGAAGAGGGTCAGCAATCATTACCACTGAAGAGGCCTTCCGTGCTGAAGAAGCGTTTCTGGAAGGACGTCCATGTCCACGGAAAGCCCGGTAAGTATCGGAGTCGCCAGGCTCGCTACGGGCTTGGATCACGCATGGGATCTAATCTAACGATATATCTGGATTTATTGAATAGGTGAATATCAAGTCCTGCTGGACAAGCGCCCTGTGCGGACACCCAGCAAGGATGTCCTCTCGATCCCGCCGACCAAGCCACACCTGGCCCATGCCATCGCCCTCGAATGGGACGTCATGACATCCGCCCAGCAGGCTCTGAAAAGCCACTTAATCCCACTCACCTCCCTCTCCGCGCGCGCAGCGGACATTGCCCGCGAAGATGCTGCGGGCGACACCACCACTCGTGATCAGATCGTCGTCACGGCGATGCGGTACCTGGATACGGACACGCTGCTGTGCTGGGAGCCGGAGCGGTCCGCGCACGCGCTGGAGCGGGTAGGCGAGGACGCACCGACTGAGAGCCTCCGGGATATCCAGATGCGCGTAGCCAAGGATATCATGAGCTTCCTGTCGACCAAGGTGTGGCCGGGACTGGAAATCGTGCCCATCCTTGACACTGAGAGTATCGTTCCCGTGTCGCAGCCGCGGGCTACTAAGGACAGCATCCGCACGTGGGTGTCCGAGCTAGACGCGCACGACCTGGCCGGACTCGAGCGCGGCATTCTCGCCACGAAGAGCTTGCTGGTTGCTGTGCGGTTGCTGGTGGAGTGGAGTGAGAACTTCCGGCATATCCAGTCGCCCAGCGCGAAGAAGTTCGGCCTCGTGGAGGCGGCTGATGCGGCGAATTTGGAGGTGAAGTGGCAGACGGATATGTGGGGGGAGGTGGAGGATACGCATGATGTTAATCGGGAGGACCTGCGGAGGCAGTTGGGCAGTGTGGTGGTGCTGGTGAGCGGCGAGACGAGGTAGAGGGGGGAATGGTCGCTATGATATCGGATCAGTACTTACTCCCCCTAAACTGGAGATAGAAGAATCTCCCCTGTACCATTATCAACCTTATACTTATACAACTGTATACAAATTGGCATTATGCAATGATGTGAGTGTGGAATGGGATGAGGCCATCGCAGCCAGTCGCATAGCAGCAGCAGCAGCAGCAGCAGTAGTAGTACTCAGGACCAAGTCGTGGTTGTATAGGCCGCGCCGCGCCAAGGCGGAGCAGCGATCAGGGTCGCTTTCCCTCCTCTTCCCCCCCTCCTCAACAAGTCGTGGCAAACCAAATTTCTCCCCAGGCTTCGTGGCCCAAATCCCAAATCCTCCTCAATCTGTCCATGCCCCTGAGAGGTTAAACATGTCTGACAGACTTGAAGGGTGAGTACTCTGCATCGTGCACTGCAACACCACACCCTTTGCTCTGGACGGACCCATGGTTCACTCCCCTGCAGTCAGCATGACAGCCAGCTCAACCCTCTGGGGAATGTCCGGCCGGAGATGACTCGGGCATCGGAGTCGACTTGCGACTCCCCCTGCGCACCAAATTGCGAGCCAATCTCACACGTGAATTGCTACTGACATATGCTCCCGTCTCCCAGGCACAAGCGCTCTCGGAGTGCCCTGGCGCTTGCCCTCTTGCACCGTGCCAAGTCCAAGGGCGACGACAAGGAAGGCGACGACAATACTGACACCTCTATCGGCTCGAACTCCTCGAATGGCTCCTTCCCACTAGCTCACCACCGCAGCACCAGCCGCCACAGTCGGAGGAAGCCTCCCTCCCCCCCTCCCCCCTCCTCGATCATATTCCTTCCAACACCAGTCACCAGAGCGCCGACGCAATGGAAAAGCTGCCCTCCAGCGCCCTGACTGAGAGCGGCAGCTTGTCTCTCGATCAGTCCGTGCGAACCTTCCGCTTGTTCGAGATCCTGCGCAGCGGCGACACCACCGCCATCTCAAAGGCCATCCGGGAATCGAGCGACCCCCAGGAGGCGAACAGCTTGTACGGCACCACGATCCTCCACCTGGCCTTGCAGTGCGCCGAGCCCCAGGTTGTCGAATTCATCCTGTCCTCCGGCGAGGATTTGGATATTAATGCGCGGGACCGCGATGGAAACACCCCACTGCACTTGGCTGCCCAGCTTGGCCGGGTCCCCCTTGTCAAGGAGCTACTGAGCCGGCCTTCCGTCAACGACGCGATCGTCAACTACCGCGGCCAGACCGCGCTCGATGTCGCCCGCACCCCCGAGATCTTCCAGCAGCTCCAGCTGGCCCGCTCCCTCTTCATCGACAGCAAGACGCAAGAGATCCAGGCCCTGGTCGCAAAGGGTGACTACGATAGCCTGGAGAAATTGCTCGAGGAGCCGCGGGTCGAGGGTATCATCGATGTCAACAGCCTAGACTTGGTCACGGACCCCACAACCATGCAGTCTGGTGGGACCCTGCTTCACGAGGGCGCCCGCAACAAGAATGTGCAGCTCATTGAGCTACTTTTGACGCACGGTGCGGATCCTTTCCGCCGTGATAAAAAGGGGAAACTGCCGCAGGATGTCACCAAGGATGACAAGACTCGGGCGATGTTGAAGAAATCCCCGGCCGCTGCGATTGCTCAGCGCGGCATCCAGGAGAAGGCGATTCTTGGAAATAGCAACGCCCAGGGCTTGTCTGGCCGTGTCTCGATTGGAGAGGCGACGCCCCTGGCTGGCAAGGATGCCCGCGAGATGAAGGGTTATCTCAAGAAATGGACGAATTACACGAGTGGCTATAAGCTGCGGTGGTTTGTTCTCGAGGATGGTGTTTTGAGCTATTATAAGCATCAAGGTAAGCTGGTTGTGTGTTTTTAACACTGTTGTTGGGAACGCCGTCTTGTGGTCTGGACTCTGGCTGATTTGTTTTTTTCTCTTCCAGATGATATCGGCTCTGCCTGCCGTGGCGCTATTAACATGAAGATTTCCAGACTGACTATGGATGCCCAAGATAAGACTCGCTTCGAGATTCACGGCAAATCGTCTGTCAAGTATCATCTTAAGGCGAACCATGTTGTTGAGGCCAAGCGCTGGTTCTGGTCTTTGAACAATGCCATTCAGTGGGCAAAAGATGAAGCCAAGCAGGAGGAGCGGCAACGTTCGCAGAACGCGGAGGCTCTGCGCCAGGCGAAAATGGATCAGGTTGAGGGACGTTCGACTGGAACTCCCTCCGAATCTGGTCTGAGTCACAGGCCGAGTACAAAGGGGTTGGCTCCTCCGTCTCTGGCGGTTCCCAGTGGCAGCATGACGAGGCTTAGTACCCACGCATCGCGCACTACCCTTGAAACCTTGCCTGGGGATGAAGACAGCTCCCCTTATGGCTCATTCGACCGGAGTACCAGTCCGAATGAAGTGAACCGCGTGGTCAGCCATGCCACGAGTGTGCCCGACGCCGAAGGCGAAGGCGATGACTATGGGGACTATGCTTCCAGTCACGAGGAGACGCCTACTGAGGACAAAGATGCCCTCAACATCACCGCACAGTCAGCGAAGCTCCAGTTGGATCTTCTTGCAAATGTTGCCGCGTCTCTGCAGGCCGAACGAGCCAAGAACCCTGAAATGTCGATTGCGAACCCAGCTATCGAGCAGGCCCTTGGCGCCTATGAAGCTGCCGTCAATAGCCTCAAGGGCCTGTTGCAGAATCTCATCAAGATCTCGCGGGATCGCGACTCCTATTGGCAGTACCGGTTGACCCGGGAGGAGGATCTCCGTCAGATGTGGGAAGAGAGCATGGCCCGCGTTGCCCAAGAGCACGAGGAACTGCAGTCCAAGATGGGCGAGTCTGAGGAGAAGCGCAAGCGGACTAAGAAGGCGCTGAAGGAAGCACTCGAGAATGCCACGGCAAGCAGTCGCTCCATCTATGGGCCACCGCCTCGCATGCCGACGGACGATTCTACGACGTTGGAGTCCGGCCTGCCCGAGATTCGCGCCCCGAGCACTGTCCAGGAAGAGGAGCTGCCTCCTGTGTCTATTCTATCTCGCAAGCCGTCTGTTCTGTCTCAGATCAGTAGCCTGTATGACTCCGAGTCGGAAGGCGACGAGTTCTTTGATGCCATCGATGCTGGTGAGATTGAGGTGGAGGAATTGCAGGATAGCATCGAGAAGGAGGAACCTCAGGATGAAAGTGCGCAGGCTCGAGCTGACAAGCTCGCCTTGGTCAAGCCTTCTTTCAGAGGTTATGAGGAACCCGTGCGCCAGCGACTCAAGATGGACAATGATGACCGACCCAAGATTTCTCTGTGGGTAAGTTTTTTTCTTCTTTTTTTTCTTTTTCTTTTCTGCTTTTGCTCAACGTCCGCTCACGGCTCCTTAGGGTATTTTGAAATCCATGATTGGGAAAGACATGACGAAGATGACTCTGCCTGTGTCTTTCAACGAGCCCACTTCATTGCTTCAGCGTGTCGCCGAGGACCTGGAGTACACTGATCTTCTTGATATCGCTGCGGACCGCTCGGACTCTATGGAGCGCCTGGTATATGTCGCCACATACGCCGCCAGTGAGTATGCTTCGACCATCGGCCGTGTGGCCAAGCCGTTCAACCCGCTCCTTGGTGAGACTTTCGAGTACGTGCGGCCCGATAAGGGCTACCGGTTCTTTGTGGAGCAGGTTAGCCACCATCCGCCAATTGGTGCTGCGTGGGCTGAGTCGCCTAAGTGGGATTACTGGGTACGTTTCATTCATGCGTCTCTAGGGACTGCTATTACTTGGTGATCTAGATTCAAGGCTCACAAATGTGACACAGGGCGAGTCTTCTCTCAAGTCCAAGTTCTACGGAAAGTCGTTCGACATCAACCTCCTGGGTACCTGGTTCCTCAAGCTGCGCCCTGTTACCGGTGGCGAGGAGTTATACACATGGAAGAAGGTCACGTCTTCTGTGATTGGCATCATCACCGGAAACCCCACGGTCGACAACTACGGTCTGATGGAAATCAAGAACTGGACCACCGGCGAGGTCTGCTACCTCGACTTCAAGCCTCGCGGCTGGAAGGCCTCGTCCGCCTACCAAGTCACTGGCAAGATCGTGGACCCGTCCGGCTCTCCGAAGTGGAGTATCGGCGGCCGCTGGAACGACAAGATCTACGCCCGCCACACGCCCGGCTTCGAGGCCCCGGTCTCCGGCCAAGATCCCGAGTCAGCTAAGACCTTCTTGGTCTGGCAGGCCCACGCCCGACCGACCGGTGTGCCGTTCAACCTGACTCCCTTTGTCATCACCCTGAATGCCCTACCCGATGGTCTGAAGGATTGGCTGCCCCCCACGGATACCCGCCTGCGCCCCGACCAGCGCGCGATGGAGGACGGCGAATATGACCTTGCAGCCACCGAGAAGCACCGTGTCGAGGAGAAGCAGCGTGCCAAGCGAAGAGATCGCGAGGCTAGGGGCGACATCTATCGGCCGCAGTGGTTCGTCCGAGACAGGTGCCCCGTCACTGGGGAGCAATTCTGGGCTCACAATGGCAAGTACTGGGCCAGCCGGGATACGCAGGATTGGAGGAGCTCGGAAGATATCTTCTAAGGAATTGAAGTGTGGGGTGGGATTGGTTTAGCTATCAGCGAGCTATCAGCGTTCTCGATCTGCCTGGAGATTCTGCGGCGTGTGACTTTTTTTGGTTCTCTCTTTCCGCAGGATCTCATGTCTGCGTAATTTGTTTCGGTTACTGTTGGATGCGTACTTTTGCTATGCTATGTACAAGACCTGTTTCCCCCTCTCTTTGGCTGTGTTCAATTCACGAATACACGACGAATATACGAGCGCTTGTCGATATCACTGTGTATTGTCAAGACCAATTGAAGCGTTTGAGCCATGATTATCGTGGTAGATGGAGCGGCAGCAGTACGGAGGGAGTCCGCACATCAGTTATATAGTTCAATAGGCCCCCCCATCATGCAACTTCTCCACATCTCGGTCACGTGCAGAAGACCTGAGTTGGAAAAACGGCCAGGCCAGTCCGCTCACTTCCACGTCCACCATCCGAATCAACAATGGCAGGAGGATACACCTGTTCCCAGTGCCTTCAGGTGCTCCGGCAAGGTGCCCGGGCCGCCGGTTCCCCAGCTCGCCTGCAGAGTCTGGCCCATTCCCGCCGACGATGCCCCGTCTCCCCGTCGTGGACTCGCAGCTTCGGCTCCGAGCGCAGCACAACCCGCTCCCTGGGCCCCAATGCCGCAGAGCAGAGCAGTGGCGTGTCTAGCAAACCAGCCCAGCTCCCCAAGTTGCCTGCCTCCTCCAAGCTCTTCTCGCAGCGCGCAGCCTCGACCTCCGTCGACTCGAACGCCCTCCTGAAACCAAACAACCTGTTCCACTCCTTCTCGAACTCGCCCTCGCCCGCAATTCGCCAGCGCGCCGCCTTTATCAAACAAAATGCCTTCTGCCCGCACCCAAGCCATCAACAGACGCGCGCCCCGGCTTCGCCGCACGACCCGGAAGCCCGGAAGACGGCCGACACCGAAACCAGCGCGCCGCCAGCACACTCGCATTTCGAATGCCCGGACTGCGGCGTGCCGATCTACTGCTCGGAGGGCCACTGGATGGACGACTTCGAGGCGCATCTGGAAGTGTGTGAGACGCTGCGGCAGATCAACGAGGATGACCACGATCTGCACTCTGGCCGCTTCTTCCCAGAATTCTCGTACCCCGGGGTGCAGGATGACAATTTTGTGATCAACATGACGAACTGGGATACATATATGTATACCCGCGAGTTCGAGGCTATCAATTCGGACCGCTCCATGCGCCAGGTGACCCGGATGCTCACGTACCCGCAGACCATTGCGAGCGTGCTGCATGAGCTGAGCCCGTATAGTGTTCGTGGGAAAAACCGCCTGACGGCCGAGGGATTGAAGAGCTTGAGTGGTATGTTGGATGTGCATCAAAGACTCATTTTGATTAGTTTTATATTCGCCTGAAAGCTACAGCGACTAACTGCAATTGCCCTCTCCTCCAGCCCTCCGCTACTCACTGCACCCGCCCAAGACAGGCGAAGACATCGACGTGAAAGGCCTCCGCCTCAAAGCACCCCCCGTCCGCATTTTCATCCTTGGCGCCCGCGCTGAGTCCTCCCTGCCCCGTGACGTCTGGCTCCAGCTCTCCTACATGTTCCCCCGCGCCCTGCTGCACCTAGTCTTTATCGGGCCCGAGGCCATGGCCAACCGCGACGCGGAGTTCCCACTCCCCGAGCGCACACCCGAAAACCCATTCGGCGGGATCGTCGAGGACCGGCTCGGTGGGCAGATGAAAATCACTACTTATGTCGACTACTTCCACACCATGTACGAAGCGCAGTACTTCCAGCCGTTCGATCCGTACCTGGACTGCTTCATGCTGTTCCACCCTGGCCTGGGCCACCCGGCGTCGTCGCACGAGTGGGCAGCGACGCTGCCACAGCTGCTGGAGACCAAGGTGCCGATTCTGTGCACCGGGTATACGCAGTGGGACATGGAGCGGGATATCAACTGGGTGCACGAGAAGTGTGCCGGCGAGTTCGACATGCTGCTCGAACCTGGCGAGAATGTGTTCCGTAGTCTGCGCTGGGATCTGAACGATATGGATCCTCATGATGTGTCCTGCGGGAACTGGGGGGTGTGGGGATTCCGTGGCAAGAGGTATGTTACTATGTCGAGTCCTGCGTCTTCCTCCGACTCTGTCTCTGACTGGTCTGTTGATCTGAAACATCCTGCTAACTTCACTTCGTTTGCAGATACGAGGCTACTTTCAAGGCGGAGTAGGACCCTTCTCGTTTAGTTGGGGGTGGTGAAGTTCTGGGTGCTCTCTGTATGATACTGGCTCTCTTCCGTGGGAGTCCATCCATTGTGTTATTAGGTATGAAGTAGATAGACAGATCGTTGAGTCCTCTCCTCTTATGTGGGTGTCTGTCCATACGCGTGTAATCGTTGTATTGGAAGTACAGCTCTAGCAGATCGGAAAGTCTACAACTTACCTTCGATCATATAGTTGTATAAAGCAAGGAACCTAAACGGGTGAATGGAAGTTGATTAGTTAGTTGGTTGAATTCCTACGAGACAGAATATCTGTAAAAGCAAAAGGAAATCTCCTCTACCCCCCTTTTGTGATATTGTACATTGTCCGTACTGGGACGAGACGATCACTATTGATCATCTCATTGCGAATGGCTGTCCCGAGGATTCCACCGCATCTAAATGCAAAATAGTAGGGGGTGAGTAGCCGATATTCCAAGCGTAGGCAGCCTCCTAGCGACATGCTGGATCCTTTCTACGGCCCTGAGCTGGAGCGTAGGTGCCACGCTAATCCGCGCAACTCCATCATCGGCCAGTTGCTTTGTAGAAGGCAAATTGTCGAAGCCTTCAAATCGTTTGTGCGTTCATCGAACGCACTAACAAGCTCAACCATCTCATTCTCAGGGATGCCTCCTCAGCTCGAAACATCCCGAACAAAAACCGTAGTTGCGCCAGCAGCAAGGAAAGATGTTGGTGTAGTTTGTTTCATGGCTGGTGGAATTACTCAAGGACATGTCACTGGTCGGCGCTTGGGTCAGATTCAGACGGAGGACAATGTTAGATGAAAGGAAGCGGGCTACTGTGGTCAGAAAGACCACTTACTACGGATGATGTTAGTTTCCCTATCGTTTTTTCATTCCACCTCTAGTGAACTGATAGACGGCCGATGGGTCCTGCCAAGTCTGTCTACCTGCAGGTAACCGGCCCCGGCTAGCGCTGACTAAGATCTAAGCGAACGTCCTGAAACTATCTTTTTGCGCCAGGATTTTTCCATCTTCCCTCCGCTTCACACCCCAACCGGCAGCTGCGTGCCAGAATTAGATGCCAATTCTGCGCACCAGTTCCATTCAGTGGATGATGCACTACTATGACCACTAACCTACAGTATCGACGGCATTATCTCGACCTCGCGCTCGCGATTGCACCTGCACTTGCACATGCAGCTCTCCTCTCCCCTCACCAACCAATATAATACATCGCAACCCCCCACTTCAGCTGTCTCAGTCCTCACGGACACTCATCACGGACCCTTCTCTGAAGGACAGTCACCACGTTGCCGCGTATTGTGGCTGTGACCGACTGGAGCTGAATTGGGAGCCGGGAGAGCCCTCGGGCTGTCTCGCGCTATTCGTCCGGGCTGCTAGAACAAGAAAAAGGGCCTTCATAGTTCATGTTATACTTGCTCGGGTGCCTCTGCTTCGGCAGAGGCTTCACTGTGTTCTACCAGAGCATGACTCCTTGCGCACCTACATCGACCTGTCACTTATATTATCCATTGTGTTGTTATTGGAGCAGATGCCGATCCACCAGGATCCGTTCCCAAATCCAGCTGTTAGAAATGTCATGCTGCATTCGTTGAAGATAACCATAACCCTATATATCTGCCGGACGTGACCTTCCCCTAAGATTTTTGTTTCAAGGCTCCTACAGTAGTAGTATCATAATGACTACAGTATACTAGGACAGTACTCGACACCCTAGAGCTTACTCTTCGCCGTCTCATCCCCCGTCACATTCACCACGACCTTCCCCCACGTCTCCCGCCCACCAAGCGCCTGCAACGCCTTCGGCACACTCTCCAGCCCGACGAAACTCTCATCTCTAAACGCAGTTCCCCGGAACTTGCCCTGAGCCACAAGCTCAAAGATCCCCCTCCACACCTCACCCACCGTTTCCGTTTCAAACTTGGCATACTGTCCCCAGTGCAGCCCCACCAGACTCACATTCTTCAGCAGCACCCGGTTCAGCGCAACCTTCTCGATCTTGCCCGCCGCAAATCCAATGACCAGCAGCCGCGCGTTCCACGCAACACACTTCAGACTCGCCTCAATCATGCCGACAGGGTCATACACGATATCCACACCGGCCTTGCCATTACCCGTCCGGTGCGTCGCACACAGCTTCTTCACCTGCTCCGGCCACGCCTTATCCGTATAATCGACGACGTAGTCCGCACCAAACTCCGCCGCGATCTCGCGCTTGCGCGGCGTTCCCGCCGTCGCAATGACAGTCGCCCCCTTCGCCTTGGCAATCTGCACCGCCGCGAGACCCACGCCGCCCGCCGCCGCGTGCACAAGCACCCAGTCGCCGGCCTTCACCCCGGCCCGCTGCACCAGGCCTCCGTACGAGGTCGGCGCGGTGACGAAGAGGCCCGCCGCATCCTCGAAGCTCCAGCCCTTCGGCACCGGCAGCAGCGTCGTCTCCGGGGCGAGGACGTGGGTTGCGTAGGAGCCCTGGGTGGCGCCGAAGACGCGGTCGCCGACGCGGAAGCGCGGGGATGACGCGGACGTTGGGACGGCGGCGATTGTGCCTGCGAACTCGGCGCCACCGATCCAGGGGAGGGGTGGCTGGTGCTGGTATTTGCCTTGGATCTGGAGGATGTCGAAGAAGTTGGTGCCGGCGGAGTGGATTTCGATCAGGTATTTGTCGGCGGCGGGGGTTGGGGTTGGGACTTCGGTTACTGTGAGATCGAGAGGGCCCTGTGGGGAAGGGGTTAGTGTGCGATTTATGGGGGGCAAGGCGGGGGGTGGTGGTGTTGGAAGGTTGGAAGGTTGGAAGGTTGTAAGCTGGCGGTGTTGAATGGATGGAGTTGGGGAGAGGAGAGCTCCGAGCTCCGGGGTAGGATGGTAGGATCGGAGGAGGATGAATCAGTTAGCGCACCTTGACATATTCGCGGACTTGGACAGCGCGCATTATGGCGGTGAGATATGAATAGGAAGTGAGATGCTGCAAGAATATTATACGATAATGAAAAGAAAAGAAGTGCAAGTGCAAGGATTGGGAGTGTCAGGAAGAGAAATTGAGGATGAGACGGCCGAGTACGGAGTATGGGGTTTCACTTCCCCGCGTGGAAGATGCCGAGGTTGGATCTCGGATAACCTGCAGACTGGCCAGACGCCGAGACGGATAGAGAAATATCGGTAGACAGGCCATTGCAAGTGTAATGGTACACATTGTAATTGTATTCTTCAATGCAGTGGTAATGCCTAGCTTATTATTGAACTTGTGCATGATACAGTTCTTTTACGATCTAGGCTTGATCTCTTACTGTGCGGATTGAGACAGCTGATTTGGTAACTTGGTAAGCCCCATGTACAGATCTAGTCCCACAGGAAGGCGGATGAGGTCTCCATAAAACCATTCAACCTGCTAATGTGTGTTTGCTTCAAGCAAGATCAAGATCAAGATCAACGCCCCCTTTACACCATGTTCTGCACCGCGAAAATTCGGTGACTTAGAGGTGGAGGGACTTTGAAATACGAGGCACCAAACGAGGTCATAATTCCATAGTCAGTCGCATCCGACTAGCGGGAAAACGGATGAACGAGCCATGGAATCAAGAAACAAGAAAGCCACTTCCAGTCGAGCCTTTTGGCAAAAAAAATCCCGTACTTGAATGTGGGACTGAGGAGGGCTGGATCAAACGGCTGGTCGAGCTATTTCTTGTTTCTAGCTTTGTAGATTTTTGCTTAGTGACCCGTACGATATTCTAGACTCGATTGTCGTACTCAATTAGCATTGAGAGGAGGGCCTTTCATAACCTCCCTCTGGGACACTTGAGTTGGCCATCGGTGGTGCTTCGATCGAGAAAGAGCCTTTACAGACTTGGAAAAGACATTCAAGGGTGTGAGTGAATGAGTCACCGCAGGATGCTCCTGCGCCGTACTTCTTGCTCTTCTTCGTCCACTGCATCCCCGACGCAATCACAGAGTAATGGACTGGAGAGAAAGTTCCACAGAATATAGATAATAATTTGCTGAGCTATGAACACTATCAGTGATCATAGGGTACATCAATACAGGACCAGAATAATTCACCAGAGGTATCAAGAGACAAAACAGCCGCCACATGCCAACGCCAGAAATTCAGATCTGATCAAGAACAAAAACCACCAGAAAACAGACCAAAGCAGAAACCCAGATCAGATCGACCGCCCACTCCGTAGGTTCAACACCAAGTATATGTACATGAGATCTATAAGGTACAGATCGAGCGCCCATTTTCACAGGAAAAGAAATCAAGTGGTGGGGGGAAAAATGAGACAGGAGAAAGAAATGAAGGGAATAAAAGATATAGGTATCACAAGAGAATCTAGGTCAAGAGTCCGTTAATGGCATTCCACAGCCGGGTGCTTTTCGGCTTCCGCCTGGAAGGGTATCATTAGCCCATATACGGGACCATGGGCGCACACATCACTGCGTGTGGACCAGCCTGGGACGCAGGAATCGGCACCATTCCCGGAGCAGGATATGCATGGTGCGGGATGTGTTTCCTCTCATGCTGTCCGTACCGTCCGTGGTGGCCGGCAAACCCATACTCCAGCGACATCGCCCGCTTCCACTGCTTGGCATCAAAGCCGTGGTACTCAGGAGCATCGTAAGAGCAATACTCGGGTGAGAAGAGATCTGTGGCGGAAGGAACCACATAGCCTGCGGGGCCAGCGGGAGGAGGCGGAGGGGCCAGAGGTGTCGAGTGCGGAACGCCTGGTGGGGGAGTCATGGGTTCGAAGGGCATGCCGTACCATTGCGCGGGATGCAGGGCTGGGTTTAGGCCCAGGTCGACGGAGACTGAGCGCGGCGGCCACTGTCCCATGGTGGGCGTGGTCGTCGAGCCTGGGCTGGGGATGCACGACTCAGGCGAAAGCGGGTATGCCGCGTAGGTGGGTGTCGCGGCGGAGGTGGTGCTGTGCAGGAGGCCCTCGGTCACCGGGGAGGTCTGAGCAGACGGCTCGAAGGATGTGGTGGTTGGGTTGGGGTCGGAGAAGGAGTAGCTTGTCGGATGCCTCTCGGAGATGAGGCTGTGATCGGCCGATGGGCTGGGGGTCAGCCGTTGCGCCAGAGGGGCGTTCCACTTGCCCGACGGCGGGACATCTGCCGGGGCGTAGAGGGAGTGTCCAGGCCAGCTTGAGCGCGTGGTGGAGGAAGAAGCATTCCTCATCACGGGAGAGGATGTGCTGTTCTGTGGAGATGTGGAGGAGGAGCCTTGGCTGTCCTTCTCGGACTCGGGATCCTCTGAGCCTGGTGGCTTCTTGCGGGTTTGGCGGGATGGTTTGGTGACGCGCCATTTCTTGAGACGGCTGCGCAGTTGAGTTTCACTGAGAACACGGTTAGTGCTGAGACCCACGATAGAAATTTGAAGGAGAGGAGGGAGATCAACGTAGGGCATACCTGGGATTGAAGTCGTCGGAACGAATCTGCTTGATCACCTGCTTGAGAGGCCATTCTTCCTCCATATACAACTTGGCGATCAATGCTTTCTTCTTCTCCCAGACATCGGAGGATATGGAGGTCTTCATGCTGTCAAATGCAACTGGAGACCAGTATGCAGGGACAGACAGTTGAGTGGGGGCAAGCACTGGCGTCCAAGGGAGGAGACAAGTGTAGTCGGGGGGAGGGGGAAGAAGGAACCGGAGGTGGTGGGCAGGGCAGTAGTATATGTACTTGGGATCCAATCGACACAAGTGCAAGTCCGCGGAGACTAAAAACGAGGGAACCAAAGAGGGGAGAGTGAGGGAAAGAGAAAAGGAATGAAGAAGAGGAAGAGGAAGAGGAAGAAGAAAGAGAGGGTCCGGGGAGGCGCGATATAGACTGGGCCAAATGAACCGAGACGCCTCCTTCCTCTCAACGTGCCCGGCTCTTGAACCTCAACCCAGCCAGAGTCTAAATTGTTAGGGTCTGGATCTACTCCACTCCGGGGGGGCTTTAATCTCCCATGGCTTTGGGTCTGTCAACGTCCGTCCTTTGCTACCCTGCCCCCGCCCCCTTCAGAGTTGCCGCCATGGCTCCGTGGCGTCAGGACCAACACGCATGGTCGATCATCGCGGAATTAGCATGACGTGGTGCACGACGTGCTCGACCAGGTGGATCGACGACGATCCTCGGTGGATCGGCATGTCGCGCCATCGCCAGCCATTGGAAACTCCGACGCCGTCGCTATCCCCGATGAAGCACTTGGCGCATGGACATTCATCGCGGGACAAAGGCCCTGCTCCAAGACACGGCTGAGGCTACACTACTGAGCTACTATAGAGCCGTCCCCATCCAGACGTCCACGGCAGATGGCGGATCCCCAAGTCCAGATCCGACTGATCATCTAGCGGGCCAGGAGGTCTTTGATGACAGCTGACAGCTCCGTTCCTGTTTGTTCCTCGCAGACCTCGCACTCGGAAATGGATCTATCGAAGAACAGGGAGACCAGATCCCCGATCCCCGATCCAACAATCCCCTCATCCCGCCGGTACTTCGTGCACTCGCTCTCCTCCTTCCTTCGCATGGAGGGATGCAGGCAGGGTTCTCAATGGGACTGCCTGAAACGGCTAACTGTACCAAGACGGGAATAACACTCCGGTCATGCGAGAGGGAAACACCTGGGCTAGCCTTGTGGAGTGGGTTGACACCACCAGGAAAACTACCGGGAGGACGAGATAAGCCTGATTCTCCTCGCTTTTTCCCCTCATGGCTTGGCACGCTTGACCGTTTCTGGGTCTGTTCCCATCATCCTGGTTCTGCCCCAGTTCGGGCTCCACCCAAGGGGCATGCTGGCCCGGCTGGATCTCAGAGCCAAAGTTGCCGATCCTCGCCCGGTCGGGATTCCCTCACGCGGTGATGCTGGCTGTGGTCTGCAACGGATGTCTACCCCAAAGGAGTCGATCAGAGCCGTTGGGCGTTTCAAACCTTCTCGAAATGGAATTCCTATTCCAATCCACAGATCCGCATGTGCGCGACCATCTGCCGACCTGTGGTCGCTGTTGGAACAAAGGGGAGCAGGGAAAGGGGATCCTCAGAGCAGCTCCGAACCTCCCCCTCCAACGACGCTATCGATCGAATGGAGCATCCAACGGCTGGCAAAAAGAGCCTAACAGACAATCGGCATCCACTCCACGCCCCTCTCATGCTCCCATTTCCATGCCGCAGGCGGTTAGTCTTAACCGTTCTATGCTTCCCACTTCCCCCTTGCGGTCAGCAGTCGTCGCGCCCTGGGCCGAAGCCGCTAGGCAGCGCCACGCGAAAGCGGGATGGTGTCAGGCCTAGTGGAAAGCCACTCTCAGACGAGACCAATCATGACGCGATTCATGGAGCAGTAGTTCGTGAGGGCGCCAATCGATCCGGCTGTGGATCACCCACGATCTGCCCGGGTCCTCAATAGTGGATATAGAATGGAGCCCGCTCGGCCCAGTGAGCACAGAGCCTCCCCTTAGGCCGGGTCGCGCTCACCACCGGGCATTGTCGTTTGCCGGGGAATCGCCGGAAAGGATGCTCGTTGAACGCCTGGAGAGCACCGTAAAAAGAACACGGAAACAGGAGAGGGAGACCAAACACTAAAAGCAGGCTAGCTACCCCCACTCGGCCGACGTCGCCACCCTGCGCCTCCTGGCCAGTATCCCCTATGCTTTTCTTTTCCCCCCGAGCTTCCAGCCAATCAATCCAGTGTGCGGTCTCTCGCGGCTGCATCTGTCACACTTTAGACTTGCCTGGCGCGCAATGCAATGCAGAACGGTCAGCACCCCCGTAAATGTCCCTGTGAGCAAAGTGCGATCGCCAAAATAAGCATACGCGCCCAGTACTGGCGGTCCACTACCCACTGACCGACCCCGTTCGCCTCACTCATGGTCTCCGTTTCTTTCTTCTTCCAGGGTTCGATTGTTGTTCTCGGGAATAGGAGTCTGCTTCAAGTACCGCGACTATTGGAGGTTCCTACGTCAACATCCAATCAATGGCCACCGGGCAGCGCAACCGCGAAACGCCCACACAGATTCTTTGTTTGAGAATGGAAAGTTAAACTCAGCAAGGGACCGAGGCCGCTATCTGTCTACCCGGAACCTAGTCGGAACCAAGTCTGGATCCCTGCACCACCACGCACCACGCGGGCCAATCCTGGGGGGTCATCACGGCAATTCACGAGCAGGATCGCGCCGACAGTTCGACCTGACTCGTCGCCGGCCAACACGTACATACAATGAACGCAGGGGAGAGATGCCCCAAACCCAAAAACGAAACAAAGGGAAAAGCAAAAGAAAAGCGGCATACACCGCACAGGTCCATCCTAGGCACCAGCTATCGTCTCGATGGCCGTTCGACGGCGCGCTGGTTCTCGTCGTGTCGCAGGGCCTCCATTACGGTTACCTCCTACGTGTACATCGTACTCGGTACGAACTAGCTATCGCTCGAGAGAGCTTAGCCCGGTCTGCGCGAACCTAATCTCTAAATTCGTACGCCGCCTCCTGTCGTTCGCGCGATTTTCTCCGATCCACTCGTAGGCGCCACTTTGTTCACGAAACCTGGACAATCAGAAGCGACATGCGATATTCAACCGCCGAGCAGCGAGGCATTGGATGGGATTGGATTCCGCAAGCTCATCCACCGACTCGCCAGACGGCGACAGAGAAGAAGAGGATCCTCCGGATCTCCATGGGCCCGCGACAGCCCATGTGAGTGTCTTCTCATCACGGAGTGGTTACTCCGTACTGCCGGCAGTCCCTCCCGATGGACCTGGGAAGGTGTCGGGGAGACCCAAACGGGTGTCCAGTCACGCTGCTCCACCATCTCCACCCGCGCGATGCTTCCCCAACTCCACGCCAAAGGCTAACCATGTCTCAGCACTGCACCGTCCAGCGGTGGCCGATAGGGACGAGAGGATGGCGAGAGGACTACTGGAACCGGCGAATTCTCGGTCGCACTGCCTGAACGGAACGCCTGAAACTATCTCCGTTCCCGGCAGTTTGGGAGCTGCAGAAACTCAACCGTGGAAAGGATTTGCCCCCTCGCCGGCGAGGGGTCCATGGAAGATATGCTGGCTTACCCCAACTGCCTCCATCGTATCCCCATCGTATCCCCATCGTATAGCCCCTATCGCGCCGACCTCCGCGCTAGCCCAAATGTTTAATTTTCCGGCCCCATCAGGATCGAATGGACCAAGCGCGCTGAAGAAAGTTCACCAGGAGCCAAGAAATCTGCATTCGCAAGCTCAAGAGAAATGAGCACTCCTTCAAGGATGGGCATTTGGGAGCGCAATTGGCTCTTGGAGCAGGCTGAGGCGCAGTGGACCGATGGGGGGAAGGCGGATCGACGCGGTCCCGAGGAGGATCGACCGGGTTCCCAACTCCAATCCCTCCTGATCCTCGTTCCATGTGCTCTGCTCTCCGGGCCCGCGCTGAAATGAGGACGGGGGAACGCACGTGGACACCAGCAAGTGGACTCGGGAGTGGATGTCGGCATGTTTCGTACCCGCTGGGCCTGGTACGACTGGCACTACTGGCTGGCACTACCGTGGATGGCGTACCTAGTTGCTGCGATCCGGTCTCCTGGAAGCAAGGCGCATCCTCCTACGAGTACGGAGTACAGAGTACGGAATACGGAGTCCTCATTCTTGCCATGACCATCGCCTCCCGACAAGCGCATTCAACTTCACGACCACCTACCACCATGCGGTCACTCCGCACAATCGCTCTGTGTCGCGGTGCAGACCCCGGCAACTTCGACCCGCAACCCTCACCCAACGCCTAGACCAAACAGAGTATAAACGGACCGACCAACCACAGCCCTTCCTCACAGCATCACAACCACGCTAGAGCTCAACTCTAACCTAACTAACCTAACTAACCTAACTAACCTAACTAATCCCGGTCGTCCTGTACGACCACAAGCGTGAGCCCACCAGGAAACCCCATCACGGAGGCAAAGATCCTGCACGGAGGCAAAGATCCTGCACGGAGGCAAAGATGGCTCCGTGCAGCTTGCTCGTCAGCGGCCACCCCTCAGGCGCATTGCAGATCGCCCAGCAAGTGCCAAGAGGATGAGAACCCGACGCAGCGGGTGCAGATGCGGGCACACCCCCACCTCTTGCCTCACGGGACTCTTGTCAGCCGCCGCCGACGCAGGGCGCAGCCATCTGAGCCATCGAGTACGGCGCAAGTACGCAGGTTGGGAGGCGCAGACGATCTAGCTCGCATCGTACGGAGTAATCAATCTATTTGCAGGATATGTCCAGCGTGGTGCCATCCGAACGAAAGCGCGTTTCAGATGGTGTTGGCGTTCGCGAGGACTTCGCCCCCGCCTACACCACAGGGAGTCAAGTTCTCGAAGCTGGGCCTTTTGGGTTCCCCCCGAAGAAGGCTGGAGGATAGGGCCTGGGGTGGGACTGATTTTCTGGGATCTCCAGCGCTAGGGACGGAGATTAGGACGATGGTCCTTGGGAGCGGGTGGGTTCGGGAGGGGGTTCGTCGGAGGTAGATTAATATCAACAGGAACATCATGCCTGCGTCATACAATCTATCATTGGGGGTTGGTTTACAGTGCTTCGGACAGGATAGGATGAGCAGAAAAAAGATAGAGAGAGAAAGAGAGAGAGTAACTACGTTGCTCCCCGACGGGGAGTGCAGGTGTACTCCGGCTGTATAGGGTAATAGGTAGAGAGGAAAATGGGGAGTAGAAGGTGGAGATTATCAAAAACACACTAGAAGGACATGGAAAAAAAGTAAAGGGGAGAAAACAAAAAGGCACAACGCTATTCCCCGCCCAGACGGATGATACACAGGTACAGCCAGACAAACAAGTACTCTGAACCGTGAAAGGGACGAGAATCGAGGACTCCCAACTCCGTAATACTCCGTGCCCTGACGATTATGTACACGATGCGAGTCTCTTGTGTGATCGCGCTGGAGGGTGCAACCACCTCCACGCACAGTCCTCTTCTTCACCATCATTGCCGGCCCCCCACTTGGTCGAGACTACTACAGTACAAACAAGTATACTCCACACTCCACGAGGTCGAGCCAGGGCGCGACGATCCGGAAATAGGGAACAGGAGGAGATCACAAAAACAGAGAGAGCCCCCCCCCCAACCCCCAAAGCGGCAGTCACCTCCGGTGGGTCGCAAACGATAGGTGGAAGGCCGACGACGAGAGAAACTGGGAACATGAGGACCCGGTGGAACGATGGAGACGTGGGAGAGACTTGAAGTACGGCAACTTCCCCCGCGGACCCAAAGTCTGGGCCTCAACGACGCCGTTTGAGCCGGTGCTCCTTGCCCTTCTTGGACTTCTTCTTGCTCTTGTCCCGCGGGAGCACCAGTGGCTCGTCACGCATGTTCCACTCCATGAAGCGGAGCAGATAATCGTCGATATGGCCCGGCTCGACTTCCGTCGCTACGGCGTCCTCGGTCGCGGCAGCAGGATGCAACGTGCCGCCATCGCCGGCCGTGAGAGGCGTACCAGCCTGCGCAGGCGTGCCATGCGAAGGGCTGCGATCCTCAAAGTCGCCATCGTCGGCATGCTCGAGCTCCTTCTGCGCGTTTTTCGCCGCATCGATGTCCTCCTTATCCTCGGCCTGTTCGAAGGCTCTCGTGCCGCTGGCCACCCGATTGCCGAGAACCCGGTCCATGGCGGCGCTGGCCTCGTCGTGGCCGTCGCGGGCGTCCTCGCCTTCGATCATACCCTCCACATCCCGCAGCTTGGTGAAGTAGTCCGTGGTGAACTCGCCTTCCTGGATGATCACGTCGTCCAGCATACGCTTCTGGTTGGCCTTCCGCAGGATGTTGGACTCGATGGTATACTCGGAGACGAAGCGGTAGATGTGGACGTCCCGGGTTTGCCCGATACGGTGGCAGCGGTCTTGACACTGCTTGTCCATCGCCGGGTTCCAGTCCAGGTCGTAGAAAATGACGGTGTCGGCCCCCGTGAGGTTGATACCCAACCCGCCGGACCGACTGGACAGGATGAAGGCCAGGATGCGGGGGTCGCTGTTGAATCGCTCCGTGAGCATTTGCCGCGACTCGACTTTCGTAGTTCCATCGAGCCGGAGGTAGCGATGCCCGTGGATGTTGAGGAATTGCTCCAGGATGTCGAGCATCTTGGTCATCTGCGTGAAGATCAGGGCGCGATGGCCGCCGGCCTTGAGATCGCGCAGCAGCTTATCCAGACGTTGGAGCTTGCCGCAGTCGTACTGGAGCAGCCTCTTGTCTGGGAAGGCAATGGAGAGGCGCATTTGGGCTTCGTGGAAGGGGTCATGGGGCTGGTCCTTGGAGGTATTAGTCAAGAGGCGAGTCTCCACGGGAGTCAGCGCGGCCTCTGTGGTCCCGGCTGCGACGGCCGCAGGCGTAACACAAGCGAATCTCTGAACGTAGCCATCCATCTCGAGAGACCGCTCCTCGAGCGTCAGAATCATCGACGCAAGAACTGAGGACCGACTGGACAGCCAGTCGGCCATGTTGCTCTTTCGCAAGGGAGCGTTGGACAGGGCATGCTCCTTGTTGGTTCCGGCTCGCAAAAACTCGATCAAGCTGCTGCCGTACACAGGTCGGCGACCATGGCGCTTGGATTCGAAGTACAGACACCGCTCAAGCTCAGCCATTCTCCTCTTCCGACTGGCATTCTCCAAAGACTCTAGGATCGTCTCCATGCTAGAGCCGTCGAAGCTCATCTGCCAGTTTGTTCGGTTGTACTGGCGTTCGCGAAGAGTCTTGAACGGCCCAAAGGCCATCAGCCGGATGCTATCGTCCGCCAATCTCCGCGAGATATCTTCTCTCGACACGGGTGCGAGATTGAGGAAGTCCAGATCGACCTTGGTGAGGGGGTGGTCAAAGAGCAGTCGCCGCCGGACCAGGGATTCTTTGACGTTGTAGTCTGTAGCCACAGACCGCGGCATAGCGAAGGAGGTGGAGACCGGTCTGGTCTCGAAGAGATCCGGGTGGTTGCAGACCTTGCGGAGCTGCATGAGACAGTGGATGATGGAGAGGAAGTTGCCGGATGCAAGGGTCTCCTTCGTCTGAGCCATGGACATAAAGCCGTCGTAGAGGAATCGCTGACGCTTGGAAAGTCGGCAGTAGACGACATGCTCGTACTTGCCGGGCATCTGTTTCTCGACATCGGCCTTCAGTCGACGCAGAATATAGGGCCGGAGAACGGTGTGGAGCTTGGTGATCACTCGCTTAGCCTCGTCGTCCATAGTCTCCCTTCCATGCTCCAGGATCTGTTCCACTGGCCGCCGGAACCACTCAGAGAAGTCTCTCAGATCCGCGAAGCCCTCGATGCCATTGCCATCGCCATCGGAAGGCATGAGAAAGAACAGAAGGGACCACAGCTCGGTCAGGTTGTTCTGAAGCGGTGTACCTGTCAGAAGAAGCCTGGCCCTGGTCCTGAACGTGAGAAGAGCCTGCCATCTCTGAGAGCGGAAGTTCTTGATGTTGTGCGCCTCGTCAAGAATCATGTAATGCCAGTTCCTCCTCTTAAGAGATTGCTGGTCCTGCAGGACTAATTGATATGAGGTGATTAACACATTCCAAGCATTGTCGTCGGTCCAGCCACGGCGCTTCGCCTTGCGCTCCTCTTGATTACCGTAGTAGGTCATGATCTTGAAGCCCGGGCACCATTTTTTGAACTCCATCTCCCAGTTGAGCATGACACTGGTCGGGACAACGACGAGATGAGGACCCCAGACGCCGTGGTCCACCGCAAGATGGGCAAGCAAGGCAATAGTCTGGATGGTTTTACCCAGACCCATCTCGTCGGCCAAGATACCGTTGATGTGATTGTTGTAGAGGCCGGCAAGCCAGTCCAGACCGTAATGCTGGTACTCACGTAGTGTACCGCGCAAGAGGTGGGGGATCGGTGTCTTCAAGCCGGGAGCAGGAGAGTAACTTGCCTGCAATGACTTCTCTATGGCTGGCTCGTATGAAGAGACTGACTCTGGCTCTGATGGCTTGGTAGCGAATGTGCCAGGTGAAGCTTCGCTAGATATCTCACCACCGGGTCGACTATCGTTGATAGGCTCAACCTCCATTGACTGAGTGTGGTCGACTTCTTCAGATGGAGCTGGAGTGTCGGTAGCGATGGTAGGCTCAGAAAGTGCCGGTGATTCGATCGGCTGGTCTAGGTCGTCCATCGGGGTGTCAACCATTGACGCATCTTCCGTATCAATGGGAGTGGCTTCGGCAGAGGCCTCGACAACTTCCAGGGGCGTTCCTTCGCGCGAGGAATTATGGCCGGTAGGAATGAGAGACACCTCGTCAGGATCCTCGAGGTGCACATCTTCATCTTTCTCATCATCGAGTGGTTCGCCATCTCCCTCGTCATCTTTTGACGCAGGAATATCCTTGGACGAAAAGAAGCCAAGGAGTCCAGGGGCGTCGTCATCACTGGCCTCTTCAGATTCCTCATCATCTGATTCTGCCTCCTCGTCGCTGTCACCCATGTCATCATCCATATCAGTCGACTCGTCGCTATCATCCATCAAGACAGAGTCAACGTCATCCAAATGAGCGGGAGTAGCTACGGAATCAGCTTCGTCTGGAACAGCTTCACTATCAATGACTGATGTCTGTACGCCAGATGTCACAGACACTTCGTCTAGTGTGTCTTCGGCTGGTAAGTTGGCGTATTTCAAGCGGAGTTCTTCGGCAGTCAATGTAGCATCGTCGTCCACATTGGCTTCATCGTCAGTTTCAGACTCAGATGTTGACATGTTGCTCTCGTTATCCGATCCAGACGAGTCCAACGCAGAATCCGAGTCGCCATCGCCCTCCTCATCGTCGCTCGTAGCAGCGGCATCGCTGGGAACCTCACCCAGAATCTCAGATCGGCGTTTCTCGAAAAGCATGGTCGACTTCTTAATGGCACGGTCGAGGGCCTGCTGGTCTTGCACTTTTCGCTCTTCCTCCCAGCGAGCGAGACGTACCCGGTCAATCTCAGCGCGTGTCAGGTCAAACATCTTCTGAAGATCTTTGCCCACCTGCTTGCGCTTCACGCGTACTTCTTCCTGCTGCTCGCGAAGGATATCCTCCGGATTCTTGTGGCGCTTCCGGTACGCGTCGGCGCACCACTGCGCGACCAACTTAGCCATCTGCCGATGCCTTTTATGTTCCTTGTCCAGCAGCTTCTGGAAGTACAGTGCATGCGACACAAGATGATCTTGATGAGAATATTGTGGAGGCGGCTCCTCCTGCTGGTCTGTAATGTATGCCGAGCAGACCTCCGAGCTCAACGGCCCGCCAGGCTCAGCGGCATCAACCACTTCACATCTCCTCCGGGCTTCCAGCCGAGCCTCCTCCGAAGACAATAGGTTCGGGGCATCCTCATGATCCATCCATTCTCGAAACGACTCGTATTTCTTGTGGGCCACGTGGCCAGGGTGCCGAATCGGGAGAACCGGCTTCTTCACCTTGATTCGAAGACGCGGAATCTTTGTAGACCCTTCTTCGCCTTCCCCGTTATTTATATGAGAATAATCAAAGCCATCACCGACTGGGGCGGGTGCTGTCGAAAGGGAGGAGCGGTCGCGAAGCTGACGAGGGCTGGCGCCGTTGGTACTGGGACGAGGACGTTTGGGGTTGCCGGAGCTTCGTGATCGAGTGCGAGAGTGGTTCGATTTCGGCGCTGGGGACGGTAATACTGGTGGTTTATTGCCGGCAGTAATGCTTCTCGTGGACCCCGTCCTGGGTGACCCATTAGCTGTGGCCTTGCCCCCAACCTTCCCATTGACATGGGCGCGCGACTGCGTCGCAGCCAGCGGAGAAGACGTGGCAGGTTTCGCACCATCGCGAGAATTCTTCTGCACGTGGTGATGTTGTGCTGCGCGCGTGTGCCGTTTGCCAGATTGGGGCTGCAGGTCCAGCGGGACCGCGTTGGTCCGCGAAGACCTGCGCCGGCCCTCTACGGTGAACGAAGTCGGCCCCTCAACCCCGACCTTCTTCCATGGTGGCGAAGGGGGACGGGGCGTGGAGGAACGCGACGGTGTAGTGTCTGTGAGCCTTCGCTTCTTGGATGGCGGGCCTTCGAGTTGATGGGTGGCTTCATCGTCTTTCGAGTCCGAAGGGATAAACTCGTAGGGCGTCGAATCAGGCGGATTTTCCAGCACGGCTACTTCGAGGCGTTGGGAATTGGAGACAGGCGTTGCAAGTTCATCTTGGGGTGATGGGCCGTTCGGGCTGCCGTTTTGCATGACTTGAAGCCGCGGACGACAGGGGCCTTCTGGACAGTTGACCCCAGTTATCCCAACGATGGCGCGGTCGGAGTAGACGATTTGGGCATCAATGAGTAGAGCTGATCGAGTCAAGGTGCCACCGGAAGTTTGGCATGCTTATCGGCACGGTAGCGCGGATGGAGACCGGAAAACGAGCACGATGGGGTGATTGCGTGAGGAGGTGGTTTTTTCGTCGGGGCGAGACTTGCACTTGTAAGCGCGCCGCGTGTGGATGCCTGTTGCTGCCTCAGGCTTCCGTGCCACAAACCTCCATCCGTTCCATCATCGACCTCGCAACCCTCCCTCCAAGTCCCCTGCCTTCCCACCCTCCCCTTCTTACGGTCTTTTGGCAGAGCTGTGAGTATCTTTCTCTACCCGTAATGGCATCCGGCTCCTCTCTACAGTCTGACTGACTCTCAATTCCTCCTACAGATGCTGTCCCAACGGATCCTGGCCCGGCGCCTGCCCCAGGTTGCTGCCCGCAGTGCCATTGCCCCCCGCGCATCCTTCTCCCAGGTCCCGGCCCACCGTGCCGCTGAGATCGAGGACCCTCTCCAGGTACGAATGAACAAGTGGCGATTATTCCGCCGCATCCCTGGGCGATGAATTGGCGGGTTCTAATAGGCTTTTCTAGAATGGCGGCTACCAGAACCCTCCCCGTGTGAAGCGTCAGTTCAGAGATCCCTACGGTGGCTGGTGGGATAAGCAAGAGAAGCGTAACTTCGGAGAGCCGGTCCACGAGGAGAACGAGATTCTCGGTGTCTTCAGTCCCGAGCAGTACACCCACGTCAGCTCCCGCAAGGGTTTCTTCCACCTGGGAGTGTTCGTCGCAACCTTCCTGAGCCTTTGCGGAGTTGTCAGCCTCTACTACCCCGACAAGCCGAGTGCTCCGAAGACCTACGTTGATGGTTTGGAGAAGGAACTGGGCGGTCCCAATGCGGTGCCGGTACGTATACACACTGTACCCCTACATATGCCGTCCCAATATAATATACGTGTGGATACCAAGCTAACCAAACCCCTGGCTTCTAGGCTCGCAAGGCTAGTGAGGACAAGTGGTAATGCACATCTGGCCCTTTTTATTTTTGTTGTTGTGTGTGTAAATACCAATCCGATTTTGTTTCCTATATTCGGCGTCACTTGCGGGTCTGATGGTTGATAGCCAAGAAAGTGTTTCTGGCTCTTTGACACATGCTGGATCAGCCTCAGAAAAATGAAGTCCGATCATTTTCTTCAATGACCATTTATCTTAATTGTCAATCATGCTGTAAAACTGGTGAGTCCGGGTGGGGCGGATCGGGGCTGAAGCCACAGTGGCTGGCTACCTTGGGATCTGACATCCACCGCCGACTCAGGCTGAGACGGTTGTCGCAACGACCGTAGACAATGCGATCAGAGGATCACAAGAACCAGAGGCTGCTTTGTTGCCAATGCAAAGGACATGGGAGGTGTGGACATTCGTACCAATTCAATAGTATGAGTGGCACCAGCCGCCCTTGCATGCTGGTTCACGCATACCCGGTAGCGCCCGTAGATCGGGCCCTCAAGGGAGGACAGGGCTGCAAACATGCATAAAATACACCCAGCAACACAATTAAACTAGTAACAGGCATTAGCACACACACCACACCCTGGTGGCGGGCGGTTCGCTGCTCTTTCATAGTTCAGGGTATTGTTTTGGTCCGGGCGCCTACGTCAGTTGGTTCGGCAGCTTGTGTGTTTCATCCTCTTATCCCCCCCTCCTTTCTTCCCCTTCAGTAAACATTCGAAACATTTCAGCCCCCCTCCAGCTCGGCCAAGGCAGTCCCACTTCTCGAACACTAAAAGCAGCTGCCGCCAAAAACAAATTTAGCACTTCTTCCAACCCGCGCCGGCTGGTGGTCTGCGTCCATCATCCATGGTCCCGCATTCCACTTGCTCTCCCCTCGCACGAATCCAGAGAACCGCCTCATGTCGACGGCATCTAGTCAATCCCGAGGAGTCAACCGACGGATAAACAGCCTTCAGAATGAAGGTCGCCATTCGCGCAACTCGTCTGTCTCGCGCCGCCGGCCTCTCACGGCCAACATCGCAAGCAGCCACGCTCTGCGCGTAGCCTACCTCACCTACCTCCTCCACCCTCGTTCCCGTCGCATCCAAAATGCACCGGCCGCGCCGGCACGGCCCAAGCGATCATCGACCTCGATCCATGATTTGATGAGTGACTTTTCGCTAGTCAGGGACTCGAAGAGCACCAGAATTCCGCATGGCTTTCTGTCGGAGCTGGAGAAGCGGTTGACCGGCGTGTTGATGGGGAAGGAGAAAAGGAAGGAATACCAGGATCATTTGGTGGTGCGCACGTTTGCCGTCTTTCTCAATGTGCTCAAGGAAGACTCCTTCCGCAACCGCATGGAGAAAGACCGCCGTGCCGAAGATCTACTCCTTATCTTCTACTCCAACGCCATCAAGGAGCTGGGGAAGGGCAAGGAACACGATGACGATAGCTGGAAGCTCATGGTCGATCGCCACGTTGCGCTTTTTGTCCGTCTCCTGGCGCTGATTCTCAAGAGCAATGACTGGTCTAAGGACCGTCCAGAGCTGGCAAACCGATTGTCGGTGCTGGAGAACAAGCTTCTTCTACAGGATCAGGACTTGATGGATTCAAATGGCCCCGCATCAACAACAGAGGTTCTGGCCCCCCTGAGCCACGACGTGAAGGACATGCCTCTTGTACAACATGTGGCCAAGATCTTCGGGATGACGACCCTCCAAGCCCAATCTGAGATTGATAAAAACAGATCGGTTTGGACAGAGAGAGCAGCTCTTCAGGATCTCAAGACCTATCAAACACAGCTGAGTCTTCATACCCGCAAGACGCTGTGCAGAGAGGACTTCGAGACAGACGAGGCCTTTGAAAGCTGGAAGAAGAGCGAGGGTCCCGATCTGTCGCAGATGATGCTTGCAATTGTACAGTCCAACCCAGAGCTTGCCAAGAGCACTCCTGGAGCTCTGCCCCAATATAACGCTACTGCCGGGGACGACCTGTCCTCTCCTCGAGACCGAACATCCTATGCCATTGATCAACCGGTTGATCTCAGCTCGCTCTCCCTGGGCGGCGCGGATGGCGACTCTGAAGAATCTGACACATATACTTTCATACCATCGGATCCCCGGGCCGTGTACAGGTTCATTCTAGCCCAGACTTTAGCCCATGACCTTCGCGATCGGGAAATTGAAGCTTCACAAGCCACATCGGATGCGCCGTCGATGAAGCTGCTCTCAAAGCAGTCCACAGAAATGCTCAACGAAATTTGTCTCCGCTGGCGGATTCCTAATTTCTCACGCATCGTGCTCTTCCTCGACGTCATTCAGTCCAAGTACGTGGACTCGGAGATCGACCTCGGCACCCTGGACTCAGCATTCACATTTGTGAAAGAGGCGCCCAGCAATGAACCGCGGGTCAAGCGCAGCAGCTTCATGGCCTCCTCCCTTTTTGATCGGCGGAAATGGAGCGTGCATGATTTGCAGACTATGCAGCAGCTACTGTCCAAAATTCATGAGGCCCTTCTGCGTGAACTTTACGACGTGATGATGGATTGTTTCGAGGCGAAGCCCCGCCCAATTGGGCCTGTAATGTACGTCCTCCAAAATCACATTCAGATGGACCCAAATTATACAGAGGATCCGGAGGACATCGATCGCTTCTCTTCGTATGTGCAGGATGGTCTTGCTCAGAAGGCAACGGAGAAATACCAGAGTCTTCTTGGCCAACTGATCCCCGTCGATCAGGACTCGTGGCAGGTTGATAATGTAATTCAGCTGGGTGATGCCATCTCGAAACTGGCGCAGAAGATTCAGAAGCGGTACAGGAATAATCCTGAGATTATGGGGTACGTTTCTCTCAGCATTCTTCTTGGGAAATAATTCTAATCGTCAGTAGCGTCAACCCTTATACCACCCTATGTCTTAATGTACTCCCGATGTTTGCGGAGGATGCGAATGAAATGGTCATCCGAATCATTGAGCATGCCAAATCTGTGGGCGAGGAGATCGATATTGAAGATGGCTTTGATCTGTACAGGCAGCTTGCCACGATCAGACGTCTTTTCACGAACACTATTCCTGAGTAAGAACATACGAGCCCCTCCCCCCCCCCCCTTTATTTCGAAGACCCCCAAACTTACCAACCCCACAGCACCCCGTTCCCGTTCCACGTGGAGAGTCTACTGGAAGAATTTGTCTGGCGATGGCTCCGTCTGACTGACCAGAGTGTCATGGAGTGGGTTGACCAGTCTATTCGACAAGATGCATTCACCGTTCGCGGAGGTGGGACAGGCGCGGTCGTACCAGAGGACAACCGACACAGTGTATCGGTAATTGATATCTTCCGGTCCTTTAATCAGGTGGTGGAGAACCTGATCGGGCTGGAATGGGACGACGATCTTCAGTATGCGAAATTCATGACCGCTCTCTCGAACTCCATTGGCAAGGGTGTTGCAAAATACTGCGAATCCTTGGAACAGATGTTTGCCCGTGAGATGGACCGTCTCACGCCGGAACAAGAAGCGGTATTGAACCAGACCACTCAGGAGAAACTCATGCAATTCGCCAAGGACACATGGACGAATAAGGTCAAGATCGAGCCATTCCAGTTTTCGTCTGAGGTATGCACCCCACCCCCGCTGTTGATTCATGTTGAAGGGTTTTTGCCTCTGACCACCGTGAAATAGTCCCTAGTGAAGTTGAACAACGTCGAGTATGCGCTGTCCCAATTGGACAGGCTCGAGAGTGAAATCAACGTTGATGGATGTGCCGATGTTATCGCAAAGAATACTCCTCCGCAGCTCAAGAAGGTGCGCAAGTCCACCACTTACGTCTTCACGATCAAGGTGGTGGAAGCAGAAGATCTGAAGGCATGCGACATGAACGGTGGCAGCGATCCGTATGTCGTCTTGACCGACGAGTACCAGAAGCGGATTGCCAAAACACGCATTATCTATAACAACCTCAACCCTCGGTGGGAGGATGCAGTAGATATCACAACACAGGGCCCGCTGAACATAATTGCCACGATCTGGGATTGGGATGCAGTGGGCGATCACGATTATGTTGGCCGGACATCGATCAAACTTGACCCCGTTCACTTCGGTGATTTCCTCCCGCGTGAGTACTGGCTCGATCTGGATACTCAAGGGCGGCTCCTGCTGCGTGTCAGTATGGAAGGCGAGCGAGACGACATCCAGTTTTATTTCGGCAAGGCTTTCCGTACCCTCAAGCGCACAGAGAGGGACATGACTCGGAGGATCACCGAGAAGGTACGTTACTTCCTCCCTGATACAAAGCTTGATGCTTGTAGGTTGACCTTCCCATTTTTAGCTCTCGGCCTATATCAGCCATTGCCTGTCTCGTCGGACGTTGAAGTCCCTCCTTTCGCGCGGTCTCAGCATGTCGACCGTGTCCAACTTCCTGAACCGCAACCGCGGGCAACCTACCTCCACGGGCCCTACACCGGCCGATGTAGAGAATGCCCTGGACCCACTTTTCAACTACTTCAATGACAACTTCGCAATAATGAACAAGACCCTCACCGGCGAAGCCATGCGCATGGTCATGGCACGTCTCTGGAAAGAAGTCCTCGCCACAATCGAAAGCCTCCTCGTCCCCCCACTCTCCGACAAACCCTCGCACCAGAAACCCCTCACAATGCAAGAAGTCGACATTGTTTTCCGCTGGCTCGTCCTCCTCCTCAACTTCTTCCACGCCATCGACGAAGACACTGGCGAAGCCGGCGGCATCGCAATCGACATCCTCAAATCCCCCAAGTACCACGAGATCCAGAGCCTGAACTTCTTCTACTTCGAGCCGACGGAGAACCTGATCCGCACGTCGGAGCGGATGGCCTCGGCGAACGTGAACCGCCAACAGGCCAACCGGAACCGCCTCTCGGCGCCCGCACATCTGGGTGCCACGGGATCCGTACATGGCGGGCTCGGCGTACCTGCTGCGCGCCGCGCGAAGAGCATCATGCTGTCGCGGAACCTGGGCACCATGAAGAAGGTCAAGGAGGAGAAGCGCCGCGAGGCACAGGCCGATCCGAACGACGATATGATCCTGCGTATTTTGCGCATGCGGCCCGAGGCTGCGGGGTATCTGCGGGATCGCAGTCGGCAGAAGGAAAGACTTGCGGCAGCGGCGGCGGCGGATGCCATCGTGAAACAGAGTCTAATGGCTGGTGCGGGGAGCCGGATGAGCGGGACGATTCCCCGGCGCTGAGCGGATGTGAGATGAGATTGAGAGGAGGGAAGTGGATGGGAGTGGAGGGTAGGGCAATTGAGGTGTCCTTGTTGAAATGTTCTTGTTCCTTTCTCCTTCTATTCCCTTTGTTCTGTTTGTCTTGCTAGCGATCGATCGAAGGGTCAGAGGATACCGCGCATGATGTGACTCGTAATATCATTTTGTTTGCTATATGACTGAATTAGCAATGAATCTCTTTCCAATTGACCAGAATCTGTTCCTGGGGCTCTAAAGGCCTAGCTAGTATACCAGGCAACAGCGTGGCTTGGAGTGGTATAGTAGCTCAACTCCTCCCCGGAGATCCTTGGTTTTATACTTTACGAACTCCCCCAGTAGGTGGCGAAGGTACCACGGTGCGCGCCACAGAATAAATCTAACTCGAAAACCGTATGGCAACTAAACTCAAGTCAACCATATACTCCGCTAGCGTGTTCTGTATGTTATATTTCATATTCTGCATATATTATGTGGCCCAACCAATTCCACAATCAACCCCCTCCCCAATGGCCCATGCAGAGCTGACTCACTAGATCCATCACGATCCGTCTCCGCGGCTGCCATTGACAGTCGCACATCTTCCACCCAACCTCCTCAATCGAATTTACAGAACGACCCCCTCTCGCCGTCAATTCCAGCGTATGACACCTTCCATCTCCTAGGCATTGATCCGAATATCCAGCCCAGCCTAACCCTAACCGCCCGCGCCATTCAGTCTCCAACCCTCCCATCCCCGCACCGAGTCGCAACATCCCGTCCGATACTACGAACCCCACCCACGTCAACGCGCCCAATATGCACATAACCATGCACATAACCACAGACCCCTCTACGCCCTCAGAAACCCTCCTCCCCCCCCGCCGCAGTCCCCTGCTACCCACCAGCAAGCGCCGCAACACCAGCCAAGCCAATCCGACCAGCACACCTCTACTTCGCCTACGGCTCCAACCTCTCCCCAACGCAGATGGCGCAACGCTGCACCGCAAACCCCGCCCAATCTGCACGACCCGTCGCAATCGCCTCGCTACCTCACTGGCGCTGGCTAATCTGCGAAGCGGGATACGCGAACGTGCTCCCCCTCCAGGCCTACGCACCGGCGCCCAGGATAGCCCCGCCGCGCACCAAGTCCCCATCTCCGGAGTCGATGACACGGTGTACGGTGTTCTGTATGCAATGGATCCGGCCGACGAGCGGAGACTGGATGGGTTCGAGGGTATTGATCACACTGCGGAGAGTGCGGAACCGGATGGTGAGGTGGGCGTTGACATCCGGCCGCGGGAGCAGGGGGAGGGCGACTATAACAAGTGGTACTTGGGTGCGCGGGTTGTGAAGTGGCTTGATGGGGGGAGAAGAGCGCGCGAGGGCGGCGAAGCGTGGAAGTGAACGTGGAGAGGAAGTCAGGGTACTGGTCTATGTGGATGAGGAGCGGGTGGTGATGTCGCCGCCTAAAACGGAGTATGTGCCGCGGATGAACCGGGCGATGCGCGAGGCGGAGGAATTGGGGCTGAGTAAGAGGTGGTTGGGGGAGGTGCTGAGGAGGTCTATTCCGGAGGAGTGAGGATAGAAGTATCAGTATAAGATAACAGATATCAGATATTAGATCGAGAATTTAGAATCTAGAGACTCATTGTCGAGCACGGAATGAAACCCAAATGTGGTAGCGGAGCAAGGTAGCATTAGCCAAGTAGCCATATTAGTAGATGCATTGGGTTCAATATGCAATGGGTTCAATATGCAAGAAAACAATGGCATGCCCGTGAACCACGAGGTATATCTATAAAAAGAGAAAGAGAAAAAGGAAAGAAAAAAAACGACACGGCGCAAGGGAACAATCAGATTCTCCCAAGAGGCGCGGCGTATGAGCCTGCTCTACACCCGCCCTTAGTTAAAAAAAAATTGTATTAAAAAGGAGGGTACACCTCCGCGTAGCAAGAAACAAACAAGCCGCAAGAACAAGCCAGGGAGACAGGCCCATCGAGTAGTCCGGTTGAAATACCAAACAGGCCCTTTGAAAATAAACATATCCTCCAACATTATAGCTCGGCTTGTCTCGGGGCCAGCGATCTGGTCGGCGGTTCCGGTTCCGGGAGTGGCGGCTGCCGAGTGTACTGGTGACTTTGGGCGGGGTGTCAGTACACTGCCAAATGCCGCGGGAGAGTATTGGCGGGATCGGGCGGTACTCGGGGGAGAACGAGAAGAGATTGAAAAAGAACAGAGACAATTGCACTTTTTTTTTTGGCGGGTTGGGTGTGGCGTGCATCGGGCGCATGTGAAACGGATGATGCGGGATACGAGATGGACATGCCAGAGATTGGAGGCGGCCCCTAGGAGGTCGAAGCTAGCTGCTTAAGCCTGGCCGGAGAGCAGGGTGTAGACCGGGGCGGGGAGCTTGTCGCGGCCCTTGAGGAACTCCAGCTCGAGAATGAAGATGAAGCCCAGCAGGTCGCCGCCCATCTTGCGGATCATTTCGCCGCCAGCCCAGGCGGAGCCACCTAGATAAAGATGTGAGCATACGTACAGGTCGTCGTTTGGGAAGCATCCCGGATCTTATCACATCACAGAATATATGTAGATATCTGACAACGTACCAGTGGCAATGATATCGTCCACGACAATAACCTTCTGGCCGGGCTTGATGGCGCCCTCCTGCATCTGGAAGTAATCCTCGCCGTACTCCTTTTGATACGATTGGGTCACGCAAGGACCAGGCAGCTTGCCCTGCTTGCGGACCGGCACAAAGCTAGCACCGAGACGCAGGGCCAGGCTCGGGCCCATCAGGAAACCGCGGGCCTCCAGGCCGACGATGACATCAGGCTTCTGGCCCCCGTAGGCCTCGAGAATGTGCAGCTCGAGCGAGCGGATGAGGGACTCGTGCAGGGCGGGGTCCGCGAAGATAGGCAGGATGTCCTCGAAGAGGATGCCGGGGGAGGGGAAGTCCGGGAACTGGCGCAGGGCGGCGCGCAGGCCTATTTTAAGACTGGCGAGTTCGGCGGCGCTGGAGGAATGGGCGGAGGCGTATCCGGGGACTTGGGCGGAGGCATCGAGGGTGGAAGAGTTGGACATGGTGAGAAAAGAAGGAAAGAAGGAGGGGAGAGAAGAAGAGGGGGAAAGATGCGAGGGGAGCAGAAGTGGGATAGGATAGGCAGAGGCTGGAAAGAGGGGAGAGTGCAAAAGGTCGAGTTCGTGTAAAGATAGCAATTAGAAATTGTAAAACCGCCAAAAAAAAAAAAATTCTAAATGGTAACAACGGTTGTAAAAAAAAACCTAGAAAAACTAAAAAAAGTTCGGTAGGTTGGGTAAAATTACGGGTCCGGGTTGATAAGCACCGGTTGCCCCTCGGCGGGGCCTGAAAGTCTAGATTTGCTGCATTCGCCCTGCTCCTGTACTTTCTTGGGCGGGTTTCGTGGCGGTTGACTCCTCCACCGATACACGTTCATACTGAAATGGGAAGGAGAACCAAGGGGACGTGCTCTGGCCTATCAGAGAATATGGGAGAACAATTGAGGACCTCGACGACTCGATCGGGGAGTAAGAAGCCAGGAACGTAAACGGACTCCGGATCAACCAGCGGTCAGATTGTGATTGATGCAGATCAGTCAGTGACGGGCTACTGGCGGTACCTCAATGGGGCGAGACTAGGGTCTGGTTTCTAAAATGCGCCCCTCTAGGGCAGTTCATGTACTCCGTACAATATCGGAGAGAGGTAGGAGGCGCGAACGCAGAAGTACGACATAACCACGCCACCCTTGCCGTCTATATTCCATACCCCCGCAGGGTAGTACATAGTACATAGTATAGTACATAGTATAGTGCATAGTATACAATACGGATGGACATAGACTCGGTCTAATGGCAGCCTTCTCTCAGAAGCCGTAGGATCTCAAGTACTCCGTGTATACTCTGTACCGTGCAATCCAGCGGTGACCTCCCCTCTCCACCAGCGGCACCGCAGCCATCGCGCCATGCATTCTCGCCAGTTTCTAGAACCCGCACATGTAGCTCCTTACCCGGAATGAACCAGGTGTGGTGAGGTGTCTCGCTGGGGACCCGTCCCGCTGCGGGCCTCGGCGCAGTCGCTTTGGCTGATCCGCGCGAATCGGCCGCTTGCACTATGCAGGAGGGGTCTTCTAATACTGTATGGTGTATGTTGTAAGCTGTCCTCCGTAAGGACTTGCTGGTCGAGACTAGTGTCCTAGTTTTACTGGTCCTGCTGGTCCTGCTAGCACTAGGCCTTACGGCTAACGGACGTCGTTCGGAGCGAATCAGCGGCTGCCCTGCGAACAGGTTCTGCCCATCACACCATACGAGGCCAAGCGGCTGGAGTAGTGTCGGAACTCTGGGTCTCTGATCCAGTCTGGGTAGGAGTAGTACCCGGCCGAGTAGCTACGTTGGTTTTGGCGACGGTTTGGCGGAGCAAGTGTATACCGCGTACATACTCGGCTGCGATGATTACCTGCGAGGTCGTCGAGTACCTCGTACGTATTGGGATCCCCCATTATTCTGTATTAATATTGACAGTCAGGAATGACTCATGAAAGGCTCACCACGACACAATACCGAAATCGCCGTCTCCCACGTCTAGAACCCTGGTCGCTGGGAATTTGTCTAGACTGGTTCTGATAGTCCAGACCGGGCGGCCCGCCCCTCCCCCGTGAGTGGAATGTTGTCTGTTGGTGGACAAGCCCAACAGGCAGCCGGGAACAGGCGGCTCTTAGCTCCGTCAAACCATCGGTGGTCTGAGGTCTGAGGTCTGAGCTGAGGTCTGAGAGCTCCAGGCAACCCACCAAGACCTGCAGGATGGAAATATCGTGCAGACCTCCGACGATGGCAGTTCGCGAATAAGCGGCGGCGCACTGCGATCTCGATCCGGAGACTCGTCACAGCAGCCGTTCTGACGCTGCAGTATCAGGCCTGCAGGGCTAGTGAGTGGATCGACTGGAGGGTTACAACTTTAGGACCAGGGGGGGGTTCTGTTCTGCAGGCAGGGCGCAGTAGTGGGGGGGCGATTTTAGTGGCGCTACAAGGAGGGGAAATGGCGAACTGCAGTTTTCGATTGCATTTCCGATCGCAATGAAAAGGCAACGGGATGAATAATGATAGTCCGAGGGGATTAGGTTTTTGGCCTGGTTTAGCTATTTACCATATCTCTACGTAGAAAGATACTTATGAGGAGAAATTGCATACGCTCGGACTGAAGTGGGGCGTGTGGTTTAAAGTACGGGGTACCTGAGAACCGAAAGAAAAGAGCAACTAACCTAAATGAAATATTGCGCAAGTACAGAATTACAAGTACAGAATTAAATTCATCGAATGATGAACAGACCAGAAGAGAGAGAACATATGGAGAACGAGACCGGGGCTACAGCTTAAGTCACGGAGGATTTAGGTTGGAAATCGGGTCGACTCAGGGATATATATATAAACACACCTCAAGATAGATTCAGCAGAAGACAGGCTCGTCGCAACTACCAGTAGGTTTCATTTCTCACCTCCAAGCAGGAATAACACAGCGGAAAAAACCACCCGGGAGAGGACCATAAACCAGCCTTACTATAAAGCTGGTTCTTTAGCCAAACTCTAGCTGCCCATACGGTCCCATTGGACGATAAATCCCGAGATAAAAAGACCAACTTGGATGAGGGACATAAATTTAGCATAAACACATACATCCTGTCGTACCGACAAAGAATAGGCGAGGGGATAGTAGATGGAGTGATCCTGTATGAGTTTGGGACCCTGAAACCCTGTGGGTGAAGGTATATTTCTTCCGCGGTTGTATTATTATCGCTGTCACTACAGGGACAGTGATCGGAGTGTAAGAAGTTGGCATAGACTGCTTCTCACACGGCTAGCCAATGGTCCACCAGCCATCACGGAGGCTCCTTAAGCCCACGATACGTCCGTCTTCTGTAGGGATTCCGGTCCGTTGACAGACTTGTTTCCGCAGAGTGTTGTGTTCACAGTAGAACAAGAAGCTTTTCATTTCCCTTTGCAGTAGCAGCAGCAACGTTCTCAACTCCAGCGGACGGCGCAGGGAGTGGCTAGTCCGAGCTGGAGAGATTTGTAAGAGATGAAGGCAGAAGCTCCCTGATCTCGTTTTGCACTTCTTTGCGGGTAGAGGAAAAAAACCGGTTATGTATAGGGGTGGGTACTGCTCGGAAGCAAAAAAAGAAAGGATCTCAGGTTTTTTTTTAGGAATAGCCGAACGCGGGGGTCGAACCCGCAACCTTGAGATTAAGAGTCTCACGCTCTACCGATTGAGCTAGCCCGGCAGGGCTGGTTGAAAAGCGTGGCAATTTATGAGCTCATAAGGGGAACGACCATAAAGAGCAGTCAAATTTGATCTGCATGATGGGATGATTGGACAGCATGTGTTCGGAGGAGCGGAAATTGTACTATTGCTTGCAGATGTCAGGTTGCATTTATTCTTTGTTTCTTTCGCCCGAGTGCGAGCTCGTCGGTAGTGAGCCCTTTGAGCCGATATTCAAGGTACGTCGGCATAAATCTGTTGGAACTGTCTTCGGACTGCTTGCGCATTCTCTCTATATACATATAATATGGGTACTGCGGATGCAGCAAAATGCTCAATACTATTACTGCCTCAGAACATACCCAAGACAGTTCCACATCATCCATAAAAAAGTCAGAGACAACCACACAAGCGACCCCAAAGCCTGTTCTACCTGAGATTCACACAGTACACATCTGAATATCACGACCTGATCGAGCCTTCCGGTCGACGCTCAAAGCCAGTGATCACCCGACCGCGGCTAACAACCACGTGACAGACACACGGACCATCTCGCTTAACGTTTTTCCGGCGTCTCGCCATCCAGCTATAAAATATCTTCCCCTTAATCTTTCCCTTCTCCATCGTCTTCACTTGGGTGTTTACACCGTCCCCAGAGCCTGGCCCTGCCCTATTCCCAATGAAGCTCTTCGTTATTCTGTAATCACTTGATGCAACTCTGCGATCATGTCGCCCTCCGCGATTCCCGAGGAGTTGCAGACGCAGTCGGATCTGCATCAGGATCAGCTACAAGCAGTGGGCAAAGCTTTCGATGCCCTGCTACTAACACTCTACCGGCTTACCCACAGACACAATGACCTCAAGCAGTATACAGAGGAGGCCTCGAAGCAGGTACTTACCCCCCTTTTCGTTCTTTCCCGCTTGCATCTCCCCTCCCCTTCCCCTGTCTCAAATGACGAGAAAATTTGATTAGCTCTAGATCAGTAGTCACTCTTTTGTGGCGGTGACGGATTAACATGTATTATCCGATGAGACTTTTTACTTGCTTTCTTTTGTTTCACTTGGATTTATCCTTGCTTTTGACTGGACAGGACTTGAATGCTGACATGCACCTGGTTCTCCAGTACACGAACGTGACAAGATTACTGTCGCCCCAAGATAGACCTCATGCGATGGAGGTGCAGCAAAGGTTGCTGGATCAACAGAAACAATTGTGTCAGGGCCTTGTTCACAACAAGCCGCCAGTCGAAGAACAGTCGTTGAATTCAATGGAAATAATGAAGACGCTCGTTTCGCACCAAAATGTAGACGAAAATTCCATGCGGGCCATTCTGGACGGGGTCAAGGGGTACAAGGCCCTGCTCCGTTCCGATGGCCTGTCCCCAATATCCTCCGCGAACTCGTGCCTCTTCGCACGCGGGCCCGATCCCTCGGTGACCCTGGAGCAAGATTTCACAACCAATGGTACCCAGGGCAGTCTGCACTGCCCTTTCTCGAAACCCAAGTCGTCCCGTGCTGGCAGTGATGCGCCGAACGGGAAGGATGATGGACCCAAGATTCAAGTCGACTCTTGCGGACACAATCATCTGGATCCTATCAAGGCGGAACAAGAAGAACGGCGCTCCAGTACCACCCCGTCCGTCGGCCAATCCTCCCAAGGGCGATGTCCTGTATCCCGATGCCCCATTCGGTACCTGGACAAACACTCACCGGAGGAGATCGCTGAATATGTCGAACGACACAAGCACGAAATCCCCCGGAGCCATGCCATCTGCGTGAAGCGATACCAGAAGGACCCCCAGAATATGCGGCAGCTGGATGCTAAGTACGGCGGTCTGATTAATATGATCAGTGGCCTCAGTGCGAAACATCAGGCCTTCCTGCCCGGGTGCCAGGCCAACGGTGACGGCGAGGGCGGGTCCGACCCTTCCGCGTCTACAGAGCGAGTTGAGAAATGGGCCGAGAACGTCGACCCCGAGACTCCAGGACCGTCCAACCACACCGAGAATCGCGAGAGCCGTTTCGACCGTCCCCTTCGTGAAGTCCGGGTAGGCGAGTCCCCAAGCCGGCCTTGGGGCATCCCCGTACCCATCACTCAAGAACCCCCCGTTTCAGTACCATTCTCCGGATCGCCGTCTGATCCGATAGTCCCAGGCGCTCATCCTGCCGACCCCTTCGCAAAGTCGCCTGGCGATGCATCAACTAAACCAGCCGGCCGGTGTCCATTCGGACATGATGCCCCCAAGGCAGAACCTGCTCCTAGCCCTCCTGTCCCTGTCCCCGTCCCCGACTCCGACCCCGCCGCCCAACTCGGACCCCCTTGGTCCAACTGGGGCAATGCTGTTAATGCCGCCATGGGCGAGACAGCTAACACAGGCGCTGGAAAGACCGAGGATGCCACCATGGAGACCGACACCAAGTCCCTTCCGACGCATGTCACCTTCAACGGGCCTGTGTTCTTCGGATATTCCGCCGAGCAGACGGCCGGCCTGATGCAGCAACTGGGGCATTTGAACCTGGGAAAGTCCTAACCATCCACACCTCCCGAATTTGAATTCCTCTTTCTTTCTCCTGGATATCCATGTTTGACTACCATCCTTGAAATGTTCTTCCCGGCGCACAGCGAGCACAGCAACACCTGACGATGAGACGACCATCTAGCTTAGCCATACTTTCCCCCCGTTCTTTTGATTAAACTGTACTTCTAGAAGCAATTTGAACTCTAAAACACCTTCTTTCCTATCTCAGCCCTCCGTAACCGGAGCCTTATCTTTCCCGAACCTTCTCCCAACGCGTTAGTCAGTGACATTGTTCCCCTCGGGAAACCAACCCCACCAAAGCGAGCGGGGCCCGACGGCAGTACTCGACCTTATATCCCACCTCCCACCATGCTGCGAATCACTTCTCGCATCTCAGCACTCTCGCGCACCCTGAATTCTCGTATTACGACTCCGTCGCGCCCTCAATTCCTACCGTACAACATGTCTGCCAACATGTCCTCCATCATTTCCAAGGATGCCTGCCCTCGTAAGTTCTGGACCTGACTTGAGTCATACCCTGCTATCCCTAGCTCTGCCCGTTTCGCGTTTCGTGATCTCCAGCAAGACCTGGATACACAAGATTGCTAACTTTATCTATCCTGCAGCTGCCGGCCCTTATGTACGTCTCTCAAACTCTGCTCCAGAATAGCAGAACACCAGAACACCAGAACACCAGAACACCAGCACTTACACACTCTCCTTCCTCCCACCCCACACTCCACCTGCATCCAACTAATGCTCCCAACAACAGTCCCAAGCCATTCGCGCAAACGGCCAAATCTTCGTCTCCGGCCAAATCCCCGCTGACGCTACCGGTGCCCTGGTGCAAGGCACCATCGGCGAGCTGACCCAAGCCTGCTGCAACAACATCAACGCAATCCTGACCGCGGCCGGCTCCAGCGTGTCGAAGATTGTCAAGGTGAACGTGTTCCTGACGGACATGGCCAACTTTGCAGAGATGAACGCTACCTACGAGAAGTTCTTTGTGCACAAGCCGGCGCGCAGCTGTGTTGCTGTGCACCAGTTGCCGAAGGGTGTGCTTGTTGAGATTGAGTGCATTGCTCTGGAGTAAGGACTTAGAATGTATGGATGTAGTATAAGTGAAAGAAAAAAAATGAATGAACTGAATGGAATGGCCTTATGAATCGAATGTAATTGAAGATTTAGGATTTGCCTGTGGTAGTTGTATTCTGGTCTTGGTCTTGTCGATCTGATTTCATACCTGCCCTGCGGCATTCACCCCGTTGCTAGCGCAGGACTGGGCGATTCATCTACTACACGAGCTACCTTTTGATCATCTAAATCCAAAACTTAAATGATCCCCAATCACCTCGGTGAGGCAGGGTTGAGCAAATATCTGCCCACATGCACCGCAAGACCAACCTCCCAACGCTTGAGACCGTTGCCATCACCGGGTATTCTAATGCTTTCAAATGATATATAGATTCGTAATAGGCACGCCGCGTGAGCGCATCGTAAACCGCCTCTTAACCCCCACGCCCGACGCGGCCCGCAGCAGCGCATAGGTCTCCTTGCCGCCGCCAACCATGACCATGCTAACGGGGTTATTGCGCGGGATCCCGCTGGCGGTCATCTGGGGCTCGTCTAGATGGGGGCGGATCAGGGAGCCTTCGGAGCGGAGGGCGGCGAGGGCGGCGAGGGCGGCTGCTGGGGCAGGACCAGAATCTGGGCCTTCATTGGGGCCCTTGTCGGCGTGGGGAGTGGGCGGGTCTTCGTCGTAGGAGACAATGATGACGAGTTTTAGGGCGGAGCGGGTGGGGCGGAAGGCGGGGATGTTTCGCATTTTTTGGGAAAAGGTGCAGCCGCCGCGCTTGATGACGAGGACTTCGTGGGTTTGGGCGACGTCGCGGAGGATGCGCTCGGAGCAGAGGTCGCCGGCGAAGTAGATGGTCGACCATGACAGGCGGCTGGTGGAGGGGTTGCTGAAGAGCGACATGGTGGAAGCATCCTCAACGTCAGGCAGCGGCGCAGCCCCGATGCCAGTGGGAATGGTCGCGGGCAGACTGAGTCGCAGCGGCGCTGCTTCAGCTTCAGTGGAGTCGTCTCGAATCAGCGCGGACACCGAGCTGAACAGGTTCGACAGCATGCTTCTCACGGCGGAGTCGGGGGCGTGGACGGCATCGCTCTCGTCGGGAGCGAGGGCAGCTTGCCGGCGGGTTGTGTGAGGCTCCTGGCCATCTGCCTGTGCTGGATGTTCTGCTGCAGGCTGGTCAGCTCGTGGAGCAGCTGAGCCACTGCTGCGGCGAGAGGGGTCTGCGAGAACGTCAATGACGAGGTCCAGCATAGCGGCGTCGCGGACCCGGGTGAAGTTTGGGTCATAGGGATCGACAACATCAAAGGTGATCTGGCGCGAGAGATATACCTTCTCATCTTTGCCCAGCGGCACGTTGTTGACCACCTGCACCCGGTACCCGTCTTCGTTCTCATGGCCCCCCATGCCGGAGGTTTGTTCGAGGAGTGGGACATCCTGAATCATGCTTAGCCGGAGACCGCCAATTGTTTTCACGAAGATGCCGTCGCGCACGCGCTCTAGGGCGCCAGAGCCCAGGTTGACGCCGCCCGGGAGAGAGGGGAAGGAAATGTCGAGGGTTGGGCGGTGGGCCATTGGCGCGCTGGTCGCGTTGAAGGGGACGAGTTGGGGTGGCAAGGTCCATGGGTAGAAAGTATAGTTGGTTGGTGAGGATAGGTCGGACACAGACACGCCGGGGTGATCGGGGGAGTCCGCCAAGATGGGACCTTCTCCCGTACCACGATGAGGTCGAAGATGTAGCCGCGCCAAGCTAGCGGCATGGAAGATGTCAGAACGCGACGCAGTGAATGAGACGCCAAATATCGGTGAGGTAGGAGGCGCCTGACAAGTGTCATCAGGAAGATACTGAGGAGATGCCAACTGCTGCTCGTGGCTGGGTCGATGACTGGGCCGGGTATTCGACCTCGCGGTCGTCTTCCTGGGAATAATCAGAGGATGGCCCTCCGTAGAGAAGACCCACGGTGCATCGACCTTGTTCAGTGGATGGTCCGGGGAGAAGAGTAGGAACATGTATTTGGCGGTCTCTCCAAGGAAAAAGCTTTCCATCCGATCAATCATCTCGCCAGTTTTGACATCCCGCAAACCTGCCCAGCCACACTTGGTCCAGCATCGCCGCTTGAGGTCGCGCAGCACCATCTCGCCAACATGAAGATACCATGGATCTTGGGTTGCACGGTAGATATAGTAAGTGGACTCGATGAATTCCGGCCGACCTCCATACCAGGACAGGCCGCCGTCAATATCACCCGTAGCCACATTCCACCGCTCCGGAAGACCCGAGAAACGCGTCCAGACGGCAGTTGTCAGCAGGTGGAGTTGAATGGCTTCATCGACCTTGCCGTCCAGAGCCAGCAGGCCCGGATAGTACGCGCTCAGGCTGTCAATCCAAAAGGCTCGCGTCGCACCAGTGGTCACATCGCCAACAATGAGATGGGGATGCTGATATCCTTCGCCGCGGTATAGATGGCGGTTGATTGCCGTATGCGAATCTTCCCAGACCTGAAGGAAAGCATCGGGAGAGTGCTGGTCCTGGGTCAACGGCAGATAATAATTGTCCAAGATGCTCCAGGGATTCTTCGGGTCGAAAGGTGGTCGCTCTCCCTCCGAGAGGAGAACGTGGGATTTGAACGCGTATTCATAGAAGCTATCAATGCCGGCACCAATCTGAAGATCTTGTTAGTCTTCGTCGATAATGTTTCGTCTCTTTCTGTGTTTACTTACACCCGAGTATGGTCCCACCCACTTCCCTGACTCTGCGTCAATTCCAAATCCAATCAATCCAATTTCACTGCGGTGGGACCAAACCGCCCAGAAAGCCCTCTTGGCTAATTCCTCATACCGGCCGTCGCCAGTGAGCCTGCTCAGGACCGTGAACTCAAGTACCAAACTGCCCGCACCTGCACTGCAAGTCTCGGTGATCTCATCTGCCGCTTTTTTGTACGAGTACTTTGACTTCCGTTCATTTACTTTGCTGTTCTGGGTATTCAATGGCGAATTCTGATAGAATGGAATGCCATGCCGTAAGTTGACACGTGGATAAGGGAGGCCCGTTTCCGTGTAGAATGCAGGCAGGAGACGGTGCGTAAGATCGACGGCTAAGCGAAGGAATTGGCCGTCGTAGACAAAGTCATTATTCCATACAATACCATGATCACCCTCCGTGAACCCCTTCTTATCCCACGCGCTCGCAAAGGCAACTTCTGGTTCTGACGGGTTGTATCCAATGATGGGTAGTTCGCCGATGGCGAACAGGTGTGAGCTGAGCAGTCCACCTGGTGCAGTGTTAGCACAGTATATCCAAAGGAGATACAGTTGCAGTTCGACAGAGCTTGGAAGGCCATACCCAATCCCCGAATAACAGTCTCAAATACCTGCACCTTGCTATCGATATCGAATCCCCTCGCCCGCTCGCCCTGACCAGCAGGACCTCGGGAGCCATCCCCGTATAGTCTAACAAAGTCTTTGACGCCATCCTGGAAACCTCGAAACGCTCGATCGCTACTCTCTGGACTAGATGACAATATAGCCAGGGTTGACAAGCTATCGATCAAGGTCAAGGAGTAGTTGCCAAGGACGTCGTTGTGCTCAGAGTTCTTATTATCGCGCGTCAAGGGGCCGCACGTTAACGGACGCAACTCGTCGTCGGGAAATGCATGCTCGAGGTAGTTCTCAAAGCCGTGGTAGAACATGCGCTCGGTTTCTTGCCTGTGGACCGCGAGGAAGGGATTGGATTAGCGTTGAGTCCGGACCGGCCCCGGGGGATGCTGGCTGACGTGGTGCAGCAGCGACACGACATGCCGGACTCACCTGAGCTCTTTAACCTGATAGTCTCGCATCCCGTGTGCCGCGGTCAGCCATAGCGACAGCAGGATGGCGTAGACCACCATCATCCACGCGTGACGGGGGTGGAACAGCTGCAAGCTCCAACATCGCGTGCGCATCACCACAGCGGAGGGCCGGGGGGCATGGAAGGGCGGCAGACGAGACGGGCCTGTCGGGCAAAGAAGGTCGCGATCTGGCCCGTGCCGAGTGAATCGAGGAAATATTCGGCGCCCTGGACTTGCGGAGTGAGGTGAGAAGTGGACGGGGGTGGAGACTGCCAGATAAGCCAGTTCGGGGAAATTTTTGGCGCATCGCGCGCGCATTGCATCATTAGCGGGCCCACATGCAGACCATAATATTGAGCCCTGCAGTGTTTCAATTATTATTGTTTGTTGCATTTTAAAGAGGCCAATAAGGCCTCCAAAAGCGGTTCGAAAGATACTAGGAAAAGGATCGACTAGTTATAAACATGATTTCGAACGAGCTACTTTGTATGGTACTCTATACGAGTAGAAACCAATTTGGCGTTGTGACATCTGCCCCAGAGTAAGGTGTATAGGAAAAGTAGATAGACAGATTGATGGCGATGACATGAAGTAACCTTCGTGCGAATCGTGGAGATGAACACGGCAAAGGAAGCAGAAGGTGTGAAGATCAGAATAGAGATAGGAACCATATCGGAGACAGTCGTCTCATCCATCGTCTGAACAATGACCCGAAAGCTGATCTGGCTGATTTGCAACCCAAGCAAGGAAGGACGAAGGAACATACGGCGAAAGCCATTTCGGGTTATTCGAGACTAGTAGGTAGTGTACAGCTCATACATAAGGTCTCGTCGAGGATCGGCCTTCCCAGGTGCTATTCTGCACTTCTGTGGAGGAAAACCGAAGCTAAAGCTGCAGCGCCATGGCGACATGGCCATTTGGCAATGGAGAACTTTCAGTTCTCCCTGCTGGGCGAGCTGGCAATCATGGAACTAGTAGAGGCAGTCCGGAGAGAATATATGGTTATGTAGATCAAATCAACGCCCGCTTATCCGTCATTACAAGTGTTTTAGGTATCGCGCTCACTTGCCCAGTTCTCCAAGCATCAGGTTCCGATCCGATGAGCAAGAAACAACTGCAAAAGAACGTTAGAATTCCCTTGGATCCCGGTGTAAGGAGGGGTAACGTACTGATTGGCTCATCGTTAGGAGAGAAGCGGACATCATTGACTGTGCCCTTATGACCAGGAAGCTTGTACAGCAGCTTGCCGGTGTTCGCATCCCAGACAACCACGCTCCGGTCACCACTGCCAGCGGCGATCTTCTCTCCCTTAGGATCCCAGCTGGCGCGGATGAGGTTTTTCTCGAGCCCGACGGGGGCGCCATCGAAAGTCCTGACCTGCCGGTTAGTCGGGGCGAACGGCCGGATATCCCACGTCCGAACAGTCGAGTCATGGGAATTCGACAGGAGAGTCTGAGAGTCCGGCGAGATCTCGAGCGAGGTAATGGTATCGGTGTGGCCAGCCATGGAGTAAATTACGGCCTTCTTGCGTAGGTCCCAGACATGGATCGTGTTATCGATGCCGCCGCTGTAAATCTCGTTTCCTGCCTCGGACAGCGCGACTGCCGTGATGGGCAGTTCAGTTTCGAGATATTCCAGCGCATCCTTTTGCCGCGGGTCCCAGATGCCTATGCAGCCGTCGTCGCTGCCACTGACGAGCAGTTCTTGCCCGCGCTTGCTGATATCGAGGCAATTGATGATTTCTTCATGGCCCATGTGGCGACGCACCCGTGTTCCGGTTTCCACGTCCCAGCTCCCCAATGTCAAGTCGGCTGATGCGGAGAAAAGTGCTCGTGAATCGCGCGCCCATTGGAGGTCGAGGACGGCTCCTTTGTGACCGGTCAATTGGCCATAGTTTTCGCATTGTCCGTATGTGTTCCAAAGTACTAGATCGGGATAGAATAAGCATTGGTTTCGTGTTTAAAGGGGTAATTGTTGGTGCAAGACGTACAGATGGATCGGTCCATTGACCCGGATGCAATGTGCTGGGCTGTGGGGTCAAATCGAACTGTGAAGACTTCGCCAGAGTGACCTGGTTCCCGCGTGTCAGAGACTGTCCACATCGATCATTTGACGAAAATATCCTACCTGTGAGCTCCATAATCGGCGCATCGAGTCCACTAGTGCGAGGAATCTGCGCCCGCCGACGTTAGCTGTAGTCCCCCAAGTATCCCCCATGTCTAGGGTCCATGTTTTCAGCTCAAACGCTGCCAGAGAGAGCCATTTACCGATTGAACAAGTGCGCCATTTTGCGACGAGCTTTTTACCACTGCCGTACCGGGGTTGAGGTCGGCATCGGACTTCTTTCGTTTAACCACAAGCTGGCTCGAAGACCCAAAGGCCTCCTGGGCAGGACGTTTTTCTCCGGACATCATTGCGACGCAGGACAACCTCAGGGTCGCCAGCCGCACAGGGAGAAAAGGGACTGAGAGAGTTAAAGTCGAAGTCGTGAGTTAGCCGTGGAGAGCGAAAGAATCCTTGGGGAGAGCCTGGAGCTGCGGGAAGAACGATAATCCCAGGCGGTGAGCTCGACTGTGTACGGCGACAGCTCCAACATCTCGCACTCCCCGCAATCAACTCAGGGATCCACGTCCGACTGTCGCGTTTGCCTGGATTTGTGCGGCACTTGCATCAAAGGCTCCTACGGTTCCATCCACGACTTGCAGTGCAGAGAGCACCCGGCAAGCAGCCATGTCATCCTCCAAAGCCTCCAGAATAGGAGAAGAGTAAGTGAAGATGAGCTCTTACATGAAGGCCTCTGCTAATGTATGGGATCACCGCAGAATATGGAAGTCAGTAAGCGGCTGAATTTTTTGCACTGGGATTCCACGCGATGATCCCATCATGCGACGATATATCCTCTTTCATCTCGCTCAAGCTGACCCTGTCTTCTCTTACCCAGAACGAGAATCGATAAAGTCAACGCAGAGCTGGTTACATTAACGTACGGCACAATCGTTGCGCAACTATGCCAAGACTACGACAGCGACTACCAGGAAGTCAACAAGCAATTGGACAAGATGGGCTATAATATCGGCATGCGGCTGATTGAAGACTTTCTGGCCAAGTCCGGGGTGGGGCGATGCGCCAATTTCCGCGAGACGGCCGATATGATTGCGAAGGTGTGTGTGTGAGAGAAATAAGGAAGAGGTTTTCTGGGAAGGAGGAGAACTTGATGACTTGACGGCTTTGATGGCTGACACTCCGATCAGGTGGGCTTCAAGATCTTCTTGAATGTCGCGCCGACGGTCACCAATTGGACCAGCGACAATAACCAGTTCTCCCTTATCTTCGACGATAACCCCCTAGCAGACTTTGTGGAGCTGCCCGACGACGGGCGAGCACAGGATGAGCTCTGGTTTTCGAATATTCTATGCGGTGTGCTTCGAGGTGCGCTAGAGATGGTAAGGAAACTTTACTAGCCCAGCTAAGTTTTATGTTCTCCCGGCACCCACCTTCCTTTCTCCCTGGTCAACAGGTTCCTTTGTGCCGGGTCCCGATCGCTAACCCAATTTCCAGGTTCAAATGCAGATCGAGGCACACTTTGTGAGCGATGTGCTCCGGGGTGACGACACAACTGAGATGCGGGTTTCACTGGTCCGATACATCGAAGATGAGATGCCGCCGGAGGAGGATTAGATCACGATGAGCATCCACGGCGTTTTGGATTTTCACGGCAGGCTTCCATTGGTTATGATTTGCGAGAACTATGATGTCTTCTCCTTTATTTTATGTTTCTCTCTTCTTTCTTGGTGTGTATCTGGTTGATCCAAATTATTTTTTCTCTACTTGGCTGGCTGGCTGCGTGGCAAGCTCGGTTGGATGCAAGAATAGGCTTTTCAGGCTTTCTGATGCATCATCCTGTAGGAACAAGGAAGGCCCCCGCCACGCGATTTATCACCGGCATCGCCAGGGTTGTTTCATATTAGAATTTTCTCTAGACTTACGCAGGGGTAATTTTCTTGACAAAGAGGCTGCGATGGCGGGCCAGCCCCAATTACTGGGAGGGATCTTGATCTATAGAATATGGCCCGTCGCGGAAGTATACTTTGTTGTATAGTGGACAGCTTGGAAGCCCATCCAATTTAAACATACGATACGGCAGGTACCGCCAATTCCGTACCCGCCTGCCATTGACGTCGAGGCAGAGTGCGGCGTGGTGTAACGATACGGTTATTGGGGTACCATCTCCGCCCCTCCGTTTTCCTACAGATCGAATTTCTTCTTCCTTCTGCTCAGTTTTTCTCATCGCACTCTGCTTCCCCTGGCGCTCTGCTGTGGCCGTCCTGTTGATTCTTGTCCGATTGGCTCGATCGCCGATCTTCTTCGGATCCCCTGGGCCTTTTCGTTGCGTGGAACACCCGATCTTTTAGACTCCCGCTGGGATCCATCGCAGGGCCCATCGCGCGCAACATATCACCATACCTAATCACTCTCGCCTGATCGAATCTTCGCCCAACTTTTCCCTTTCTCCTCTTTTCACTGTGGAACTCAAGACCTTCTTCTCTATTCGCATTCATCCTCTCCGTGTTTATTCGAGTTGTCGACTGTCCTGCTTCTCTCTGCTCTTCTCTGCTGCGATTCGACGGTGCATGCCCAGAAATACGCCTGACAGCGCCATCGCCAGCCCTGGGCTCCGAGTGAGTTGATCCGCTCCGAACAAGCGATTCTCCCGCAGCGAGCGCAGCGCCTGTCGCCGTACCCCCCGGCTCGCTCCTCTCCCCTTCCACCGTGAGATCCACCTAGTTTGCCCCCTGCTATATTCTCTTCTCCCATCCTTTGATTCCCTTCTTTTCTCCTGTTGCATGTCAAATTATTTTCTTTCTGCGAATCCGCCCGATCGGGCTTGCTTGGCGCCGCCCCCAACCCAACCTCCTCACTTGTGGGCTTTTTCCGCCTCCTTGTACCTCCGTCATCGCCCAAACCCTATCGCACCGCGCATCGCTCCTGCCTCTGGCCCATCCGTGAGCCGAGCCCTTTTCTGACCGCCGTTCGATATTCTAGCTGTCGGGATTCCTCAAGTTCTCTTCACTTGCGCCCTCCCGATTCTCGATTCCTGTCGCTCTTGTCGCGTCGTCCGCCCCCGGAGAAGACGCCTCCGGCTGCCGCAGATCTTCGATCGCAACATTACACCTTGGTCGATATCGAACTCGGTGGACTAGTGCAGTTGCCTCGCACGCGTACTCTCTACCTCGAAAGCCACATCTCGGCCCCATTTCGTCAGACACGAAGCGCTGAACGCTTCTCTCTGACACCCCCCTCCACGCGTTGCAACCTCCGCTCTCCCCCCACCCGCGTTAGGCCTTATCGCCTGAGTTGGTGGATGCGCGCCGGCACTCGACAACATCTTTCGACTTGAATTGCTCTATAGTACATAGGCAAGGGTGGCTGCAGTCCCACCATTCGCCACCATGAACCAGATGAACGTCGCTGGGATGAACCCTGGGGTTGGAGGCCCGGTGGGTGGTGTCCCAATGATGAACAACGGCTCCACGGCTCCTCGTAATGACGGCAACATGAACATGAATAACCCTGAGATCATGATCAACAACCTCAACACCTATATTTACGACTACTTTTTGAAACGTGGCTACCATGACTGCGCGCGTGCACTCGTGCAGGATGAGTCTATTAAGATCAATACCGACAATGGCACCAAGACCAGCCCCGGTAATCGTGACGTGAACGGTGTCGACGGCGATCCCATGATGACTGATGGAAAGGACGGCGAGAAGATCAAGATCCCCGACGATCTTCCTCGGCCCAGCCTTCCCAACGAAAGTCTTCAATCCTCCTTCCTGTTGGACTGGTTTAGCCTCTTCTGGGACTTCTTCTGGGCCCAGCGGAAACGAGGTAACAGCAATGACGTGAGGCAATACCTCCAACACACTCAGGTACGTGAGGATGTGTTGGTGTCCTCTGCGATGCGTCCACCCCCTCCCTCTACTTCCCCAAACATGGAGTCTAATATAATTGGCTAAATAGAACATGATGCGTATTCGAGAGCAGCAGCATAACCAGCTTATGCGACAACAGCCGATGATGCAGGGCCAAGTGCCGCTTGGCGTGCGGCGTGGCGGTAACGGCATGGTTCCTCCCAACTTGCAGAAGGCGGCTTTGAACAACGGACTGTATGCTCTACCTTGGCATTTCACCGTGCCATCAAGCGAAAGTGATGCTGACAACCATTTTTTCTCTCTTCTATAGATCTCAACAGCAGTTGGCAGCGCAATATCAGAAGAACCAGCAGATGCAGATGATGCAGCAGATGCAACGTGAACAGTCCGAAATGGACATGAACGGGAATAGGCCGCAGTCGCCTGCATCTGCTGACAACGCCCCCTCGCCGTCGAAACGCCCGCGCCTCGAAGGTGGCGCCGTCAATGGACAGCAATTGGCTCCCAATGGACGTGGACAGGGACAGATGCAAGGCCAGCAAAACCCCCAGCTGATGATGCCGAACGGAATGCAAAGGGGTATGAACCCGGCGCAATTTCACCAGTTCCAGCAGGGGCAAGCTGCGCAACAGAAATCCATGCAGGTATATGCTCAAAACTTGGCCCTTCATCACTCTCGCTCAGCATTGAATTCCCAGGGTCTCCCGAATGGTGGTATGATGAATCCCGGTGTTATGCCGAATCAGGCGGATCTGGTGCCGATGCCGGATGGGCAAGGGGGAATGTACCCAATGGGTCCAGAGTACTACAGCTCAAACGGTCAGCTCCCCCAGGTTCGGCCTGGCATGCAAACACCTGGTGGTCAGCATGGCAACCATGCTCTCCAGGATTATCAAATGCAACTTATGCTGCTTGAACAGCAGAATAAGCGTCGCCTGATGATGGCTCGCCAAGAGCAGGATAGCATGTCCCGTGCTGATGGCCAGCCCCCGATGCCCGGTCAGGGAGGACTGCCACCGGGCACCTCCCCTCAGGGCAGCAGGGCGGGTACATCGCCGAACCCCAGCGATCAAATGAAACGAGGCACGCCCAAGATGCCTCAAACCGGTCTACCTGGATCGCCTAGCGCCGGCGACATGGCTCAGAACCGTGGATCTCCAGGATCCATGAACCTGAACGGCGGTCAGATGCCGCCCGACATGGCGGCGGCCGGATTCTTCCCCGGACCTGGTGGCCCCATGCGACCCCCGAGCTCCAACCCGGCCTTTACTGGAGCTCAGATGGGCCAGCCCATCCCCGCCAATGCCGCGAATCGTGTGCCGAGTGGACAATGGCAACCCGGACAACCCATGCCTCAGCATTCGCCTGCCAATCAGCCTCAGGTCGGTACCCCGCAGGATCGGAGCAACATGCCTCCACCTCAGGCGCCACCGACTGGCGCCAATGCGGGCCGCACTCAGCCGCCGTCTCCTCAGATTGCTGGCAATGCGCCACCAACACCTCAGCAGTCTACCAAGGCCGCACCCAAGGGTAAGAAGGAGGGCGCAAAGGAAAACACTCGCAAGGTACGTTATTTCATATGTATGTCCCAAGCTGAACACTATGCTCACATTACTTAATAGCGGCCCAACAAGAAAAATGCTGCCGCGGCCAACGCTGCTGCTGGCGCTACCCCCTCTACCGATGCTAATGAACCAACGCCGACTCCGTCTACTCCTGTCACGCCTCATCCTCCTACCTCCTTCAACAAGGGCGGAGTCAATGCCACCGCAGGCGCGCCGCCCCAGCCGACCTCGGCCCCTGCACCCCCCCCAATGGTTCAGCCCACTCCGGACCCGAGCCAGCAAACATTCAATGATCTCTCCATTCCTGATGTAAGTCAAGTAGTCTCACCGAGGCCGTTCACTGCAACCCAGACCACTCATCCTCAAATCCTGCAGGCTTCCGCTTTCAGCCTGGACTTCAGCGCTTTGGATAATCCTGATATCCTGGAGAGCTTCGACTTTGATACGTTCCTCAACACCGACGGAGACGGCACCGGCTTCGGTTTCGATCCCAACATGGGGTACTCGGCTGACGGTGTTGAGACTGGGGCTGGCGACACCCTGTGAATGATTTGAAAAGTCTTGACGGTTCTCTTCAGGTGTTTAAACCTCCGATATACCCTTGTTTTTGTACATTTGATATTTTTCCTCGTTATAGTGCGTCCTTTGACTATTCCCTGCGGATAACTCTCGCCCTTTATTCTTGTTTTGGACCTCTCTTTGGAACCTTTTTTTTCCCACTCTGGATATGTGTTGCGCTCATGTGCTGTGCGATTGGCGTTGGTGTACCTCTCCTTTTCGATTTTCTGTGTGTGGCAGCATTACCTACCCCTTATTGCCCTCCTTTCCAACCAAATGAATTCTCCCTTCCCTTCGAAAATCCCGCATAAACTCATGGAGATGTTGGGCCGGGAGTGGACTGACCTACCCTGTCCTGACCTGAACTGACCCTGGAGACGCCATTTTGTATTCGAGATTAGTTGCACTGTGACCTACGAGTTTCTTCGTTTCTCTTCGTTTCTTTCTATTACTACTACCTTATTACTTGTCTGGTTACTTAATCCCCTGCTTGCCCGACATGGGATAAGAATCTAGTGCTCGATACTTCTGGCCCAGTATTCCAGCCGTGCTATGCAGCTGTCGATTTCTTTTCTTTTCTTTTTCTCTTCATTATCATTTACCTTGATCTACTTCTATCCTCAAATTTCTTTTTCTCTCTCGTGTGACTGACTTGACTGTCTTTCGTTTCTTATTTCCTTCTTCCTTCTACCTTCTACTTTTACTTATATTCAAATGCCGGGCGTTATCTTGGAAATCTACAGTTTCGTTATCCATTCTCGACCTTTTTCTCTTAGTCTCTGGCATTAGCCTCGCCTTTGACCATAACCATTTCCCTGTTCGGAGCAGATCAAATCTCTCCCTTCTGATATACGTCCCGACCTGAGTGTGAGGATGGGGCGGGGGATACAGTAGGTATGGGTGTGGTTGTGATTAGAAATAGCCCACTATTGGAATTACAATGCGGATGACGAGATTAGAACGGGAATCATCTGAGTAGTAGGGGCGAGTATCGACCTTGCTGCTGTTTGGTTTTCTGGACCTGTTGGTGATGTGGATGGAGATGAAGATGGAGATGGGATGGGATTGAGATACCTATACCGCGGTTCACGTCTCAATGGCTGTGCTATGTCGTTTCTGTTCCCTTTTGACCTTTTTATTCCTGGACCAAAGTGATTTCTGGTGTTTGGTATTGAATTCATATCTATTTGCTGGACGTGTGTTGCTCTTGTCATGCTGCTATAACTCCGTGATTTCGGCGTACTGGTTTTTGTGTTGTATTTTCGCATAGTAGAGGATGCTCTAGCTTCATTCTGGACAAATGCCGTATCTATTTCGTTGCAGCTAGATCCAGTTAATTGATTGATTGATTGACTGGTCGTAAGAGAGTACTGGACTTCACTAAGCACCCGGGTGACGTGACGGGGGATGGAATCATCACGATGCCGAGGCACCAAAAGCGGATCATTCGCACGCATATGGATACTCCTGCTGGACCTTCCAGCCTGTCTTCTTCCCGCACAGCTACCCAACCCTAGGTTGAAATGCACTGCGAATTCCTGAGATACGGAAGCCTAACGCGAGCTCTATGTTGTTTCCAACGCTGGACATAGGATGTTGTGGAGTATGAAGTAAGGTTGAGATTTCAGCTAAGCGCTCTCTGGACCGGCAATAGACAAGAACTTCTCGTACAGAGACATAATTGATTTAGATGGACATTGGACAATGGACAATGGACACTGAGGATCTCGACTTGTTCACAACGCTACTTGAACAGGCCATTAATGCTCAATAGCAACACGGCAAATGACTCTACGACGAAATAGGCTACCGCGAGGAGTGAGATTCGCGGAGGATTATGAGATTCTCGGATCTGCATTTCCCCCCCCCTCCCCCGAGATGCGAGGCGACAGAGCGCCAGTCTCAATATCGTGACCACTACCAGCAGTGTCCCTGCTGGAAAAATCAAGATATGAGCCTCATTTAGCGCTCAGAGCCATCGAATCAGCTGTCTCGGCAAGTCAGCGCATATGCAGGGACAGCTAACTGCATTTTACAATAAAAAGAGAATGAAAAAAAAAAGATTGACAGCGGAAAGACTGAACCCACTCATAAATCAATTACCCTCCTAAGAATAAATTAAGTCGGGACCTTGTTCACCTAAGTGCATAAACTCCGGACCAAGAGTCCCTAATTCAACGTCAATATCATCAACCCACTGTGCTTGGCGACTGTTCGCAATCACGTTGTTTCACTCTCCACCACAAAAAGTCATCCCATGAAACCCCGGCAGACAACATGAGTCCACCTACACGGCATTAGGCTACTTCCCATGCCTCAATCGATGTCCAATTTCCTTCTCCAGATTACATAGCAGCCCCAACTCCGAAGCCCAAGTATCATCCAAGATGCCAAAGCCAACCTCGTCCGTACACATTTTCAGCAGGAAGAGAATAACCTTTTTGACGCCAAGCGAGTGAGCATCTTCATCGCCCAGGCCAAGCACGTTGGCCAACAGCACAGGACTGGCCCGTGTTAAGTACGGGCTGGGGTCATGGAAGTGTGCACGGACAACGTGCGTGGATCCCAGGGTGTGGTTGGGGATCGGTTCGCAGCGGATATCAGGCTCGGAGATTTTCAGGACGGCGCAGATTGCTGCGAGGAAGGAGGTAACTCAGTATCAGGGATTATTCCAAACGAACCGAAGGTAGAAAGATAATCTGATAGTGGGGAAAGGGAATGGTATGATTCGAAACTAAAACTCACTCTTCATCAACCTGAAGTATGAGGCTTGGGGGCTTAATGCCCCCAGTCCGTCCTGGATAGCTTTCAATGTCGCCAATGGATCCACTTCAGGCTCGTGAGTTATGGCAACAGGAGTCAGTCTGGAGTTCTGCAAGGGAACCAGGTTCGCATTTGGGCGTTGAGAAGCCCTGTCGAAATCAATGATCTTGCCCTTGTTCATATTCTTCCTTTTGGCCTTGGGAGGCGGAGGCGGAGGTTGGGGCTTAGACCTCTTTCGACGGGTACCACGGCCAAGACGCCGCGGAGCTATGCCCTTCGGAGGAGGCAGCGACGGGGGAGCTCGCTTCGTGGAAGCCTTGGGAGACTGGTTCTGGTTCTGTTGCTGCGGTGACTTTACAGACTGCTTGACGATCTTGCCCTCAGACACTCCGGAAGTTCTACCCGGAGTTCTGTGGATATCACCTTCAGGAAGAGAGTTCACGAATTCAGTAGCCTCAAGGAAGGGCTGTGATATATGGACACAATCGTCCTCAGGATGAGCTGCCACATGGCCCTTGACCTCTTGCAGGGTCAGTAGGGGAGACTCCGTTGGTAAGACATGGCCCGGGTCAATGTTTTCAGTGACCAGCAGCTGGTACATGGCACTATGGGACACAGTATTCTGAGCCTCGGCCATACTTTCGCACTGCCGAAAAGTGCGAAAGAAGTACCCGTTGACGAGCAGGTCACCGTGCCACAGGTTTCCCATGATAGACGTAGCGTACGAAGGCGCAGGCCAGCCCACTTCGACACAGAACGCTTTAATTGGGGACCCGTTAGTTGCCACTCATTGATTAAACAGTAGACAAATTTGGCGGGCCTCACCTTCAAGCAGCCGAATCCAGTTCCACTCCGGTCGAGTGGGCCTATTCCTCGGTAGCGGAGGAACCAGCCATTGCGGATTGTACTTGCGTATCTTGATCAGAGCCCGGCGACAAGCCACCACTCTGGCCAGATACACTGACTCCGATATTGGAGGGACTAGAATGGTGTGCCCGTAGACTAGAAGCCGGGCACCAACCTGTTGTCCATCCTTGCCGCCCTTCTTGAACACGAACTGAGGAGCCAACCGAGCCATGATGCTCAGGACTCCAAAGTAGAACAGGACATGGGTGGGCGGCAGGGTCTCCACTGGGAGCGATCCTAAAGAGAACTTGAACCTGTCAGTATACGCGCCATAATCACAATGATCTACACGACATACCAGCTCATCGTCATCATGCCGGTCACGCTCCTTGACGGTGTCTGGAGCAGATACTATCTCCGGCTGGGGGTTGAACACCTCGCCCTGCTCCAGAGCTCTCAATGGATCACCTAAAGGAATCTGCGTGAAGGGCACACAGCTTGCAGACGGCACAAAGCTGTTCCATGACTCAGATACTGGAACGGGGGGACCAAGGCCAATGCCCCAATTAGGGGACGCAGGCGCAGCTGAGTCCCCGTGGAAGACTAAAGTGGACGAGAAGGTTTCAGGAGGTGTTGCCCCTGTGAAAGGGGTGCCAGCCAGATTGATATTAAACGGCAGGAGCTGAGAGTCCACTGGCCCAGGCGTAGGAGCCTGAGGGTCCCCACGGGCTGGGGAACCAAACAGCGCCGTCGCGGAGGAAGTGTATGCTGAGCCCTGATCCTGATCCAAGCCCACACCTGGAACTGGACCCAAAAGTGCAGTCATCGACTGTAGAAACTCGATAGACCCGGTCTCCAGCTGCAATGGGGGCGTGTTCGCCCCCGCCGAGTTGAACGAGGTTCCCGCACTGGACGGGCCCTCGGTCGGCGAAACGAGGGTTGACGAGGAGGAGTCAGTGGTGTAGCTATTGTTGAAACCATTCTTCGCAGTAGTGGGCATGGGATGCCCCATGTTTACCAGGTTGTGGGTAGCCATTGCGGTGGGTTGAGCAGTATGAGGAAGTTGCCGTGGGGGAAATATGAGAGGTACAATTCGGGGCTAGGATATCGAGGCCACACAAAGAGGATGAGAAAAAGACAGTGGTGTACAGGTTAAGAGGGAGATATCGAGGGTGAAGAGGAGACAGGAAATCAAAGTGGACGTGACGGCGAAGACAACGAGGAACACGACAGAAACGCGACAACCACGGGATGCTGCTTGGAGGGAAAGAGGCATGATTTCCTAATAGGAAGGATGGGAGTCCAACACGGACGGGGTAGATTCACGTGGCTGAGGATGCCCAAGCACCCTTCACTGTGAATGGAATCACTCAAGCTCTACCTGGCAATGATTGATGACACTGCTAGTGCAGTTTCAGGTTTTCATCCTGCTACATGTGTTAATAATCATGAGCAAAGCAGCCACACTAAGGAAATCAGATGCTCAGACAGGCCAAAATGTACGCTCATAAAACGGTCAAGCACAAGCTCATCTTTTGAATTGCAGTCCTCAGGCTCAGTGTGCTATATAATGATGTCAAGACAATAGTCGAAGCCCCTACTAATAATACCCCCAAGCTGACCAGCCTTCTAGCCTCACCACTACAGCTCGGCATTAACGGCGCTCTCATTGCCATCAACAATCTCCTTCTCTTTTTCCAGCACAACATTAGTATTCTCCTTGTCCTCGCCAACGTCCTCCTGAGTGCCGCCAACTTTCGGATCTGCGAGGATGACCTTCTTGATAACCACCAAGTCATTCCCCTTGGCAGGCGAGCTCTTCTTTGGCGAGTCCTCCGAATTCTCCTTCGAGCCCTCCTTCCTGCTCTTGACATTGCCGCTAGGACTAGCCCCAATCTTAGAAGGAGCAGCATCTTTCTCCGCCGGAGTATTGGACACGCTAGGTGTCAAGCTTGAACCAGAGACTTCGCGGGTGCTGGACTGGGAGATCTCACGCAGAGCCGAGCCCCTGCTTGCTCCATGGCTATTGCTTGTCCGGGGAGCCTGGGGTACCGCGGATGGCTTCGCGGCCATGGTGGAGGGTGTGTTCGAGGGGGCGCGAGTGCCGATGGCAGGTGGCTTGGTGGGTGTCAGAGCGTCAATTAGTAGATTATACTGGTCGTCATCCATAGGCACTGTCATGCTGGGCTGCTTGCTGTGTTCGTAGCTGATACCCGTCATGCTCGAGATGGCGCGGCTGCTTGAGGAGCTGGAGTAGTCTGGCATGGGAATATCTTCGCGGGACGACCGCGCACCGCGATGATGCCAGATCGCCTCATTGCCAAAAGGGTCAATAGCAGGCTCAATCATGAACGGCTCCTGATAGCGCTCTTGGTTTCCTCCCCATCGGGGATCGCGTGGGTTGTTCTGCGCAGTGTGCGGGTGCCACTGGGACATCGGGACGGGAAAGGCGCGGCCAGAAGCCCATGCGTTGTTGTAGACGATGGGCTGGCTGCTACTGGACTGACTGCTCAGCGTCACCGGATCACGTATGTCAGACTTGCTGGGCGAGTGGCCATGAGTGTTTTCGGGCTCCTTCAATTCTAGGAAACTGTTGTGGTGGCCGAACTTGTATGCAGTCCGTGGAATCAGTTCGGACCACATACCGGGGTTTGGCCAAGCGATTTTAGAATATTCCAAGATATCTGTCCACGGCGTCAGCAAATTGCTTCTATAGACAGTGCCATCGGGTTCATACGCAGAGGTGCATGCTGAAAAGACAAGACAATGACATCCTTGACTCTCTCAAACGGTGGCGAGCGATTCGGACGAGCAAAGCCTTCCGCAAGCACAACTCGAATCCGGCCGAGCGTATCGGCAGCATTCCAGTGCCGCTGGTCCAGGACCTCGGCGTGGAAGGGAGGGAAGCGAAGACAGTCATGATTACCCTCGCGGTCGATATCTGCAGCCTTAGTCAGAGACAAAATACTCACAAACCGAACCGGGGTGCTTCATAGATACGAGAGCTCAGATCTATGAAAGGAGCGTCAGACCAGCACACCCAAACCACTCATTCCTTGAGACTCACTGAGGACATATGGCCATGCCGCCCTCTGCCCAAAAACGCCTCCCCTATCGCTCATCAGTCCAGAACCACAAGCGCACTCCCAGCACCAATCACTCACGCAACACACGATCCATCTACGAAAACCCGCGCCTCATACAGCAGCACATCATCCGGCTGCATCAAGCGCTCAGTAAACCGACTCGGCCGGGGCTTCTCCCAGCTATGAATCGACACGCGAAAGGGGCTGTCCCTGGGCAGACTCGGGACGAACGTGGTCAAAATGGGTATCTGGCCGTAACTGCCCTGGACAGGATAGTAGGTGTTGGGGGTGATGATGGTGGGGTTCTGGAGATAGGGCGATTCAATGTCTTTGGTGACGAAGCATTGGGTTTTGAATTCCTGGATGGGGACTCTGCAGCCCTCCGGGAAGAGGAGGATGTCCCAGTTTTCGTAGCGCATCGTGACTGGAGGTTGGTCACGTTGCGGTGGAGAGAATGGGGTGAGATACAACGGGGATGTTTTGCGGAGGTACCATGGTGGCTTTGTCGAGTGCTGGCCCTTGGGAAGGAAGGGGAAAGAGAGAGAAAGACCGAATGAGCCGGGAAGACAAAATGGAAGGTGCAAAGGAGGAAGGAACAGATGGAAAGGCGAGGGCAGGAGCAGACTAGAGAAACAGTGCATGCCCCATAAGACTGCAAGACTACAAAGTACAGTACAGAAGAACATCGGACCAATATGCCAGTTGTCATCCAATCTAATGTCTGTTTTCCAATGACTCCCGATATAACTAGACGACATCTACCAAGCTCATCAAAAAACGAGATATGTCGCATTGCGGTCCCTCTCCAACCAAACCCTTCAAAAAGACAGTGGAAACGATAGAGAGATGGGGGAATCATCCGGGCCAAACACAAGCATAAGCACAAGCACGAGACAAAGAAACGCCAGCATGGGGTTCGTTCTCCCAACAAAAGTGTTACAAGTACGAAGCAGAAAAGGCCAAACCCACGTCCAATGCAAGAAACACAGAGATGAAGAGAGAGAGAGAGACACTGGACGCAAAACTCCCCCAAGGATGCGTATGCGCCGGAGAAGCTAACCGAACAACCGGTAAAGGAAGGATCAGGGTTATAGGAACTCCGTAGCTACAGGAGACGACGATACTCATGTCAAGCCTTGGCCAATACTCATACAGCCAGCCAAGTAAATCAAAAGACGGCAGCAGCAGTTCAAAGACAGGATTCAAGATTCAAGATCGCATGAAAACGGTCGCGGCGAGGCGAGAGAAGTAAATCGAGAAGCACGGAAAGACGCACGAAACAGAGCGTGTTGTACAAGCCGCGATCAGTCTAGAAAAGGGGGGGAAAGCCCAACGAGAAGGGGACAAAGGAACAGCAGAACGCAACAGCTTCGAAGCGAACATAATTCAATTTGGCTGCTCGATGGAAAGAGAACCAGACAAAGGGAAATAAGAAAAGAAGACGGAAGTAAGATTTGCGAAGGACTGAGATGTTGGAACTTTTCGCAGAAGGCCTGCCCATGGAGTATAGAGTAAAAAGAAACGCATGAACAATACGGACTTTCGTTACACGCGAACAGGACCCCCAGGGCGGGGAGAAAAAAAGAGGATAGCAGGATAACCATAAAAGTTGGGGCGGGGAGAGGGGGCATCGAGATTGTTAAAGAAAAAGTGGCAAGGGGGAAAAGTACGAGATTGGGTCAGGTTGGAGATACAGGGGATAAGAAAGTGGAAGGGAAGAAAGGAAACATAAAGGAGATAGATCCAGGAGAACACAGAAACGTTGATAGGGGGGAAGGTAAGAAGAAAACGGCTCAGATCTTGCTAAGATAAAAGCGCTCAACGGAAATATGCGTAGCACAGGAGAGAAGATGCTCATCAAGAGCTATAGAGCGCAAAGCCTTTGGGCAGTGTAAAACCAGGGAAGGGGGGAGAAGAGCAAATTTGTTATGACACAAGGGACCCATCATTGGAATGACGCAAACAACTCCTGCTGGTGCTTTCAATCAAAGAAGAACGCGCTTACTGGAAGAGAAGAGAAGTAGTCAGCCGACCGAGCCTGATAACTCAAGAGTGTTCGGGTGCCGGGCTGCCGGGGTGACTGCTAACCTTCATCGGGGCAAACCCGCCATACTGGTGGGCCGGGGGCATGCCCATGGAGGGGTACATGGGAGGAGGAGGGGGGCCGGACGGTAGGGGCTGCCGGCAGGGCCGGAGTTGTTCTGGGATCGGCCCCAGCTCAGGCGGACGCGCGAGTTGCCAATGGGGTAGCCCTGCATCTGGTTGATGGCCATCTCGGCAGCGTGGCGCTGAACGAACTGGACGAAGCCGCAGCCCTTGCCGGGGGGATCTTGACGTAGGTAATTTCGCCGAAGCCCTGGAAGAACGAGCGGAGCTCATCCTCGGTCACGTAGCCAGAGAGACCACCGACGAAGACGGTGGTGTTGTTGGGATCGGTGAACTGGTTCATGGGCTGGGGAGCACCGTAGAAGCCCATGGGGGGACCACCCATCGGGGGGTACATGCCGGCGGGGCCGGGCATGCCGCCCATGTTGGCAGCGCCGACACCGGGGCCCTTGTTCTTGGGGGTAGCGGTGGAGATGCGCATGGGGCGGTTGCCGCAGTAGACACCCTGCATTTCGGTGAGGGCACGCTGCTGGTCATTCTCATCCGAGAAGCGGACAAACCCGTAGCCACGAGACATGCCGCTGATAGGGTCGGTCATGATCTTAGCAGACTTGCACGAGGGGAAGCGGCTCTGGAAAAGCGAGACGAGGACGTATTCGTTAACCTCCGGGCCGAGATCACCGACGAAGATGGAGTACTCGGGGCCACGGTCGTCACGGCTGAAACAAAGAAAACGAGGTTAGCGTTGCATATATCGAACATCTGATATTTTTCAGATGTGGGGCTAAGAGAATATGCTCACCTGCGGTCCGCAAGGCCGCCACCGGTAGCCCAGTTCAGCTTGAAGACACGGTTGGTGTTGGGCATGGGAGTGCCGTTCAGGGAAAGGGCCTTGGCGGCAGCGGCCGCGGAGGCAAAGTCCACAAAGCAGTATCCAGCATTGCTCCTACTACCATCATTAGGATCTTTTGAAAGTTCTTTCGAAAAAGCGGGGGGAGATTCATGGTCTTACCCAGAGAACTTGTCACGGATCATCTTGACGTTGACCTGCTCACCCATCTGGAACCACAGGTTGCGGATGAAGTTCTCATCAATCCAGGGCTCAAGCTCACCCATCCTGTAGAGGCGCACATTAGCATTCTGCTCTCACCAAGTTTGCCGCATCAAGCCGGATCCAAACTGAACATACCAGAGAGTGGTCTTGCCGTCAGCGCCCTGCTGAGGAACAGGAGCAGCAGCAGCATCACCGGCAGGGCCCTGGAACTGGGCACCAGCAGGATCGGCCTGGCCAGTCATGGTGGTGTCGGCAGAAGCCGGGGCACCAGCGGCGGCAGCGGCGTCCTGGTTGGGGAAGGAATCGAAGTTCTGGAAAGACATGGTTGCTTGTAAAGATCAAACTTGTCCGAAAGTTCGACGTAAGAATATAGAACGGCCTGAAGAACTTCGTGGAGTCGTTAAGGAGAGACCGTGAATGTAACGAGCACAACTTCGTAAACCCAGGGACAAAGAGATGGGCGTTAGGCTTCCTGGAAAATGCCGAAGGGCACGACGTTAGAATGCGGAGTTCTTTGTCCGGAGAAGCTTCTCCGCAGCGCTTTTTGGCGCGAGAAGAAAAGAGCAAATGGGAGATAGGAGGAAGTGGAAAGAAGGGAAATGAGAGGTGCAGAGGAGGAGAAAGATCAGTTCAAGCAAAGTGCAACGCAGTTAAGCTTTTGGAAAGAAGTATTGAGAGCGTGTCAACTGTGGGATGAAGGCAAACTCGACGGAGATGTGGTGTAGAGGACCGTGGTGCGTTCGCAGGCTCGTTTAGGCCGCGACAGCAAGGAATCTGCCAGGAATCGCCCAAGACCAGGGTTTCTTCAGGCAGCGCGATCGCCGGACCAGGCAGCGCATCTAACTGAATCAGATGCGCCAGGCGATGAGAGAGTGGATTGTCGTGGTGATTGAACTGGGGTCCCGCACAATGCGCCGGCCGTTTCCGTCCACGGCCATCCCCATCGCCCCGACGATTGCGACCGTCCACCACTACCGGCCCTCTCCCACAATGGCTCACCCACTCAGGCACCCCATGCGACCCTCATCGTGGTTGCGACCATGGCGACGGGCAACGGGCGATGAGCGTGGGCGGTGAGCGACCGGGTTGAGGAAGTGTGCGGCGGAATGGGGCGGCGCGACAGCTCCCGAAGAAAAGCTGGTCTGGGGCTGCACGGGCGCGTCACGGCAGTCGGCCACCAGCAGAGCAACCGAGATGATAGCACGCGCAGCTAGTCGATGATGGATGCGCCGGAGTGCTGGGATCAAGATGGAGTGGGAGGTCGGTGGTGGTGGGTGGGGGTTGAAAGGGATTCGGGTGGATGATGAAAGAGGCTTTTCGCAGGAAAAACTGAAACGAAACGAACCAACTCACCAAGGGGAATCTGGAAAGACCTCGAGAAAGCTCAAAACAGAACGACGAAGGAAGACGGGCGAGAGAGACCTGAAAAAGCACAACTCCCGAAACGGCGCAAGACAGAACGAAGCAGGGTGGAAACAATAGGAAAGAGGAAAGAGGAGGGGAAGAAAGTTGGAGGAGGGGGAAGGAAAGCGATGAAGAATGGAAATCTCAGATTCGGATGAGACGAGACGAGCCCGGTTTTCCGCTTGGGCGAAACCGCAAAACAGCGAAACAAACCGACAGAGAGGGGAGAGCGAAATGGGGGAAATGAGAGGGCTTGGGGCGCGAATTCAAATTACCTGACCCAACTGTGTATGGGTATGTATGGGTAAGGGTACCATAGTATGGTAAGTATCATCCAACTCTGGTCCTCCATCCTTGGGACCGAGCTCAGTCTACCTGGCGTAGGAAGTGGTGATCAGAGGTCGGAAGCATAGGGAAGTAGGGCTGTTCTTTGCAGCATGATGATGCTCTCCATTTCCCGACTCTCTGGGTGCGGCGTCTGTACAAGACCCCGGACCTTGCCCCAAAGTCAAAAGCGCGGTGCTATCAGATATCAGATATGCGGGGGACCTGCGAGCGTCTCGCGGCGTTCCAGGATCCCGGGAAGCTTTTGCCTCCGACTTTCGTCAAGCATTAATACATACAGGAGCTACTGGGAGGAGTTACTGTACAGTATGTAGTGTATACGCAGAAGTCAAAAGACTGGATCTGCATAATACCAGATGATCTTCCAGTAGAAGCATCATACTATACGATTCCGCCCCCATCCGAAGATCTCACGCCTTCCCCGCCCCAGAATTAACGAATTAACCTAGGCACGTCGAAATCAATGCCGAGACAACACGGGCCATGTGTGTGGCTCGCGAGCAGTGTATACACACGCACAGAGTTAGCAGGGCAAGGGGACATGCATCATACATGCTGCAAGGACGGAGCTGTCGCTCTCCTGGCAAGGCAATGTGACTCGTCGCATAACCCCAAATCTAAATCCCAATCTGACTGCAGTCTGTGGGTTTATCGCCCGATCGAGAAGATCGAGAAGATCGAAACGGCATGTCAAGCGTCAAGTGCCTTTCCCTGTGCTTCGTATGGAGTCCAAGTGTACTACAGTATAAGTTATACACGGAGAGTGGTTGTATGCTGAAGTGGATACAGGAGTTCTCAGCTGGCTTTTTGTGCGGCATTGCGGGTACTTCTCACGTCCTCCTCGGCCAGACCAGAATCCGAGCTGAGAACAGCCCCCAAACCTGCAGAGAACAAACGGCACATGCTCCACCGACGCCACAGAACCATGGAAAGCCCACCAGTAGCTGGTCTTGACGGTACCAAATCACTGGTATTGTATTGTATGTATTTCTGGTACTGCCATCTCCTGACCGCCTGCCGTGAGAGTCCACCGGATTGACACCTTGTATATTAGGCTATCAGGCTAGCCGTGGGCACGAATCCAGCGGAGGGGGAAACTGCTGTCAACGACGTAGGCATGACGGCAGTGCTACTAGCATTGAGAACGACTGTAGCTACCGTACTATACATTGGATATGCTGTAGAAAGAGCAGATGCGGCAGGTAATCCTTGGCTCGCCGTCCAAATGACTTGCTCGATAGTCCGCTTGTCCGCTTGAAGCACATATCTGGCCTTCTCGAAGCAAGGTTCTCAGATCCTTGTCGAACAAGCAAGGACCGCAGCGATACGTCACCCGCGTCCGCACAGCATCAAGCTGAACCACAACTACGGGTCCAGTTCGTGGCTGTCAGGAAGTCTCATTGGATGCACCCGGTGGGTCCTCGTATTGCCATTACCGACTCTTGTGTTGTGAGCCTTTTTTTACAGACATTCGGTTCATGCTTACGTCCTGCCCAGTGCGTGTCGCTTCTCTCGCTTTCATTTGTCTTCCATCCTGCTCAGCAGCGATTGGGCCCGGTCCTGCCTATCCGACGCTTGGCGGCAGGGCGGATAGCTCCCATATTCTACCTGCCTAGCTTGGCCCGGCTGTGCGCGCGAGACGCGACGCGACGCGTGTTGGGGCCTTGGATCTTTCGTTGCGATCAGAGGATCAGAGGATCAGAGGACTAGAGGACTTGGGGGGGGGAAATCACGTGCACCACAACATCAACCGCTGAGTTGTTCTCTGGTATGAGCAAGGGAGTGCTGATCTATTGATATCAGAGCGGCCGGGGAGGATGGAGGAGGGGGATGAGCAGGACCCGGCCGGACAGCGTAGGGCACCAATTGATGCCCGAGCAGCCATCCAGCAAAGCCCGAATCCTTGCATGTGTTTCAATCGTCGATATAAACTACAGTACGCGACTGGCATAGAACGTAGGTACATTGAGTTAAGGAATTAACCTATGTGAATGTCAGGCCTGTCAGGACCCCTGCAGCATTGCCGAGGTAAAAGCCGGCATTATTATCATCCAAAACAAAAAAGAATAAGCAACCATAGCCTACAGGTACAGTATACACCGGACTATACTCCGTAGTCGCCAACAAGCTCAGCCCTCGTTCTCGTACGGGCTATGCTAAAAACGCGCATTTCCTAACAAGGGCATATTAATAATTGCCCCCGCGAACCATGGAACACAGCTTTATTCACCCACCACCGGAAACGTGGGAAAAAGAGGTCAGCGCAATCCCGAGAAAACAGCCCATACTTGCTGCTCCCTATCCCATGCCTCCAACAATATTCCATCCTCTCTTTCTCACCGATCCCGCAAATTTCGACGTAGTTTCGCAAGCAATGGCTTCCCACCGATCTACGCGTACCTGGCCGTGACTTGGGCCCGAGGCTGAGCAGCCCCCAAGACCCAAGCGGCTCCACTTTCAGGGCTCGCATCCACATTAGTTGGCGACGTGCTATCCAAAGAGAAGGCCGGGCCTCGCTTCCCTCGATACACGTATGGAGCTGGTATCCCACATACGAGACGCACACCAGGCATCAGCCATGACAGAACAGAACAGAACACCACAAGAATTCACAATACAGACCTCTCCCATCTACAGTACACTACAGTACCCTACCTTGCGAATTGTGTAACTGGGCCCGCGCGGTTGGGACGCGATTATTCGACGGTACCTGAAAACTGCACGACCCCACTCGTTTCTTTTTTTGGCGGTCGTTGTGTATAGGTGGGGTGCGCAGCGTTTTCGAGAAGGTTCGTTGCTTTCTTAAATTTTAGAGGCTCGGCGGAGTGGGAGTGGGACTGGTCTTTGTGTCTTGTCTCTACCTGGGGAATTCGTGTCGGGGGGCAGTGGACGTAATGAGGTTTGGGATATTTTGGGGTTTGCTAGGTAACACCATTGGATTCATTTGGATAGTCCAGGGTTGGGATCATGAAGATCCACTTTCATGCTGTGATCTGTGATCATGGCCAGTTTGAGTACATTAAATGCATAGCTATTCAAGAACTTATTGAAGAAACCACTATGGAAAGTCAAGGAAATATACTCGACAGGACCGTTTCCTGTTGGTGAGTAGCCGATGGCCATGGACCTTCCTACTTGGCTACGCGGTGTACTTTTTGAGATCAGGCCATATGGGATGAATGATTTCAAGCAGGACCCTTATGTTTGTATTTTGTTCACTGGTTGTGCATTGTGCATGCATAGCTTCCCTGCTTATGAATAATAATGATAATAATAATAAAAGACCCGGATAACAATGGTCTGTTACGCCTACTGTTCCTAAAATGGCACTATCCATGACAAGTGCCACCAATAGGAGATAGTATCCACAAAACGAAGTCCTGCAAAATATGCAAATAAGGTACAAAGTATGAAAAGACCCCCGCCCCAGCAGTGCCCGATAACAGCACCAAAACTCCCGTACAAGACAAGACAAGGCCATCCTACTCGGTCAAAAACTCCCCCGTCTCATTCGGATCCCCCAGATCCCCCAACAACATCAACACCCGCTCATAAACTCGCGACGCCTGCATCATCCATCCCGGCATCTCAGGCTCCTCTTGATCGTCATCCCCAGTCTCGCCCTCGCCCTCGCCCTCATCCTCATCATCATCCTGGGGCATGACAGAGAAGAGACTGGTGCGGGTCGTCTCAGCGATGCTGCGGATGCGCACCCTCTGAGTCGGTGTGACCAAAGGACGGTCAGCGTCTGCGCCTGGCAGGCGCACGTTTGACTCCGGGTGCTCGCCTTGCATGAGTGCGGTGAGATAGTAGTCCAGCTTGTTGAGGATGGTCAGGGTCGGCTGCGGGTCGAACGGGTACGACCGCAGGTTCCGTTCCAAGAGGCCGGCCAGACTGATCAGGCCTTCGACTTGGATTGTGGCTGAGGGTAAGAGTCAGTGCTGGACTGGACTGGTCTGGTCTGAGGCCGATAGTTGGTGACATCTGACACCATCAAGTCAGGAGAGACACTCACGAGTCGCCGACTCCCAGAGCATATCGGCTATGCCCTCGATGTCATCCGCCAGTTGCTGGATGCCGGTGTAGCGGCCATCCACGCCCAGCTGGAACTTCATGTGGCGGGAGTTGATCCGGTCGATACCCGCGCTCAAGCGGCCACGGAGCTGCATCTCTGCGTTAGAGCCTGGGGCGAGAGGGGCCTCGCGCTGTGGCGGGATGTTCAGGGCCGGAGCCCATGGTATGATCATGGATACGGGGCCGGCATGTTCGGATGGCCTGTCCAATAGATCTGCGGAGCTGTGCCGCTGGGGCTGGATTGGGACATCCTCGAACTCGACGTCCTCGTCTGAGTCGTACCCGTCTGCAGGCTGGTTGGACATTTTTGACACTTGGTCGTGGTGGTAAGGATGCGAATAGTCGAGGTTCTTTCTCGTAACACAGAGGCAGAGAGAATGATAGCAGGAGCGACTGACGGGATCAAACTAGAGAAGATAGAAGAGGAGATTACAGTGCCTCACTGGTGATCCCCTAGAGCGGTTCTTTATAGGGCTGGTGGGTACGTTGTGTCCCTCCTCAACCAGAGCGGGTCATCTTGCTGCGGATGACAGGCCAAGGTCTTTGTGCGAATTGCCCCAGATTCTTCTAAAAATGGCGTCTTGTGCAACAGAACGATCGAGCTATCACTGTGAGCCGGGGGGTGTCATGCCAAGCCTTGGTCTGTGCGGGGCACACTATGGGGCTTGGCAAGGCAGCGGGAAAAGAAATGGCTGCGATGTTTATTCCGCGTGAGGGGTAAAAGAACGACCCGTAAATCTCACCATATCACTGTGCGGATGTGTCTAGGAATTCCTTTTCCGCACGGACGACTTGATATTGCTTCTTGGGTCGTTGTGCTGGTGGTTTGGTGCGGTGGTATGTACCCGCACCGCGTACAACTTGGCTTTTGCCTGCGTATGTTTACCTATGCATATTAACCCACCTAGCCCAATTTAGGGCCAATAAATGAATAGATACTAATCGACGCTCAACCTTATGACCAGGTCAAGATATGGGATGCATTTGGTATTTGAATCATCAGCATACTAGCATTACCCTTAAAAAAAAGGCCCATTGATATAATATGGTCCAAAATATATGTAAAGGAAAGCAATAGAGCCCCGCGAACATAAACTTCCATTAACCAGAAGCAACTGCCGCATGAAAGACTTTGCAACGCAGAATATAGCATAGAAACTTCGTCTCAAGAAGTGAGAAGCTTGGATATCGCTGGTATTTGATGCAATGAGCAAAACAGCGGGTGAGACGCTGCTTGCTACACTGGCCCTAGCGGATCCATCATAAGAGCAAAATCCTAGAAGAACACGCCTTGGATGGAATGAAAAAAAAGCAATGATAGAGATCAATGTAAGTAACTTGCATTGTACCAGGCACTCGATAGATACGTAATACCAAATGATCAGTCCAGACCAGGTGCAACTCCCAAAAACGCCATGCTTGATGCTACACATCGCCTCATTCCGGCTAAATGAAACCAAACAAGTTAGCAAAAGACTCCTCTCTCTTGAGACCCAATCCGTCTAAAACCAGACTAGACTTACCCGAATCTTGCCCCTCCGCATCTTGATATCATGCAACTTGCGCTTATCTTCATCAAACCGTCTGAGCAAAAGCTGCTGTCTCGCCTTCCTCTTCTCACGACTCTGGAACCGATAAAAGTCTTCCAACCCCTCCGTCTTCTTCTTCTGGCGCTCCACAATCTCGCGCACCTCATCCTCCCTCGCCACAGAATTGAGCTTCGGTCCATGCGTAACAGTAACAAACCCATCCTCGTCCGGCTCCCCAGCCTTCCGCGACTCCTCGCGCCGCCGCGCCTCTCCAACCTGCTGGAAGATAGTCATGAAGTCGTTCACCGTGCGCAACAGCGCCCCCCGCTCCGGGTACCGCCGCGACTCGTGCGCCAGGTACCGCGCCACACCGAGCGCAGGCACCCGCTCGGCGGGCATCCCAGAGCCCCAGACTAGGCTGGTGTGCTTGCGAGCTGCTTTGGCGGCGGCCTTGAGGCTGGATTCCATGCTGGGCTTGTCGGCGAAGACGACGATAGCGTGGGCCCCGCTTTTCTGCAGAGGACGATCCCAGGTTCTTGGTAGGGTGATGTCGTCCAGGGTACCCTGGAGGTCATCGGCGGTGATGCGCTTGCGCTTTTTGTTGGCGCGGTGAGAGAGATTCGGTTCTGTGGCTGCTGCAACGCCGGCTTTTTTTACGGGGACATCTTCGAAGCTGACGCGCTCGACACGACCAGCGGCGAGCTGGGTGCCGAAAAGGTGGCGGAGGTGGGCCTCTGTTGTGTCGATGGGAGCGTTGACGATGAAGAGCGAGCGGGTGGAGTCCGGGTCTGGGATGCGAGGCTCGTGCGGGCGGATGTAGAGATAATGTGTTGCTGGGGTCGGGTATGTGGATGTTGGTGGGAGTTGCAGTGGCAGGGTTGTGTAGCCCGCCACTTCAACGGTGTCTGTCTTCATCGTGGGAGGTGGTGTTGGGGTTGCTGGGTTGCGGATGGAGTTCGGATCTTTTTTTTGAAGTTTTGCGTTTAGCGTGGGATTTTGCCGTCCATAGCATGGGCGGCGGGATCGGGCGGTGGGATGGGCCATCTATAGGATTAGGGCTGGACAGACCGACCGTATAACTGATAACAGAACTGTATATTGGTATTTTCTGTTGAATCTAGTAGCAGACGATGCTAATAAATAAATATATTAATTATTACATGTTTGTCATTTTGGCGACATTCCCATCGAAAATCCCTCGACATTTGCGAACCATCCCATCTGACCCTTATACTTTGTCAGGATCGTTGAGGCCTCCGTTGGTAATCACATAAGTCGCTTCGCGCTCAGGGCAGTCTGCAGCATGAATCAGAGACGGAATCCATAAAACCCGAATCCAACTGAAACAGACCAGGCGAGTCCTGAATTTTTGCTACCCGCTCCTCGCCCCGGCCCTTGCGCAGGAGCACCCGAGTCGTCGACGCATGAGCGAGGACATGCCCGCCCACAGGCTTGCGGCCATCTGCGCCCGCGAAAAGAGCACTTGCACCAGGATCACTCTGGACTTGGTTCGTCTAAAACATACGGGAGTCAGAATCCGGATCACGGCAGACCAGTGCAAGAACGGGGGTATTATCCGACCATCAACACGCAGACATTGAACTCTGTAGACGAGACACGAGACACGGGGTTAGCCCAAAATCTTCCGGCAAACGCAAACGCAAACGCAAACGCAAAGCCAGACATCTCCATATTGGAACACAACATCCACATGCCTCTGCGCCCTGTCTCACCTTCGGCCATATGCGCCAACTTCATCAGAAATTGCCCCAACTTCTGCTGCCGCTCCGCCAACTCGCCCCGCCCACAATAATCCACCCGAAAGCAATTCATAATGCTATCAATTACAAGTAGCCGATATGCGCCACCCGCAAACTCGCGGCTCAGCGTATGCAGCAGGTCCAGCTGGTGCTCAGAGTTCAGAGCGCGCGCGTACGCAATGTTCTCTTGCGCGGTGTCCGGGTCCACGCCGAAGCGCTCGGCGATTTGCGCGATGCGCTCTGGCCGGAATGTGCCTTCGGTGTCGATGTAGGCAACTTTGCCGTCGGCACCGCCGTGAGAGACCGGGAGCTGGGCGATTACGGACATTGTATGTGAGAGTTGGGTTTTGCCGCAGCGGTATTCACCGAAGACTTCGCTGATGCTCATGCTTTGGAAGCCGCTAGTTGTGGTAAGTTGGATGCTCAGGACTTGGTAGATTGATTGGGATGTTGAAATGGGTGCATTGATGATAGCGGTGGTGGTGTGTGGGGATGAATGTACTTACCCTCCGAGGATCGAGTCGAATTGCTTGCTGCCAGTTGAGATGCGGACGACTTTCTTGCGCTGGTGGAAGAGTTCCATGGCGGTTACAAAGCCGGAGGTGGAGGGCTGCATATGCAATTATCCTTAGATGAGCACCAAAGTCCATCTTTGTTGATGCAGGGCAAGGAGCAAGAAACTCACGAGGCACTTCTGTAGTGCTTCTTTGATCTTCTCGACCTTGATTTCGCTGAAGCCTTTGATCTTCAGGAGCGTCCTGCGGGTGGCGCCGTGGACGGACTGGAGAGTTGTCAGTTGGCAAAAGATACTGCAATGGCTCATTGAGCTGGAGAGTGGCTTACTGCCACCGTGTAGTATCCGTTTGCTTTGAGTTTGGTGATGTCGGCTGCGCCAATGCCGTGGGCTTGGATGCCGTCGATGTTCACGATGAACTCCTGTTCAGATGGAAGTGGATGAGCTATCGACCAGGGGAAATATCGTGAAGATGGGTCCTACATCGTCGTTGAACTCGTCGTCAGGGTCTGGAGAAGGCATTTTGACGGATGGAAGGAATGGGATGAGATAAGTTGAAGAGAGAGGAGAGAAGCAGTGAAAGGAGAGAGGACGAGGGCGAGGAGTCGAGATAGTCACGGCTGCAGCACATGACCCCTTCCACAGGATATACCACACTACAAAAACCATACATCTACCAAGAGACAGCATTGAATAGGGATTTGCGTTTCCATGTTCTCAGCACCGAGGACTCCTTCATCGGCTCCATTCCAACACACTTCGAACCCAGTTTATCTCTTCTCTGCAGTACACACGCAACACCACCACACCATCGCACCACATCACAGCACATCAACCCATCATCCTCGCCACCTGCTCGTCTCTCATCTCTCCTCTCTCTATCTCCTGCTCGGTCCACAACAGGGAAAACCGCAATCAGAGTCCAAGATTCCATCATATCAAGAAAGATTCATGTGTGGGAGCAAGAAATAGACAAGACGCCAATCATGAGGACCTCTCCTAGCATAAGGAGAGTCACTCCGACTCAAGAAAAGCCAAAGTAGAGCTTAAGTCAAGCTCCAGAAGGAAAGCCCAAGATCGCAGGGGAAGGGGGGTGTTTGAGGAGGAGGGGGAAAAGGATCCGTGAATCAAATCAGGATCAGAATCAAATCAAAAACATAAAAGAAAGAACTTTTTCTGTTTGATCGTCGTATACATGATATTAAGGTCAAAAAGCAGATAAGCCGGAAACCGACACCGGGAGAAAAAGAAAACCCCACGAGAAGGGGAAAGGGTAATTGGCATCGGAGAGGAATGGAATGGAATGGATGGATATGGGAGGAAGTGTAGGTTCAAATATATGCAAGTGAAGAAATGGTGCAGATACTCCTTGAAATGAAAGTAAATAGAGAAAAAAGAAAACGACCGTCATAGAGAAGTGGGAAATAAACATAGTCGGTGCCATTGACGTCAGGTCAGGCGAAGTATACGCGATATGTAGCCGTTTATGCGACAGCGGTAGCCGGAGCCGCAGGCGCAACAGGCGCAGTCTCGGCGCCGGCCTCGACCGCAGCGACAGCCGCAACGGCCGCAGCAGAGGCGACAGGGGCGGCAGCGACGGCCGCAGCAGAGGCGACAGGGGCGGCAGCGACGGCCGCATCAACGACTGGGGCCGGGGCGGACGCAGCCTCGGCGTTGGTCGGGCAGTCGCGGGAGATGTGGCCAGCCTGAGCACACTTGTAGCAAACCTTACCAGCGGAGCTGAGCGGGCCGCCGTTGGGGGCGGTGCAGTCGCGGGAGATGTGACCGAGCTTGCCGCAAGCGTAGCACTTCATGGCCTGGGCCTGACAGTCGCGGGCGAAGTGGTTGGGCCCGCCGCACTTGTAGCAGGTCGCGGCGCGAGGGTAGCCGCTGAAGCCGCCGCGGGCGCCCTGGAAGCCACCGCGGGGGCCGGTGGGACGGCCAGCGCCAGGGGCGGTGGGGTTGGTGCAGTTGCGCTGGGTGGAATTAGTCGGGTTGTTAGGTGAGAAATGGGGCCGGTGAAGGGTGTCTTACGGCCAGGTGGCCGGGCTGGCTGCAGTTGTAGCAGCGGCCGTTGGCGCCATTCAGGCGGAGGGTGGGGCAGTCAGCCTGGACATGGCCGAGGCCCTGGCAGTTATAGCACTGCTTGGCTGGAGGGCGAGTCAGTATGAGTACCCTGTAGCTGTTGCTGGAGCTGGGGCAGGACGATGGTTCTTACTCTCGGTGGTCCGGGGAAGAGGGCAGCCGCTAGACTCGTGGCCTGTTGGAAATGCATGAGACGAGTTGTTTGCGGGGGAAAGTTGAGGGACATACCGGGCTGCTTGCCTATGGGTTGAGATGAGAGTTAGCTAAGGATCTAGCGGGCAACAAACAGAGGGGAGCAGGATGCACGTACAGTTGTAGCAGAGACGCTCCGAGGACGAGCAGACCTCTGTATACCTCTGTCAGTGGGACGTCGGCATAGCCGGAACGTATCGTCCAAAACTAACCCGCATAGTGGCCAATGTTGCCACACTTGTAGCACGCACGACGAGACAACATCATCTTCGATATTCTACCCCAACGTTAGTCCGCCATCTTCCTATCCAAAGCTCCGCCCCGCGCCATGGTCGTGTGCCCTCCGCCCCCGAGTAACAAAACGGCGCGACAATGGTGTATACAGCATATCAAGATTCGAAGCTGACCGGTCCAAGGGATTCACAAGTCGATTGTTGTCGTTGAAGCCCTGGTCCCAAGATTCATCCTCGGCACGGGATAGTGAGGGGGGAACTGTCGATCCCGCGGGGGTATACACCAACGTCGCAACATCCAAGCAGGCCGGGGAGGAGCCGACTAACGCACAAGGTTCTCACTCACCCTTCCAATGACTCTTCGAATCCTTGTCGATAAGATCTAGCAAAACGTCGGACCTTGTCAGCATGAGAACCTTGGAGAACAGAGGGACCGCCCGTTTAAAAACACCACGTTCTTGACAGCCCACCAAGGAAGGAAAAAAAAAGAGCAAAAAAGTGGGACAGCTTGCAGGTTTCTGTTCCACAACACCACGTCGCAAAAAGAGGGAAGACACAGATTCACGAAAGAAAGAAGATACTCACACAACTGCACTCCGTACACGAAAAAGAAAACAAGTGCAGAGACGAGAGCAGTGACCGAGTCCGAAGGCCGAAAAGAAAGTGGGTGCAAACTCGTCAAAAGTTTAGCTCCCGAGCTTTCCCGTATTGCGTAAGGTTGCTAATTCACCGCGCTGCCATTGGGTCCATCCTGTTGTATTGGATGATACTGTGATTGAATATTCGAGGATGAGTTACGATGAAAAATCAAATATATTCCATAACCAAATATGACGGGAAAAATGCGCGATCCCTTCGAGTATAGAACAATGCATACACCACACCGTACGGTACACCGGGTATACTCCCCGCTCCCGTGAGGGTTGCGACACCCCTACATTCCCCTCGTCCGGCGCACCCAAAAGCGCAGCTATGGCCGATGCAACCCGTGGCTCATTCCTGTCGATCAGGGACGAGAAAAGATAGCAGGTGAAATGGGGATTGGATATGGACTCAGGAGTACGGACTACGGAGAAATTGGTAGAGAGAAACCGACTATGCAATTCATTTCTTCGTGCCAAAAATCCGGGAAAGAGACACCCGAGGTGCAAGCCCGGTGGTGCCCAGGGTGCGTCAGATACGTCTGTTTTAGGATGCGGTGAGGTCGCATCATCTACTCCTCCTTCTCCAGGAGGGCGGGCGCCTTGATTTGCCGGCCCTTGAGGAACTCGAGGTTCTCGCCTCCCTGCACGCCGTGAGTTAGTATATATTGATACAATGTATATTCCAACATAGGCGGGCAAGCGCCATGCGTGATGCTGATAGCTCTTGGCGTCGCATGAGAGGGACAGGGATGGGGACGGTTCACGTACGTAGCTGATCAGAGGAGACACCTCGACACCGAACTTATCGTCCTCGGTGATAACAATGCCGCCCGCGGCCTCGACCCACCGCTGGCCCTGCTTCATAATGTCGTCGCGGCTGGTATCAGGGTCATCCTGGCCCGTGCCGCGGGCGTTCTTGAGCGGCGAGAACTCCTCCTCGCGGCGCACCTCAATGCAGGCAAACTTGTCCAGCGGCGTCATGGGGAAGACATCGAAGACGAACTGCTCCAGCTTGATGCCGTTGGGGGTGTCGGGCTTCACGGCCTCGCCGTTCTCCGGGTTGATGAAGGGGATCTTCTTGCGCGCGACGTGGTGCGGCAGCTTGTGCATCCAGTTCTCGATCGACTCGAAAAACTGGAACGAGTAATAGTGGTTGACGATGTTGGCGGCCCGGAACTTCAGCACGTCCGGCTGCTTGGGGTCCTTCGCCTCGGCGGTCTCCTTATCGATCTCCGAGTACTCGACCACGTCGGGCTTGCCGTTCTTCTGCACGATCAAGCCGACAGACTCGGCGGCGTCACGCTTGCGCACTACCTTAGTCGCGATGTCAACGTTCTTGGAGGCGGAGAATCCGATAAAGACGGGGTCAGCAACTTTGACAAGGCAGTTGTCAACGCAGTAGGCGTGGATGTGCTTGATACCGCGCTTGCGCATGTCCTCGCGCACGCCGGAGGTGACGATGGCCTGGTAGATACCGCCGTTGCCGTCGGGGGCTACAGCAACCTAAAGGGGAGGTTGATTGTCAATGCGATGACTCCCAACCAGGGGGACAGAACCAAAAAGGCTGATGGGGCGATTTAGAACATACCTTGCTCTTGCTCTCCATGATGATCTTGCCGTCATTAGAGATACAAGGCAGCACGCCCTGCTCAAAGATGAAGATATTGTCCTTGCTGAGACCGAAGTACTTGTTCTTCGCAAAGAACTCCTCGGTAGGCTTACGGGTCGGTCCGCTAGTCATGACATACCAGGGGATGGTCGCGGACTGCACACCGTGAGCCTTGTTAGCCAGCTCCTGCAGCTTGGCGATACGCTCGGCCTGGAGCTGGAAGAGGGGCTTTTCGCTCAGCAGGCCGATATCAAAGCAGCCCTTGGGGGCAGAGCTGCCGAGGCGAGTGCCCTGGCCACCGGCCATCAACACAACCGCCACATTGTTCTCGGCGACCTGCTTCAGGCCGGCCTCGTACCAGGTCTTGACATCGGCGGGGTCGGAGTCGATGATCGAGGCGGTTGCCACGTCCGGCAGGGGCTCGACCGTCACGGCAGTCTGCTCGGACTTGGGCGGGTTGAGGGCCCGGTCGGCCAGCTCGTTGATGCGGGCGACGTCGAAGGTGGACAGCTGGTGGAAGAGCCGGGACTTATCGGCGGTCTGGAGCTCGTCGACAAAGGCGAAGACTTGCCCTTGCCCAGCCTCGGTGTACTTGTTCCGCAGCTGCTGGAACTCTTCAGCGGAGGGCTCGCGGGGAGCTTCCTCGGCCGAGCCCGAGATCTTGCTAATGAGATTGGAGACGGTTTCCTTGATCGCAGCCATTGTGAGGTGTGGAGGCGAGGAACTGCTTGATCGAGGGGGGGGGAGTAGGGAGGGAAACAGAGAAATGGAAGAGAGAGGGGAGGGGAGGGAAAGTGGCAAGAGGGAAAAAAATGTAAATAAATGAAACGCGGGTTGAAGCTGAAGCTTTCGCTGGGAAGTGCTTTGGCTTTACACCGTAACTGCGCCAGCCCTGGAATGCACTAGCCCTGGCTCGCAGGGCCACAGCCCAGACAGATTATTTTTAGTGCGAGCCAAGTACGACAACTGGGAACTGCGCGACACTAGCAGCCAGTTACCAAGTGAGACCTGGCCACTCGCCGCCGCCGAATGCGCGGTGTGCCCCGCTAGCGGGGCGAGATCCAGACTTCATACGGTGTGTTCTCCCAGGGGCCGACGGGTGCCATGGGGGGTGTCGGGTGGATATGGCCTTATACATTTCGTTGGATACTGAGAATATTGTGGATATTTGGGATATTTGGGATATTATTGATACAGTTCCCCCTCCTACTCATCGTCGCACGTACCGGTCATCTCGACGGCCGCGGTCACGGTCACGGTCACGGTCACGGGCATCACGGTAGCGACCTCGATCGCGATCTCGCCGTGAGTCTCCCCGCCCGGGGCTCCTACTTGACTCTCGGTGCCGGAACCGGGCTTGATGCGTGTCTCGAGCTCGGGGACTGCGACTATTGCGCCGGTCCCGACGTGAATCAGTGCGTGGGTTGTGATCTGACCGGCCGGCGCCACGAGGGGCGGAGGACCCCGCTGGCCGATCTTTGCGCGAGCGGTCAAAGACCATGTTGTAGGCATCGTCCTTTTCGTTTGCACGAGGGGTTTCGAACGCTCGGTACTGGCGTTTCTCTTCCAGATCGGCGACACCACCGAACCCGCCTCGCTGTTGGCGCTTCGTGATGGTCGCGTTGCGCCAGCTGTCTGACAGCTTCGAGACCTAGACCGTCAAGTCAGCAAGATGTGTGATCGACATATATACTGGTGCAGATACACCGGAGGAGAAGGGAGGCGGGGAGGACACATACACTCTGTGAGAAGTCAACGTGGATGCGGTGATCGTCAATCAGCACGCCCTGCATCTTGAAGTAGGCCTGCTCGCAGTCTTTCTGGTTCTCAAACTCGATGAACGCATACTGCAGACTGTCACCCGTGCGCTTGTCTCGGATCACCTCACAGGAGAGAATAGTGCCAAAGCGACTGAAGATCAGCTGGAGGTCCTCATCTATGTCAAACTGTAGTTAGCACATCATACAGCATGCACGGCCGGGTCGATCGAGTGATTGGCTAACGAACCTTGTGTGACGGGATTCAACTTGCAGACGAAGAGCACATTCTCGGGGGGCTTGACATCGGCGAAAGGAAGATCACCGACCATTTCCAAAGTCAGCGCCTGGGCACGAGCTTCGCGCTCACGGCGCAGCTTTTCCATAGCCGCTTCGTCCATATCGTCATCCAGCTCCTCGTCGTCCGCGATGCGCACCGTAGCCAACTGGGCCTTGGACGGCACCGGACTCTCGGGGGGCTCGACCAGACCAGCGGGGTCGGCAAATGGGTCGTCGAGGACGACCGTGTGGCGTATACGGATATCCTTCAAGGGCCGACCCCGGTCATCAATGAACGACTCATTGATCTTCTCCAGGACATCGAAGCCCTCCACTACCTTGCCAAAGATGGCCGCCTTGCCATCCAAGTAATCCAAGTTATCGCCGAGCGTGATGAGAAACTGGCTCCCGGCCATGCGCTGGTCGGGATCGTTGGCCGCAGGCACCGTGGCCATGCTCACGGTTCCACGTTCGAGATGCTTCATTTTGGGCGGCAGTTCGATCGGAAAGGTGCGCTTCGAGGGGCCACCCAGCAATCCCCATATCGAAGATCCGCCATCGCTCTCGGGGGCGTCGGGGCCTAGCGGGTCGCCGGTTTGGAAGCTAAAGTCTTTCTGGACGCTGTGCACCGGGGCGAAATTGTAGTACTTGATTTTACACAGCTTCAAAAAGCTATGACGGGAGAGAATAGGGAAAAGCTTAGTTTGCGGGTTCAGCACACTCGACGAGGCATTGGGGATGGGGGTGGGAAAGATGAAGGGGAGCTTGGGGGGCAGGCATGAGAAGGGGCGCTTACTTTTCACAGGCTTTGGGCGACTCATCGACCAGAAGGTCGATCACGATGTCGCCCAGCGAAGTTTCGAGTAGCGCGCTCATGGCGTCGGGCAACACTTCTCGCAACTCTCCGCTCAGCGCATGGGCGGTTGAGGCGAGGCGCAAAGTCGAGGAGGATCGACCGAGCTCGGACCAATCACCGCCTGCTCGGAAAGTCGTGCAGCTTGCGACTTGCTTCAACCATCTTATTTCTGGGCTCGCTTTCCTTTTTTCTTCCAGCAGAATCATCAGCAGGGGTCACTAGTGGTACAGCAACCGCTGGGAGGATTTTCGATCAACCAGCGCCATCTCGGATGCGCGACCCGGTGCCTGTGCGACGCGCCTTGTCAATCAAGCGGCATATCTTCCGAGTGACCCCGTTGGATATGCCCGCCACTGGCCATGAAGATACCGGCCATACATCTGGTTCAGAAGGAGGCTTGCTTGATCCCCCTGTTTGGTGCAGCTACTTCCCCTCTCTTCTTCACCCGCTTCTGAGAACGGGGCACGATGCAGCAGCCAGTCCGAGCCGCAAGAGTGAAGCATTTCAACTCTGAGGGATCAGGCACGAAGGCATGAGCCACCCCCGGACTGGCCGATGGCGGCTTCTTGTTCTTATCTTACTTCCTGGCCGTTACCCAGGACTACGATCAGGATGACACCTTGTCTCTCCATCCTCGGCCGTGTACACCGGGCCATTGCCCGCGCAATAACTTCCGTCTACAGCTCCCATCCGGTGATCTGTTCCACGGCAGGAGAAAACGGTGGGGAGAAAACGGGCGGCCTCCTGCAGCATGATCCAGCGGGAGCATCGTGGGTGCCAGCTGCCTCGTTGGGCTTCCAGCGAGCGAGAGACCGACCGACATCTATGAATCAGGAACACCTCATCGTCAAGCGAGCTCGACTAACCTCTCCCCGGCTTACCCCGGTTAGCAAAAGGCCCTGGTTGACAGGGGGAAGAGCACTAATGTAAAAGAACCTTCGTGGCGTACTATGAAGGGCTGGTCTCAATCCCAACCAGCGTTCCTGGCCCATCGGCTCATGAGATAGTCCCCTGGCTGGAACATGGATGGACTCTGGGACTCTCTGAACACTTGCAGTGGCTCTCATTCCCCCATTTTGTGCATTGTCAGACCGAGACTGCGTGGGAGGAACTCAGCCACTGAGATGGCCTTTTCTAATCTGCTTCCCCACGGGCTCTGTGTGTTTAATCCCTCTCAACAGATGGAGAGAGTGAGTGTGTGTGAGAGAGAGTCACCACATGCTGCATTGACTCACTCCCACAAGATCTATACGGGCATCACCGCAATGCCGAATACGATTGAACCACCCCACTCCACCAGGCGGGCCAGACAGGCCTGTACCCAAGGCTGGTTTGCGCTGGGTTTGTTCCAGTTCATCATTTTGGGCGGGATAATTTTGTCCCAGCTGTATCGCAAAGAAGCTTGTCAGCATTCCGGAACCTCATGCATCATCGGCGCAAGCCCTTCTCCGAACCTGCCCCCTCCCCCTTTTAAGAATCCGACAGGATGGAGATCCGCTTATTTCAGGCTTTCTCCACCAACGGTTCCAGGCCCGCCAGGCGATCGTAGGCTACTGGCGAATCTTCCTTTATGGTTTGCTGTCGTTGCTTCTTCTGTCGTTGCCCTTTCCATCTAGCTGCGGCGCGGCTGCGGGAGCGCAACAAGAAAGCCCAAGCGGATCCACCGCCTATCCATGCTGTCGATCAGGACACAGCCTTAGCCGATCGCTGCTAGGGCTGCTTATCTGTTCTTCTAGCGCACGCGTTGTGGGGCCGGCCAAGCCCACCTGACGATGCGCTTGCTCGCGCCGGGCCGACGGAAGTGACAGGTGTCAACCATTTCTCCTTTCTTTTTCCTCCCCTAGGACACGTTGAGACAGTTACCGCGCCCCCGTGGTCTCAGATACGGGGACAGGAGACCTGTGCGAGAAAGAAATCAGAATCTAAACATGACCCATGACCCAAGACTAAAGATCGCGTCTCTAGCCCGTCTGCTGGTAATTGTTGGTTTCCGGCTGCCGCTGCGGCCGGGGGGAGGCGATCAACCCCCATTACTCCCTTTGCCCACGGGGGAAGCCCGCCCCCACGTCTCAGTCGAGTTCGGACTGTTTAACGCCCTAATTGATGCATCTGGGAATGGCGCGTTGCCTCCCAGAGCAGTGGATGCAGCAGCTACACCAATCAGCCTTTGGACCGGACCGATCCCAAGGAAGCAAACAATCCGCCTGGGGGATCTTCATCTCGATCGCTGCACCGGAAGGCAGTCCCCGGATCGGCACCAGCAATGTGTTCTGCAAACGTCCCCAAGCGGTCGTCCTTTGTATTTGGACAACTTGACAGCGTGACCGCTACCCTTCGGGTGATCTTCTGCTTGGCTTCTGGCTGGGTTCATTGTCAAAGCCCGAGCCCAAACCCACAACTCAGACTAATACTTAAGACTCAGACCACGAGCAAGACAGGCCCAGCCAGGTGCCGAAAGAGAGAGAAACAACTCCCCCTCAGAGATTAGCTGTACTCGCAGCAGGCTCTAATCTCCCCGGCTGGACTTGTTCTCATCATGGCTATCAGGTCATGTCCCGTGTGACGTTACTCTGTGGAACCATGCCTCTAAAACGCCGGGGCGGTCCTGTCTTGCACGCCTGTCTACGTAGAGACCAGGGAAAACCGGGTTTGGATGTACTGCGGAACAGTGCATATCATTTCCCCTGAAGACAACAAGAGCGAAGAACAGAAAAAAAGAAAAAAGGAAAAGAAAAAGAAAAGGGCACAGAGAAAAGAGAGTCAAACCGACAAAAGGAAGTTCTCAACGGTGGCCAGGGAGGCGCTATCCCGGAATCTCGCCGGTACTTTAGTACTTTTGGCCCTCGTCCTGGCTGTGTACGGGCCCTCACTCCCCCCGTCCACCCGTCCCCTTCCCCGATCTAACCTTATAGACACGTAGTAGCCAGTAGCATCTAGAAAGGAGATAGCCAGGAACATTGAGAGGCCCCATCCTCAAAACTTAAATCCGAAAACCAGAGAAAGAACCCAGCAAGTGAACTAGGGAACCCCCAGAGATGCTCCACCTCCCAGTGGCATACAAAATAGAATGAACAGTCGAACAGGAACGAGCACCAGCAATCACGCTCGATTGTGACCAAAACATGGCTTAAATCGGGCGAAGTCCTTTCCTCTTTGACCCAGCTTCTTCCTCTTTCTCTGCCTCTGCATCTTCCTTCTTAAGTGCTTCCCTCCCCATCCGCCATGACAGTTCACATCTAGGAACCGCAGAGACTTGTCGTCTTCGGTGGCTTGATCATTCCGGACTCACTGCCCCATTCTGGACCCTTGGAACAACGAGCAGTGAGTTGAAGCAAAAGGCTTCACCGTCTACTGTCTCCCGCCCGCCGTCCATGTTTTGCTGACGGTGGCCAGCCATGAACTCCTATTACACGGAGAAAGTAGCGGGGTTTGAACTGTCCCAGCATGATAGTACTCTCTCCTTATCCCGCTCGACGCGGAGCATGAACCAGCACGAACTCAGTCCAGTGGCCGAGATGGACACCAAGTTGCGTAACCCCCAGCGACGCCGGGTGCCGGTAGCAGTAAGTTGCCTCATATGTCTACTAGACCACAAGTGTTGGGCTTCTTGCCTGACCGAAATGACAGTGCGGCCGATGCCGACGGCGGAAGATCAAGTGCAGCGGAGACTCTGGCGATGGTCAGGGCTGCTCGAACTGCCGAAGTGCTGGTAATACGGACTGCCAATTTTTGCGAGTAGGTCTTCAGTCTTCCATGACGAGGGGAGAAGCAGCCTCAAAGATCAGAAGCCAGCAGCTAACATGTCTCTGAATAGGTCAACTCCTTGAAATTGACCCCCAAGGCCAATAGCTGGCCATACCCTAACCCGGGAGCGGCGATGGTGTCCTCCCCCCGACTGGGCAAGCCCACACTGCTCTCCATGGCTTCACCACAGACCCGCATGGCTGCTTTCCAGCGGGCATCCGACTATGACCTCGGCTCAGATGGATCTGTGTTTCCGGAGCGATTTCCGGTAGGCGTGGAGTCCATGCACTACGAAGACGGCCAGTCTGCGGGCTACAGCCAGTCACCAGCTTACATGCACCCCAACGCCCCGTCTGGAACTGGGGCTCTATTTGACTATGGAGCATCCCCATGGAGCCCGAAGACCTGGGACTCCGTGCTGGGCATGAACAGACCCGCTAACAGCGGACTTTACCCGGATCCCGAAGCAAATAGCTCCATGAATCAGTCTCCCTTCTCCTACATGCTTCCAAGCCAGGGTCTCCCTTCCACAGAACTCCCACCATCCACGATAGCGGCAATGGCCGCTGTCTTGTCTGCGGACCTGCCAGGTCCAGAGCGGACGCTTCCAACCCCGACGTGCCATAGCCAGCAGTTCCCCAGTACCGCAGGAGGACTGGTCTTCTCACCAACAGAAGCCGCCTCCAGACTCTCTCTCCCAGTGGACTCCAAACCTGCCTTCTGGAGCCCGCGCTGCGGGCCTTTGTCCAACACTCGCACTCAAACCCACCCTATCTCAAACACCCTCCTCTTCTGCAACAGCCCCCCAACAACTACAACGTGCACAACAACAGCCAGCAACTCAGAGCTCCTCTTCGCATGTCCCCCCATGCCCATAACAACAGAAGAAAACAGCCCACATACCCTCTCCTCCACATCCGTATCCACGCCCCCCAGAACAACCCCTCATCATGCCCAAGCCCAAGCCTACACCCTCGACACCCTCGACCCAAATCCCAACGACCGCCCAAACCAAGAACCAAGTCAAATCTCCACCCTCCACCCGCCAGACCGATCTTTAAACCGCCTCTATCCAGACCGCGGCACGGCGGGTCAGCGTCTCCTCGAACTAACCACCGACTGCACGCCAGACATCTATGGCTACACCAGCAGCGAGAAAAGCAAGGCGCGCGACAGCCGTGCAGCGAGCACAAGCGGCACGCTGATGAGCGGCGGGCTGGAATACACGCCGGTACGGCATGCGCACACGCCCCATGCAGCGTTCTCGTTTGGGATACTCCCGGATGGGCTGCCGGGGTATCACCGCTCCGTTGTGGAGGGTGTGGTGCATCGGGCGCCTATTTCACCATTAGGGAGTCAGGGCGGGTACTAGTGGTTGAGGACTATCCCCTCTATCTCCTCTGTGCCTTCATATTCGTTCCTTCGTTATTCGTCTTGTCTTCCTAGGCTGTCTGGCTGCATGGCATAGTATGTTTATGCCATGCCCGTTAAGCCGATCCGAGTCCTTGCCCCTACCACCATAACCATGTCATACCATACTATTCTGCAGACCGGGATGGCAGCGTCCAACACACCACAAAACAACCATCAGCCCCCCTGTTGAACCCTCGGGGGAACCGGGCCGATGACCCCTTGAGGCAGGTCCCCGTGGACACTGCAAGTGCACGGCAGCTGCGCTATATCGCTCTGGGTATACGATCTGGATCTGGATTGGTTGCGGCTTATTTTCTTTTCTAGTCGGTTTGATTCTCGCGTCCATTTTGGTAATGATTACGGCCTTGTACCGCTTTGCTCCTGAGATTTTGCTATTCCCTGTTTACCCGGTTGCTTTTTGAGTTCTACTTCTACCTCCCTTTCCTTTCATTCTCTTTCATCTTCTTTTTCCTGCATTTGCGTGGCTAAGAAACCCTTGGGACAGGGTTTGCGGCGGTCCTTTCTTCTTACATGCTCCTCTAATACTCTCTTCCTTTCTCGAGTTGCCTGGCAGCCCTCCCCGGTTCACTCACTGAAAAGGCTGCTGAAAGCCAGAAGGACGGCACTGGTGCAATTTATTTTCATTTGATATAGTCAGGGAGAATGCGTTGGACCTTTCTCTTTCGCCCCTTCCTTGTTGCATTCGCACAACCCACCTCCTCTAATAACCCAATAGAGCATGTGTGGCCGTGTTGCATGGAGGATCCTGTCTGCAATATCCACTATCCGTTATTTATTATTCAATTCCATTTATATTAATATTTTTCATGTGTTTTCTTGGTACTTGTCGCCTTGGAGGAACCAAGTCAGAGTCGCATCTTTTGTTGTTCTGTGGGAGGATTCAGACCATTCAGGCCATTCATACCCCGTGCCTACTGAACCGCCAAGCCACAAGCTCGAAAATGAGAACAAAACAAAAAGATCCGCGTCGGACAAGAAGAAGAGACTTGAGGCGAGTCTACCAGACATGGTACGGGATGGGACTTTTGATCTAGTCTATGTCGAAACGCTGGGGGAGACTCGTCTGCTTTGGATGACATTTTGCTTCCATCCGCATTTTGCTGGCTGTGCTGGTATACTGATAGATCATCTTACTAATGTATAAGTTTGATCGGTTCTGTGCGGATTCATCGTCATTGCTTCGTTTCATTCCCTACTTCCTATTCACTATTGACCCCATCCATAGCCATGCCTTAATACCCCACCATGATTATGAATCTATTGTCTAATTCCACGTCCAAGATGAAGTACCGCGTCGAACCACGACACAAGTCTTGCACGAGGCGTTGATATTTTCGGGTTAGGCACATTGCCCGCATTGGACAATGGTGACACCGGGGCAACGGCAACGACCTGGGCACATGTATTTGTCACAGATTATATCGCCACGATGGCAGGAGGGCATATCGGAAAGGGGTCTGAGGGAATGCGCGGTGTGTACTTTGACTATACCCGGCGCCCAAGTAGCTACATTAAGACCTGCAGAGCACTCGGCACATCCTGCCACAAAGTCACATGCCAGGCTAACAGGATCGTCCTCGCAGCATAGAATGCTTACTTATGCTTCTTTCTCCCGTCTATCCCCTTCTATATTTCTCTATATACACCCCGGCCTTGACTAGGACCCTAGGGGATTCTCAGAATACATCAGCACAAGTGGCCGCTGAGTGCCATCGTCCAGCCAGATCCTAACATGAGACATCAAGCCAAGAGAAGCATACAGAAATCACCCTCTACCATCATGAAGCCTGTGTAATCTCTCCCCCTCCCTGCACAACCCCAACCCAACCCCATGATTTGGAATCAGCAGACCCTGCATCGCACCCGCGTAGAAGCAACGCCATCTCCAGCGTACAAACATTCTAGCAGCAACAACAAGAACAAGAACAAGAACAAAAACAAGAACAAGACCAAGATGAAAACCACATGCAGGTCCGGCACCGTGCCTGTCTCATAGACTATATATTCATCTTCCAAGCAGCATCCCTGCCGCCCTGATTTGAGATCAACTCAACTCTGTTGTTTGACTACCGTTTTTGTCCTCTCCCGCCTGGGACCCATGAATCTCTACAAATCAGAGGAAGCGGCTGGCGCTGAGACTGAGATGAAGGGTGGGCCGGCATGACACGGTAATCCGGCCAGTGGCCAGCAGGCCCTGGTTTCCATGTGTGAATGGGGAATTGAGTATGGGGGGAGACGGTCCGGGGTGTCCGGTGCGACGGTCGTGTATCTAGCCTGCCGAAAAGGGTGATTATAGTTTTTCTTGTCCTGCATGATCGTGCGTACGGGGTTTGGGTTAGGGGGCGTAGGAGGGAAGCTGGGTTGTCTTGGGTTGGTGGCGGGAGTGGCCGGAGCATGTGTATCGGTATGCATTGGAAGTGTCCGGTGGACCTGCTTTGCCTATTTAGGGAAGGAGGGGTTGGTTATACAGCGATAGAATGATACACTACACATGTTGCCGGGTTGGCTCTAGGCCATCTAGCGGGGACGGGGCTAGGGCGGCGGGGATCCGTGTCGAGTCTAGCGTTATAGAAAGACATAAACCCTGACCTAGAGAACGGGGATGATTACGCAGTCCCGTCAAGCTAGTGAAAGTGAACAGAAACAGAAAATAGTAATTTCATTCCGGGGCAACAGCCGAAGCCCGGTTCTCATTTCCCCTGGCTGTTTTTGATTCGAAAATGGATAATCCATACCACATAGAAATAAACAACACTGACGCCTTTTGAGGTAGATCATCAGGTTCACCGACTATCAAAGAGAAAGCCAGTCAACAGGGGGGGGGGGAGTCATCCACATCCACCGAGGACAGGCAACCAGTATGGTGAAATCCTTTTTTTAGTGCATCCATGCTGGCGAAACCCATCCTCCATCGCTCGCACACCGCAGCCTGTTCCCAGCACATGCAAATGTAACTGCACCAAAAACAAGCCGCAACCACCAAGCCACTAAACGTTTCACCCATCCATGATTCAGATGGAGCGAGACGCTTAGTCCTTGCTCTTCTTGGGGCCCTTGGTCTTGGCGGTACCGCGGAACTTCTTGGAGCGGTTCTTGCGTTGCTTGCCTGTAGGGACAGAGTCAGAGACCGGGGATCAATATAGAGGATCCATGTGCCTGAGCCCGAAGGCTCTACCCCGAGTTCACGGGGGGCGAGGTTTGAGGGAAAATTTCTACGGGGGATTGAAACGTACGCTGCTGGCGGGAAGGCTTCTCAACCTTGGTGGCGGCACCGATGCGGACGAGGCGGTAGGCGGGCTCGAACTTCTTCAGGGCCTCCTGGGAGTCGTAGACCAGAGCGAAGCCAGTGGACTTGCCACCACCGTACTGGGTGCGGAAACCGAAGACGGAGACCTGGTCCTTGTTGGACTTGTACAGGTCGGCCAACTTCTCGCGGAGCTCATCCTTGGAGACGTTGGGGCGGTTGGGGTGGAGGACGTCCCTGGGAACGGAGAAAGAAAATGTCAGTCGCGCGCTTCATTTTGCGTAAAATTGTGTGCTCTCCGATTCCGATCAAGTAGGTTTTTCTCGCAATCCCGCTCTGCCACTATGCCTCTCTTCATCATGGGTGCTGGGGCGTAGCGGCGGTGTCGCAGGGAGATTGTGTGTATGTGTGGTTTCCTCAAATCCATCGCGTCGAATTTCCTCCTTGATCGGTCCGGGTGAAATGGGAAAAGAAGAGGGAATGCTTACACGACCATCTGCTTGCGAGCGAGCAGAGGGTTGCGGATGAACTTGCGAGTCCGCAGGGTAACGGGAGTGTCGGCCATTTTGGTGGTGTCGTGGTGATGCAGGAAGTGAAGCGTGTGGATGTCGACTTTCAATTTTCGTGCGGTGCGCTCGGCTACGGCTTGGCGCTAGCCAACTCGGGACAGCTTATGTCATCTACACTTGCTGAGTCAGGTGTTTATCGGATCCTATCGATAAAAGATAAGCGGGGCCGATTTTGACGAGACCTGAAGTACAATGAAGATAATTGAATTTCAACCTCACCTCAATGACACTATCATGGCCGACCAAGTGCGAAAGCTTGCAGCCCAATATTTCCAGTTGGTTGACCCGGCACAACTAGACCTACCACCGGGAAATGTCCTAGTGCGCTCAGCCGTACAAGATGCTCTGTATGAGCGCATGTTCGACGAGTCCCTCGCCCCGCTACCGCCAGCCGCCTATCGGACACGAGTGCTGAAGCTGGTTACCGCGCGCATTGAAGAGTCAATTGTCGATCCAGATCAAGACGTATGTTTTTATTTAGTCTAAGACCACACTGCTTGTTATAACAATCTAATCGCCCCGTGCCATTTGGTCTTGCTTGATCAAACCCATATTCACTCTGGTCTAGTCAATCCCTTTCACTAAACCATTCCACCGCCACAGGAACTAAGCGACAATCTCATGAACAGCCTAGGAACGCTGGTCGCTCAACCAAAACCCAGTGCCCTTGAACAAGTCCAGCAACTCTCCCACGTCAAATACACCGCACCTCTCCCGTCCCCGCTCACTGGAGACCGTGAGGTAACCACCATCGAGTCGCGCGGGCTCCTCCTTTCCGGCCGCACAACAGGTAACCGCACATGGGAAGCTGCGCTGCACCTGGGTTCATTCCTCTGCTCGCCGGCCGGCGAGGCACTCGTGCGCGGGAAGCGGGTGATTGAACTCGGCGCGGGCACGGGGTTCCTGTCGCTGTTGTGCGCACGGCATCTTGGTGCGCGGGGTGTTGTCGCTAGTGATAGGGAACCGGTTCTGATCGAGAATATGCGCGAGTGCGTGCGGTTCAATCACGATGGGGAGAAGCCTTTTCCTTTCCACCCGGCTGCGTGGGATTGGGGGACGCCTTTGGAGAAGACGGGAGACCTGGAGGAATTTGTGGAGGGGGGGGGAATTGAGGTTCGACGTTGCGCTGGGCGCGGATCTGGTATGGTCTTGATCTTTCTTATCTGCAGAGCTTTGCTTCTGCGGAGTTGCTGGATATATTGACTGGGCTAATCGTTAATCGCTTTTGAGACCTACGATGCCGACATCATCCCTCCCCTTCTATCAACAGTTCGCGATCTCTTTGAGAACTACTATCTCGAAGAATTTATTATCTCTGTAACACTGCGCAACGAGCGTACTTTCCAGACATTTTGGGACGGATGTGGTAAGCCGAAGAATCTGCATCATTTCTAAAAAGATATCTAACTGTTGAAAAGAACAAAACGCCTTCAAAGTCGAAACCCTCCCCTACGAATCAACACCCTCGGAAAGCCAATCGGGCTTTTTCCACTCGACGGATATCCCGATTCGCACATATAGAATCTCAAAGGCACTATGAAACGCCCCACGCTCAGTGGAGAATTAAGAATAGTGAATTTCCAGCTTGCGTAAACGGGGAGACCCATGTAAATATAAGTTATACTTTCCAATGCATTATGGAATATGTAGATTGTATAAATTATCATCATAAACAAACGCCCAAGTCCCAATGAAGGTATTTCATCGAAAGAGTGTATCATCAGCTCGACAAAGGAAAATCTCAAGGAATGTCTCCGTCGGGGTATCATATGCAACAAACAGCGCCGCCTACAGTCGCGACTACTTGCTGGATGGGACTCGACAGGACCAAAAATCAAAATCGAAAACAGCCAGACCCAAAACACAGCCGCACCAGAATGCAAAAGCCAAATCCAAAGCCAGAATCAAACGAATCAAATCCGATCGCGATGCAGTAGTAGTGTGTGTAAAGACCGTGCTGAAAAAGTAAGGAATATATGAAAATGCAAGTATGACTGGGTCAGTAGCCAGCCAGATTTCTGGGCAGTACCACCGAGGAGGAAAGGGAAGTAGATCACCCATCAAATCGAAAGGATGGGAGACTGACTAGTCGGTCCCCTCAGCAAGACTCTCCCTCAGTAATTCCTCGTCGATCCTCTGCGGCCGCACATTCACGGGTGCTGGGGGCGGGGGTCGCAGGCCCAGGATTGGACCCTTCTGATTCACACCCGTGAATCTAAAGCGCATCGGTGGCATGGGATCATGAAGGGCGGCCATCGGTTCGACGTTTGGTGTTGTCGTTGGCGCTGGCTTTGGGGTAGAATGCTCGGACTCTGCGCGCGAATCTGCCTCTGTCTCTGAGGCGGGATGCTCGTCCGAGAGGGGCGCCATACCCCACCGACCAAGGACCCAGCCGCCCACGAACCGACCCAACGTGGCTGATTTGCGGGGGACGGGCGTAGCTGTGGAGCTTGTACTGTTGCTGTCTGCGGAGAACACAGAGGCAGATTCCGAGGGGACACTGTTGCTTGCGGCGACGGACGCGAGGAGCGAGCGTGATGATTGTCTGGGGCCCTTGGCGCGGTCTGCGATGATGAATGGTGCTGAGAGGACGGGTGGGGTTGAGACTAGCTCGACGCTGGGCGAGACGATCCGTTGCGGGATGCGCAGGCCTGGGTGCCAGTCGCCCATGCGCGAGTGGCGGGTGGTGGGGGTATGGATGTCCATTCCGGCCACGGAGAGCAGGCTATCGTGCGAGGTCGACTTGCGCAGGGGTGGGAATTGCAGTGCGAACATGTCTTCTACGAGGGCAGGGGCCGGCTCCCCTGCTACAGAGTGAGAGTAAAGCCCTGATGGTGATGACTCTGATTCTTCGGGGATGGCAGAGTGTGCTGTGCGGCTGTCGCTCATGTCCAAAATTCCTGGCCGTTCGTATTGGTCTTCATTAAAGAGACGGGGTGAATCGCCGTCAGGCTGGTCGAGATTATCCAGCGCGGCCAACGGCCGATATGGCATATCAAAGCCCTTGTTATGTCGCGCGCCAATGAGCGGCGAGGAAAACACAGTGCTGTCAGGACTGGTAGGTTGGGAGAAATCGTATCCGCGATCAACACGGTCGAAGATGGAGGATGTGCGGAATACAGATTGCGGCGAGCTTGCTAATGAATCAGTCGCTGGCGATTGCAGCGACCAGCGGCGGGAGGATGACGGTGGAGGAATAGAGACGGAGGTTTGAGAGAGGATGGTATTCATAGACGAGCCGGAGGATTGAGAGCGGTGGATAGAACGGCGAGGAGAGCTGATGCCCATGGCGGAGTGGAGAGAGGCGGGACTTCCAAGAGCAGGCCGTCGCTTCTTAACGCGACGGTTGAGCGAGCCCTTGTCTTTCTTCGAAGTTGTTGGTGTGTGGTAATGGTGATGAATATGGAATTCTTGCGAGACTCGGCGTTCCTTCGACTCGAGTTCATCGCTAAGTGTTGCGGATGGGAGAAGCTCGGCATTCTCTTCCTCGCCGATTTCGGCAAGCGGCTGGTGGAAGAGAACTTGCTCACGCAGGTTTTGCACCTCTTGGTTGGAGCTCTCCAGCATCTCCCGCAACTCCATGATCCCCACTTGCAGGTTCGCATTATCCTGCAGGATGTCCTTGACGAAGCGCGAAACCACATGCGTACCGGGATCCCGTCCAAGCTCAGATGCGGCAGCCGCACCTTTGAGACGACCGGCCGCATTATCCAGTTCGCGCTCGACGGCCCGTTTCCGCTCCATGCGCTGAATGAGTTCCTGGTGCTGCTCACGCTCCTCGCGCGCTTCAGCTTCAATGCGCTCAACCTGGTCATGAAGATCGCGAAGAATGGTCTCGGCATTCCTCCACCGCTGCACAGCGGACTTCTCATCCTCCTGCACGGAAGAAATGGTATCCTCCAGTCTAGACTGTTCTGTCTCCATAAGCGCGAGCTGAGCCTCAAGCTCAGCAGCGCGCGACGCAGCGACGGTCAGGCGACGCAGTTCCGCCTGCGTATGTTCCAGTGTAGCTGTAAGCGACTGGACATGCTCGTCAGACTCAGAGACAGCCTTATTGAGGCCATCGAGTTGCTCTAGCAGAGAGCGGTTTTCCTCAACGATGCGCGCATTCTCCACCTGAACCTGGCGCTTCTCGCGCTCGAGCGCATCCACGCTCGCTACAAGCTGCTGGCGGTCCTCTTCCGCCTCAGCCATATAGCTTTCATGGCGGTGGAGTAAGGCCTGTAGAGCAAAGGTCAGCGATGACGAGCCTGGAGAAGACGTCTCTGCCTGGGCAGAGTAATCGTGGAAAGTGAGAGTGGCCATGACGGACGCCAACGCAGTGGGAGAGGACGGGGGACCTCAGCACGAGGGTGTCCATGGAACAAGGCAGAGCAGAGCAGCGCAGCACAGCACAGGCCAAATCAGTTCAGACCAGACCAGATCAAAGCCTGCCCTCTGGTATAGTTGGAAATCGGACGGAAGTAGGGTGGAAAGCAAAAGGTAAAAGACAAAAGATCCGTCCATCGCCCAGGAATGATGGAAATGATGTATCAAACAATGCAGCAGCCAGCCAGCCAGGCCAGGAACAGGCCGATCAATCATGTCACCAATGATCGGCCCACCCATCAAGCATCATAAAGAACGAAAAAAAGAAAAAAGGAAAATAAACAAAATTCAACGTACCTGTCCTAATCTAGCTGCCGTTTCAAGGTCCTTCTCCAGGCCCTCGAGCGCAACATTATTGTGCTCGAGTAGGGCGCAGTCCTCGCGACCGCAGCAGCAGCGCAGAGAGGCCGGCACACGGGAGTGCGTCGGAATGCTGGGGAGGTGTACCTGAAGCTCCGGGTGGGGGCTACCGGTATGCAGATGGGAATCCATGAATAGCATGGGAATGTGACCCCTTCGGAGCGCCGGTGGGAGCAGGGCTGTTCATCCGTCTTGGATGAGAGCTATCGTCCAGAAACCGGCGCTGAGGATGCACCCCTAGGAAACGAGTTGCAGGAGATGTACATGTATCACAAGAGCGCCAGGTACCCGAAGAGCGGAGAACGATGATGGGGGTCAGCTGATGGCTGATGTAATTGGTGCCTGACGTGAATTATGTAAGCGCATTTACTGCAGCCGAAAGAGGTTATATTGGACTGTGGCAGTTCGTAGATCGGGAGGGATGCTTCTATCTTAGCAATTATGAGCTCAGATGGAAGGTTACTAGCCCTAGATACTTATTTATATGGCTTGACCTCAGAGACTGGCTGCATGTCTCACTGGGATGTATTCTAGGTACCGAGTATGGGGTGCCAGCCAATTATCGGGTACATTCGCAATCCCTGCATTTTCTGTGACAGCAATAAGCTACCATGCCTCTACACTAGTGGGATAAAAGTTATTCTACAATAAAGCTCTGTACGGTGATTCCAATGATTCTGCGCCTTGATTCCAAGTGATCAATGACAGCCAAGTGCAGTATTTCAGAAATCATGTCTTCATTACCCAGCCTCAACATAACCCAAGATGTTCAAGTCCACTGGAACATACAACTAGCAGAACCGATATATTGCTCTCTACGACCCCCCTGAACGTCCAGCCAATCCATGCGTCCCTTCCAGACAATTCACAACACACCCGACAACGTCCTCAAAAGCCCAATATTCACCCACACAATAATAGGCGAAGGTGAGACCAGCAAAAGGTCCAAGGAAGCAGGAGAAGCGGAGAAATTAAGCAAGTCTCACGTAATGTAATGAGACCGATCACACATTCTGGCTAGCACGCAATACAGACATTCATATGGTTCGGTCTGGGACCAGCTTGGATCAGATCAGTTTGAGTCAGGGAGAGAGCCCGCCCAGCAGATGATACCTACCTAGTCAGTAGAAAGACGCAGAGTAAGGCGTAGCAGAAGAGAGAAGAGGAGAGGAGAGAAGATATAAGAAGAAAGAAGAAAGAAGAGGAACGAAACGAAACCCCTGGAATGAAATGAAGTGGAATAAGGAAGCCCGCACGCCGATGAAAGCTGAGTGTCAAAGCAAAACGTCATTTCGAACATTAATGAACGCCCCGGCGCCGCCGTCTTCGCTGATCTCGTTGACAAGCACTTCTGTTTGCTGGTAGAGCCGCTCCAGGGCTGCGGCGGAGGATTTCCCGAGGGAGACTGTAGCGGAGCAATTAGCTTCACCATCAAACATAATAGACACACGCCCATAGATATAGATATGTACAGAAAAGAGCTAAGGGGAAAAAGAAAAAGGAAAAAGAAAAAGGAAAAAGAAAGGAGGGGCTAGCGACGTTATCACACATACCTAAGATGGCCGAATTCAGCTCCTCAGCCACAGCCACTCGCCCCGCAGGATCAAGATAATGCCCGTGCACTGAGCTCTTCGGGTCAGCATACGCCACCAGTGAAAAGATATCATCCAGCATTTTCTTATCGCCGCCATTCTCGTCAGACGGGTAATCCATGCATAGCTGCTGCCCGTACTGCACCGCCTCGGTCAGCAACTCGTTGAACTGCGCCGTCGCCTCCGGTTCCTCCGTGTCCATGCCGTCGCCGTCCCAGCCGCCGTCGTCCAGCTCCATCTCCTGGTCGAACACGGCGTGCTCGTCTGCGATGCCGGGGGAGTCGGCCCGGCCGCGCTTAGAGGCGGCGAGGGCGGTGGCGGTGTTGAGCTCGTTTGAGCGTCGCATCATTTCCAAGAATTTGCGGCAGCGCAGCTTGAAGTGGATATGTGGGTGGTCTTCCAGGACGGTTGCGTAGTATGCTTTTGTGTGTTTGAGGGCTTTGTCGATGTCGCCGTCGAGGATGGCGGCGCGAATTTCTGAGAGTGTTGTTAGAGGGGTGCTTGGGTCGGGAGTGGGATTGGGGGAGATTACTGTTGCGGTTGATTGCTTCATGGTCTTCTTCGACCTCGTATTTCTTCAGCGGCTCTTGTTGGCCGTTTTGCAGTGCTGCGGTCTCAGTGGCCACTTCTTCAGCGAAGGCCCGTGCTGTCTCGACGTACCCGTCGTGTGCGAGGAACTGGGCTACTAATTCTTGGAGCAGCGTTGACTCGTTCAGCGGGGGTTGCAGTGTATCAGTACTGGTTGCGTTTATCTCCGATTGAATCAATGCTCGCTCTGCCTAGGGTGCTGTCAGTTGGATCTGTAGACGGTAATAGGTGGACTTGTCGTGGTGGACTCAGTCGCCTACCTTGACCATCCCATCGATGTCAAACATAAACGGCTCCTGACCGAAGTTGGCTTTCAAGTGGACCGGCGGTTGCTTCTTCATTCCGACAGATGGATATAGCTTCACGTTACGCAGTTCATGAAAGGCATTCCCTGTGATTCTATTAGTGGCTATGCTGATACTTCATCGCTGCGCCCTGTTCTTACCCAGGAAGTTCCCATTCTTTGTAAAGAAAGCCGACCCTGTGGAGAAATTCACTCCACATCCGACAGTATCCCCAACCCCGAATGTCGGCCCATACGGACGTCCTTGTCCCTGACTCTCACCAAAAAATGACTTTCCATCGTCACCATGGTAGGCCCAAGATTCCTGCTCCCAGCCGGGGAGCCTTTCCACCGAGGCCTTGGGGCTCGAGAATCCAATACCGATCATTCTGCAAACGAAAAAGAAAGTCAGTGTTCGATACACATCTTGTCAGCTCCACCGTAAAAGTTACGCCCCGTACATACCCTTCCTTCGGCTTGGACTCGATCTTGATCTCAAAGTAGTATATCCCGCACTGTGGCGGCATAGGATTATCGGCACGCAAGGCCGCAGCTTCGTGGTCATGCTTGTGCACCGGGCCCGTGTATCGCACATCCAATCCATCGTTCGAGAGCTCCAGACCGGCATACTTGTCCGACGAGCTCCACTGCGTGGGCAGGGGACTAAGCTGGTCGGCCGAGGAGGGGGGCTCCTTCTCGATGATCTCATAGGTCATGCCGCGATGAGACGGGGCCATCCGGGGGAGGTGCACATTGCTGGAGGAGGCGGAGAGCGGGGGATTCGACGTCGATGTGGATGAGGAGGTATCGCGCTGCTGGGCGGCGAGCTTGGCTCGATGGGCGGCGTCGAGGCGGGAGATGTAATGGGAGTTGCGGAGATAGGATGGGGTGATGAAGGACGGCCCATCGAGCATGCCCAAGCCGTGCGGAAACTCGGCCGGGCGCAGATAGCTGGTATACTTGCGCGAGTAGACTGGTAGGGTGTCTGGGGACCCCGAGGTCCGCCAGGCGGAGTTCAGGTGCATGTCTGCGGCATCCAGGCCGGACATGGCCCGGGGGAGACGGCCGTCGGGTTGTGAGAGCGGCGGGTACGAGGAGACTGGGTTGGAGTTGATGAGATGCGGGAAGGAGCTGGTGATCGGGGGAGAGAATGCGGTGCCCGATACGACGGAGGCGTAGGAGGAGCGGCGTGGGGCGGAGGAGAGGCCGTATGTTGGAGCTCCTCGAGGAGCTCCACCGGCGAAAGGAGCATCGGCCATGGCGGGTCAAGTCTCCCACACCCGGAGTGGATGACGGCAGCGTGCGCAACCCAACAACGGCGAGTGCTTGGCTGGCGTCCACCCTTTGCTTTGCTTTCGAGGCGCTGAAGGGGCGTGTTGCTGACGTTGCGTGACGAGCGGGTCATCTGGTGACCGGAAGCAGCGACGAGGCCGCAACACGAAAGAACCAGCCGAACGGTGTTCGAGTATTGTCTCGGGTGCCCAGTCCACACGCTACGCTGCCCACTACTGGAGCCTGAGATCACGCCACAGTGAGTGTCCCGCAGCAACCGAAAATCAAGATCGGGGTCAGCGGGTTGATGAGCCTGGTTTCAACGCTTTTCAGGGAAATTGCGGGGCAGGTCCATAGTAAAGAGGGAAAAAGGAGGGGTGAGGGAGAGTTACAGAAGAGCACGGCGCTTTGTCACGAGGTCACCCTCCCCATCCTGGGCCCTGCACCGATAGATAGCCTTCGATATGAGAGTGAGAAGATGCGAACGAGGATGGATAGTCTTAACGGTCTTTTACAGAAGGCTGAGTGGTGCTCCCAAACGACTCTTTATCTTTCTGCGGGCTACAACACATACTCGGAACTACGATGAAGGGAAAATCATCTTGTGAGAAGCCATGAGCAAGTCAGAATGATAGGGAGGTGGCTCCATGCATAAAGCTCCCAGCCACCGCAGAGAATAATAAAAGAGATAATCAGAAAAAGCCCCATCCCAAGTAACTGGGTGAAGAAAGCGCGAATTGAAGTATGATACAAAACAAGTCCGGATACCCAGCAGTGGAAAAATCAGACCGGACGGCAACCCCAGGCGGTGCCAGTAAACATGCGAACCCATGGACCCTTCAATAGCCATCCTTTTCTCTCCAAGACGCCAAAAGCAAAGCCAAACCCCAGAACCGAAACCAGATATGATCGTGACCAGAAAAACAACAGGGCAGAAAAACACAAGGGAAATATGTAATGTACAGCCGTAGCTCATGCAGCCGAGGCAATAGCCGGCGACGAGGGCTCGACCAGGTTCGATGGCGCCGGAGTAACATCTCCATCGCCATCGCCAGTACTCTTCTCACTAGGGACGGCGCTGCTGCCATTGACCGTGTCGGTGCCCGGGGCAGCCAGCATCTTAGTGTCGCTGTCACCGCTCTCTAGGCCCGCGGCCCCTTTGCTTTCATCCGTATCCGACCTTGCGATCTTGTAGCTGCCCCAGGCGGGCAGCTGCCACATCACACCGGTGAAGCTGCGCAGCTTGAGCGGCTGTCGCTCCCACTTGCGGCATGGAGCGCCGGTGCGGTCCAAGGCTCGCAGGCCCGCGTTGATGGCGCCGGTGTTGGCCTTCGGTCCGAGTCGGTGGGCGACGGGCACCTTACCCAGCTCGCCGATTTCCTCCCTGGAAATGTAACGATATGTGAGCCATCTCCTCTCATCTTTCTGGGGGGCTGGGACCAAGCGGAATTCGCATTGGGTGGGAGAGAGCAACTTACAGACGAGGCTTCTTCTTGGGACCCGGTCGACCGCGTACTCGCGCGACGGGCTCCGTCTGCCCATTGCCGCGCTTGTTGCCGGGCTTGGGTCCCGGGATTCCCTTCCGTCGTGGGGTGTCGCCTGGGGTCGCCCCGGTGGCGGGTGTTGAGTTCGCATCGGCGTTAGAGTCGGCGTCTGCGGAGGATGGACGGGCCGCAGGGACTTCTGTGGAGGAGGCCGGCGAGGAGCGTTCGGCGGCCTTGTCCAGGTTGGACGAGGGATTGGAGGCTTGGAGGTCAGATGAGTCCTCCATAAACTGCTGCAGGGCTTCAGGGGCCAGCTTGAGGGTCACGACGAGGGTCGCGACCGGGTTCTTTGAAGCCCCGGCTCGATTGGAGCGACCGTTGGGGGTAGAGCCGGGCATCATGGACCGACGCGAGATGGACAGCGTGGTGTTGGCTGGTGGAAAGGTGCGGACGGTCGGGGGAGAAATGAATTGAGGTGCCGGGAAAGACGGATGACGGACGGGCGGCGTGACGTGTTGGTTATTCAGCTCACGGTGGTCAGGGTGAGGCGAAAGTGTCGATAATAGTAGCCAGAGGCGAGAGAATCATAGTCTCATGGTCTGGGGTAGATGGAGGGGGGTGGGATGAGAAGAGGAGGGAGAGGGGATGAAAGGGAGTTGGGGGCGCAGGGGGGCAAGGGATGTGTCGTGGATTTCATCTTGTCTCTGGCGATGGAAAGGTTCTTCGCTCTGCGACTTTGTGGTACTAAACGGGGTCTCGCCGGTGTTCTCAGCTAGGGAGGTGAGGCTTCGCGTTGCCCGTCACGGTATTACCGCCCGACTTTGGGCCGGGCACCCCTGGCCCTCTCCGTGATCGCGCCCCTGACAATACCGATACCAGCCCCAAAGACCCCCCCGATCTTCAACTGCCACGAATATCCTCTTGCAAAGTATTCCTCGCTTTAATGTGATACATCTCTGCGGGAACATCTCTCGCAAGACATCGATGGGTCCGATTCGCTGTTGCGAGTCCGATGAGCCATGCCACACTGCTCCAGGCGTTTACCGGGTGTACAATCGAGCAAAAGAACCGGGTCCCAAGACATTCCAAGCTAGATCGCCAACCCTAGTGAACCGTCTTCGGTAATATTGTCCTACAGTCCCGTTGATGGATCATTCCTGGCGCAGCTCCGCTGCGTCCCGAAAATCGCTCATTCGGCGGTCTATACCTATGCGCTTACCCTCAGCGCGTCACTCGATGCACGTATCGAGAAAATACAAACATATGAGATACTGGACATACTAGACAGACTAGCCCAATTCCACTATGGCTTGATTCCATGCCAAAGTGTCACGGGCGACCGCTCGGCCTTTATGACCGCTCCAGCAAACCAACTTGATCATGCCCGCCACCCTCGGAAAACCCCATCACATCGAGGGGGCAAAAACTGAACGGTAACCCGCCACGGCTGAAAGCATCCGAGCTCCCGGGCTAATAACACTCCACACTCTAACGCTCTACACTATACGGTTGAACACCCACCCTGAACTACATACACGTCCAGCATACACCGCCAAGACCATTCGTTGGAATATTATTCATTTTGAAGGGACGTGGAACGCCCGGTTCCAGGGTAATCATGTACAAAATCCACAGAATCTCTCTAATTCGGTGCAGGAGACAGCCAACTTCCCACTCTGTCCCTTCTAATCCGCCTTCCCATCCTTCTCGGCCTTCCTCCGCTCTATAACCTGCGCAACAGCCCGCTGCACCTCCGGGCTAGACCGCACCCCTCCAAGAATCAAACCCTCCTTCATCCCCCGTCGTAACGCAGACACACTCTCGCGGTCGCCCCGGAACGGCGCCAGGCCAAGCTGCATCAGCCGGGTGGCTTCGAAGTCTGTCTTCCGCGATGTCTGCACGAGCTGGCCCATCCGCTGCATAGTCTGCGGGGACAGTATCTCGCCCTTACCGGTGCGGGCGCTGGGCGGCGCGACTTGCGAGATGAAGATGTGCAAGGTGATCGCGGCGCGGCGCGCGATGGCTAGGCTCTGGAAGGGGAGGAGGTAGAAGGACTGTTCTTCGGGGATCCAGGCGCGGAGGGCGGAGGGGAGGTAGGAGGTTGGCATGAAGACGGCTTGCGGGTGCGTGATGAGCGCGAGCTCGAGGGTGAGCATGGCCGCGAAGGTATAGAAGCGCCACTGGGTTGTCGATGCGTGTTAGTGGATTGTCAATCTGGAGGCTCGGGGGTCGTTCTGCATTCCATCTGGTGGCCAAACTTACATAGCGCCCCCAATTCGCCCACCACAGCCAGTTCATCACGATCATTGTCGCGAAGCCGCCGACGTACTGCGGGAGGATCACGCGGGACAGCGACGCAGTCAAAAAGTCGCGCATGGTCTTCTTGTCGCCCCAGGTCAGCATGTCGGGGCCGAAACGGTCGTATGCGAACCGCTTCACCGGATCGACCAGCGTTTCCTGGGCGCGTCGCAGGAAGATGAATTGTGCCTCTGCCCCATTGTCCAGCCCGACCTTATCCGGGTGGAACTGGGCGGCCACCTTCCGGAACCGGGATTTGATTATACGCTCGTCGGCGAACGGTGACACGCCGAGGACTTGGTAGTAGTCGCCTGCGACCTGGACCTGGTGGAAGGTCTCGTAGAGTGTGTAGACGAGGTAGCTGATAATCACGAAAATGAAGATACGACGGCGGTGGCGCTCATACCGTGGCGTTTGGGGCATGGGACGAGGTTCACCGGCGCGAATGGTGACGCCATAATAGACACTCTGGAGGAAGGAAGTTGCATACTGCGAGGAGCGCTGGGTCAGTATACGGTGCGCTTTGTATACAAAGCGCGTACGCTCCGCATTAAGCACATGCACCTACATTGGGAAGAAATGCCCAGCCGATATAATGAAGAACCGACGCCATGGCAGATCCACAGAAGCCACCGACTCAACGAAAGGAAAGAAAACAGCAGCCCGAATCTCCCTGGGGCCACCTGGCGACTTGATGAGACTCGCCGCCCCCAGCGACAACGCTCCGGGCGGTAACCCACCTGGCCCCTTCACCGCCTGAACCCACCGCCTGCTCCAAACGCAAACTGGCACAAAAAAAGTCCTCGATCTTTAAGAAGCCCTCCGAAAAAAAAGCCCGCCTATCCATCCAACGTACAGCAACCAGCTCTGCGGAGCGCTCAATTGCGTTCAAAATGGCTGTCGACGCAATGGACCTCGACACATCACCCGCCGCGCCCACAGATGTGGAACGCAAGCGCAAGCATAAGAACAAGGACGCCTCGCCGTCCAAGAAGCGCAAGCAGACCGAGGTGAACGGCGGCAAGTCGACAAGCAAGAAAGACAAGTCCAAGTCCAATTCCAGCACGGACAAGACCCGCCCAGCCTCAGCCAGCGTCACCTCTCCTGGATCGTCCGAGTCCCCCTTCGCCCTCACCACGGCCACAATATACCTGCCGCTGGCGCCAATTTCCATCTCGCCAACCCATGCGCTGGCCTCGCTGCTCGCAGAGCACCTCTCCCCGCTGCTGCTGACGTACTATCCCCCGCTGAAGGGAATCGTTATGGCCTACTCCAACGCCTCCATCTCTGCCACGCCGCCATCCTCCACATCCCGCAACTCATCTGACCCCAACCCCAAGCCGCTCACGCTCGCCCGGACCGCCGACGAGTACGGCGTGCTGTACGTCTACCTGACAGCGACGTTCCTCGTCTTCCGCCCGCAGCGCGGGCAAGTTCTTGAGGGCACGGTGAACGTCCAGTCGGAGGGCTTCCTTGGCGCGGTCGTCTTCAACCTGTTCTCCGTCGGTATCGAGCGCAAGCGGCTCCCCACATCGTGGACCTGGGTGCCGCCCGGTGAGGACGGCGAAACCCCCGCCGAGAACACAGCCACAGACCCGGTCACGGACGATGAGTCCGGGACCGGGGTCGGGGCCGCGCCGCCAGGCTTCGACGCTGAAAAAGAGCTGTTCTGGCCCACGGCGCTGGCGGCTGACGAGCTTGATATCGAGGGCGATGCCGAGGAGGAGGCTGCCTCCGGCCACTTCCAGTCTGTCTCGGGCCATGTGGTGCGCGGGAACGTGCGCTTCCGCGTCGTGGATGTCGATGTTATCCCGGGCTCGGAGCGGGATCGCGGTTTCTTGAGTATTGAGGGGACTATGCTGACGGCCGAGGAGGAGGAGAAGCTTCTGTTGGCTGAGCAGCAGGGCCAGGCGCTGCCGCCGTCGTTCTTGGGCTCGCCGAGGAAGAAGTCGACGGCTCGCGTTGTGCCGATTTCGAGTGCGCCGCCAGCGGAAGTGGTGCAGGATGTTTCCGTTGTGGAGATTGAGGAGCCTGGCGCTGAAGATGTGTCTGTGCTTGAGGCGGTGGTCGAAAAGAAGGAGAAGAAGGAGAAGAAAGAGAAGAAGGACAAGTCTAAGCCTAAGAAGGAGAAAAAGGAGAAGAGCAAAAAATAAGCCTCAGCTGGTCTTGGACTGGGCCTGGCTTGTAAACGTTGGCAGCATTGCACTGGGGCTGCTGCCTTGTTCTGATATTTGCCATTTACATTCGACTTACATTCTTGGTGGGCGTTCCGGTTTAAAAGATTCATGCCAAATGTGTACATGTCACTTGAAGAGCAATCAATACTATATACTATACCCATCAACCACATTGTCTTTTATACCCTTTATTAGATTGGCTTCAACCGAGCTACCAATCTACTGCAACGATCAATATCTAGATTCTACATCTTCATAACTCCCGAGCACCCCCAGTCCGCACAACGAGAAGAGGGATCCCGCTCCTTATACTCGAGAATGCGCCAGTAGTGGGCTACCTTGACCGAAGCTTGAGATGGTGTTCAGATTAGCATGTCTAAAGACAACCAATGTCATCCTGGTATGCTGCCAAAAATTCAGTAGAACTTGGAATTCAGGCAATAGACACAATCGGAGTTGTCGTCGGGGAGTGTTGAGTGAGAACCAAGCGGAGAACAGGAAATGGTGACCAATCCTGCCCGCTGATTGGCCAATCCCCGCGATCACCGTGATGTCACCTCAACTGTATACTTGACCATCCTCCACGTCTACTCCGTCATATGTCGGGGTGAAGGAGCTATAAATGAATGAGCAACCAACTTCAAAATCTATAACTTGCCCCGGCCTTGATCGACCCGTAACTTATCTTACCACCCCTGCCTCTCCCCGTACCAATCCCCGTATCAATTACCTTCCCATTGACCCTGATGGTCTCATCGCCTCGGCCCCTCCCTTTCAACCGACTCCCCCACTCTACTGGCCTGCGTCACCGCTACTCACCAATCAATTCTCCTGCACGTCCAGCCCAAAGGTGTCGGTGTGGCTGTCAGGGTTGCACCAGCTGCTCCTGTCCCTGCTGTACTCATTCGTCTGCTTCGAGTGCCGTCCGCAGTTTCTCTTGTGGAGGTCTAGCCTCAAGGTCTAGTCCATCGACTTGTGCTGCGTCAACATCCAGATCCTCACATTTCCCTCTTCATCGATCTCTTCCATTATCTTCATCAAGCAGTCTGTCTGGACAGACACCCGCAATTTCCAATCTACCAAGACGGACAACTCCCCTCCGTCATCTTCAAGCTCGCCCCCTCGCCACCATGGCTCAGGAATACAAGCTGAAGGGCCTTGCTTCCTTTGCGGATCTCGCGCCCCTGGAGAAAATCGAATGCGAGGTTGATGGCATCTCAGATGGCAAGGTGCTCGTAGTTAAACTCGACGGCGAGGTGCATGCGATGAGCCCGCGGTGCACGCACTACGGGGCGCCGCTGAAGAGCGGTGTTCTCGCGCCGGATGGGCAGCTGAGGTGCCCCTGGCATGGCGGTATGTTTCAATGATTCCCTTCCGATCAAGTAACACGCAAATGGAGAGGGTGGAAACAAGGCATGATGAAAGGAACTGATCATGATGAGCCAATGCTAACGCAGAAATATTCCCCAGCATGCTTCAAGGTCCGCTCCGGTGATGTCGAAGATGCACCGGCCCTCAACGCTCTGAATAAATTCGATATCCTCGAGCGTGATGGCGGCGTATATATTCGCGCCACTGAATCGGATATCAAAGCCGGCCAGCGCAATCCAGTCAGCAAATGCACTGTTTCTAATGCTGAAGAGAAAGTCGTGGTAGTTGGCGGGTAAGAAAAATCACCCATCATCCCATGTCCATCGTCCCAGAAGCCATACAAACCCCTCCCCTTCCCTCAGATCCCTCTTGAAGGATCTAAGATATTGTACCCAAGACTAACCGTATTCCGCCCCCTCAGAGGAAGCGGCACAATTGGAGCCGTCCAGACACTCCGCGAACTAAAATACCCAGGCAGCATCACCATCATCTCCAAGGAGCCCGAAATTGTCATCGACCGCACCAAGCTCTCCAAAGCCCTAATCGCCGACCCAGCCAAGATTCTCTGGCGCCCGCGAGAGTGGTTCACAGAGGCCGGCATTGACATCATCAAAGATGAAGTTGCCTCCGTCGACTTCGCTGCCAAAACCGTCACCACAGCCACTGGCTCGACACATCGCTACACGAACCTTATCCTGGCAACAGGCGGCCAGCCGCGCACTCTGCCGCTTCCAGGCTTCCGTGACGAGCTATCCAACGTCTTTGCCCTGCGCGACGTGTCAAACGTTCAGGATATCCTCGCCGCCGCGGGGGATTCGAAGAAGAACATCGTCGTAATCGGCTCTTCCTTCATCGGCATGGAGGTTGGCAACGCGCTCGCCCAAAACCACGCCGTGACCATCGTCGGCATGGAGTCCGCGCCTATGGAGCGCGTGCTAGGCTCCCGAATCGGCGCAGTCCTCCGGCGGAACCTCGAAAAGAACGGCGTCGCCTTTAAGCTATCGGCAGACGTGGAAAAGGCCACGGCCTCCGACGCGAACCCCACCGCCGTCGGCGCCGTCCATCTCAAAGACGGCACCGTGCTTCCGGCCGACCTGGTCATTCTCGGCGTAGGCGTGCGCCCGGCTACGGATTTCCTGCGCGATAATAACGCGCTGTCGCTGCAGAAAGACGGCTCCATTGCGACGGATGAGCACTTCGCTGTCCCCGAGCTGAACGGTGTTTTCGCGGTCGGCGACATCGCGACGTTCCCGTACTACGGGCCCGACGGGGAGGCAAGCCAGTGCGCATCGAGCACTGGAACGTCGCGCAGAATGCGGGACGGATTGTGGCGCGCGCAATCGTGCATGCTAGACGGGCGCCGCTGGCGTCGTTGCCGCCGAAGTCGTTTATCCCGATCTTCTGGTCTGCAGTGGGCGCGCAGATGCGGTATTGCGGGAATACGGTGAATGATTATGATGATATCGTGGTCAAGGGGGAGCTTAGGGAGGCGAAGTTTGCAGCGTTCTATGCTCGGGGGGATGTGGTTGTTGCTGTTGCTACGATGGGTATGGATCCGATTATGTCGAAGTGTGCGGAGTTGATGAGGAGGGGGCTGATGCCGGGGAAGAAGGAGATTGCTGATGGTGTGGATGTGTTGGCTGTTAATCTGTGAGAGGGCAAGGGAGATTGTAGATGTTGCGGGCTGGAGTCGATGGAAATTGAAAGGAAAGCGGGAGCATAGTAGTGTGATTGATCCTCGTTTACCTTGGATCCCAATCAATCAGTCAGTAACGGCCGAGGGGAATTTGAGTTAGTGGATATGAACATGAAACGTGACGCTATCGAAACAGTTTCTATGTAAGCTATTTAATTATGTGGGATATCGACGATGCTCTGCAGCTTCGCTTCGATGTTGTATAAATTCCCCCTCTTGGTGGGTGCCTCCTCAGTGAAATGGTGTTCGTATTCAACTTGTCTTCTCCAATCCTATTCTTACTGCTTTTCTGCGCCAGTGATCTGGTTTCCCGTGTGTCTTGTAATTACGTTCAGAGCTAGTCTCATCCTCTCTTGTTCCAGTTGAGAACACTATCCAAAGATCGAAAATCCCCATTTCGGGTCAATCATATTGTTTCTGCGGCTCCCAGACAGCAGTTGCTCCTGCTGTAGTAGTATTCAAGTTCGTTGGGCAGATTTCCTTTACCTATAATTCCAATCCAATGGTAGAGCCTGGTATTCAAGGTCGGCCACCCCTGGGCGAAAGTAAATATAACCTTCCATCTTTCTTTCATCACCTCGCCTCTTACCCACTCCTTCCTACACTCCTTCTAGTGTGGCTTCGAATATTAGAATGAACAAAATATTCGCCACGGAGGATGGAGGGAATGCTCACTGTGAAGATCCCTCGATCAGATCTTTTAAACGCGGATTAATCAGGGCTGTTGATAGATCTCACTATGAAGACCCAGTCTCCTGTACAGATTACGACAGATTTAGCCCATACAAAACAGAGCATAAGTTCAACAACGGTTTGATCCGGGCAATGAACATGAGTCAAACAAGTTCCTGGGTTGATCACGTTGCTAAGGTCATTCGAGCAATGCCGTTCCATAAAATTGTCCTTACCCATGCGGACCTTTCCCCACGAAATATCAGTGTCAAAGGTGATAAGATCGCCGGCATAATTGACTGGGGCATGACCGGGTTTTATCCTGAGTACTGGGAATATATAAAAGCTATGCACCATGCGGATTGGGAAAGTTGCTGGGTAAATGAGGGGCTCCCTGATCTTGTACTTAAAAACCATTTTACATGGAGCATACGGTGATGTTGATGTTGCTTATGCAAGAAGTGATCTCGTGGCCTACTGGCTTCCCAAATGGCCGAGGCAGCAAACATCCGCAGGAACTTCCGACTTCTTGGCCACGTCCACGCCCACCCAGTTCGTATTCGGATTCGAGCATGACACCAAATAACGGCTTTTCCTGCTAAGAAAATTGTGTTCTTGGGTGTCTACGCATGTGTCGTGGTACAGTGGCAGTGCATAAGTTTGAAACTTATTCACTTGACGCCAAGACCTTGCTGCCAAGCAATAAGACCTAAAATAGCGAGATCCAAAACCTCCCATGGCCGGCCAGTCTAGGCAGAGAGATAGGCCGTCGCCTACCTACACGTATATGAGGCGTATTCGTATATTATGGTAGGCAGTGAGGTAGGCTATGTGGCGGGCCATATGGTAATAGTATAGGACGCGCCCGCATGCCAGGTAGGCGGAGTAGGCGGTAGGCTTTAGGCGGTGAGAGGTAATAGTTCTAAACTTTTGCACTCCCACGTAGTCTTGGATTGAAGGTTTTTTTAGTCCGTACCCGAAGAATTAGTATGGTCTCCCCCTCACAAGACCTACAAGAGGACAAGCGTCCCTAGACCATCTCGCATTCCGTCTCGAGAACCTCGGCACTCAGGAGGCTTCGGGTTGAAGTTTCTCTAGAAGGCTCTTTGCACAACAAATCTCGCGCTTGTGGACACTTGTGGATACTCGAGGGTACATGTGGATGTTTGTCCCGTTCACGATATTTCCGCTACGGCGCAAAGTCATGATCCGTGCCCCGAGCGGAACTACCGGCATTTACCCCTGCAAAGTGGTCGGCCGAAGTGAGCCGTGTCCCCCATATATATAAGGCTTATAGTGTGACTGCTGAGTTCTTGGCATCAGTGGCTTGCTGAGCTATAACTATTCCTTCCGAGGTAATGTACTTCCCGCTTATGTCGCTCTCCCCAAAACAGATATGTATTACAATCCAATATTTCATCTAAAAGATACATGGCTATTGAGATATGGAATTGTTAACTTTTCACATGTACTGTGTTTTGGGGTACGCGCCGTAAGCAGTAGTGCGTTATTTTGTCTCATATTTAAGTGTCATATTATGTCTCATATTTAGGTCTCTTATATTTAGGTCTCATCTTTTGTTCCATATTTTGTTTCATATTTTATTACAGAATTATATATATCTCTGGGCACACCTCAAATTTGCTCCAAGTCATTAACTAAGATCTCACGCCCAGCTTATATCCACCGATCGAGAACTTAGTTCAGCTCAGCAGCGGCAACCTCTAGGAGGTTGTCCTGGCCGAGGGCGTTCTGTGTGTATCTGGCGTTGAACTTGAGAACATGCTTGACGGCGTTGACCCTTTGCACGTTCAAGGGCAGAGGCTCGGTGCTGAGGTACCAGGCCACGCTCTCGGAGCATGGAGGAGTAGTGAGTGACCCGTTGTATTGGTAGATACCGTGGGTCTTCAGGTGCCGACTGAGAGCAGTGAAGTCGAGGTGGCCAGTCTTGGTGTAGATGCTAGGAGTGGCGATGTCATCAATGTGAGCAAAGACGGAGTCGAACAGGGGGGTGGAATAGCCGAACTGGGAGAGCTCAAAGACGAAGGCGACGACAGCGATGGCGCCAGCTAGAGCAAATGTTAGTACAAGTGTTTAAACTTCAAGGAGTAGAAGGTCTTTAATCAGGACTACACTGTAGATGGACATACCGGTGTTCTCGAAGACGAAGTGAGCCTCCATGGGGTAGTACTCATCGTTGATGCGGTGCTCACTAGGAGTGTGGAAGTGGAACTGAGCAAGCTTGTAGGAGGCAGCCTTGGTGACCAGGGAACCGTTGGTCAGGACAACCTCAAGACCGGACCCAAGGTTCTCAAATTTGATGTCGTCGGCATTAGGGATGTTGAATTGAACGGAGTTGGCGGCAGCATAGTCAATGTCTTCGGTGACAATGTTGATGGGCGACTGACGTTTGCCAGTGGAGCAAGCGCTGTTTTTCTCTTTGTTGAGGCCGTACCAGTTAAGAGGGCCGCCGAGGTTTGTGTAGTTGAAGGAGTTGATGTCGACAGTGCCATCGGCCGAACGGGGCAGCAGCGAGGTGCCGTGAAGGCACGAAGCGGACACCGCGGTGAGGAGGGGGAGGATGGCAGCAGCAACCTTCATTTTGACGGACGGAATTGAGATTGAAACAAAAAACGATTATGTCCTGTCGACGAAGATTTGTGCCGGGAAATGGGATCTTTATACTCTCGCCACCCAACAGCGGTATGGAAATTTGAGATACATAGATCCTCTTCGACCCTCTTCCAGGCCAATACGGGTAACTGACTAGCTGTTTTCCGTAGAAGGGGTCTCTGATGAAGAGAACCCCACTGTTAAAGACAATCTCGGCATCACCGAACAGTCTAAGATGCGGAAACGAGATCAATAAATCGCTGATCGAGATAAAGATCGACCACGCGTAGACAATAAAGGTTTAGTACCTTTTATGGAGAGCTGAGTACTGGATCTGGATGCCTCAATCGTCCTAGAGCCCGCCACATGCTCTTCGGGAGTGGGTCTCCAAGTTTCGTTGGAGTCCCATTGCACGCTGGTCCCGATCTCCACTGAATTTGTTGCTGGGTACGATCCGCGTATTGTGTGAGTTCCGTCCATTACGAACACGAATCCTGGGTGCGTGCCCAGAAGCTCTGCTTACGACATCTGGATTAGTTCGGGTTCAGACTTACCGGAGGACTTCCGTCTTGTTATTCAGTCAGATCCAGCATCGACCGGATGGGTTAAACGGAATCCCCGAGGTACATTGTATATTCTTTGCTTATTTCTAGTCTACCCCAGCTCCCTATTTGTTTGATTATATCGACTTCTTTGTATAAAAATAAGCAATCGGCTTTGCTAGACTTCGCAGGGTTCCTGTATGCAGAAATTTGGTATAACTTTCGAAAGAAAACGGTATGTGATCGCTTTTCGTGCTTATGCTACTGCTGACTCACCGGTCGTCAATGGCGTGCTGCACTATGTACTTTTACTGTTCATCCAGATCCCTGGGGCGTGGCTTCGGAGAAACGGGATGCCCTTAACCAAAGTAAGCAGGATCGACAAGTCCCGCGTCCCCCGAGTAGAGTCAGAACCTCTGCCTCTGATGGCTTTCTTAGCCTGTTGAAGTACAATTAGTCTCAATTTGTAGGGGTCACCTCGGAGATACTCGGTCTAGGAGAAATGGAATTTTTCAGTTTTTTTATGTTTTCTTTATTCTATTTCAATGGGCCGTGGTAGAGCATTCTAGTCAAAGGTGGCTTCTAGTCAAGCTTGAAGGGTAAACTTGCCTTCTTTGTAGTCCTTGGGACGGTGTGTCTCGGTGGGCGTTTCCTAAAGACAGGTCGAGAGATCGTCAGGTATGCCGAACTGCACCTGACTTGGAGCAAACTTATAGCTCATGGGTCTGATTGGCTCTAGGTGGCCCACTGCTGACTGAACGGACCCTCAAGTTGGCTGTTGCAGGAGTCGTCTTAACGTGTGTTATAGATACTGTCCCTATAGTTAGAGCCCCTAGGCCGAGAGATACAGTCGATGCAATATAGACTGGTCTATATATACAGGGAATCGATACTGCCAACCCCCATCCTCCTTTTACCTGCTCCCACCTCCCCTAACCTGAATTCTCAGAATAGGCTTAGATCAATAAAATCACCCACCGCATTCCTCATCTGTTCAGAGCACGCAGCAGAGCACACAGTAAAGCACTCAGGCCACGATAATTGACTTCTCAGCCCAGTAAGAGCCATTAGCACTCGAGTATGTCATGCGGCTGCAGAAAGGAGGGCGTTGAGGGCGTGGAAGCCCCCGTCGGCGGCGCAGATCGAAGGGTCCTTCGTAGTAGTTAGCGTGGAGGGGTTGTTTCAATTGAACGAAGAGAAGGCGAGCTAATAGGCGGGAAATTGGTGATCCTACTAAGCAAACCTGACTTGGAGGTCTTCGGCTGAACAAAATGGCATGTGGCCGGTGGGTAGTTAAATAACTTATGTTAAACACCCGAACAATGAGGCTTGAATATGCTACCAGAAATGATTGATGCCTAGACTCTAAAGCATGAACGGTGGCAGGAGGGGTGGTGGTAGTATCAATATCCTATATCTATAAACGTTCGAAGCTCTGGAGATCATTCTTAGCTCATGTGGGCGGTACCAGCCGTTGGTAGACGGCCAATAATGCAAGAAAGCGATGATCTGGAGGAAGAGCCATAGGAAGCATGAGCGAGAACCATCTTAGCCTTCTGAGGTCAGCCCTCTACGGCAGTAGCACGGCTTTCGTCATATAAGTGGTAGATGAAGACGAAGCACAAGCAAAAGGAAGAAAGGGACTGGGTGTGGATCAAGCCAGATTGCCAAATCTCCTCCGCCACTTCAAGATCCCTCACTAGAACATTTCATGGGAGAATATGGGTAACTTGAAATGACTCGTTAGGGAATTAAAGCCAATACATTCTACATATACCACGATAGCTAAGCAAGGTTGTTTTTCTTTTAAAGTAACCTCACTGGTCTATAACGTAACTCCCAAACGAACCGCGCACCTAGCCAGCCACGCAGCCGGAAACACTTATGAAGTATAGAGGAGCTTTAGGGCCTAAAGGGAAAAGCGACAAGGGCACTTCTATAGTCCCAATGAATCCAAAGATTTAGGAAAAAAGGAAAAAAAAGAAACATACAACAGCCAGGATTCGCATGTGGTCACCCACCATACTACTAACTGGCCGGCGTGTGGCTTAAGTACGGCTGAGCGGACGGGAAGCCCTGTTCTCCACACCCTATGGTCGTATGTACGAGGAATAGACTCAAGAGGATTCAAGATCTTTATGAAGTACAAGAGTAGGGTTGTAGGTATTTATGCCTTCTTAGCTTTAGTCTTCCTATAAGTAGAAGTATTCCTGGCCTTAGGTAGTGCTAATATGTATACCAATAAGAAACGCTAGAGCGATATAGAGCTAAGCATCAACTATAATCGGAATAAATAAAAAGAATAATATACCAAGTACGCGTAAGTAAAAAAGACTTCGTAGAAGACAAAAAAAGCAAACAAAAATAAAAACAAAAATATATTACAGGCAACATTCGCACGTGATACCCACTATACTACTCCTGTAATTGGCCGATGTATGGCTTAGATATGGACAATAGTCGGGGGGGTGTGGTGTCGCCCGGGTGAGTTGGGCAAGCGCCGCTTTACGGTTGCGCGACAGGGGTGAGCAGGATGGGTGCACAATAGGCAGGTTGAGAATCTAGATGAGAGTGGGTGAGAGGCTCTGGTGCGCCACCCGCGCGCACTGCCCCCTCAGCTGAATTCAAGTGATAACACCTATCTCCTTACACGTATTTAGACCATTTAATTCAGCCTAGGAAAAGCCAAACAAGCGGGTCAGGCTGACTTCAATGTTGCCTTGGCCTAACGAGCCTCTGTTGGAATGCAGCAGGACAGGTGGATACGCGGAGTGCTTGGATGGCAGACTGGGCCCAAATACCCACTGCAGCTTTGGGGTTATAAAGTCATTTAGGAGTAGCAGCATGGTGTATTACCACATGCGAATCCCGGCTTCTTGTATGTTTTTGTTTTAGATCAATCTCGATATACTCTCTTGTCTTATGGAATATCTAGCGGCCCAAGGTTCATGGTTCGCGAACATGTTAGTGATCAAGAACCCAGTCGCTGGCCGACCAATCATGTTTGAGGTGTATATGCATTGGTACCTAGTGATTAAGCGCCTTGGGACTTAAGTAAGACGGAGCCCCATTTGTCTCAGCAGAAGCTGATCACCTTCACAAGAGACCACAAAGACACAGACTAGCGGCGGAAATTGCAGCGAGAGACTGTCTCTGACGAGTGCCATGACTTCTCAAGTCGCACCCCGTCTGTCTGGTGCGTTCCAGAACGCCAAACAAGACTTTTTGGCTTCACTGAAGGACCCATCTCTATTCAACAGTGTATCCAATATCAAATCAATTGATGAGGTTTACGCGTTCGCTGCTCAGCTTCAGCAGGACCAGAGTAAACGCGAGGGATTACGGCACCTTTGCAAGATCGCGCCTTACTTAGACCGACTAAAGCAATATGCTGGCGTCATCGAAGTGTTCATCCAAGCCAAGCCCGATATTCTGGCGCTCATATGGGGGCCCATCAAGCTCCTTCTGCAAATGTCAGATAATTTGACGCAGTCCTTCGATGCTATCGTGGAAGCGATAACTGGAATCGGTAACAAGCTGCCTCTTTTCGAGGCTTATACCAATATTTTCGAGACTACCGATCGAGTTCTTGACGTACTGGTATTGTTTTACAAGGACATCTTGGACTTTTACGAAATCGTGTTGAATTTCTTCGCGGCAAAACGTCTGATATTCCCATATTTCTGCCTATAATTTCTCTATGTTGCTAAGTATTCTCCAGGTTGGGTTATCGTTTTCGATTCAGTGTGGCCAAGGTACAAAGCCAAGATCAACGTTGTCGTCAGCAGCATCGAACGACATTCCTTGCTGATGACGGAGGAGGTCAGTTTGGCGAACATCAGCGAAGCGCGTGCGGCTCGAATTGCCGATATGGATCGTTGGCAACGGACTTTCGAGTTTCAGGAGGCGCAAGATTTCCTCAGCGTGCAATCCTACATTTCGCCGAACTTGTACGACGATGAGCTTGATAGGCTCCAAAGAAGAATATGTGAGAGAACCGGCCGATGGCTTCAACGAGAACAGGTCTTGAACTACTGGCTGGATGCGAGTAACGCCGCCACAAGAGTCCTCTGGATGCAAGGTATCCCTGGCGCAGGGAAAACTCATATCGCCTCTATGATGGTGGAAAAGCTAAGACAATCCTCAAAGACCGTGCTCTTTGCATTCTTGAGCTACAGAGGAAATGATGTGACTCCAGTCTCGATCATACATTCCCTCATGTTTCAACTCGCCATTGGTGATGACCAATTCAATGAATCACTGAAGAGGGATTTGCGTGCCAAGATCTCTAATGCATTTCGCTCGAGCCAACGAAATTTGAAAAGCAACACCCGATTTGCTCGCGAAACCTTAACAGAGTTACTCAAATGTGTCGGACCGGCTTACATTATTCTTGACGGTCTAGATGAGGTCTCCAAAAGTGAATACATGGTGGACATACTGAATGAGCTTCTGCAGGTGCTGGACGACTCCACTGAAGTGAAACTCTTCATAAGCAGCAGAGCACAAGAAGAAATTGGTAGGACACTTAAGAAGGCATCTGCCAAAGAGATCCGCGTCGATGAGAGAAACAGCGGATGTATCCACGCATATGTTTCGGTCACAACCGAAAATTGGCTCAGCCAGTCAGGTTATGACCAAAAGGATTGTGGGGAGATTAAAAGCTTACTAACTCCGCTTTCAACTAAAGCTAGAGGTATTTCTGAGCATCAAGACTAGTCATGTCTGAAATTGCGGGCTAACACCTTTTAGGAATGTTTCTCTACGCGAGAGTCGTCATGGATAATGTGCAGATGTGCTACACTTCAGAGATGGTCAAAAGTGAGCTCAGAGTTCTCCCGGAAGACTTACACGAAGCGTACGTCCCTCGTCTCTGAACAGATATACTGAATTGCACTCTGAAAATGGATCAAAGATATTCTAGGGTTCTTGACCGCTTAAACAAACTACCACCGTCATCGAGCACATTGTGTCGACGAGCGTTAGGATGGATAGGGTGCACACCAGTCTCAATCACTGTGGAAGAGATGAGCTTTGCTCTGAGTCTCGATCCCGATGGCAAGAGAGACTTGCCCCGATCGGAGAGTTTGCTAAATGTAGTCGGGCTCTGTGGGCCTATTGTGGAGATATCAAACGGTTATGTCAGCTTTGTGCACTTCACAGTCAAGGAGTAAGCTCATTCATCGCTGTCACATGAAAGGACAGCACTAATCCTTGGAGGAAGGTATCTCTTCGACAAAGAAAATGATACGTTTCTTCACGCGTTGGAAGCGACCACCGAGATGACTAAGACTTGTCTTTATTACTTGTCATCCGACATATTTGACATTGGAATCGAGCCTGAAATGATTGAGGAAAACATATTGACCGGCTTATATCGATTACATTGGTTTGCTACGACTCAATGGATCGTATTGCTCCAAGAGTGCGAAAGGCTGCTGGGCAGCTGCGACTTACCAGAGCCCCTACTTCTCGCGCTGAAACATTTTGCCCACGAATGCGAAAACGGAAATTTCGAGGGTACAGTGGACTTGAGTTCTCAATCAGATCACGAGTTCTCCACGTTAAGACAGAAGGAACCGGCACTACAACGGCTTCTCGTTCAGGAGCTTCATTTTCGCCGCATGGATGTGGGCGACTGGAAGGTAGAAGATGACGATGAAGGTATTTTCAAGCAATTGATCTATAGATTCAGAAAAGAATGTAAAGATTACTGACCACCTACACTCTGGAAGATGACTCGTGGACTAACTTGGATCCGTTCTACCTATCATTCGTTTCAATGCTCATACACGAGAGTTTCGAAACCCTACTCTGTCAGAAAGGACCTCATAAGGCAAGCTGCAATTGCACAAGATTGAAGAAGCTGTATGGTGAGCGCATCTTCAGATGCAATTATGCAATCTGTCAGCCCCTTCAAGTGGCCTTCGTGGCTAGAGCGGATCGCGATACACATTGTCGAAATCACGGCCGGGTATACAAGTGTCCACATCCCTCTTGTGATTTCTCAACATTGGGGTTCTCATCCGCGAATCAACTCCAAAAACATAAGAGCATGTGTCATCTAAATGCGCCTCTGAAGGCTATCCAAATAATACAAACCCCGGAACAGGATGACATTGTGCCTCTGATCTCGGACCTCATCGCGATGGGAATGACTGTCGAATTGCAGGCACTACTGCCAAAACTCAAGCTACCTTCCCCATGGGGAGCTCTTACCAAAGAAGCAGCATTCTGTGGAAAACTAGAGATTTTCCAACTCCTTTGGGAGCGATTAAAACGCCATAATACGCAACGGAGCGAACAATATTATGTTATCTCATGTGCTTGTGAGTCAATCAGGGGCGAGAATATCGAAGTTCTGGAGTACCTAGCTCCTAAAGTCCAAATCGAACCAAGATATCATTTGAGGGAAGGAGTGGATTACATGAAACTCGGTGCGAATTCAGAGTCGTCGCTAGTCTTCGATATATGGAAGAAGAAAGCAGGTGATTTCGAATCTCACTGTCTTATTTATGAGAGCTTACTCGGAAGTTTGACGGAGTCTGCTAAGCAAGAGCGCTTTGCAGACCTATTGGAAGAAAACGTGACTTGTGGCCGTCTCTCGCGACATCAGCTAAGCCTTGCATTGAGGCGGATAGCCTCAACGACCTGCGCTCCTTCAATAGCACGCGTATTGCTCAAGAATGGGGCAGTTGTGGATTACAAGACCAAGAGCACGAAGGGAAGTGAACTTATCAGGACCCCATTATTGATGGCAGCAGGCAAGAACACGAAAGCAGGAGCCGAGCTGATGAAAGTTCTGCTTCTCGCGGGTGCAGATCCGAATGCATCTTATCGACCAAAGAAGGACGGGGGGCCTAAATCTGTGAGCATGGAGATTGGAGCCAAAAGTATCTCGAAGTGGCTACCGTTTAGCTGGAATGAGCTTGTTGAATGGACAGCGGCGGAGCGATCGAATAATTTGCAAGCCAAGGGCACCCGTCCTATCGACTCATAATCGACCACCTTGAAGCTGAATCCGAGACTTGGAAGCTTACGAACAGCCGCTGACAGGGCCTGGTACTTATCGGCTGTCGGCGACTCGGTAGAGGATTCAGCTTAGGCAGTAGGCCTTCAAGAGTTCGGCGGTACTCGGGCGAGCTGAAGCTTCTCCTCGGTTTTGAAATGGATTGCACCCTTCTAGCCACCGACCACTGAGCCAGTTGACGAGCTTAGCCTCCAGCCCCGGCACAGCTCTTTTTCACGTATTCCCAAGATCTGGACACGGCTCTTCTCTGTTCAAGAACCCGTCAGAAAGGAGAACCTGCACCGCGGCCCATCGTTGATCTGTTGATTGTCCTGATTCCATGGTTCTTTGGAGAGGGCATAGATAGAGGCTATATGTAATTGGCGTTCTTGCACATCTCTTACTGAACGTACTAATCGCTTTACAGGGGAGGTGTGATCCCTAGAAGGCGATAAGTTGTCTCTTCTCTCCTCTCATCTTTGTCAATCACCTGCCGCTAATCCATGGCCCCTGGAATACACGACCAGCCCATCTTCTTGGCACCCCTTGAATTAGCGATCCGACAAGGTCCAGTCTAACCCACACCCAATCAAGAAGTGAACAATATCTCGTAACCACCGTCGCTTCCATAAAGCGCACATCCACCTTTTTTCTGGCTCACTTGTGGTATAAATGTGCTTTGAATGAAGCTATGCTAGCAGTAGAGACAATTTCTGTATGATATTAGTTTCCCGCTACTGCCTAGAACTTAAGGATCATCTGATCAGAATACTCACCTGCAGACGGGCATTTTTGAGACTTTCCTGATCTGTATTAGTATCACCAAATGATTGTTGAACGAATCTCAGCTTGGCTTGTTGAATCCCTTGGACGTACTTAAAGAAAAGAATATCAATACAAATCAGGAAGAAACATTGCAATAGCTGCAATAAGCACAATAACCGGCGTCTTACATTCTCGATAGAGTCTTTTACGATATAGCGAGTGACTGTCACGCTGCGACATTGGCCAATGCGATGTACTCGATCAACAGCTTGGGCTTCGACCATAGGATTCCACTGGGGCTCAACGAGATGAACACTGCTTGCAGCGGTAAGATCGACACTAAAAATTTTGCAATCTTGTTAGCTTTCACTGCAGTCGCGCGATTTGTGAATTGGCAACGCACCCTTCCGCAACCGCTCCAATACTAGCGAGTATGACTGTACAGTTCAGGTCTTCATTGAATCTTTTCAGTACAAGAGATCGATGTCCAACTGATGTTTTGCCATCAATTCGTTGGAAGAAGATGCCATTCTTTCTCAAGGCAATCTCAATGAGATCGAGCATTTTTGTCCAGAAACTGAATATGACGCTGGGAATTGACATATCAGTTAGACGGTTTCCAAGGATTAATCGACAAGGGATTTACCTTTTCACGGGAATTCCCTCAGAAATTGACTTATTCACGAGTTGCTCGCTCAGAATGTTCCCTATCAATGCGCTAACTTTTGATGAAGGCTGATAATCAGTCCGCCCCAAGTTATCAAAGGGCATTAGTGATTCTGGAGAGCCAGGTAGGGAATCAATCGATAGTCCAGAAGGGCATGTCGATACTTCGGATGGCCTCGTAATTTTGGATAGTGGGTGGACAGCGGAGGGATTTTGCTTGTTGTACATTTCTATTGCAGCTTGTGGTAAAAGCTGTCCTCCGTGGTTGCAAATCAATCTTAGAAATCCAATGATAGACAACATGGTTGACCAGGATGTCTTATCCATGTGTGACTTCTGACTTAAGTTCCCCACGAGGGAAGACGCTCGAGACTTGAAGAAATCATAGATTCTGCGCTCTTCATGTGTCAAATCGATGTAATGCACCTTTTCAATGCGTGATGGTAGCCGCAGCTGATCTTGCACGTGGTCCTTTGTACGTCGTAAACAAGTTGCAGCGATGAGTTTCCTGAGACGTCGAATTCCAATTTCATGCTTATCAAAAGAATGTAAGGGGGAATCGATCAAATTCGCAAACGCGAGTTTTCCACTGGGACCGGTAAATGGAGCCACTCTGATGAATGCTAGCAAGGCTGCATAGTCGTCCAGTGTGTTGTGAATTGGAGTTCCGGTAAGACACCAACGATATCTAGCCCGAAGGTCGCATGTCGCTTGAAAGATCTGTGAGGAACGAGACCGAATATGATGAGCTTTTTTGACAATCATCAGCAAATTGGCCAGAACCTTTCTGTCTCCTCAAGGGGTAATACGTACCTTCATCAAGGACTATACGCGCCCAACCGCTGTGATTGTGATATAGAACGCTATCTGATCGAGAAGTCGACCATTCGCTGCGCAAAGTATCATACGTCGTCAAAACGATGTCGTTGGCCATCAAGTTTGACGACAATTTATGCCTGGTTGATCCATGGAAAACGGCTATGTTAATCTGTCTCGGCCGAAAATGCCTAATGTCTGCTTTAGCCTCTGATTGAAAAGTCGCTTGAACGATACTGTTTTACCGCAAGATTTGTTGCTCCCATCCCGGGATGGCTGGTAAAATGTTAATGAAGTGCTTCCAAGAAGTGATACGAGATACTCACTTGAGGGGGTGGTAATGACAAGAGTTGCGCGAGGCCCAAATTTGTCTAGAGATGGGCTGTCAAGGTACCACGCGATGAGGGCGAGTATACTGAGTGTTTTTCCAAGGCCCATTGACTGTTCTTTGTAAGAGAGGGCTATTCATGCGATTTACAAACCTTAGAAGACGACTCACATCAGCCAATATGCCTCCCAAAGGGGGCTGAGGTTGAACGTCTGATGTCATCCCAGTAATAGTGTGATGATATCTGTAGAAGCAAAGCAGTGAGATGTTATCCAAATCCGTGAACATACATTCAGTGGGAGTCATACTTAACATTGCCGGCAAGATCCCGCGAAAATCGCCAAAGAGGAGGAAAATGTGCCCCTACAAAAACGCTACTCTCCTTTTCGGTCATCATAGAAAGTGCTTTGATTTGGTGTCTAGCGACCTATTAGCACAGAGAGCATATAGAGGGTACCCAGCTTACTCTTTGAGCTTCGTCTGCAAACGCGGGCTTTGTTCAACAGCTGCGAACGTGGCAGGACCATCAACGGTATCGAAGGCCTGGAACACTTCACTACTCCATGGGTTATCCAAGGCTCGATCTAGGTCTGTTGAGTGTAACAGGTTTCCAGTATCAAGCTCTTCGATCTGAGGCATTTCTGTTCCAGGGGCTACCAAGAACTGGGGGTTCCGATACGGGACAGAGGTATCGCCTTGTCTTGGATGTTGGAGAAACATGTCACCGTCGGAAAGAATACTGTTCACTAAGTCAGTCTCGTCCAAGAGACCATAAATCACGATTTTGACCAGCGTATCTTTATGACCTAGCGTCATCCTCGAAGCTTTCTCCTGTTTTGGCCGCTCACATCTGGCAGATAATGTGACTTTGCAATCATGAGCAAGCTTGCCCAGTGCTTGCGAATGTAAGAGACCGACATTGTGCTTTGGAGAACCACCGGAAAGCTTCAAGACATCCCCCACCACTTGTAAGTCAACAGGGACAGAATCCTCGGTTCCCTTTGGTAAACTGTGACAAGATGCCTGGAGTACCACCTGCACAAATGTGTGAGTTCTGATGCCAGCTCGGCTATCTGAAAGAACTGAAAGATTACTGACCATTCCAAAGCAAACATCATAGGGACTGTTGGAAGGTGTCTGGGACATTTTAAAATCGTGTTCTGAGCAGACCGTTGGAACGGGAGTCTTCTCGTCTTGTAGACATGAGTCACTGTACCCCGAATTGGGTGTGGGAAGGGGGTTTTCAATATCCACAGTGTCTGGCAGTAGAAGCCAGTGATTTGCGGAATGCTCGATGAGGCTCAGCGACGGCTCTTCTTGCGCTTCATTCGTGAGGGGCCCAGCAGAAAACATCGACTCAAATTCTTCAATGGGTTGCATGTCTTCAAACGTAGCTCTGCCATTGTCTGGAGGAGAGGACAAATCAATATCACCAAACTGATTACTTGAAGGAGAAACCCAAGGGGTCATATATGGATTCTCTACACATTGTCGCTTGGGTTTGGGATCTGAGTCTTCAACAGCAGGTGGGGTTTTGAGCTGTTCCCAATCTCGTTTTGCCAGATCTGTCGCACTATAGCCCAGCAACTGATCCATTGTAATCAGTACTCCCAGTGTAGATCGTTCAAATCGGGCTTCGAGTTGATGAAATTCCTAGGTGCAAAATTATCAGCGTGGTACGTATCCTGGGGCTGTCTGGCGACGAGGCTTACGCACACAGGGGGTGAGGCTCAGCCGGGCGCAGCAAATTGCCACAGTTTCACGACTCACCGCAAGATTCGACAGGGATCCTCGACATCGCGGCTGGCTACTGGTGGCTTAGTGAAGCGGTGAGTGAAATGGGACACGTCAGAGTGAGAAACGACCACTGTTCAGTATCTTCCTCGAAATCCCCAGGAGAATGGGTATCGAGTATCAACTGAAATTTGGAAGGTGGCCGCAAGAATCTAGGAATGTTGCTATGTGATTGAAGCACGGAACGAAAGATACTCAAAGCGATAGTTTATCGATAGGGAGAACTACGACCGACAACCTGTGAGTCTTATCGGAAGCGATCAGTAGTCGAATCCCACAAGATATCTAAGTATTAGGGAGACTTTACTAGTAGCTTCGATCCAAGACCTTGCTCTAGCTCTTACGGAGTTATCCTAATCTATCATAACATACTCATATCTCTTTGGAGAAGTGGATGTTGTTATATCGGAGAAATAATGAATTTTGAGTCTATCTAGAAAATAGAGAACACCTGATAGACGATGGACCTGGAGATCACCTAAGGGACGTGTGACTGAAGGAAGCGACTAATCCGATTGGGCCTGTTTGTATAGGAGCCCTCTATATAATAGCAGATTCCCTTTCATAGTTTCTTCCTTCTTCACTTTAGTTGTTTCGTTGAATGCACCTTGTTCTTCCAGCCGGCTCCATTGTAACCCTAACTAGGTAACTAATATTAATTATATCTCTATATAGTATTACTAGTAAGACTAGATCTAAGTCTGGCGGGCTTCTGATATTATAGCACCTAGTATTTCTTCTTTTTTAGTATTAAGAATAACTTTAAGCTTATTTTATAGGCCGAAGATAGTTGTAATAATTTTTAGAATATTATTAGTTTTACTATAATACTCTATAAGCTTATTATATCTGTATTCTAGCGCTAGCTTTATTAATTATTATATCTTAGAATCTTATGTCCTAGGCACGAAGAGAAGGATTAGAACTCTTGCATAGGCAGATTCGCCCAGATTCGAGACATAGTGCTGCAAAGTAGTCGATGCACCATGAGCCAAATTGACGCTCGGCAGCAAACAGTTGTATCGCGGTACACCACTTATTGTTATAGAGACTAGAACCGAGATCTTCATAAAATGGCGCGTCAGCGAGTCTCGTCTTTAAATCGTCGTTGATAAGGAGCCACTTGTCATTTATTATAGAGAACTTGAAATGACCCCGCATGAAATCTCACATAAGCCAACTTTGAATTGTATATTTTGCCTTCAGACCAATTACTTCAAGTATATTATAACGAAGGATCTGCAAAACATCCAACATTGATAATTCCTCCCTATGAAAGTTGGTTAGCCTCTCATGCAGATCTCTAGAAATAGGTTGAAACCCTACAAAATGACTTTCATGGCAGCAGGCAGGTTGTGACAAGCAACCTGACGCGAAATGGGGGTCAAGGATAGGAGTGCCTATGACAACGAAAATTAGTGTTTTAGTTGCGAGGTGGGGACATAAATCCGACAGCCAACCTACATTGTATGCCAGTGAGAAGCTTCGGAACTGCTTTGAGACCAAGTGAGTCCAACAGCTTTGCTACCTCGGGTGAATCGTTGCTTTGTAAAGACTCGCAACACAACTGCTGCCCGGCGTCACATTTTGATGGTTTTGGCGTGCCAGCTAAAGAAAAGGGTTGGGGCGACGCAGTGACTAAAGAGCCCGCAATCAGGGTGAAAATAAGCAAAATAGAGAACATTTTGGAAAAGTTTGATCTTTTCAGGATCAATGCGCACAAGAAACTTATAAGTCAGTCTTTGTGATGTTTAAACCTTAAAATAGCCTTTTCGTAGACAGGATAGAATGGGGAATGAACCTGATTGTTATGGCTAACAAGATATTACGAGCATAATTCTTTTGAAATGTGTGACCATACCAGCTTATACGTGGAATGTGTGGCCATACTAGGCTTATATTTGGAATGTGTACTACTTTGCTAGATAGCCTCTTAGCGATAGAATGTTTTGATGTTTCTTTATTAACCATCCGGTGGTGTTCAGGATATCCATTTCTTTGCATACACCTTGTCGGAATGTTTAGGTCGTCGCCCATAACGACGATTTCTTAGTAGCAACATTTGGGATTTTGCAAATGAAAATAATCTTATCATGCTTCGTGGAAGGAACCCCAATGTAACTTGCAATATAAAATGCAGCAGGTGCCAATCAGTATTCCCTCATCTCTTGTCATTAGCGAAATCTACACCATTCGTTCCAACTCTTACCCTATATTCTGCCAAGATGATTAATTGCCGCCTCCTCTTTATTACAACAATGATTTATACGGCCGCGTACTGCTCGCCAGCGCAACGAACTCCTGAGAAAGCGAAATCTGCCCCGCCAGTGTCAGCGTGTAATGTCGGGAAACAACTTTGCTGTAACTCCTTGCACAAGTACAATTCCCCCGGGGTCTCTTCTTTTGTTCAATCGCTTGGATTAAGCCTTATCGATAATGCTATGGTCGGATTTGACTGTACGTTCCCACTTTCTACCCTAAGATGACCCGCGTGACGATTAAAACGAGCTAAACATACTCTAGGTTCTCCTCTCCTAACTGCCGTTGCCGGAGGGTCAAGTTGCAGCCAGCAACCCGTGTGCTGTGACCAAACTGAATTCGTGAGTTCATGGAATTCGTTAATTTTCCTCCTTAGCGGGGATGGCTAATCTCGATTGAAATGAAGAAAGGGCTTGTGAATGTTGGATGCGTTCCGTTGAATGTAGTCTTGTAAATTTGAACCAGAAGTCTAGCCTTTGAGTGTGACAATCGTATCTTGAATCAAGATCTGACAATTAATAACATTCTCAGTACCAACGACCGCGACTTGCTGGTAAAAATAACTGCCTCCATGGCTTGTCGAGTAATAATTAACTGGCGTGGCTCGTAAACACATATTCCTCAAATAGCTCTCCACCTTGGTGCCGATGGGGGGACGGGAGGGCACAAATACATAGCTGCCATGGATCCCCCCTACAATTACGAGACTTATCATGCATCTCGATGTTAGGCTTCATATCTCGTGGCCGCCTATGCAGAAACGTAGGATAATAACAGGCCATCCATAATGATAGTGCTGACACGCACTCCCAACACACCAGTGATTAGCTTGCCTTTTTCGTTCACCAGGATATTAGACTGCGATAAGTAAGTATTGAAAGCAATACCCCTAAATTACGTGCAATACTTTTTCCGCCTGCGCCTACATCCCAGCCATTACTACCATGTCCGGATGCGCAGTTTTTAATATGGCTCGAGAGATTAAAATCAATCTTCAGCTCGCAATCTGTTGGAGTTAGACTCAAGATGCCGGAGCGTAGTCGTTTGACATTCGTTGAATTGAGTGCTTGCCTTTGGTCCTGGTTGGGTCTAACTTTGATGTTTTTGACCTCGATTAGGCTTAGTAGCCTAGAGAGTGATGTAACATCTTCTCTTTCTCTCTTGCCTTCCCCATCCTCCAGAATACGAGAAGTTCCGTTTTCGTCTCTTCCCTGCTCACGAGTAGCCTCGTAGCTCCTTTTCCCGACAGCTTCTATTCTCAACAAAAGCCGGCATTGTAATTAATGGATTGTGGGAATCTTCTTAAGCAATGACTGAAAAACACTGATGTGGTGTGAATTTAATAATACGAAAGGATCAATTGGCAGCTGGAGGCACTGAAGTATTAAAAATTACAAGACAGTCTTGCTACTCGCCATTCATCTTCTTGTAAGTCAACCGAAACTCAACTCCTTTGGTCACAATTGCGCCCACGGCCCCAATTTGCATACAGCCCAACCCAACAAGTGTGGCGTGTGGAGCCTTTTCCTTGAACGTAGCCGCCGTGAAATATCCAATGGCAGTCACGGTTTCAAGAAGAGTGTTCGCACCACTAAGCAGTGTCGACCCCTCGTCATATCCCTTCCAGCTCTTCGCGTCAAGCTCTTTCACGTAGACCGCAGTATATAGGCCACAGTTGACCATGGCGGTTAGCAGGTCAATGGCTAGCATGATCTGATCGACAAGTTCGTTTTCGAGACCGCCCGCCTTTGTAGCAGCCATATAGACTACATTGGTCAACAAACGGAAACACTTGATATATGTTGCAGCGTTCCGCATCCCGGCACCGGGGGTTTCATCATCGGGTGCATTGATCAGATCTTTGATGATGCTGAATCCGTCAAGACAAATGCTGATTACCTCCATGATGGTTCCAGGACTGAGAGAGTCAACCGCTACGGAGATCCCTTTGTTGGCTGCTTTCCTGAGGAACTTGATGTTCTTGAAAAAGAGGCTTACAACCGCAGCCCCGCAACCAGCTCCCAAGACAATGACTGTGACATCACGGGCAGTGGTCTTGTTGGCGGTTGAGATCATGGAATTGTCGTTCGGCTTTTCTTCCTCTTCCTCTGAATCCCGGAGGGCACCGATGACAGATTTTCCGAAGAGTTCGCTGTCCATATTGCCCAAAGTAGGAGGCTTCCTTCCTGTCACGATTTTGATAATGAATGTCGCTGGAATAGCGATGATCAACGAAACAGCATCAAAAATGGTAAGGCTGTCGCCCTGGTTCAACCACTTGTACAGATCTTCAACAAAGCCCCAGGTGAGTCTATGTAGTGTGCAATTGTCAGTATCGTTTCACTCTCCGCCAAGCTCTCGGAAACTCACGTTTGGTTTCCAATGTTCTTCAAGAGAACGACCAATTTAGATACCAGGGTGACCAGAGTTTGCAGAATCTTCTTGGCCACGTCGATGATATTGATGAGCAAGTCCCCACCGGCTTTCGCAAGAAGCTCACCGGTTGAGAGATTGTTATCCCCGGTGAACAATTCGGCGAGATCTTTGCCCAGATCCTCAGCAACTTTAGTGAAGTTCATGAGGAGTGGCTGAATCCGATCTTCCCAGAGTTTCACTTCTTCGGCATTATTTGTTGCTAACAGATGAAAAGGGTCAGACTGGGCGATTGAAGAGAAAAGATATCTCAGGCACTTACTTTTCCCCGGAGAGCGCATACTCCCACTCCCATTCTTCATCCGTTCCCCAATCCACTTGGACCCTGGGCTTTGCTGGAATTCGGTCATCTGCTTATCGTCACTCCCATTGGAGGGCTTCAGCTTTCCTTTACGACCTTCCATTGATGCAATACCCGTCAGTCCGGCGATATCATTTTGAAGAGAACTGAAGAGATCCTCAATCTTTACATTCACCCCTTCAATATTGTTAGCCGCATAGTCAAGACCTGCATTGAGCAGTCCCTTGATGGTGCGCTTCGTTTCGATGATATCGTCCCAGCTGAACAAGAAGCCCACCACATCACACAACTTTTCCCATCCAAGCTTAAACTTGTCCCATACCCAGGTCGCTGCTTCGGTCACCTTCTCGATGCAGTCGAGAACAAACTTCTTGACAGAGTTTCCGATCGTGCAAACAAACTCCCAGACCTCACCGGCCTTGCGCACTATCCAGTCAATTGTTTGATGAACCTTCTCTTTCAGGTAGTTGAAGCCATCCATGAAAGTATCAGCGATAGCCTCGAAAATATGGTTACTTGCGATTTGAATGGAATTGACAGACAGTGCGGAGAAGGTCACTGTTTGGACAACAGATCCATCGGCCGGTAGTTTCGTGCAGGCTTCCCTGATCGCCGAAAAGCATTGAGCGGCAGCAATCAGCTCGTCCTTGGATGGCTTTTCAACCCCCTCCCAGATAGATTTGCCGTCTTTGTCGGTGGCAGCCTCTAATTTCTCGGTAGAATCGAGCTTGCTTAGTGACTTGATGACCTTATGGCTGGGATCGATGTTCATATCGGAATGAAGCGTGATCTCTTGAGCGAGGAAATTCCTGACTTTGCTAATCTGCAACGGCTGACTAGTCAGGCCATTGGTAGGAATAATCAGCGCCAGCTCACCCGCAGTGTCGAGCGGATACCAGCGGCCCTTGGGATCCAAGGTATCGGATCGGCCATTCAACGTGGCGGACAGCAAGGATGATGACTTGATAAAAACCTGACCGTTGCAAAGTGGCTGTTTCTTATCATCTAACGCGGTCATGTTGACTGTGTAGCTGGGGATGGCCATGAGGGTTCCTCCCTCCTCGACGTAAAATGGCTCGGTGCGCCAGATACCGGTATCGAGACTCTGCTCCAGCAGAGTAAGGTTGCCACTTTCGTCGTTGGCCGCGAGAATCTGTTTGACTGTCGAGAAGCTCTCTGCAGGCTTGCAAATTGCGGCCGAGAAGCTGGTTGCCTTGCCCGCAGGAAGGAGGGTGGCAGCACGGCTATTGTCGATATTATCACAAGAGGCTACTAGGAACCCAAGTTCATCCTGGTTATTTCTAGCCCATACAGAGACATGCGGGCCATCCTGGGCGACAAAAAGATCTTTCGCGCCACGGAAGGAAGAGTCATTGATCAGCAATCTACCACTCCCTCGCTTAGTTGTCTCATTTGAAGGGATCAAATGCAATCCCCGTGGAGAACCAACAAAGAGACCGGATCTGCGGGCGGGGTCTGTGAAGTCGACAAACGATTCAATCGATCAAGCGCCTTCTGGAGCAACAAGGTCGTACTGGGCCCATCTGGGAGCGTCTCCTTGTTCCATCCCGGGTCGGACAAATTTGACCATAAGAAGCACCGCGTCAGATTGCCTGCAGAGGTAATACAGCCCTTGACCTAGGCTTCCACCATTGGCAGTGGCGATATCGAGAATCTCGTTCACATTGGTCGGCAGTGTGCAGTCCTTCCACACAATGATCTTATTCATGTCCAGTTTCACTTCCACGCGGGCTAAGTCGCTGCCACTTGCCGCACGATTCAACGGTTGGTGCATCACCCATACAGCTGGGTAGGGTGATTTTCCGGTCGGCAGGCCGATCTTGATTTTGTGAACTTTGCCAAAGGTTTGTGGTGGCAAAGTGGTGAGCAATGGCTGGCTGCTCAATTGGAAGGGTCTCACCACCCACAATTGAGAATGCTGCTCATCGACCTTTGTAGTCAAGGCGAGATGGATGGTATAATCGGCGCCTTGCTGGACATCAAAGGTTTGGATGTAGGCATCTGTAGGCAAGCCGAGCAGACGACCATAGTCTGTCCTGACCCGTTGGCCCTCCTCGTTTACCCCAATGACTTGTAATTTTGGAATCTCGTCGTTGCTGAGGGCAAAAATCATAGGTTGCAATGTATGCGGATCTACGCAGGTCACCATGTGGCTCGCAGCGGGGACTGCCACTGCCGACACATAGTTGGTCATAAGTTCGGAATCCCATTGTAGAGTAGCCATGTTGGGAGAAAAAAAAGGAAAAGAAAAGTTGAGATGAAGTCTAAAAGGTATTAGAAAATTTGAATGACAAAAAGGTGTGTTGAGGATATGGCTGTCGGGCCTTTTTGGGACCTTTATGGGTATATACTCTGCGCGGGATAAACCGAATTGGTCGCATAAACTTACCCCGGACCAACATTTGACAAACTACTCGCGGAGTTGCCGATACGGTCTAGCAGAATATCGACCAATCATGTTCAGCTATTCGCCGGGTCGCCCCAATGAAACCCAGATGAAGGACCTTATTAGCAGTGGCGTCGTCTCCTTTCTCTGCTGAGGCAAAACCAATGGTGGGTATGTCTGCTTACACGTCTCGTCACTCTCCCCTGCAGTTGCGTCCCATCGCCCCATGAGTGTGGGCCTACCCCTCTGATTACATAACTTTGTGCGTTGGTCTGCGGGACTAAAACTTTCATCACATTCAATTTTTTGGATACCTACAAAACTGATTATTTTAATTAGACAGCAAACAAAGTTCTACCAGAGAACGGCTTCGTTACAAATACCCTAAAATAACAACCGAACACGTAGAACCCATAAGATAAGTGATGGCGGTATATTATAAATGGAAGGCGGTAACACACTGTCAGTGTAGGTGTCCAAACTTATGGAACACTGGACCCCACATCTCCGCATGCAGCCTATCTCTCCAACCTTGGGCAGTCTTGCCGAAGGGACGACTAGCAGACTGCCCTCGCTAAAAGGGATAGGAATTATCTACCGACCGGCCATCAGTGGGCACATATCGTCAGAATTCAGTCCAATAATGTCTCAACCCTTTGCATTGGTGCGAATGTGGGGATCGATACTCTTCAGCTGAGGTGTTTTACCGAGCCAAGGCTGCATGAACAGTATCATGGTCTAGCCTATTCTGAATACAGCTTCTACCGCCACATAGCGGATATCTACTTCACTCAAGTGACTGAGAGGTACTTTGCTCCAACCGGAAGCTACGGAGAGGCCGAAGGGAATATTTTGGCGAGACGATGGAGTTTTCCAAAATACCATAGCAGAGGCGCATAGAATCTGGTGTATAATGTTATTTATTGATGCTCTCCCGTCCATGTTGAATAGCTCAACAGTCTCAAGTTCTAATATTCATCGAGCCGGCTCACCTTCTTTCTTCTTCATTCCATCACTGAGATACAATCGCCGTGATGTCGATCGTCACTACTGACCGAGTCCGGAAACTGACGATTGATCCGTCTGATCAGGTGTTCGCTTTGACTCAGTGAGAATGCACCATGAACACTTGAAACCAATCTCTAGAAAGCCATGCAAGTACTGAAACTATCACTAGAGAGATGGTCAATGCCGGACTGGAAACCAAGTGGCTAGAGGCCTCCGATGACCCGACTTCCGGACTCAGAAAGGAGTTCAGATGTTACAGGAGATGCCTTGGAGACTTCAGGCATGCCCAAATTGGATGCCCGCGCATGGTTATCGAAGCCAGTTTGACTTCTGAGGCACAGCAGCGCGTTTTGTACATGCTATGCTTTGAATCTGGCGAGCTAAAGGTTGGAAGCAACCTGTTCGGCATCTATGCAAGAATCAAATTGACGAATTTGCATAGCTTGAATGCGAAATCTTCGATGAGGAGGGCGAATTTGTCGACTTGGAAATCAAGGTATATGATATCGCTGGATGGAGTAAGTTTGTTGCGTCTAGACAGCTCAACGGGTGCTTTGCCAATACTAACCGCCAACTCGTAGGAATGGCTTTTGATCTGCAGCTGGGGATGACGGTGGTTGAGCGAACCGTGGGCGATTCGGCCGATGAGTATGTAAAGCTCCTTGGGCCTGAAGTGGCCGATGGAAAAGGTCCCCTGGGTCAGAAAATTGTGGCTGGAGAATACAGCCTCTACGCTCTGGTCGCCAAAGTCGAAAGTGAGTTCCTCCCAACCCAATCCAGCCATTCTAATTTTCTGTATCATGATGCTGATCGAATCTGCAGCGGCTGAATTCAACCTGGCTGAAAGTTATTTCGGTGGAATCGATTTCTCAAAGGAGCCCGAGGGCATTAAGGACAATCTCGAAACCCTGATGAGAGAGGGGCGAGAGAAGTTCATTGCAGAAATCAAGAAGTCAAGCATTCTGGGTTATGCCTTCAAGGCCAATCACACCGGCAAGTCTTTCCACCTGACGTCTGTTGGCCGTGATTGTTAACAATTTCTTATTTGACATGCGATTCTGCCCCAAAACTCACATTCGAGCCCCACAAACTGCAGTATCAGACGTATCCGTGGGTGGACCCACGCGCAATTGGATCTGATCCTGCTTCTACAGAGAGCTCACGTCTGAACTGCCTTCTTTATCTTGAAACGACTGGCACAAATGAGCTACCAGCCATTGACAAGCGTTTCTTGAAGTACCAAGGCAACTTTACGGATGGTCGTCTTGAAGCATCGTGGAACCCTGAGTCTTGTGACTTCGGTTCCTTCCATATGACCGGGAGAAACTTCTTCAAAGGGTATCTCCTGAAGAAGTTACGAGTTCTGAATCGTGCCATTGAACCCAGCATGTCCTGGGTCTACGTTAAGATAGACGATTGGAAAAAGCCATGGGTGAAGTTGTACGGCTTCCTCCCCTCATTCTCCTTCTCTTTCTTCCACTTTTCCTTTTCCTGCTTCACCCGTCGCTGTCCATTTTAAATAACCGACAATTTCTTAATAGTGACGCCGATCTCAAAGTCGGTGAGAACCCTCGAATATCCAAAGAAGATAGTTTCTACGACTTTGTTCAAGATCCAAATTCCTCAACATCCTGGACCTTTCAATCCTCCTACGGGGAATTCGAAAAGGATGATGTGGCCGGAGTTGTCGGTTGGTCTGGTAACGTTAAAGGCAAAGGTTCATGTAAGATGGCCCATTTTACCACCAATGACAGAAGTTTTGGGCGTGCACTAATGCGTGAAAAAGGCTCAACGAGGAACACAGTGTCTTTCGTCCCAGGAAGTGACATCATCACGGTGGAGGGATTCAGCACGATAGCCTTTTACTTCCGGTTCGAGGACAAACACCTTGTTGGAGCGAACGATGTGAAGGAAAGCGAGTAAGTTGGGGGAATATAGGTGGTGCTTCATACACACACGTATGCTAATTCTTGGCTCTGTTAGCCTCGAGTACCACATCAAGTGGAAGATGACCCTCGATCTTGAAGCCGTGAAAGACGGCGGTCTCCAGATCAAATCCACGTTCGAGGGACCCAGCATCGAAGCCAAAAAGAATACTCTTAATGGCCTTGAGGAATATAAGGAATACACGATGAAATCCGTCGAAACCGCCATGAGGAACATGGATGACCTCCGTAAAGCCCTTGCTGAAGATTTGCAAGGACAACAAGGACTTTGCTTGCCCGCTGGGGGTGTCTTCTATTTCAAGAATCCCATTCTTGGCCACAAGGGAGATCTGATTTGTTCGATCTCCTACAACAATACCCCTGCAAGAAAGGCATTCAATCCAAACTCAGGCGTCATTATCAATGAAAATGGCAAGGACCAAGAACAAATCGCTGGTGGAAATCGGGCAGCTCTTCCTAAACCCCCTGGGGTCCAGCAAGTCCCCAAATGAGTCACATTTTTGCACGACTAATGGATGTATAACTTGTCAGTTTTTATTACCCTCAAGGTTGTTGTCTGAAATTGTGGCTTGTGACGTTTTATTTGTGCTGTTCTACATTTTACTTTCTTTCTCGTTCTAGGTAGTGATAGGCAGAAACAGTTTCCTCTTTCTTTCCATAAAGAGAGTTCCCATCGATCCTACGCATGCATAATCATAGCCTTAGGCATCAGATAAACCGCCGTTCCTGTCTGCATGGACACACCCCACTATAGTATACATGCATCTTCATAGGCACAAGAATTTTACCTACATTCAGACGATGGCTAGTTTTCTGCAATTACCCTTTGATTGCAACAAGCCGTGAATAATAAATTCTACAACAATAAATTCAGTAGATCGGTTGAGCAGGTATTCTACTGGTTGCCTTGAACATTGGCTATACAAGTGCTAAACGTTGCCAGGCGCCTAAGGTTGTGTTGGTTACGTCCATGTAGATAGCCTGTGAGTCTCTCGTAATTTTACATACTATTCAAATAGTACCTACTCATTAATACATGTAAATTGGAAGATTCTTTCTGTCATTTCTACCTTGAGTATGAGACTGGCAACGTAGTTGCTGGTAAAGGATCAGATTGGCAATATGGATACTTGATCCCACTGACTCTAGATTGCTTCCACCTGCATTATCTGGACTTTTCAAAAAAAAAAAAAAAAAAAAAAAAAAAAAAAATTGTTATCCACGTGGATCCACAGGTGGCGTTTTAGGTTCCTCTTGTTCCAGGGCAATTGAGGCGATCGGCTCTTCGCGCCCCACACTGGGCCAGTGTGCCTCCGGGATATCTATCGGCTCGCTTGAATAAGCCGTCTTCAGTGGCTTTCAGCTCCCACACCTTTTATTTAAGCTCGAAGTCTTACAGAATGTCAGCCACAATGAATTCGGCGTGGCCGGAGCTATCACTAAGCTGGCTTTGGTGATTGAACTTCTTCAATCGCGACTATGTAATTATTTTCAGTTCTGCAAGAAAGAACAGGCAAAGCGAACAGGCCATGGTGGCTATTCGAATCGAGATACTGAATCCGGCTTGTTCATCCCGTTCATCAATATCCATTCAGCTGAATGATTCCTTGGCATGATCCTTCCCGCTAATATGGTCCTTCTCTCTCTCCTCCGGTTTCTATACAAAGCCCGACCTCCATCCACCTGAAAACATCAATTCATCCTTTCTTTATTCACTTTCCCTACCAAATTCCATTTCACAATTCACTACCAACAGCCGATTATCCACTATGGCACCAATCCCGTAAGCATACTGCACAATCAACCTTCCTTCCCCACGCGGAACAGTCAATTCCCAATTTATTTCTAACGCCAGCTCTAATTCTTAGTGACGTGGATCCCTCTAACTGGTTGACCCAGTTGCGCGAGCATATTGGAGTCGAACGCCAGAGCCAGATGTATTTATCAAGCTTGACTCTTCCAGCCACCCACAACAGCCACGCTACAACGGACCATATCGAAGGTTGGGGTTGGCAAAAGATGGAAGTTGCCAATTGTCAATCAAGCGGTATACGAGCACAACTCGACATGGGCGTGCGATCCATTGATCTGCGAATCGGCAAAGACCTAGGTCTCCGCCATGGGAAAGTCACCCTGCAAGGAAATCTGAGAGACGCGCTGCACATCATGTCTGAGTGGCTGGATAACCACCCCAACGAGACCATCATGTTCCAGGCCAAGTGGGACTACTGGGGGGACGATCGTCAACCTGACCAAGACCATGCACCAGGACAAGTCAATGACCTGATTCAGAAAGAATTTTGGGCAAGGGGTCTCGTCCTCGACCAGCAGCCTAAACTGAGCGAGTGTATTGGAAAAATGGTTCTTTTCAATGATAACGGTGCAGGAGCCTTTCCGCTGAAAGGCCCCGAGGCGCCCCGCACGGAGCTTTCAGCGGATATGGACGTTATTGACGCTCACTGGATACATGTCCAGAGGGTTTTGGAATGGGCCTCGAGAACTTCATCGCCAGCTAATCAAGGGGAGTACTACGAGATCCCTTGTGCACAACAGTCCCTGGATAAATTAGAGAATCTCAGCTTGAATAACCTTTGGGGCAATATCACAAGTGTCAAAAGACCGATTGACTTCGCGACCGTTATCAACCTAAGGCTGCATGACTGGTTGCTCAGAAATATCCACGGAAGGGGTGAAGGGAGACTGGGAAGAGTTTATGTTGATTTTGCTGAACCTAATTTGGTGAAGGCTACTCTACTTTGGAATTTTGTGTGATTCAAACCTCTCTTTATGAATCTAGGACATATTGAGTATAGCTAGATTTGCGTATACTCGTCTGCAAATAGACTTTTTTTCTTAACTCGGTGTATACTATTCTTTCACAAAATATTGCAATAGGGCTATAGAGAGAATTGGCCATGCGAATATATTATGGCTTAAGTACGGCTGAGCGGACGGGAAGCCCTATTATCCACACCCTATGGTCGTATGTACCATAAACGGTATGGAAAATGTATATACTCCTCAAAATGAATTACGACTAAGTGGAGTCTAGAGTAGGTGCCCCGGTCGCAATCATGCCTCACCACAGAACCATATGATTGGTGAGAGGCAGAGATGGTCTCTGTGGCCGTGTAGCTAAAGCAGAAACAACGATGCACAAGAGAAAACCCCAAGATACAATATATAGACCGCCCGGTGGTGAAAATAGATAGGCAGGACACGTATGGGAATGTCTACAACATAATGTTAAAGATCAGCTTAATACGCAATAACACTATAAGAATTGGGCCATCTCTAGTATATTTTGGAGAGGTCTTTCTGGTCTTATATACAGATATAGGTTATGCGGACAGCTTAAGCAGAGGAAGCCAAAGCCTTGGAAACCTCTTCAACTGGAGATAGAAGGAGTGTCCGATTGGCTCAAAAACACCATGAGCAGCTAGCTGCGTTACCAAAGATGAAGCTGCCATGAAAAAAAAAACAAAAATTAAAAACAAAAACAGGACAGTCATCCATCATTATAATTAACACACCCGAATATACCAAACGTTCTCACCCTCCAACAGCTCCATTTTCAGCTGGTGCCTCACCCGTCTTGACACCGTGCTTTACCTTGAGATGTTCGATGGCTGCGGCTGCTAAGCCACCGACTGTACCAGCCTTCCCAATTTCTACGAGGCTGATCTCCAATCCCATATTACGGCGAGCCCAGCTTCGGATTTCTATGGCCATTAAGGAATCGATAACGATATTGGCCATTTCCTCTTCGTCCATATCCTCTGCTCCGGCCTTGTGCTTGTTGATCTTCTTGGCCAGCTCGCGGCAGATGACTCTCTCCGACTCAGGATCATCAAGGATGACCGGATCTTGTTCCACCTTCCGCAGAAGAACCTTCAGCTCATCAGCACCTGCATCGCTAGAGGCAGTTCCTGTAGAATCAATGTTGGCAAAGATTGAAAATCGACGATCGCTTCCCCAGGGACATCGAACATCGGAATCTGAAAGTGGTCTTGTGGTTCCCAGACCCACAATGCAGGAGCTGGAAGTAGGCATGTTGACCTTCATGGAATGGGGTTCCTGGGCCTGTTGAATTGCTGTCTGCAACCCCTCAACTAGCTCCTTCTCGCTGACCAATCGTACACCAGCAGAGCGCATTCTTTCAAGCAGTGGTTGGTCTCTGCTAAGCATGCCAACATCTTCAACTGGCCCAAGGTTGATTACACCACATGGTAGCCCCAACCCACGGCGATATTGGTTGAAACTATCGAGAAAACTGTTTGCAGCTGCATAGTTTGCCTGTCCAGGGTTGCCCGCTGTTGCTGAAATGGAACTGAATAAAACAAAAAAGTCCAACTCCGCATCTCGGGTACTATTGTGCAGGTTCCAAGTGCCTGTGACTTTGGCCGCTAGACATGATGTCCATTGCGAATATGTCATTTCGGTGAAGGCGCCGTCCTGATAGATGGAAAAATGAGTGTCAGCATAATTAATTGAAGAAGGGTTCATTGGTTAAGGCTTTGCCTCACCTGAAGAACTCCAGACATATGCAGCACACCGCGTAATGGGAGAGGAGATTGGGCGATTGCCTTCTCTACATCCTGTGGCTCAGTCACACTGCCGCATACGCAAACAACGTTACAGTCCTGATCCTCCAGCTCGCGAATGAATCGTTGGTCCTCTTCAGACTGCCCAGCTGAACGCGACAGGAAGACTAAGCTGCGTGCACCTCGTTCCACCATCCACGTGGAGATGGAGCGGCCAACTCCGCCCAAGCCACCAACCAAAAGATAGGAGGAATTGGGTTTCAATGCCTCGGCATGTTGTTTTGTAGAAGGAGGAAACTCTGCAGAATCGCGTGGAATGCGAATCAAGATTTTGCCCATGTGAACGCCTTGCTGCATGTAGCGGAACGCATCGGCCACTTCTCTCGCCTCATATACCCTCACAGGCCGAATAGGTGTAAGCCTCCCTTCATCATACCAGGATGAAAATTGAGTAATCATTCTGCGAGACCATTAGATTCGTTAATCCAACATGGATTCGGATCCTATATTACTTACTCCAAATTGATTTCCGGGTTCTCTCTGCCCACATGGACCAAGTCGAATCCGAAGTAAGCTCTGTTTTTGATGAAGGGCAACATGCTGAGGCTACCGTTGCTGAGGAAGTCTCGTTTTCCAAGCTCAATCATTTTGCCAAATGGTGCAACACATGCCCCAGGAGGCATGGAGTAGTTTCCCTGATAAGGAATTTAGGACGACATCAACACCTCGACCATTCGTTTCACGCATAATGTCGATTTGGAAATCTGCATTTCGAGAGCTGAAAATTCGGTTGCGCGGAATTCTGATGGTGCTGACAAGATATTCAACCTTCTCCTCAGTTCCCACGGTTGCGAATATCTGAAGTAGTACGTTGGCCAGTGCCCGATACACATCGCTTGGGACGGACATACCTCGGCGCCCAAAACCTGGCAGACACGAATTGCTGCGAGACCAACACCACCACAGGCGGAATGAATAAGTACAGACTATATGAGATTAGTCACCTCGCCTCTGCAATAGAATATAAAATATCGCAACTTACGTCCCCCTTTGTGAGCCGGGATAGGTGTCCTAGGCAGTAGGCTGAAGTCACATATGCTGATGGCATCGTGGCTGAATCTTCAAGAGAAAGTTCATCGGGAAGCTTGATGCACTTTCTTGCATGTATGACAGCCCGTGTTCGGAATAATCCCTCGCCTAGGATTGCAACTCTGTCCCCTTGTTTCAGGTCAGTGACATCCGCTGCCACTCTCGTGACAATGCCACTTCCCTCCACACCAAATTCCTCGGGGTCTCCAAACAGACCCATGCCAACGAGGATGTCCTATGATTTCTGTTAACTGGAAATGAGCCAAAGATAAGGGAAGGTAAACTCACTCGAAAGTTTAGCCCGACATAGTGCATTTCGACTTCGACATTTGACGGCGGTAGCTCACGCGTCGCATATGGTACCCATTCGAGAGTCTCTATTAGACCAAACGATCCAACTCCCAGCTGTCTTGCCGTTTCATCTTGGGATTGGAGAATTTTGTTTTCGTTAGATAACCCCCAATGGCACCGCCCAACAAGCACTTCCCCGCGGGATGAGGAGAACTCATATTCGGGATCAGGAAGAGCATCTTTCCTAGAGATCATAAGCTTTCTTAGAACTCTACACACTGCATCAGTTGCGTGCTCATCAAAAGCGTCGGTCTCGAATATAGAGATATCCAACATTTGCTCCTGTCTGAGCGTCCGCGCAAGTCCGAACACGAGCCCAAAACGGGGGTCTTCACAAGTGACACCGGAGAGTCTGGTTACCCACAGAACGCGGTGACAATCAGCTAGATTTGTTAAAAATATCTGCAATGTGACAAAGTCCGGCTCAGACAGTTCGTGGAGATAAGGCCCGTCCAGATCAAGGAGGCAAACAATCCACTCATTGACGGGCATCTCCTCCTTCAATGTGGTCCAGTTAATGCTGTATCCTTGGTCACTGAGCTGAGCAGCAACCTGTTGGGCCCAAGGTCCAGGCGTCTCAGTAACTACAAGTGTGACTGTTTCATTACTGTCCGGGGTAGCCCGGATACTGGACAACAATGTGAGTCCTTCGAAGCCAGTTGAGGCATCTGAACTGCCACAGACGGCGTCATTGCCGGTGAACCCAGCATTCCGCAGGCAAGCATCATACTCCCTGGCTGAAAGTAATTGCCGATTGAAGCTGCCTTCCGGCCCCGTCCAATCATCTGGCATCAAGTTCTATATTCTCATTAATTTTCCTTTCTGAGCACAGAATTTGTTCGGAAACGCCTACCGCAAGATAGCTGGTTACTAGGCTTTCTAGATATTCATTCAGTGAGTGGTCCAACTCTCAGGGTGAGGTATATCATACCGTGGTTTAATTGGTGAATTAATAGTCTGCCATTTGGTGCCAGCAAATGCCCAATGTTGCGCAGAGAAACGTCCAGTTCGGATGTGGACGGAAGGGTCTGGAATAGCATATTAACACTGCCCGGTTAATCTGCAAAGTTGGATGACTCACATTATAAGCAATAATTAGATCAAATGACTTCAGATCAAATCCTTGCTCTGCTGGGTCTTGGGTGATGTGAAGCTCCTTGAATTCAATATCTTCACGAATCCTCTCTTGCGCAGCTGTGATCGCTTTGTCCGAGGGACGTGTAAAGATGTATCTGGAATAAAGCCTCACACCCTCTGGAGTCTTCAACTGGTCCAATATCAGCTTTGTGGCCGCCAAAGATCCGCAGCCAATTTCGAGGATTCGCATCGCAGGGTTGGAGTGGCCGAGTGCCGTTAAGAGAGCGGTCCATTTTAGTTTTGACTGTAGAAGGAGATTGAATTTCTGCAGATAGTCCTGTGTCTCTTCCGGAAGAGTTTCACTTGCCACGATTTCTCGGCAGTTTTGGAAGACATAGCGCATGCAGCCAGAGAGAACCTGGAAATCATGATCTTCTTCACACTTGTCATATTTCGAGGAAATTGCCTTGATAAGCAACTGTCGTGATTCCGACCTCAAATTTGCCCATTCTGAAGCTTTCTGGTGGATGGAATCATTCCTCAAGCTATGTATCGACGCTTGAGTGGTCACCCAGCTCTTCCATCTTGACAAGCTGAGGGTCTCAGAACTCTCCTCGGCCAAAGAAGACGCAGTCTCAAGGAGATACAGAGCGCCTAACCACTCAGCATCTCTGATGCCTTCTTGATCAGATGAACTAACTGTCAACGATGGGAATAAAGCATCTGGGGATGTCAGATCGATATCTGAGGCCCATCTAATCTGGGAGAGCGCGGGAATGGCACAACCCTCCGTGTAGTCTTGTCCGTCGACTGGAAATCCATGAACATCTGTCAAAGACATGACTAGCTTCTCTCCAGCCATCATAGTAGCGTGTCCTGAGTAAAATCCCATTGTACCTTCTGAAATGCTCGTTTGAATGCCGACTTTGGCGGCGCTGCCGCCAACGTACAGATGGCCGATCGCGGCGGGTACAACAATTTGAAACTTCCGTGCAAGACCCTGAGCAAAGGCAACAGGGAATAGTTGAAGAACATGGTCCATGGTCGCAGGATGAAGTGTGTAGCGGCTTGGGGGTGGGCTTTCCACATTCAGGACCGTTGCGGAAGCCCTTCGATCCCTCGGGTCAACAGTGATGTCTTCAAATCGCTGGAAATGCGGACCGTAGTGAAATCCCAGCCTGGCGACATATTTATAACAAGCCTTAGGATCCAATACTCGACTGTACTTTGGAATCTCCTGTCCCTTCGGAACCTGACTAGGGCCGGCCTTCACTTGCCCTTGACAATGTTTGGTCCAGCCAGTCTCATCACAGCTCATGATGGAAAAGGAATACCATTCTCCATCCACAATATCGGTGATGGGCACTGGTTTCAACGTAGTTAAAATCTCGAAGGTCTGAGAATCCTTTAGCAGCAGTGGAGATTTGATGACCATGTTCTTGATTGAATAATCTTCCACCTCTGGCTCGAGTTGCCGTATGGCTTCGCCAGCCATGGCAACATACCCCATGCCAGGAAAAATAACATTTCCTTGAAGGGCATGGTCGACTAACCATGGGACGTCCTCCAAACGTAAGAGGTTCCTCCATGCAGGCTCAATATCCGAGGATTCCATGACTCGGGAGCCAAGTAACTCGTGATGAGGATTTTTGCGATATCTCCATTCACGCGTAACCCGACTGTCGTGCCAGTACCTTGTGCTATGGTCCCATGGGTAGCATGGTAAGTTCGTCAACGGCTTTCCCTTGCCATTATTGATCGTCTCTAGACGAACCGGGACCCCATGCACATGGGCAGATCCAGCCGCAAACAGCATCTGACCTCGGCTATCCTCGTCATTGCGAATCAGTGTTGGGATATACACTGGATCCGCCTTCAATGCTGCGCCCTGGAAGATTTGGCGAAGGGGCCCAGACAGAGCAGAATGGGGACCGACTTCCAAGAAGACCTTGCCTTCCGGCTCTTTGAGAACATTCTGCACTGCCGTGCAGAATCTGACTGAGGATTCGAGATTCTGCCGCCAATAGGAAGCGCTCAGCTCCGCGGGAGTAGTGATTTTCGCATTCATAACACTTGAAAACAGCGGCACCATCGCTTCTCCAGTGGTTTGTACAAAGCGCTCAATGTGAGCTTCGTACTCCGCCCCAAGAGCACGCATGTGATCTGAAACTTGAAGGTTAGCAACCCATTGAGCCGTTGGAAATCCGGAGTTTCGCACTCACGAGAATGGTATGCGGTGGATACGCGCAGTTTGCGGCAAAGAATATCGGGATCAGAAGCTTTGATCTTGCCCAGTACTTTCTCAACCTTTTCCGCGTCTCCCGACAAAGTCACGCTTTGCGGACTATTCTCGCAAGCAATCACCACTCCATCCTCCAAGAAGGAAGATACGTCACCGGGACCAAGACCAACTGCAGCCATGGCCCCTTTGCCCTCTTGACTCTTAGCCAGTTTTCCTCGGTAGTACGAGATAATCACGGCAGATCTCGAAGTCAGCGCTCCTGCCGCGTAAGCCGCTGCAATCTCGCCACTTGAATGACCAACCACTGAGCATGGCTTGAGCCCCCAAGAATAAAGGAGGTCAACGATAGCAATCTGCAGGGCGGTGCACAGGGGCTGAGAGAACTCTGCCTCGCCAACACGGCTGCTTTTACCGATTTTGGTCAGCTCGTCTAGTAGCGCAATTAGTCCGTCGAACCATAGATATCAGGAAATGGAATACTACCCTCGATCGACCAGTTCGGGCCGTCTGGAAGCTCTTTGAGTGCTTGGTCCAGAGACTGGATAGTTCCTTTGATCTCTGAGAACTCGGCAATGAGATTCCTTCCCATTCCAGCCCACTGTGCTCCTTGTCCTGTGAAAACCAACGTCAGGGCTGGGGATTTGTTTCGTCCAGTGTGGAACGAGAGTGATGATTGCTGCATAGTCATGTCGGGTTTCACGATTGCGAATGCTCGGTGAGAGAGGTGTTCCCTTCGTACACCCAGGGTGTATGCTAGATCGTGAAGTTTCTCGGGGTATCGTCCCAAGTAAACCTCCAGATCCTGTGTGCGTTTTTGAAGAGCCGCGGCGCTCCGAGCCGACGTGACGAGAAGGCGAGCTTTATGGCATTCTCCATTTGGTATCTGGGGAGCCTCTCCACAAAATGAGGCGACTGAATCAAGAATTGTGTGGGCATTGGCACCTCCGACCCCAAAGCAGTTCACGCTTACCCTCTCGCTCCTCCCGACTGGCCAGGGCTCCGACTCAACAGGGACATGAAGCTTCCCCTCCTTGAACGGGATCCGGGGGTTCGGGGTGTCAAAGAAAACATTGGGGGGAATCGTTTTGTGTTCCAAAGCAAGAACAGCTTTGATCACACTGCTGATTCCAGAAGCTCCTTCACCATGGCCGACACTTGGTTTGACCTTGTTGGTTGTTAGGCATCAGCATATCATGGACGATTCAGCTATCTTGCAACATACTGCGCCGATGGTCACTCCTTTTCCCTCAAACAGCTTGGCAACAACAGAGACTTCGGCAGTGTCGCCAGCGATTGTGCCGGTGCCATGGCATTCGAAAAATCCAGTCTGGGAGATATCGCGGATTCCTGCTTTTTCATATGCCCATCTCACAAGCGCCTCCTGCGAGTGAGATCCCGGTGTAGTGATGCTAGGGGTTCTTCCATCACAGTTGGTCGAAGTAGCTCGTATGACTGCTCGTATGGGATCTCCATCTCTGATCGCATGGTCGAGTCGCTTGATGTACAGAGCGTTTATGGCTTCTCCACGCCCATAGCCATCAGCTTTCTCGTCAAATGTTCGGCATGTACCAGTAGGTGACATCACTGTGTTATCGCTCATTGTCTGAGTCATGATCGGTGTAAAAATGAGATTTGTTCCAGCGACAATCGCCGAGGAGCAGTCTCCACTATACAGGGCCTGAGTTGCCTCATGGAGGCCAACTAACGATGCAGAGCAGCCCGTTTGGAGGGTCATACTATATTCGACACGAATAAGAACCTCTTCGCTGGCCAAAACAAGCCCAAGGTCAATGAAAATTCAAGATTGTGGCCTTACCTCGGTCCTTGAAAATCATACTCGAATGACAATCGATTTGCCAGAGCGAATTGCCCCGTTGCAATGATATGATACCGATCAGTATCTTGAGGATCTTTGCTGTTCAGATCGAGCCAATCTTCTCCATAAACGCCAACGTAGCACCCGATGCGCTTTCCTCGCCAGTTTGTTTCCCCCGCACTTTCGAGACACTCCCAGACGACCTCCATCAATTGGCGTTGTTGTGGATCTAGCCGTCCTGCCTCATACCCGTTGATGTCAAAAAATCCAGCATCAAAGCAGGCAGGGTCCTCATTCAAGTAGTATCCCTGTCGTGTTTTGACGCAGTGGTTTCTAGTTGGGCTGTAAAATGAGTCGACGGTGTAGCGGGTCTCAGGTACCTCACAAACACCATTTCTCTTTTCTATAAGAAAATCCCATAGCTGATCCGGCGAATTGACTCCACCCGGGAGGCGCAAAGCCATGCCGACAATGGCAACTGGAGGACAGACTTCGCCCTGCCGATGCCCCTGATCGGATTTTAGTGACAAGCTCGAACCTATCTTGCATTTTCCGTGACATACATTTGGATCACTCGGACATGATTTGCAAATCGAAGTACTAACAACTTCCGGTTTCAAAGCTCCGGTCTGGTCTAGGGAGCCAGCTTGTTGGTGTGCAATCCCCGCTTCATCTTTCATTCCGTTTGACTTTATTTCCAAGCATGGGGCGTTCATCTCGGCAGAGATCATCGTTTAATTTTTCAATCATCCACTGTCCGAAGAGGAGAAAACCAAATTCAGAGGCAAGCGACAACCACGATATGCTTCGGCTTTCCTTTATGCTCAAGTAACTGGAGTGCAAGGGGCTCTTGTACCGCAATCAATGCGTCTTTTGCAGCAGAGCGATGATCGCTGTCGCGTTGTCCTTGACCACCATCATCGATGTGCGCCCGCATAGTTACACAGAATCAATGGTCGCAAAATGACCAGCCAGCCACGAGAATATCAATATAAGCTATCGAATTGGCGCCCATTTATCTGCAGCTAATGAAATGGATTTTTAATATTATCTGTCGTCACACAGACGGGTACCAAATTCTGCATTCCTTCTGCATGCAAGGGACTACCCGCTCATGAACCGAGCGACAACCCCTGCATCAAAATGCAAGGAATGTACATGCGGCATTCTCAGTTGGGCCAGAAAATAATTATAACGTCGCTTATGATTGTCCATGCTGCTCCTTATGTTTATGTGAATCGATATAACACAAGGTTAATCTCTATCTTGACACCTCTGCTGTGGTTGCAATTCGCTTTCTAGATACTCCAAAATGCAATTCTGGACAATCATCTTGGCAGCCGTGGTCGCCGCCCCGGCCCTCGGTGCACACAACATTGCGGACACGGTGTCGAAAATCCAAAGCCTGGGCAACGACGTGGACAGTGTTCAGAGAGCTCTCGATTCCTATAATGGGGGCACATTGCGCGCTCTACCGGTGGCAAACGCGATTTACAATGCCCATATGTCAGCTGAGGATGCGCGCAAAGATTTGGGCAATTCCGACCCGTTCAACACCGACGAAGGGTCTCAGCTTTTGGATGCATACCACGAAATTCACCCTCGGCTTGCTAGTGTCCTTAGCACTGGATCTGCAAAGGTAGTGTGATTTCATCGCCAGCGCATGACTTGTATTATATTAACGAGTTATGTCCGTGGTAGGCACCGCAGTTCAAGCAGGCAGGCGTCGGATATGTCGCCCGCTCAATGCTAAGCAACCTTTACATCGAGAAGAACAGCTTTGATGATCAGATGAAAACCGTGCTATCCCCTGAGCATTATAGAATGGTGGAGCCACAAGCTCAGGAAATCGACCGCGAGTTCAAGAACACCCTAGATGCGTATTCTTGATCCAGTTCTTCGTTCATTCTATCTGCAATTTGGATATTTTCTGTTTGTTTTAGGGGTCCCTATTCTTTACCCAGTCCTTGTAATTACAGAAAAAGATCTGGTCGGAATAACTCCATAATAAGAAGCACAAGAAACGAAGAGCCATTGTTGCGCTTACAACGTCATCAACCGATCTTACGTTCGTTCTATTATGACGAGGAAATCAGCTGTAATTTTAGAGTGTAAATAGACAGCTTTCACTCAGCAATAGAAAACAATATCACATTTTCGTAAACTTTACAGTTATAACATCGCAAAAGGGTCATTCCTGCTCGTTGATTTTCCGTACAATTCGACGGACTTGTCTCCGAACACGCTCCTGGAGAAATTGATTGCCATCGTGGTTTGGGAAACAAAGTCCGATCACCCCTTCCATCCCTTTCAAATGCAGCGATCTTGAACAATCAAAGGTCCAATCTCGGTGACTGCTCTCGAAGGCTTCACCAACACGCTTGGCTAAGGCTCCATTCTGGTCAAAGTTTACTTTGGCAATTTGCTTGAGTACCTCTTTTGGCGTGTACTGTTCGCATATTGTTGCTAGTTCACTGGTGGTGAGGGATACATGTAGCTGGCAGCCTGCATGGATAATCCCCTTAGTACCGCTCGCAATATGCAGGAGACAAACATTTGCCGCTATGTCGACTGGTATCTCGTCCATGATCATATTCTGCGAGAACCTCTTCGTTCCATTGTATGTCCGGTAGTTTGGGTTCTCCAGGAGCAAATGCAGGAAGGAGTGGCCCGGAATAGAGTCATGAGGCCCATAAAAGGGGTACGGGTCTTGAATCGCGGGGCCAATGCTTGATGGCCGAACAATCAGAACTGAGAATGAGGGCTTACTCTCAAGCACCACTCTCTCACTGAGGTATTTGGCCTCTGCATAAGACACGGGAAATGCGCCAGGGTATGAGGATTGGCCCGTAGCCAGAGTGGACGCTACATGGGTTTCAGCAAGAACCTCATCATTCGTCACAGGGTATATTTTTTCCGTGACTACCCCCGCAGGGAGAAAAGTGTTCACCGACATAGAGGAAATGTAAACAAACGTTTCCAGCCGATCAAACGTTTCCAGCAGTTCCATCAATGTTTGGACAGGGTGGCAATGATTGCGGACAGCCACAGCGAGGTCTTGAAAAATGGCAATCGTAGCAGCCGAGTGGATGACGACCGACACCTCTTTTTGCAGAGTCTCCAAGTCAAGCGCTTTCAATCCAAACTGGCACAGCGTAATATCCCCAATGACGAAGTGGATTTTCCCTGAATCGAGAATGTCTGGAGCTTCCTCCGGCATCGATGCTTCCCATTTCTCAATTGTCTGGCGAATAGAACCTCGACAAAGTACATAAATTTTCTTGGTCGGCAATTTCAGCGCCAGCTTGTATAAAAGACATCCTCCCAGGTTGCCAGTTGCACCAGTCAAAAAGACAACCTGGTCCTGATACCAGTCAACTGAAGGTAGAGTCTCAGTCATGAGTTGATCAGACGATGAGATGACAAATTAAACTCTTAAAGGTTTCTGAAAATAATCCAGCAGGAGCCTTCTGTAGAGAGAGATTTGATTATAAGAGCAAGGTAAGTAAGCGCGTACGACGAATGCAAGATGAATTCAACCCACTCCCCCCCCCCTCTGCACATGCCCCCTTGAAGATGGTCCATGCTGATCATTGCAGCTGAGCAGTAAGATCTGCGGGTAGAAGATGAATATAACCCTGCATGACCAGAAAACAAATAAAGGGAATAAAAGAAATTTGGGAACTAGGCCCTGGTTCTAAGTCTAGTACCATAAACCTTGCATGGGTGATAAAATGTTGAATTAATCATGGTTTCCTGCACTCATCTATTGACAACACCAATACTTCGAGTTGCCAAAAGACCATCAGCATGTGTTGAATGCAGGTGAGTATCACCTAAATAACCTTCCGTCGCATCTTTGCCAACAAATTTCTGAAGAAGCTCTGCACCCCCAGGATGTTCCGTCATGAAATCTGCAATGTCATACACAACGTCTTTGATACAAATCAGACAGCGGCCTCGGTCAGCTTGGTGCACGTAATCTTTCCAATCCATCGTTATCTTCGTTGCCAAACCAGCTTGTTCTATGTGATTTCGCTGACCTTTATTCGTCTCGTCCGGGCTTGTGATCACCAAATCCCACGCAATTCCAAGTTTCTCACAAAGTTCGATCACAGCCCGAGACCAGTCCAATTCAATCCATTGTATGCCGTTCCGATAGTCCCGAGGAAATGCATGATGGAAGTTGTGACTACCCTCTCCAGCTGCTAGGATGGCAACCAGTGGAACATTTGTTGCGGTCCATTTAGTTGAGTATGGTCGGTAACCCGCCCAAGGCGCATGTGCTATGGAGTTCACCAAGAACGTAGAATGATGTGTCACGATCGTTCGTCCAACGCCACCATACAGGAGCCCTCCTCTCCAATCATTCCAGCCAAAGTGGGCGATTGCTGTGGGCATTCCCACGCAAACCAGAATCGCAATTATGACATAGTAGCGGCGCTGCCAGCGGACCACAGGGTCCATTGCTAGGTCGGACACATCGACTTTGCCCCATTCAGCAGGACTCAGTCCCACAAGCCAACCTATATGTGAAAATAGAAGTCCTCGCCGGGCATCATAAGGATCTTTATCGGTGTCCGTATATTGGTGATGGGCGCGATGATGCTGTACCCACCACAGGATAGACCATTGGCATTGTGCTGCTCCCATAATAGCGAGAAAATATTGGAGTACAAGATGAGCTGTGTATGAACGGTGTGCCCATAATCGATGATAGCCTGGCACGGTATCAGTATGACTTGTTAGACTGTCTAGAAGCCGGATCCTATCTTTGGCTTTACCTACCAACAGTGATACTCATTCCTCCAACAATATGAAGTATCAGCGCCATCAAAAAGCTGTTGCGTGTAAGAGCAACATGTGGGGCGATAAAACAGATAGCAACCGGGATCACAACCAGGAAAATAAAGTGAAATAGGTCTAGATTTTTGCAGTACCATCGGATTTCATGGGCCCAAGTGAAATCACCGGCATTCTTCTCCGTGGATTTGGCCATCGTAGTTAAGCCCTTTGGATCAGGATTGAAGATGTAGTTAAACACAGTCAACTGGAATCTTTCTTACCCTGGCCCAGATTTTCATGTTTGCTTCAACTCTCAAATACCCCTTGCATAAGCCAAGGCCACAAGGCAAGCAAATCCACGTATGCGGAGGCATAGTGTACTTTACAGAGCTTGGGTTACACGACAGCCCTTGCAGCACTAGCCGCGAAAAATCATTCACCGTTAGTGCAGCACAGACCGCTGGGACGTTGCAGTGTCCTCCGTACCAATGATTAATCAGACGCATGGACCAAGCTAGTATAACTCCACGAAAAAGAAAAAACTCAATAATTGAAGCTGCCAAGTCCATGTTTGCCTATTTTTCCTGCTTTGAACCTGTAATAGTCGATGAAAGGAATTGTAGAGAGATAGCAATCTCCAGATGCGAGGGTACGCTGATCAAGGGAGAATCTGCGTGGAACATGCTGTAAGTACGTCATTAGAAAATGCATCACAGCGGAATAGCAGGATGTCACGTAGCATGCTAAACCAGATTCAGGGAACGCTCCATACATATTTGGCCAATCAAATTCGCGCTACTCTTGATATTCAGCACCGAGGCCCGGTTAACAGCACGCAAAGGCGTATGAGGTCTTCGAGAGCAGCGCAATTCGGCGCATGATCGCATTGTTATTGCCAAAGACCGCATCAGCAGTAAGAATATTCGCGCCATCACTGATCCTCCCAAGGTTTAATAGAGCCGCTGCATAGGGCTTTTCTTCACGCGTGAACGCTCCTCGTTGACGGGTCTTGATCTGCGGGCATTTAATCTCATTTTCTACCATTTTATCATCAACGAAATATAAAAACCGTACTTTCGTTGACGTTGTGGAGCTTTTTTGCAAAACTAGAGAGAAGTACCCATTGGCTATCCTATCGAGCTTAAAATTAATATCATTTCGAAGGTCGCCGATTTTGGGCACCTTCGATGCCGGCTGCAAAATGATTGCAAACCAAACAAACGAAGTCATGCTTTACAACAATACCAATAGCTTAGTTAAATTAGTGTACTTGACTACCTAGCGAATATTCTTATGTTATTGAGCTATAGACTGCAGGATAACAGAATGATTCCCCTTGAAAGTGCTACTTTGAGTAATCTACAGTTTCTGTAGTTGGAGATATGGAGTCGTGAAACATCGTGGTTGAACCCAACAGGGGATATATATTTTCCAAGTCAACATATAATGTTACCCAATACTACGGTTGATGTTTGCGAGGACGGCAACGGTCACGGATAGGCAGGCGTGTCAATAAAAGCTGCACAACGATCAATAGACAGCTGACCCGAAAACACGCGACGTGGCCGAATTCATGTTGCAAACAGGTCTTCTTCGCCAGTTCCGACAGACAGAGATCGAGCCAGAGCCAGACCCTGACGCTGAGCCAGATGCTGACGCTAAGCCAGATGCTGACAAGACGCTAGATCCTGACCCTGACCCGGAACCAGAAGACGACGAAACAATGGCCAGAGACAGCGAATCTGGCAGGGGAACAGGCGGCGAAGACGATGTGCAATAGGACCGTCAAACCCCAGCTCAACCTGAGACGGGCGGGGACGAATACAACTCAATACGCTACGCCAACCGGTCACATCTCAACAGGTGAGGCCAGCCTACGTGGCAGGAAACACCAATCGAAGGAAGCAAGCAGCTACACACTGCCGGAGGTGGAAGATGGCAATACAAGGCGAAGGCGAGAGGATGAAATGAGGGAGGAAAACAGTGGGATTTGACTATTGAGGGCGTATGGTTACGGTACTGGGCTGATTTTCAGCTGCATTTGTTTGGCAAAACGCCGTTCTCCTTTGTATTTACTATTTTACTGCGTTTCGGAGGCGCTCGGTTAGCTCTTGCTTCCGCCGGAGGAAGCGCCTACATAGCCACTGCGCAGTAGCTGGGCTGCATTAGGTTAATAGAGTTATCATCATCATCATCACCGAAAACACGCGTTGCATGATATTATTGCCATTGCTATGGAAGAAGGCTAGTGAATCCCACGGCATGATCCAGGCCAAAGGAGCAGAATGGGCACATTTTCACGCCCAGTCAAACAAAAAACTATGGTTGAGGAACCCACATACCACGTACAATAGGTTATGTCGAAGCCATGGAACGGGACACACTCTTAAGAACAGCTGATGGATTTGTTCCCAGCAGAACAGGTAGTATTTATCGTAAACCATGGTGCGTGCGGGATGGGTTAAGGGTTGAGATCGATTAATCCCCACATTTTGATGTCCTAGAGTGGAGCAACACTCTTAACATTGTTGAAAATATTCATACGGGCTTCGATAATTCCTGTTAACACCTAGGGTCTCCGTACTAAGCCTATTGGCTCGCACCCCGTATATTTAAGGAAATCACTAACATGAGCTGCTAGAACGCCACTCGATCCGAGACAGTAGTGAGAATTAAACAATTTCTCTGCTGGTTAAGCCGGGCCGCGTGATTGAACCCGCATGATATAGGATCCACTTCGGTCACACAACATGTACACATTATCAGCCCACTAGTTTAAAGTATGAGACTTATGTGCGGCTAGTCCTTTGGCTGCACCGAGGAAGTGGAGCCATTCACCTCAGCTGCACCTTATTTTCTCGCACTGGTGCGCAATGACCCCGGGATCATGCGCGATCCAACGATTAAAGTTTCCCAAAATAAATAGGACAGACCCCGACAACAAAGGATATTTGGGTTGGCCCCGCCCATGTGGGACTCTTGGGAGAGGAAGAGGGATATGCTTTCGGCATTTGACAGACCAAGAGCATGGCGACCCGGGTACTATCTCAACGGTAAGATTACATTTGAAGCTAAGCCCGACGTCTGCCTACCCCATCCACGTGCAAGAACGGGCATTACGGTGACTAGGCGAGAGAGGGGCTCACATGCGCATGAACCACTGGAGTAGAACGTGTCATATGCATGGCAGTTCTAGCGGCTTTCACGGACATGATAGAATTCATGCTAGACTACTAGACTTATTAGACTGTCTCTATATTTCGCTCAGACCCGGGTGAGAAGAAGGATAATCTGGTGTTCGGACTAAAGATGCCATTCGTACCATTGCTTTTCCTCCTTGCTATACAGCAATAGTCATCATAAACACCCCAGATAATATTTTAAAAACAGGATTTCTAGTTATACCATGCCGTTCATTCCCGCGACAGAACCGTTTTCTACCAAAATTGCTACGCGTTTAACTTCAACCGTGTCAAATAGGCACTATACTTATAGATAGGAAATGCAGTCTATATTATGATGTGTTCCTGCGTCGTATCTTGACGTATATCGTTCCCTGCCATATATTATAGAACCATAATGATAAGTTACCAATGTCCTCTCAACCCTGCATCCAATGCAATTTTTAATCATTTACTCATTCTTTTCTCTCCTCCATGTCTCTTTTTTCTCCTGCTCGATACCTGCGATGCACAGAATTTGTGAGCTGCAGGATCCAGAATACAACGAATCGCCCAGAAACAAACATAAGCCAAGCAATGCGTGACACGTATCATGAATCAAAAATCGGCCCGTAAGCCGGGATTCCATGAGATTCAAATTCGTAAACAATTTTGCGGGTGATTGGAGGGTTGCTGATGACGAACACAGCTTCCGCCTCGAATTCTTCCACTTGTTGTCGGACGATAGGGAGCATGTCAATACGGCCATCCCGAGAGGTGTCCAAAATAATTGGATCTGGCCCCATTTGATGGACGAGATCAATCACACCCTGGCCGTATGTTTTGACTGGGTTACGGGTCTGCCAGACGACCTTGATCAATGGGCGGCGTTCATCGCCCAGAAACCCGAGGCACGGCCCAATTCCAGATCCTGTGGTCACGATAATGATGCGATGGAAAAGGCGTAGACCGTAGCCAACGCCACGCATTAGGGCCCCGCGTTTCCATACATGGGTAGGCGGCTTGCTAATTGTATCAGCCGTCCAATCTCCTGCCTTCGACACCACAATAGACCAACTCTCTTGATTCCTTCTGTGGCCCTTTTTGTAGGCCCCGGGGGGTCGGGTGGGGCCAGAAGGCTCAGTTGGGATTCTCTTGATGTTTTCAAGTGATTCAGAAGGGTCTGGGAAGCCGGCAAAACTGTGCCAGTCGCGGAGAGGGTGCTTCGACACTTGAATGCCTTTCGCAAAGCTGATTGGCGTGTGACTGAAGTGTAGTCGGATCGCGTGCGGAGAGAGAGCATCTGTCTGTACCGGAATCCTGCGCAAAAGCAACCATGGGTGGGCTATTGCAACCACGGCAGCGATCAAGAGCCAGAAGGCCGGGAGCGTGACTAGGGCATAGCCTAAGGACTTCTCTTCCGCCCTCCCGATATCGTTGGCAAAGAGCATCACCAAGACAATAAACAGAGCCAGAATGAGCCATGAAGTGAAGCGGTGAGTGAGCTCGAAGTAGTCATGCATTTTCCGGCGGAAAACGGGGTATGCTACCACGATCATCACCAGCAGAAGCACAAGGATCACATAGGCGACTGCGATCGGGGCTGTTGAGAATGTGTGGTCCGTTATGGAACTAATTGGAGTTGACGTCCAGTACATTTTGGACGCGACACCAACAAAGCCCGCGTACCACACCAAAGATGCAGTGCCACAGCCGCTGTGAACGCCACCGTAGTGGGCTGCCTTCGCCGCCATGCGGCGCATGAAAAGTGGTGCCGACCTAGGAAGCGAACACACCACTCTGTAGATGCAGTTGACTACTACTGGATGACGGGCGAGACCACACGCGACCAAGTTTACTGCTGTTGCATTCACAAGTGGCAGAATCTGTCGATGAGAGACCATCACATAGATGAAGCACGCCAAGTTGATCAGAAACACGACCGTGAAGAGCCTCCGGTACATTGTGAACACGGCATACCGCAAATACGCAAACCGTTTCCGCGGGAGGTCGGAATTAGTCTGCGCCTCCAGATCTTCCAGAGTGATAGAGATATTGCGCCTGTGAGTGGGCTTTTTGGGCACCCTCTTCTTCACCACTTTCTCGTTATCTGAGGCAACGGCATCATTGGGGCCGGATGGAGGGCAAACTGCCTCGGCCGGGGATGCTAGCACGCATGCATCACTCTTTTCGGGGTCCGCCATGGCAAAGCGTATATAGGAAGACAGGAGCAAAGGGAAAGAGAAGACCCGGGGAGTGTGCGGCCAAAGGAGCCTTAAGGGAGACCAGCAGCGGCCATGCACAAGTTGCGGCAAGACTGAATGGCGAATAACGAGCGAGAAAAGACTTTCTCAACCTGTTTCGAGAGCCCACCATTCCTGGCTTGTACCATAAGCGGGGCACTGAATCCATGGCAAGACAGCCTGCCGGCGTGGATATGCATTGGCTACCAATTGGCCTTCCCACGCAGGGCCACATCCACGACCTCCTCGCTGATCAGAGCGGGACATTGCAAGATTGGGACTTTGGGCCAGCGCCTATATTGGGGATCCACAAGTCATTGCCACATTACCCTTTAGTGCCAGACACTTGCCAGGATTAAGGCGAAATCCGGAGACCCTCGGCCGTCCGCGGCGTGGCCCCGATAGACGTGGGGACTAAACATGCATTGGCTGTCCTCAACGAACCTCCGACCTGGTGGAGCTTCCGAGATCTCCTAAATTTGGTCAGAACTTTTACAGCAATGACATTGTGATTTGGAGGGATCGACGATACCCAGGGGGATTTGCGTTTCCAGGGCCACGATCGCGGGAACATCTATCCCGCCTGTTCCGTCTGAGGCCCCAGAGCTGTTGGGCGAACTAACGAAAACCGGGTTAGTTCAGTTTAGGTTCAGTTTAGTTCGGTGGCGCCGGGCGAACATGCTCTCGTCCCCACTTCCACCAATCGCCCTTTGTCCTTCGCCCAGCGAGCTTCGACGATGGCAGGTGGAGTGGCTCCAGAAGGATTGCACGTACAGCGGCCCCCGAGGCGGGGTGGTCACTTCGGTGGTCGACATTTTGCCTATTCCACTGCATGTGATGGGCAAGACCAACCGAGCGACGGGCGACGGACGCCGGCCGCGACCCGCCGGTGTACATAAGCACAATCGTGGAGGCCCCGATCGGCATCCATCTTTACACCATTTCCATACGAACATGACAGATACTGGAATGTTTCGGAACGCGGTATTGTATGTAAAATACCAGCAGGATTCGGATGTCCGGTCTGAAATTCAAGATCGTGGATTCATACGAGACCCATAACAACTAGAGTCCTATAGAAAACTATCACAAGACGAGAGCACCTGCAAGATTGTCACACTCTAGAAGCCGATCACGCAAACGAAAGTCACACCTCCGAGCAAAAGAGAGAGGAAAAAAAATATCGATAAATTACGAATTGAAGCGCTCCTCCTTATCAACATGTACTTGCATAGCGTTGCTGGCACGATGCGTGCATATTTAGCTTGACACTGAGACGTAGGAGCTAGCCGAAGCAATTTTCTTGGCGAGTGTCTTGGTCGGTTGGGAGCCTAGGAATTCGAACGAGGATAGCTCCGCCCCCAATTCGCGCGACACCCAATTCTGGACGTCAGTGGCTTTCAGGGAATCAACTAGTGGAGATTGTCAGTACCGTAGCACCATGTCAATAACAGGGGACGGGGAAATTAGTCGGAACGTACCACCCAAGGCTGATAAGGGCAAATCGGCGTCGATAGAGTCGGCTGTAGTAGCCATTGCGTTGGCCAGATATTCACTTAGTGCGTCGAGAACAATCTGAGCCGCTGCATCCGTGGACTCAGCCTCCTTGAGCAATGCGCTGGTGGATATAATAGATGAATCGCTGTCGTCGACCGCAAGGCAAAGCCGGTGATCAAATTTCCGATCGAAAAGCCATGCGGATGGGGCATTCTTGCGGGACAGAGAGTCGGTCATACCGGCGATGATCTGAGGCGGCAGAGAGAGCTTGCTGTTAATTATGACCCGAAGAAGGGTCTGAAGCTCATGGGTCATGATTTCTGTGCCTTCGAGATGTTTGTATCGGCGGCGTCGTTGCTCCTCGTCTTCGGCAATGTCACTGAGTCCACTAGCATCGGGAACGAGTCCGATATTGATAGAATGGCCCACAAGACCATGGTTCCGTCGCCATTCCATAAGGGCATCGATGAAGCCGTTGCCAGCAGAATAGTTAGCCTGGCCCATATTACCAATGACACTTGCCACGGAGGATAATGCCACGAAGAAGGACAACCCTTCCTTTTCTGAGCACAGTCGATGCAAGTTCAATGTTCCCTGAATCTTGGAATCGGTTGATTGGGTCCACTCCTCGAAGGTCATATTCTCGAACATGGCATCCTATCAAAAGGGAGTACAAGTTAGCTAAGATCATGAAAGTAAACGGAAGAATAATTGAATCAATCACCTTTAGAACGGTTGTGCATTGAATTACACCGGCAACCTCCCAGTTTCGGTTGCGAATTTCGGACGAAAGATGGTCGATGTCTTCCATTTTGGAAATATCGCATCGTACAACATCTATGCCACATCCTCGACCGCGAAGAAGATCAAGGGCAATTTGCTGTTCTTGCTGAGCAACGCCAGAGCGCCCAAGGAACACCAAATGGCGAGCTCCAGACTCAACCAATGTCTCGGCGAACGCAAGGCCGAGATTGCCTAGTCCACCGGCCAGGATATAGGTCTTCTCCGCTGGTAGTCCTGTAAGCTCTGGCATTGGCGGCACAATCAGGACCTGACCCGGAGCCTGAAGATCAACGATCACTCTGCCAGTGGTCTCTTTGGAAGTTTGGAAGGCCTTCTGAATGTCAGACACAGGGAAGAGGGGATACGCTTCCACGCGCTCCAACATTTGATGGTCTTTCATGAAGTTTATCACATGGCGAATGGAAGCATGGAGGCTACCAGGCTTCTCTGAGAATGTTCTTCGCAGACGCGGCGAGGAGAACGTGCTACCGCTGTCGATGAAACTCTCCGGGAGTGCACTGAGTTTCATCTCGTTTGACAGATTGATGTACTGTCCTCCTGCAACTAGACATCTTGCAGCAACCCGCCCGGGATATCCGCCCAAGAAAGAGATCGTGGCATCAACTCCGCATCCATTGGTCAGCCTAGATACGCTCGTCTCTAGGCTACCGTGGATGCCCAGAATTCGATCCTTCAAGTCTGGGTAGCGAGAGCTAAGGATATCTGTAGTGTTTTGGCAATCTGTAGCCACAATGACCAGCATATTCAAGCTCAGAGCAAAGTCAATCATTGACCGAAGAGTCTGGCTGATTGATCCGACTAGAAGGACAGAGGAGCCCGAGTCTAGGCGACCAACCTCTGTGAGGACATGATGCGCGTTCAGATACGCGAGCGGGGCTGATATAGCCTGGGCCGAATCGGCATCGGCAGGCATTTTGATGGTATCACTCTCAGGTACCCGTAATGTCGTGGAAAGGCCCGATTCAGCGGAGGTCAAAGTCAGCACTTTGTCGCCAACGGCCAAGTCGTGTACCCCCGATCCGACTTGATTGACTCTTCCAACAATTTCAAATAGGGGAAGAGCTGTTTCGGGGGACTTGCTCACGTCCCCGTTCGAGTCAAAGACCGTGGCCATCTCAACCTTAAGCTCGACCTGATCGGGTCGGATCTGTTCTTCGGGAACTTGTTGCTCCACCCAGTGCGCGTCCTTTCCGTCCTGGAGTTTCAGTTCAAGGGGCCTGGAATGAAGACTCAGGTCCTCAAGAACGGGTCTAGGCCCCTTCAATAGGGTGTGCATGGCCTCATCCATAGCCGAAGTCTCAAGGACTCGGGGGACCAACAGCCGGCTCTTTGTCAGACGATATTCGAGATCAGCGCGGCGTGAGCTCTCCTGCATGGTGAGTTGCATGACCTGCAGGATTCCACAAGCCAGACCAAATTCGTCCTGCAAGTCGTCAACATCCACAAGAAGCTGGGGAATGGTAGTATTCCAATGTTCGTTTCGCAGGGTTCGCAGAAGACCGGCTGTAGCGCCGTGCCCAGCGTTCTCAACAGCTCCTTGGCTCCAGAAAGGCGAGACCCAGAGAACATATTGGGCTCGAATGAGCTCTTGGAGCTTTTGCAGGTCATTTGCTGACCAGCTGGTTACCCAAGGGCCGGCCAAATCGAGCAACGAGACCACTGTTTTCCCGGCCTGCTCCGATACCTGGTCCAGTCCAATGGGCACGACGCGAACGTTATGAGTGGCGAACACCTTTTCAAGATGGGCGAACACGGACGGGGAGTTTGACTGAGCATGTGGAGTCAAAACATAGATCTCGGAATCCGTGGTCCAAGAGGCTGGCTTCTTGCGTGCAATGATGAAGTTGCGATCTGCTGTCAGGCTGTGGATGTCCAAGCCATCAACGGACTGAAGAATCGCTGCAGCAGGAGTTATGGTTGCGTCTGACACGCGCAATGCGGAAAAGCCTCCGCGGTCAAGAATATTGCTCAGGAAGGGGAGAAGAGATTGAGAGGTTTTATCTTGCCATACACGGAGGTCATCGAGAATAACCACGTCAAATGTCTGGTCTGAAAGTGAAGCAGAGGGAAGGTCGTCCAGGGTAGCAAGTGACACGACGCGAGACCCTAAAACATCATTCTCGGGGGATGCATCACCGTTCGTCTCAGTCATCAGGCCACTCAAGACCGTGGTGACCTTGCCCAGGCAAGGTCGCCTTCCAGCGCCGGGGGTAAGCTTTGCGAGATCTCGAATCCAAGAATTCGTTGTGTCGGAAATAGCGACGAGCGCACTTCCATCACCGTTGGTATGGCAGAGACGCTCGACCCAATCGGTCAACTGTAGTTCACTGACTTCCACAGCTGTGCTTTTCTTCCCATCGGGGCAGAGTCGACTAGTAATAATCGGCGATTCCAAATGCTCATCCCACACAACAGATGAGTATCGGCTTTGAGAGCCTGCTTCCTCTTGCTTTTGCGAGTTTGGATTGAAGGGCAGACGGCCAAGATGAACTCCTTCGAAGGTGATCCATGGCTGTGACAGGGATGGGTCCGACGCAATGCACTGTGATCGTGACTTGCCGTCTCGCCACTGACTCTCCGTGTGGACGAGGAATGGCTCGCCGGGTTGAGGTTGGAAACAATCAGAGATGTAAACATGATCCACGCCAATGGGAATATTAGCGTTGCTGCTCAAGAGAGCCTCTGAGCATGACAGCAGAGCAGACTGGAAGAGGCAATCGAGAGTTGTGGGATGAATGAAGCTGGGGGTCTCCTTCTCATAGGGCATTCCTTGCTTCGTGTCTGTGACAACTCCCGAGAGCCAGATGCGAGGCTCTGACTCGCAGAAGGAAACACCCGTAATGGTCCTGAAACATGGGCCTACGGTGAGTCCTCCGGTGTGGGACAGCCATTGGTACGCTTGGTCAATATCGGCCTTTTGCGCGACGGACTGCGTATCTTTGATGTGCGCCAGGGTTGCTTCCCAGTTTGCCGCATTCTCGTTGTCTTCTCGGTTCTCAAACCGGGGGGCAAATGTACCCTTCGCATGTTGGATCCAACCACCTCCAGATGGAAGAGAGAAGATTCCAAAGTCATACCAACCGGCCATGCCTGGATGGGGCGAGACTTGAAGAACGGTTTCTAGGCCGCGTTCTTCGTCGGGAACAACCACTCCTCGCATGAAGTGAACATCTTGGAACTCTATGCCCTTCATTTTGCCCTGCCCATCTGCAAGCTGCCGTGCGGCCTCGATAGCCATGACCATCATACCGGCTGCGGGGAAAACAATAGACCCGGCCACAATATGATCAGCCATCCATGGATTTTCCGACAGTCGCAAGAAGTTCCTCCAGCGCGGCTCGAGGGCGTTCTGATAGTCCAGTGGAGCTCCCAGAATATCATGACGCGGATGCTTGCGCTGTCTCAACTGGGCTGTCTCCAAGGGTTCGTGCCAAAAAGACGTCTGGTGGTTCCATGGATAGGAAGGCAAATCAGCAACCATCATGGGAGTAGCAGAGTCGACACTATTGTTGACTGCCGCAAGATCGATTGCATGCCCTGTGCTCCAGAGAGCTCCAGCAACCTCCAGTGATGTTTGCAAAGCGTTTTTGTTTCGTGCCACCAACGTATGGTAGGGAATTGTCGTCATGCTGGAGTTAACTTTCTGTAGAATTTGCGTGACTGGTCCCTTCAAAACGGAATGAGGGCCGATCTCGAACAAGGTAGTCCATTTAATAGGAACCGGCCGTCGGCGGGTCTTGCTAGATTCGCTCAAATTTGCGAGCTGTGAGACTGCGGCCGTGAATTCGACCGGGCTGACCATGTTTCGTACCCAGTAGGGTCCACCAAGCTCCGCAGAATGGACACGTTCCTTGGTGACGGAAGACAACATAGGGATCGATCCACTATGTCTATCTTCCGGCTTGATGCAATCGATGGCGTTCCCCACAACCTCAACCAGTTCTTCCATATGGGGAGAATGGTACGCAGTGTCAATGCGCAGCTTGCGCGCAAAGTGACCATCTTGCTGTAGCTTCTTCTCAAGCTGGTCGATCAAATCCACATCACCCGAAAGAGTTGTGCTTGAAGGACTGTTCACACAGGCAACAACAACTGACCGGGGTGGTAGTTCATCTAGATACTTCTGCGCGTCCTCTGATGAGATTCCCGTAGCGAGCATGCCACCTCTTCTGTCGCTCTCCGAAATCTGCTGAGAGAAAAAGCCGCGGAACCATGCAACTCGCAAGGCATCTGCGTGAGACAGATATCCAGCAGCATATGCAGCGGCTAGGTGAAAATGAAAGGGTTAGCTCATTAATAATGCAATCGTGCAGAATGAGGTCTGGAGGGATCCAGGTGCAGGAATAGAAAACAGCTCGTACCAATTTCACCACTAGAATGACCAGCGACCGCGTTGGGGTAAACGGACCAGCTGGCCAAAAGATCAACCAGAGCAATCTGAAGCGCACAAGTAATAGGCTGGCTGCGATCGGGTCGGTTGATGTGACTGTCCTTTGCCTCGGCTTGCAGTTCCTGAAGCATATCAAAGGGACATCCTAGCGATGAGAGGATCTCTTGTGATCGCGCCATGCTTTCCTGGAAAGTGGCAACTTTTAGAAGCTCCTTGCCCATTCCGGCCCACTGGCCACCCTGTCCGGTGAAAATAAATGCCAGCCTTGTCTGCGCTTTGCGACTGGCTCGAGAAAACTTGGGAAGTCCCTTCGCCAAGGCAGTCTGTAGTTGGTCAAGTGAGTTGGCGACGGCAAAGCTGCGGAAGCCCAAATGCGACCGCCGAGTCAGCATTGTATGTGCAAGATCTTTTAATGATACCTCGCGTTCGGCCTGCTGCTGGCGTTGAATGAAGTCGCTCCAATTTTGGCCAAGGCGATCAATGCCAGCTTGATCGAATGTCGAGAACACCACCACATGAGGGGCCGCCTCTTTATCCTCCTCGGGGACCCGGAAAGCGTTCTTAGTGCTTTCAACAATAATATGCGCGTTCGATCCACCAAATCCAAATGAGTTGATACTAGCTCTTTGGGGAAGATGTTCTGGCCAGGGTATCGTTTCATTGCTCAGTCGAATACGCCAATCATCAAGTCGGATCTTCGGGTTGATGTTTTTGAACCCGGCATTTGGAACCAGGATACCTTTCTCTAAACAGAGCACGACTTTGATCAAACTAGCCACGCCAGCGGCTCCTTCGGTATGACCGAGGTTGGTCTTCACAGAACCCACGTAAATCGGCTCATCCGTCGATGTTCGTGCTTGGCCTAGGGTCATTCCGACCGCAGACAGCTCTATGGGATCCTATGAATAGATCGACTTTAGTGAATGGGTGCCAAGGCGACTCTCCAATGGAGGCGTTTCACTTACCCCGACTGGGGTACCCGTTCCATGGGCTTCAAAATAAGCAGTGTCTCTCATTGAAAGACCATGTCGCTCGTAGGTGGAGCGGATCAGGTTGGCCTGCGCTGTTGGGCTCGGCAAGGTAATTCCAGGAGTCCGTCCATCCTGATTGATTCCTGTGCCGCGGATGATCGCTCGGATGTGATCTCCATCAGCCAACGCGGCCGAAACGGGCTTCAGCAGCACTGCACCAATGCCTTCTCCTCGCCCATATCCATTTGCCGACTCATCAAACGAGTGGCTAATACCGTCTGGGCTCATCATGTGCATGTAGGACAGTCTCTGTGTAAAGTTGGGGTGCAAAATGAGACTCGCCCCCGTCACCAAGGCCTGCAGTGATCGTCAGTTCATGTCCAGGCTCAGTATGGTCGCCACATAGTATAAGTACACACCATTCCACATTCACCAGAACGTAACGCTTGAGCCGCCAGATGGACGGCAGTCAAACTCGAAGAACAGGCCGTGTCCATCATAATACTCGGACCTTGAAGATCAAAGAACCATGATAAGCGATTAGCCAGCATAGTCCTTCCATTTCCGGTCGCGGAGTTGTGAGGCATGTCATAAATATCTCTCGTCGAGAGCAACTCATAATCATTAGTCATGGAACCGGAGTACACTGCGGTGTTACTTCCGGGAAGTGTGTCAATTGGTATTCCACCTGTAGTATCGTTTAGCCAAGGTAGTCCTCCTACCGCCAGAGCCAGAGCTGAGCTCACCATTCTCAAAGGTTTCGTAGGCGACCTCCAGCAATAAGCGCTGTGCCGGGTCCATTCCGGCCGCCTCCTTGGCGGTAATTGAAAAGAAAGGCGCATCAAAGCACGATGGATCCTCCTTCAGGAAGAATCCACTGTCATGGTTGATCTACTCGACCCCATTAGTCGTCATTTCCCAGGAGCATCGCATGTCGCGTGGTTGGAGGGTTTTCGTACCGCGCCTTTGCGATCATGGCTAGGGTGGTGCCACGCGGAAGCTTCATATCGGCTCGAGGGAATCTTTCCATGTCCCGTCCGGCCGTCGCAGAGCATCTGCCAGAAATCCTCCACCGAGCTCGCGCCGCCTGAAAAGCGACATCCTATTCCGATCACCGCGATCGCATCCAACACGGGGTCCGCGGCATTCACGGCTGGTTGGCCGGGCATCGTATCGGTCGAAAATTGGGTGCAGGCAGGGCTCTGGGAATGGTACAAGAAGGGGGAGGAGGGGTGTGGGGTGTCAATTATAGGAAGCTGGTGTTGAAGCGTTCTAAGGGCGCGTCTCAATCAATCTGGTGGGTCGTAGGATCTTCCGCAACTCGTGCCATGTTGGTTGGCAGCGTCGCATAATTCACTTGCATATTTACTTTGCTATCTCATTAGCGGAATACCGTAGTGGCCGCCCTAACAATCCCTGATCGAACGCCATCCGGGACGTCCCCTCTGGTCCGTCTCCGCTGGCAACCTATGGACAACAGGCGGGAAATAAACTCCCCACTCCAATTAATATGCGCGGAATCACTGATTTGGTGCCGTACCGGAATTACAAACGCAAGTGGGTCGAGGCATCGTGGTGTGAATGATTCCTGGTTCCGGCCCTTCGTACAGAGTATACGGAGTATACGGCGCGTACGAAGTACAACTCTATCAGAACCTGGACTCCTGATCGTTTCAACCCCTGTGTCCTGATAGTCTCGTCTCCTAGCCAGGCGCATGCGGTCTAGATGGCACCCACCCTCAGCTACATCCATGATCGACGGTACATGGGCGAGGTGATCAACATACATGTACGGAGTATCCCAATCAACTCGGGATCGAGTGGGGACCTTTGATCAACGAACCAGATCGCCACCGCGTGGTACGGCAGAGTCGGGGGAAGCCATCTGAATGATGAGTGTGATGCTCCCTGCTCCACTCCTCGCAGTTCAAGAGGCGGTATTGTTACCGCAGCTTACCAGGCCCCGTCACGGTATTTCGTCGTGGTAATCCCTTTGACGCGGCACGAGGGCTCCACAATGCAGGCAGGGATCTTCGGGTTGTGCTCCGTCGGCCCGCATTGGCTTATCCACTATTGCAACCGAAAGCGCGCTGGACTCGCTTGGCAGGCCTCCGGTGGAGATTCTTATCGGGGATGCCAGACCCCGAAATCGCGATTTCCCCCCAGCCGCTCGGGGGAAGTTCAACACGCTCGCTGAAGAGCGCTGGTGCCATGGTTCGCGCGCGTTTCTCCACCATTATTCGACCGTCGGTGGGGAAATGTGTAACCATCTCGAGCTGTAAACAAGTGGCCGGGGCTGGCTTCCTGTTCTGGCCGGACCGATGGCTCTGGAAGTACCGCAAGCCGCGACGAGGGGACCAGAGCTTGGCCTAATTGAGCTTGACAGCAATGCTACACTGGGACTTCTCCTGTTGGCCCGTGGCTTGCCGCCATGTACCGTCGGTTGAACTGGGGCACACCCACACCACGCCCATTCGATCTCCTCGTGGCCATTCTGTGAAATTGTTGCTAATTTGCTAGTGGAGCTCGAGAATGACACACAGTACTCCGTGCGATGACAGTTGCCCCTCCTGCCCCACGTACGCAGTCGATCACCCAGCTCTTCTCTCCGCTCACCAGAAGCCATTCGGCGCTTCTTTTCGCCCCCACCTGCAAGTGCACAGGGGTTGGACGTTCGCCGATATCTGGGTCTCTTCGGACAGTGCTAGGTTCACAGAGGTGGCTGCTCCAAGCTAGAAACCTCGGCCACTCCAATCATTGCCTCGGCACCTATCAGCTATCTTGAGCCGCTGTCGCACCGTCATTCTCGCCCGCCTTTCCCCGTCCGCACCGCTGCGCAAGATGACCACACAAAGAGCCATCATCGTCCAGGGCGCGGGTCGCGCGGTTCTGGAATCCAATGTCCCAGTGCCTGAGTTGCCAGATGACTACATTTTGGTCCGAACAAAAGCTGGTATCTTGCCTTTCTGCCTCTCTTTCCGATGACTTGACTGAAACACAGTCTAGTTGCCTTGAACCCCACCGATTGGCGTCACATCGACTTTGTTCCCTGCAATGGGGCCATCGTGGGCTGTGACTATGCGGGAGTAGTTGAGGCCGTCGGCCCACGAGTTAAAAAGCCCTTCCAGAAAGGGGACCGGGTGGCGGGTTTTGTGCACGGCAGCAACGCAGTCCGCCCGAATGGCGGCGCATTTGCCGAGTATGTGATCGCAAAGGGTGATCTCCAAATTTTCATACCTGATGCGATGAGTTTCGAGGCTGCCGCCACCTTGGGCGTTGGGTTAACGACCGTGGGCCAAAATCTCTACCAGAGCATGGAATTGCCCCTCCCTGGTGACGCCCGCGAGGAAAGCGATCTCAGCATCCTGATATATGGCGGTGCCACCGCCACGGGTACGCTGGCCATTCAACTAGCAAAGCTATCCGGGCTGCGGGTTGTGACGACATGCTCGGATCGCAATCGCAACTTCATGTTCGAGCTCGGGGCCGATGCGGTGTTCGACTACCACGATCCGCAGGTGGGCGAGCAGATCCGGGAAGAGACCGATGACGCGTTGGAGTTGGTCCTGGACACCATCTCGACGCCCCAGTCATCGGCCATCTGCAGTGCCGCCATCTCCTCCGCAGGAGGGACATATAATGCCTTGCTGGACGTTCCCTCTGCGAGAGACGATGTGGATTCCCATGTCTCCATGGCATACGATGTGCTGGGGGAGCCTTATCGCATGGGAGGGCAAGAAACCTGCGCCGATAGCAGCAACCCAGATTTCGGCATTGGGTGGTGGAATTTGGTGCAGAAGTTACTCCATGAGCGCCGGATCCTCCCTCATCCATACCAGGTGAAGCCGGGCGGCTTGGCCGGCGTCCTGGCTGGGCTCCAGTTACTACGGGAGGGCAAGGTGCGCGCCAGTAAGCTAGTTTATCGGGTCGATGAGACCGCGTAACATGCCAAGTCGAGGTTTTATACCCCTTATGCAATCGAGCGAGCATAGTCTGGACGATGGTCTGGACAGTTCCCTGCGCTGATCTTTGAGTTCGTATCACGTAAACATATGCATGAGCGGGAGCTTGCGCATCTCGGGTGACAGCAGGTACCCAGCCTCGTGCTTGCCGGCAGGGTCAAAGCTCCCAAGTGGGACGAGACTATCGAAGGAATAATGGAAAAGTTGGGAACGGCATCCCAAAATCAAGGTTGTCGTATTAAGCTAATTGGAACTATTTGATCTGACCCAAAGTTTAAGGTGGGCGGGGGAGTGGCGCCACGGCCATCCCTGACCGCCATTCTCTCCTGCCGGATCAACGAAATGGGATAACCCGATTCCACCGGGACGAACTGATAATTGGATCTGTAAAACCCCCTGATTCTTACAGTAACAGTCATGGTCACGGACTTGTTTGCCTTGTCGCCATTTCACGCGTGTTAAAATACTCGGTCGTTCATCTCGTAACATAGATGGTTCTCGTGGTTTGCAAACGCGGCAGCAGTTCGCAGTTCGCAGATCGCAATTCCCCACCATCTCTGCGCTCCAGCAGCTTGGCGAGAACCATCACAGTGCGTCGAAGCTGATCCCACTTGATTTGGAAAAAGAAATGATGCCTCGGTGTGGATGCTGAACAGAGGAGCTGTGTAGCACCTTACATAGGACGCATTTCATACATACTATCTGGGAAAGTAGCCAGCTGAAGGGGATGCTTCCAGATCAAGCATTATTTCAAAACACTTAGGCCAAGAATCCATGTCTCGTGCACATTTAGATGCAGCCTTTCTACGATCGAGAGTTCGTGGAAAGGTGGTCAGTGCTTGCAGACCGACCGGTGGATGGTGCAAGCTAATCGGGACCAAATTGGGCCATGATCTTGACTTCTGCCTTCGACGAACGGCTCACCAGAGCAATGGCAACCAAAGAAAGGTCGACCCGCTCCTTCATCTGCGCGAGGCTTCCACCAAGAAGCGAACAAGTCAGCCAGGCAAGACTCACTATTGTAAAGCCCATACCAATGTGAACCACGGTTTTATCTTTAAGACCTATCGTTAGACTGGAAAGGATTGACTCGAGACCTTGTACGTCATTGGAAGATGCGCCATATAGTGGGGTCGACATACAGGCCTGGAGTTTAATGAACAACATCAGCAGCGACGCCTGCACCGTAGAGGACGATCAGGAGCGTCCTCGAGTTTGGGTAGCTATGGCCGTGGACGTTGCGACCGAAGGCGCCAATGTAGTAGAAGGCGGGTACCTAGCTTTCTCTTAGGATGAGAGACGTGGACAGAAGAAGAGAGTATATGTTGGTTCTTTGAAGGCCCTTTCGACTAGAAAGAGCCAGGCCGGTGGGCAGTCGTAGATACAGCAGGGCTACCCCAGGAATGCTACTGCCAAGCATCACGAAAGCATCTTCGCATCGTCCACACCAATCCGATGGCCGACATGACCTCCTCGCCACCCCGGGCAACTGCATCGCTCCTATTCCGCTCAGTCCGATTGAATACCAAGGCAAACACCCTTCGCTTGGCGAAGTACGTGGCTATCAGGCCCATGCCCGGCCAGAGAACGTCCCGACGTAAAGAATACGGAAGACCTATACCGATCCAACCCATGATAGACTGAGAGGACTAGGCCGAAAGTGGCAGGACAGTAGGTTTGAAATACGCCAACATTCGCAATGCACCTATTGAACGCCACCAGATGGCCAGTGCCGCTGGCGTCCAGCCTTCAGCTCCCCGTCCGGTGGGGGATCTACCAAGAAGGATCGACTGTCTGGGGTCCCCATGATTCTCATTCTTCTCAGCCATAGCGGGGCGAAATGGCAATTTAGGCAATCCAATTTGGTGGTGCAGAGTTTATAGCAAAAAGAAAAGCAATGGCCGCATTCGGAGACCATCAACATCACTGAAGGTTCTCTCTCTTGCCGAAGGAATTTGTTCGACCCTCTGAGATAGATCCGCTCCTCATTATCCCAGTTGAGGCAAATGCGATCGGTACAATAGCGTTTCTGTTGTTTCCTTTGAGTTGGAGGAAGTGGGGCCGAGTGAAGAATCCCGGTCAAGTCAGGACGTCGAAGGATGGACTATGAGCTGTGCATGATGGAACCCCCGCTTCTGGCTAAGCAATCACTAAATTTACCTGGACTGCAGCTTCTGATAACTCATTTCTCGGCGGACTGGTGAGCTTATTCGGCGATCTGCTTTGGATACCTGACGATTGCGTAGGATCATCATGATATCGTACAACCGCTCTCATTGGGCCCAATATCTTCTCCTTCAAGACATCGTGAAGCTCGGTGTTGAGTCTACTGTTGTACGGAATAAGCTGAATGATGCGTGAGAAATTCTGTGGATTGGAAAGAAAGTGGCTGGCCAATATAACACGGCTGCGAGTGTTGACGGCCACGGTCAACATTGACTTCAGCCTGCCTGCTTCAAACAATTTACATTCTATGCTCTTACACTTCGCTTGTCAGCTGTTAATTGCTGGAAAGCATGGGCTTTCTTACGCTCCTTTCACCCCCTTCCTTTGGCGGGGATGATATTCAAATGATCAGACCTACATCTGAACGACTGATCAACTCCGCTCAGCTAATAATATAGGCTCTGTTGCCTGTGAAAGCAAATTTAAGTTGGACTTGATCCTATTCTACAGAGATGCCCCACAAAGGCTGCTCGGTGAGGGGCTGAGTGCAAATTCCAATGGGTCTAAAGGGCTACGATCACCCAGAATGGCTACCCAATGAAATCGAAAAAGATCTACGCCCCGAGCGGTCTCCAACCAGCAGACGCTTTTGATGCATGCAAAAGCATCATCGCAACTATATAACTGCAGTGATGCAGAGACGGCTCGTGCCCTCTCCGTCAACCACCGATAACTTGGGGTATCCGTAGAAGCCACCAGTCCAATTCCAAAAATCCAGACATCAAGTGAATCATACACGTGAGGTATAGATTCGAGCTCTTGTAAATACCCCACAAACTGGTTGACGAGGGAGTTGAAGATGACGGCGTGCGAGTAATAAGTCGGCCCTTGAATGATGAACATGTAGAGTATAAGTGCGTAGCGGATGCATTCCGTGATGGGTGATGAGTGGAGATGTGGTATGTCTGGAACCACCCGCAAAAGTTGATGTATGACAAAACAGGCGAGATCGTGAAGTCGGGTGCCGAGCAAGCGTGCGCCTTGTGCGCTTTGGAACACATACCGGAGACGAAGGAAGGCATTCCGGACGACAGCGTCCTCGATAACCCAGCTTATCTCTGGTGTATCATCCAAGGTAGTCGGGCCTAATTGCCATTCTGGAAGGGGAGGTATACCATCTCCGGTGCCGGCATCATCTTGGACAGGAAATTGCGGATGGCCCATGATGAGCATTGAGACCCTGTGGCAGATGTGAATAGCACGTCCTCCATCTGGCCAGAATGACTACTCACCAGCTGATCATTCTTGCAGTAAGCGGGCTAGTCTGCCTCACTGAATTGATACCACCTCTCAAACGGACCAGTCTTCTAACCCCTTCAACATGCATCTCGCTGACCTCGATATTTCCCTTGCCGAACTGGAAAAGGCGAGATATAAGCCACATTCTTATTGAAAGACAGAGCCAACGACAAGTAAAGGCGAGGATAGTGCTCACCTCAATTGTTGCCAAGGTGATGACGGCATTCAGTGTTCCGTCTTGTACAGCAAGTGAGATGTCTCCAATCTTCTGTCGCAGTAAAGACACGGAGTCAGCCATCAAAATTCCGGAGGCTTGAAACCCCTTCTGGGCCAACAATTCCTCGTCAAGACATGCCGTCTGCAGCGAGACATGAAAGAGAGCTGGGTCTCGGAGAGCGAGAGGCCACCAAGAGACAAGGAATGGATTTGAGGTTGCATTTACGTCGAGAGGATAATATTGGAAGGCAATTTTGTGAAGGACTGGTTCTCTCCGCTAAGTATGGATTGATGTACAAGTTCGATTCAAGACGTACGTACAGCTGTAGATGAGGCGTTGGACATGTTCCCGAGGCAGTCTCGTCCGAGGATACGAGTCAAAGGGATCAAGCCAACCAAATCGGTAGGTGGATAGGAGGCCGGATCGCTCAAGGGATTTGATTGATTTGCCGTCCTCGGGCCAGGGAGATGCCGGCTGCGCTGTCCAAGGTTGGTTCGCATATGCACACAACACTTTGCGTTTGATGCAGCGAGAGCAGTACGGTGTGCGGAGGTCACAGCTTAATTTAGATTTTGCGCAGGCAGCGCAGGACCGACGGAGGGTTGGGCGCATTCTGGGGGAGGAAATCCCAGATCCGGTGCGGTCTGTGGAATCAAACATCCAAAGGATGAAGCCTGGCAGCCTTCGCAACTCGGGGGCACACCACACCTTCAACTAGTCGTTAATGCACGTGGATGGAACGTGACGGAGAAGTAGAGTCAAGCCTTGCCCCAAAGAGGACTAGACGCCGATGGCTCGATGTTTGCTGACATTCCGGGCCCGCCTTGGTACTGGCCTCTATTGGTCCGTAATGGTCCGTCATCCGGAGTCTAGTCCATTTGGGTAATCGGCCTTTTGTCCGATCAGATCATTTACCACGGATGGGACAGAACTCTGGTCTTGTACTGCAGTTGGAATGCTTTGATTGGCAGAATGTGTTGTATCCTTTGTTCTTTGCACATAAGATAGGGCTGTTATGAGTCCTTGGCTGGTACAGATGGTTGTTTTTGGTGGATCATCTGTCATCGCGGCGTCGACATATATATCCACCGTTGGGGTGCCCACAGGGGTTCAGGAATGCTATCAGCGTTCTATAAGGAAACTACAGGGTCATCGACCCTGTCACCTAAGAGCTGAAATAATTTCTCCCACAATCGACAAACATGAGGGCTGACAGTTCCAATACTTCTGGTCTGCAGTCCGCACTACAGCAGCCATGGTCTTCCAGCACGTCCCAGTTTCAATTGCAAAGAGCCATACCTGAATTTCTTGCGGGCCGATCCACCTGGCAATACATACTAACATTTCTGATCGGAGTGATCGTGTATGACCAAGGTAACCATGTATTGGCAGCTGATGGACTACTTTATTGGACTAATACGAACCTTAGTGATGTACATGAAGCGAAAGGGCTCAATTGCTGGACCTGTATTCAAGATACCGCTCATGGGACCGTTTATTCAAGCTCTCCACCCAAAGTTCGAATCGTATCTTGCACAGTGGGCGAGTGGTCCTCTCTCCTGTGTATCAATCTTTCACAAGTACGTCCGTTGTCATGACAAATCCAGTCAGTTTATGCGGCAAAGCCTGCTCACCTTTTTAATTGCAGATTTGTCGTTTTGGCCTCCGATCGTGACATAGCCCACAAGGTGTTCAAATCCCCTGCGTATGCCGAGCCATGCCTAGTGCCCGTTGCAAAGGATATCTTGGGCCACAAGGCCTGGGTCTTCCTTCAAGGGAGAGCGCACGCCGAGTACCGCAGGGGATTGACTCCGCTGTTTACCAACAATGCCATGGCCACATATTTCCCTGTCCAAGAACGGGTGTTCGCCGACTACTTTGACAAGTTCGTTACTGCTAGCAAGAAGAATCAAGAGAGACCGATGGCTTTCATGGGCCTGTTCCGGGAGATCAATTGTGCGCTTTCATGCCGCACTTTCTTTGGCGATTACATATCGCAGGATGCAGTCAAGAAAATTGCCGATGACTTCTATCTTGCAACTGCTGCTCTTGAGCTGGTCAATATCCCATTTTCGATTCATATTCCATTCACCAAGCCATGGCTAGGGAAGAGGACTGCGCGGGCAATTCATGCTGAGTTTGCCAATTGCGCGGCAGCATCGAAAGCAAATATGGAGAAGGGCGAAACGCCTACTTGTATTGTAGACATGTGGGTGGTCCACATGCTGGAGTCTGAGCGATACCGCGAGAGGGTTGCGGCGGGTGAAACTGGCATGGAAAAGCCGACTAATATGATCCGCGACTTCACCAACAAAGAGATCAGTGAGACACTGTTCACCTTTCTCTTTGCCTCTCAAGATGCGTCCAGCAGTGCCACAACCTGGCTCTTTCAGATCCTCGCCCAGCGGCCAGATGTGCTTGCCCGCTTGCGCGAAGAGAACTTGGCTGCGCGAGGGGGTGATAGGAACAGGCCTTTCGATTTACCCATGCTAGAGTCGCTCACCTACACCAACGCGGTCATTAAAGAACTCCTCCGCCACCGACCACCTGTGATTTTCGTTCCATATCTGGCAACACAAGACTTCCCTGTCACATCCGACTACACTGTTCCTAAAGGTTCCATGATCATCCCTTCATGCTATCCTGCTTTACACGATCCAGATGCGTATCCGGACCCAAATGTGTTCAATCCGGACCGTTGGATCTCCGGTGATGCTGAGTCTAAGACCAAGAACTGGCTCGTTTTTGGAGCTGGGCCCCACGACTGTCTCGCACGAAGATATGTGCCACTGTCCATGGCGGCAATGATTGGAAAAGCGGCGCTGCAGCTCGATTGGACTCACCATGCTACAGAGAGATCGGAGGAGATAAGGGTATTCGCGACCCTTTTCCCAATGGCAAGTTTTAGCTATGCAATCATATTCTACGAGTTAATTTTAGCCACGACATGTGCTAATCATCAATATAGGACGGTTGCCAGCTGGTGTTCAAGAAACGTCTGTAGGGTTATTTTGAAGACACGGACCTGACAGGAGAGAAAATCACAACTTCGACGCTCTCTAGTATATAGACTACAAGCTTAACTGATTATTGCTGAATGGAGGTCCCTTTGGTGACTGTTGAGGAAATAGCAGGTTGCGAGCTTTGAATGTTGGATATTTTCCTCTATAGCTCCAACTGGCAAGACCATTGCTATTGCGGGCTTGCCTTTTAATGTGCAAACAATATGTATCTCATACCTACCCCTCCCCGTACATACGACCATAGGGTGTGGAGAACAGGGCTTCCCGTCCGCTCAGCCGTACTTAAGCCACACGCCGGTCAGTTAGTAGTATGGTGGGTGACCACATGCGAATCCTGACTGTTGTATGTTTTTGCTTGCCCTTATTTGTTATTTGTTGGGATATATTTGTTTGCCCTTGCCGCTTTACTCTCTCTCCACCACTCCCTTTAGGCCGCTTCACCTAAACACCCTAAAGCCCCTCTATTCTTCACCCAAACGCCCTAAATACTAACCATATTTGTCCTATTCTCTAATAAATTTTTTAGAAATAGTCTTATATTGAGTAATATTTGTCGCCTTTATTATTATTTATAGTATAACCATTATTTTTTAAAATATATGAGGGAATATAGGTAAGTTTTGATTATTCTATAAAATCTTGGCATGAAAATATATAACCTAAGTTGATGAGATGCGGGGTGTGCCCACATCCATGCACAGCTCTCACCTTCCATCTCTTCTTCTCCTTACTTCCACCACCGCGCACCATTTTCTGTCTCAGAATATTACGGAAAATGTTCCTCTTTTGTTACGTATGGTATCACTCCATCACTTTCCTCTTAGTCAAGGAGAATTTCAAGGGTCCGGAGTGGGCCGTAAGACTGTAAAGGCACCAACGGGTGTCAAAGCCAGCTGCTGCTGGCGCCTTATTGGTTGGCTTTCCCCACACCACCCGTGTGACAGCAACGATTGGATTGGATAACTGACCTAAAGGGACAGCAGTGCAGAAATGCGTCAGCACTAATAGTGCCTCACTGCGGGGCCTCCATCCCCTAGACACCAGCTTTATAATAGACCAGTTGTCCCCAAATGCATATGGAGTACCTTACTGCTCTAGCGTCAGCCGATCTTCGGACCGAAGGGAGAAAAGAGCCGACGATGATTGAGCAATTAATTGGCACGAACTGAAGTCTTTGCAGATTATTGCCCTGATAAGTTTGCTTTCGCTAAGCCGTCGTATCCAAACAGGAGTAACACAGTCTAATTATTTGACAGTGCCAGACCCCTCCGCCTCGCGGCCTTCGAAAGAGCGGTTGGGACCTCCGGAGATAAAAACATAGCAGATATCGGAGGCTCGTGGTTCGTTCGGCTACTATTGAACTGCGGGGTTCTCGGTGACAGTACAGCCTTGGTGTGCATAATTGCCTGGAGTTGCATAAGGCCAAGAACACTAGAGATAAAATGGAAAAAGAGTCGCTACTGGGTCCCCTATTCATGTAAGATTAGGACTTTCATTTTCCTCTCTCCTACTCCTACTTTTCTATTTTTTGACCTGTCAACATGTCGTTCAAGGCGCTCTTGAACACTATACTAGGGCTACTCGCTCTTTGTATCGCGATAATATGGGTGAAGCGTAAAAGACCCCTAGGGCCACTTCCCCCGGGCCCGCAGCCTAAGCCAATCGTGGGAAACATCGCCGACCTGCCGCCTCCGGGTGTGCAAGATTGGATGCATTGGCTAAAGCATAAAGATCTATATGGTAGGCTCAAGATGCCACGGTTGACCGATTTATTTCTTTTCCGTTGCTGATCTGGACGTGAGCCCGTAGGGCCCATCAGCTCCGTTACGGTGATGGGACAGACACTCATAATCCTAAATGATATTTGGACGGCATCAGAGCTACTACGCAAACGCGCCTCGCTGTACTCATCACGACCACATATGGTCTTTGCGTCTGAAATGTCAGTCAATAGCCCCTTCTCAATTTGAAGACCTAGAAGAACAAGCATCAAACTATCAGGGCTTGCATTAACAGCGCAACAGGGTGGGCTGGGGCCATGCGTTATCTATGCAGCCATACACCGAGCGGTTTAAAGCATATCGGAAGCTTCTGAAACCATATTTTGGCTCAGAGAGGGCCGTTTCACAGTATGCTCCGCTGCAGGAGGTAGAGGCCCATCGCTTTTTGTGGCGTGTTCTGAAGGACCAAGATAACCTCACACAGCACATCCAGACGTCAGTGATTCCCCCAATGCCCCCAGATATCCTGATACTAATATAAATAAATAGGGAGGCTGGAGCTGTTATTCTCAAAATAACATATGGTTATAGGGTTGAGCCGCACAAGCAAGATCTGCTGGTGAACCTTGCTAATGTTGCACTTGAGCAATTCTCAATTGCCTCGACGCCAGGTACTTGGCTTGTGGATATATTGCCGGCATGTAAGTTGCGCAAGTGCATCTTCTCTTATCTGTTTTCACCATAAAAGCTAATGCCAATTTAGTGAAATATGTCCCAGCCTGGTTTCCCGGTGCTGGTTTCAAGCGAACCGCGCAGGAGTGGAGAAAAGACCTCGAGGAAGTTGCGAAAAAGCCCTACGCCCTTGTTCAGCAACGGATAGAAAATGGCAAGTACGAGCCATCATTTCTCTCCGATATATTTAAATTAAATGGGATTCCATCTTCTGGGTCAGAGGAGGAGCTAGTTGCCAGATGGACAACGGCATCGCTTTATGGCGGGGGCTCCGACACTGTATGCTACTTCCCTGGTTACCCATAACTGATACTCTTGCTAACATGACTAGACTGTGTCTTCAGTTGGAACGTTTTTCCTCGCTATGGCATTGAACCTGGAAGTCCAACATAAGGCACAAGATGAGATTGACCGGGTGATCGGGCCTGGTCGCCTCCCCACATCAGCAGACCGCAATCGCTTGCCTTATGTCAATGCAGTGGTAAAGGAGGTCTTCCGTTGGCACCCTGTAGTACCGATGGGGGTGCCACATATGTCGACGGCTGACGACACGTACAATGGTTATTACATTCCCAAGGGGTCTCTTCTTATGCCGAATATTTGGTGAGTCCTAATTTTCGATAAATCGAGTTGCCATGATCTATCTCAGAGGATCTATAGTCTAACTCTCACAAAAGGGCTATGGCGCACGATCCCGCATTGTATCACGATCCTATGGCCTTCAAGCCAGAACGTTTCCTGGAGATCGATGGCCGGGGCCCCGAAACAGATCCGCACAGCTTCGTGTTCGGCTTCGGGCGTCGCATCTGCCCCGGCCGGATCTTGGCAGATAGCACAGTTTGGCTCAGTGTTGCAAAGTCCCTTGCAGTGTTTGAAATTAGCAAACCCATAGAGAACGGTGTTGAGGTAGACGTAAAACCAGAATTCCAGCCTGGAGTTATCAGCCATCCGGTCCCATACAAGCTGCAGGTCACGCCCCGGAGTGCTGCACATGCAGAGCTGATACTAATGGTGGAACAGGAACACCCTTGGGAGCATGGTGACGGGTCAGAGTTACAGAAGGTCCCATATTAAGCATTGTACATTCTGTGATTTTCAATGGTTGATTATTTAACCATCGGTATCCAATTCGCTATTCTAAAGCTAGCTGAAATCTTCTGATCAAAGACGCACTGGCTCAAGAAATCTATTCTACAGCTTGATGGCTCTCTTGAAATTGGGAATTGAAGACGATATCAGGTGATCAATGTCCTTGGTGTTGGTCAAGCCTGCGTGAGCCCGGGATGTGTCTGTGATTCCAAATAGCCCCAAAGGTTTCCAGCATGGCTTGCAAAATTGGAAGAGAGGTGGGAAAATTAGTCAACGGGAAAGACTGAGAATTCTAGACTCTCGAGCGTTCGAATTGAAGATCTGTCCATATATCCAGCCGTTGTCCAGGTGGGACCACTTCCTAACTCGTCATTCCGGGATGTCGTGTCTGTCATAGGCATTGAAATGATAGCATCGCTTCACAACACGTTTCAATTATAAAGTGAATAATTTGCCGCTATAGAAACGAGGTCTGTGGCGGCAGACTAATATGATACCTATGCCATTTTTACATGTTTTATTAGGCGACTTTTTCGAAGTCATAGGCACTGATGAGCGCCGACAAAAGAGGTTTGGAGCCTTCGGATTCCAGCTGGGATGTTGGGCCGGAAAGATCATTGAATCACTCTTTCCAGGCAGCATTAATGGTACTGGCATCATCCTGCCGACATACCTGTGATACGAATGTCTCCGCAGAGATGACTCTTGATTTAGCTACTGTAAGCGAATAAGGGGCAGAGTTTCTGCATTCCCCATGGTTCATTCTCGGATCAAGTCACGTAAGCCTACGGCCGAATCTATTCAGGTAAACGGTTCTCGCAGCTCGAATACGACATAGCCAGGCACCAGGGAGGCCTGGTATTAGCTGAACCTCATAGTTGACTAGCGTCGACTTCAACTACTCTGCTTTTCTAGGTAGTGCGCCTTGATATGCTCAATTCGGTCCGAACATATTCAAGGAATAGCCATCCCAGGGCGACTTTAGGCCTGCCTGAGATATTAGATTGAACGTTCAACCGGCTGATTAGAATCGGTAATGTTTTGTTTCTATTGCGGGAGGGTAATTTGATCATACGCTATGTAGAGTTGTTTACCGACCCTGTACTATTCTGGCACACCCACAATATATTACAAGCCACAGCTTCGGCAATTTTGAACAGCGAAGTAGGACAAAAGCGTGTGTCTTTTCGTCATGAAGGTTTTACTGGTTCTTTCATTGGTCGCTTGAGTCTTAATCCATCGCTTTAGTTCCTCAATTCTCACTTCATCACTCATCCGCAATCTAGCACTCACCCACGTTGACTTGAAGGATAATGATTAAATGGGAATTTGGCCCATGTAAACAAATGTAAACACGTCTGATCGTTGACATCTATTCTTTGCATTATTTCACCCGACCAAATGCCCTGTTATCTCTTAATCCCGGAAATAATATTGGTGCGTGTTTACTTGATGATGTCCACTAACCCTCCATCAAAAATGGTTGGATTGAGATAAGAGTCAATTGGGAGAGTGGTGATTTTCAAGCATTTCTGGTCTTCCTGTCGTCGCGTGTTCACCTCGGGCGCCGGATTGCGTGAGTTAGCTGCTACTGTGGTCCATGATCTTGCTGGGTGTCGATGGGAGGCCATCAATCAGCGCCTGCGGCGCCTGTACCTCCTCGTAGAGCTTCTCATTCTGCGCTTGGATAGTTTATTTTTATCATGTTTGGCCTTGTGCAGCTCGTTTTTGTTAGACTCGATAAGTGTGGGTTGGTGGTAGAGGATATCTTTCAGCGCGTCGATGAGCTGTCGCACTTCCCGGGTGGTGATCCGTCCTGTGTTTTCCGATTCTATGTTGGTCTCAATATTCCGCGTTCTTTTCCGGTTGTCAGAAAGCGAACGGAGCGTCAGTCTAGGCCGGAAATCCTCGACTGAGAAATCTGGTGGTGGGTTCTTGGTTGTGGAAGGTGTCTCGGGAGGCCCTGCGGGTCGGTCCGCCTTCGGTCCGGTGTTGGTTCCCGCTCGGTCAGTACACAGCCACCGAGGAAGACCCGCCCCTCTCCCAGCACACTTCCATAAAATTCCCGTAGTTGTATTTACATTCATTAAATGCTCGCTGTTCCATGAGATTTAGATACAAAATGTTCATTTCCACCTCAATTTTCAGGTACGATTGTTCAATCTACATCCTCGCCAACAATAGCTGGCTGGTCATTTTCATTATTTACAGCAAATCCAGCCACTGTATCTCGAAACTCATATTCCTCATCCCGCTCCGGTTCTGTGTACTCCGGAAAAGACATCTTTCCCGCGACCACAAGGAGTATTTTTTTAGCCTCGTCTTGATCTGCAGGTGCTTCATTTCCTCTCCAAGCAACATGCGTATCGGGCCTCACCAAAACTAAATCTCGCTCCCATATTCGTTGCACGTGACTCTCCCCTCTGAGGACAACATGTTTCAGTGGAAATCCAAGTTGCTCGGCCACCGCTAAGAAGATGCCCAGTTTGACCCCATCACCCTTCGGGTCGAACTGCATCAGGGTCCACTCTTTTCCAAAGAGGTCATATGTGCTGGTGACTCCGTCTTTCAGAAAGACATGAGGGGCTCGACTGCCAGGCCTGGTGCTTGGCTTGTAAGTTTTAACACTCCAAGGAACCGGTAAGGTGCCGTCAGGATAGATGAATGGCGAGTGGTCATATCTCAAGTCTAATTCAATACCGCGGTCCAGGGTTTCCGGTCCAGAGAGTGTTATGTAGCTCTCAATTTCCGTCCTCACCCTATCACCATCCGGGGTATTGCAATTCAGGGTGTTCCAATGCCGATTGTAGAAGTCTCCCAGTACCACATGCTCCATAACGTGACGATACGACCGCTGAAGAGCTCGAATCATCATCGGTCGCCGCTCTGTTCCATATGCCTTAAGAAGACGCTCCCCACCGTAACCTTTCGTCACGGCAGCAAGTCGCCAGCCGAGATCAATTGCGTCCACAAGGCCGCTATTCATCCCATAACCACCATGAGGAGGGTTACGATGAGCTTAAGGATGAAAAGTGTGAGTTTAGGTATATGTTGATGGGTTGTGACAATCTTATCATACCTGCATCTCCAGCTAGCAGTACACGGCCGTTCTTGCTTGAGTAATCCTCGGCCAAGCTGAAGCTTGGCTGCCATTCACTGTGGACGAGGACCTCGTCAATCAAAATTGGCCATTTTCCTTTGGAGCCTCCGAGCACCTTGTGAATGACCTCATGTGGATCCAAAAAACCGTCTTTTTCGTCATCCGTCAGAGGATAGTGAGCCGTAAAGGTATCTTTCTCATCTTGGTCAATCAAAAACCCGGTTCCAGCTGTAAAAGCGTGCCAAAACCGCCCAAAACTGAGTTCTCGTGCCAGCTGTGCCGATCGAAAGTGGATCAAGTAGAAGCGAGCAGGACTATCGTGCTTGTCAGTACTTGGCTTCTTTTGAATCGAAACGATTTTGAGAGTCATAGCACTTTACATTTGGCCACCGGACATCTTGATACCTGCAGACCTTCTCACCCTGCTACTCCCTCCATCACATCCCACAAGAAATCGGCCACGCAGAGTACGGCTTTGGCCGGTATTGTCTGAGAAGGTAGCAATGATCCCTTCTGCATTTTCAACGTGACCTAGGTAGGTCCATCCAAACTTTCGTATCACCTTTGTTTTGCTCAAAATAAGATTCTTCAGCCATGCCTCGAAAATAATCTGAGAACATCTTTGACCGGGTTCAGCTGGCTGGCTGCCATCATTATTGAGCTTGATATCATTACGCTGCTGCTGCACGGATGGTAGCCTCTGCATTCCATCGTTTAGAATTGGAACGGTAATTTCAAGAGAACGATCGCGAATAAACTTACCCACGAACCAACCAAGTGTCCGCCTGACTTAAGGCTTGTAATAAATATAGAGTCGAAGTGTGCATCGACACTCACCGCTCCGTGTTGCGCTCGATAATCATCAGCGAGCCCAAGAAATCTCAGGATCTCCATACTGCGACAATTTGTCAAGTCCATCTTCGGCCACTGGGTTGTTTGGAGATTCTTATCGGCAATGAGGCATCCGATCCCGAGACGATCTAACTGATATGCAAGTAGCATACCAACAGGCCCGGCGCCAACAATGATGACTGGCGCATCGTAATCGGCGGCTCCATCTGTTTCCATTGTGAAGTCCTTAGTTTACGGAAATAAAGCATGAAAGACGTCAATAGAGGAGACCTTAATAAATATATTACCGCTGGCCTGAAAACCTTAATTGGTATAAAGCGTTTATCATGTCTCATCTTCTCGTTCGTAAGCTGATAATGAGCCATATACTGATAAGTGCCCCTCAGTCGGGCAGAAAGGTGAGGGATTTTTATTAACATGATTGGCCGAGCAACCCCAAATTCGCCACGTGCTTGACGCCCAACACGCATCACGTGCCTCTCCCAATACCCTAGCACGCCCCAGTCTACCTCGAGAAAATTCTCAGCTATCTCACTGATCTGGGTTCTCATAGTCAATAACTTAAGAATCCCCACAAACCCGGGGCTTACAGTAACTAAGTTCTTTCTTATTATTGTTTTTTTCTTTCCAAAGCCACCCAAGGATATATAATGCATCAAAAGTCGTTTGAAATATGTTGCAACAGTTTATTTACCCGGGTTTGGAACGATAACGGATTTTACGATGCGGGAACACCCTATCTGAACGACATTGATTGTAGTTAGGGATTGAAACCGATAATAGCTGGTAACTGAACTTCATTCCACCATGTGGGCAGATTACACTCCCAGTAGACCAGCTCGAGTCAGAGGTACAGAGAAGAGCCGCTCACAAGCGAACGCTAGGCGCTAGGTGAGCAGCGCCATAGTGTGGCTATTGTATGTTTTTATTTATTAGCCACAAATCCTTCTACTTCTGATAAATCTATAGCTAAGATAAAGGTACGAATCCCTGCAACACTGCCTTAGCGGATTCCGACTTCCATGGCCACCGTCGGGCTCTCCAGATGAATGAACACCTATCATACTCTAGCCTTGCACAATAATGATGACATGTATTAGATTGTTTTCTGGCACATACGACCATAGGGTGTGGAGAACAGGGCTTCCCGTCCGCTCAGCCGTACTTAAGCCACACGCCGGTCAGTTAGTAGTATGGTGGGTGACCACATGCGAATCCTGACTGTTGTATGTATTTTTTTGGTTTGGAAGTAGTAGAACACAGTTGCAATAGCTACCGTTCAGCCTCATAAGCCCCAAGCCCCTTCACCTAAACTCCCTAAACGCCCTAAATATCCCTAGAGCGCTAATGTGGTCCCTCGGCTAAACTTTCTCTCTTACCCTCCTTCCCGCTAGCGTCCTAGCCTCACCCTACCAACGACACACCTGTCATCCTCGATGACGATGGTTAGACTCCACAGGAATCTTGGGGAGCTTGGTAACCGAAAAATACATGGAAAACCTCGTGTTCCCTACTTTCCCCAGAATATGAGATTCTTTTCATATATCCGACCAGATGGACGTCAGACAACGGCTCGCAACCCTGAGATCTACTTAGAAAGACAGAATGGCCAAGGTGAGACTTTTCAGGTATCATATCATAAATTGAGCATGCCAAGTGATTGATTTTGTTCTCATAGAACAAAGTATTCTCGAAGAAGACTTGTATCGATACACCAGACATCGATGGCTGTAAGCAAATTGGTTCGTCATCTTTGGACAGCGGCTAATTCAGGCTTAAATTCAGATCCAACGAAGAAAGTGAACTTGCAAAACGCTATCTGAAATTCAACTTACAACGACTTCTCGACATCGCAATTAATGTTTGCGATGGGGCCCAGTATTGTGTGTTCCGTTCCCATCGAGACCCGCGAGATTTAACTGCTAACTCCATTCAAGGCACCAGAATTACCAAGTGCGTGGAAGGTCTGCATAATAAAGCCTTCATGTTGAAAATGGATAATGGGTCAGAGGTCTTCGCGAAACTCCCAAATCCCAACGCCGGACCCGCACATTTTTCCGTTGCTTCTGAGGTCGCCACACATGAGCTGGTAAGATGTTCGGTGTCGTTCGGCCGTTATTACGTCACTAAACTGGATAGCTTCGTGATGTATTCGATATTCCTGTTCCTCGGGTGTTGTTTGGTCTTCCGATGCAGCGAACAATTTAGTCGAGGCCGAATATATTATTGAGGAGAAGGCTCCTGGTGTACGACTGGGTTCTGTGTGGAATCGGTGGCCTCGGCAGCTGAAGCTACAGCTAATAACTCAAGTGGTTGACATAGAGAACAAGTTGACCACCATTACCTTTGATAAGCACGGTTGCATCTATTTCAAAGAAGACTTGCGCTCACTTGTCGGGAAAGCAGAAGACATTCGTACACAGACTGTTGGATCCGATGTCCTCGAACGATTTTCTCTTGGGCCATTGACCACGAACGAACTGTGGAGTGGAAGTAGGAGGAACATGAATTTGGATCGTGGCCCTTGTAAGTAGGTGAATTATCGAATATCCATTCTGTTGTTTCTAATCTTTCCTCTTTCTTGCGCAGGGAAAGATGCGTTCGAATACACCCGTGCGGTCGGCCACAATGAAATGATGTGGATCAAGGCATGTGTATCCAACGCTGGCTCGGTCTCGTGCTAAATCTGATTGTAGCTGCCATAGCAGTGCTTATGGTTGGGATCTCGGTCCCCCTCCGCACTCGTGTTGACCCAGGTCTTCTGGGCATTGCACTCGTCATGATGATGGACCTGGGACTTGTACTATCGGAGCTGGTTCAAAATTGGACGTTACTTGAAACTTCACTGGGGTCTATTGCACGCATAAAGGAGTTTGCTGGAAACACCCCTAATGAAGAGAGTAACACGGTTCTTCAAATTCATGATGAATCCCCGGAGTGGTTGACTCGCGGTGAGATCACATTTGTGGATACGAGCATTTCCTGGAATACTTCCGAGACGAAGCCTTTACTCCACAGCATTAACCTTCGGATTGGTGCCGGAGAGAAGTTTGGCCTTTGTGGCAGAACCGGAAGGTAAATTTTGCTTCCATTGACTCCTGATTTCACGGCGCTGTTCCGAAATAAAAGCGTAGGACTAATAGATTACCCCAAAATAGCGGCAAAAGTACATTGGCACTTTCACTCCTCCGCCTCAACGAGATTGTTTCTGGCCAAATCTTCATCGACGGGCAAGACATTTCCCTTATGTCTCGATCATCGATCCGACAACGCATCAGCTGTCTCAGCCAAGAGCCTTTCTTTTTTCCTGGGACTATCAGACAGAACGCCGACCCGCTGAGCGTGGCGTCGAGCACGCAAATAATCGATGCACTGCGATCTGTCGGCGCTTGGGACTCTATTGTCGCAAGCCATGGTACTACGGATGAAGAGTTGCTGGGTTCGATCCTAGATGAGGGCATTCTCTCGCAGGGCCAGAAGCAGCTATTCTGTTTGGCCAGGGCTTTGCTGAAGAACAGCAAGATCCTGATTCTGGATGAGCCAACAAGCAGGTATGTTCATGCGTTATGCTGTCTGGTTTCACTTTATTACATCATTACATCTGTTTGAGTGGTAGCTAACTAAAATGCTGTGTATAGTCTGGACCACGAGACGGATGCTAAAGTGCAAAATTACATACGGGAGTCATTCCGTGACTGTACCGTGATCATGGTAGCACATAGAATCCACAGTCTGCTTGACTTTGATCAAGTTGCAGTCTTGAATAGTGGTCAACTTGTCGAATTGGGACATCCCAAGGATTTACTGGGTAAGTCGGGTGGGGAGTTTGCGAAATTGCTGGAACTGGGATCTTAAACTAGCGTGTGTGTCTGCCTTCCTGATTATTGGCGGTTTCTATCACTCAGTCAACATCCAACCCCTCTTATACAATTTTTCCTACCTGATCAAATCCCAGAGGTCGATATGTCAGACTATCCCAGTAGAACTCCGAGTGGAGTTGCTCCCAAGTCATTCAAGTTATGTGAAAACCCAAATTCAATCTAATGCTTTTGCTTATAGAACGTGATCAGGAGGTCTTTGGAAGGACAGAAGATGTTGCCCCACAGCTCTTTGTGAAATCCTTGGATTCAAAGACACCTTTGTGGACTCCTCTTTCGAAAGCTGGCTGCATTGCAACTATATGCACCTGCAAGGAAGATCACGGTACAAGTTCGCGAGGAGTTTGAATGTGACCCGCAGTGCTTGCCGGAGGGGTAAATCACAGACGTCCAGCTCTCGGCAGCGGAGCAGATGTCAGCTCAGCGAGAGCTCCACGTTCATCTTGACCGATCCTGCAGCAACATTGCTGAGTGGATGAAGAATTTCGACAGACTATGTGCACAGACTTCTCACTATATTTCGTGTCCAGTTGTCTCCACGACACGAGGGCAAGGGGTGCTGAATAAACCGCAGAACCCTAGCCTCAATCCGGCTGCTGAAGAGAGTAACATCGGAGTGTTTTGCGATGCTTGCGTTAGCTTCGAGAACATTGCGGTAAGATTCAACTTCATGGGTGATGTGCTCTTGATCTCGGCGTACTGTAAAGTCTTGTGGGAAGAAAATGCACCTCTTAATTTCCGTAGATGAAAATTACCTCCCGCGGCCGACGAAATCCGAGAAGAGATCAAGGCGTCAATACTACGTATCACAACAGTTGAAGAGGATGAAAGCGGGAATAAGAAGTACCGCGGGAATGTGCTATTAGAGTTAATCTCTCGTATGAAACCCGCTCTTGGTATTGACGAGGAGACACGGACGTTATTTATTCCTAGAGCATTTTACTAATCTTACGAGACCTGGGAAGGACGCTTAAGATATTGGTCGACGCGTATAAAACTAGATCTTCGAAATCCGGTACACCCTATTCCAATCCCCGACGAAATCCAGGTGAACGGGTGGCTGTTGAAGGAAGGATCATTCGTTCAAGTTGATAACGACCCAGTGGTGGGTGCATGTACGACTACCTTGTTTGTTGCATTTATATCGTGGTTGAAGCTGCATTGAGGGCTGGGAAGAGACAAAAGAATGTTTTATCTGATATTGAGGTGAAAATGAAGAGGATAATGGGCTACATATAATGCAGAGACAGATACATGAATCTGGACGGGCAAGAAAGTGTCCAAAGGGGTTAGAAGTTAGAAAGCTATAAGATTAGGATTAGATAGTAATGAAATAATTAGTCTTACTTGAATTACATTGACATTAAAACATTACTAGACGAATACAAAGATTACCACATAAAAAGGCATTAATTATGCTGCTACTAGTATCATGGGGATCTTGGCAAGGGACGGGACTCCCATGGGACCGACGCTCCGCGGTCGCGGTCCGCGGGAGTAGGGTCGGTTCCAATTCCCGACCCACGGGGATCCCCATCCTTGAACGCGTATCCCTACGGGTATATAGATGTCTATTTCCCAATTTTCCACCAGCCTGCGAGCTACTTGAACGATGGAATAAGGGGTGTGAAAGTCTTTCTCGGTAACTATCGGGCCCGACTGAACACAATACGAACAAGGAATACCTCGTGAAATTGAGCTAACATGGCTTGCCCCGGCAACCTGAAGCAAGGTAGCTTATCTCCCACACCGCTCGAGATGGATATGCTGTGTTACAAGCAACTGCCCCTCCGATACCGCCACTTGGGATGCTGCATACCGCGGGCGCTGCAAGGGAGACAGATATGTATTTCGCTACCAGACTCTGCTGATCTCGGCCCAAATGTAAGTCTCATTCTGGGAACGAACACAAAAGATGTCGCATAGCCAAGTGAGAAGGCGCAAAACAGCAGGTAGCATCATATCTCTTTGCTTTGCTCAGCAGCCAGCAGCCAGCAGCCTTGAGCCGTGATGGCCGGCAAAGAAGCCACAAAGCCTGCCTTCAAGGTTATCATCGCGGGGGGCTCAATTGCGGGCCTTGCCCTGGCACACTGTTTATACCACGCTGGCATCGACTTCATCGTCCTGGAAAAGCGACATGAGATAGGTCTACAGGAAGGAGCGTCCGTGGGGATTATGCCCAACGGAGGACGAATCCTTGATCAGCTAGGGCTGTACAGTGGTCTTGAAGACTATTTCCACCCGCTAGAGGTTGCGTATACGAGCTACCCAGATGGATTCACTTTCATTAGCCAGTATCCAAAGCTTTTGACGCAACGGTGCGTATACCCGTATTTCCACATATTTTAGTTCAATCATTATCCACGTTGAATCGGGCACTGACAAACACGAGGCAGATTTGGATACCCACTAGCATTTCTGGATCGCCAAGTTCTCCTTCAGCATCTGTACTCTTCGCTAAAGTGTCCGGAGAATGTCTACACCAATAAACAGGTGACTCGGGTCGAGCAATCTTGCTCTTATGTCCGGGTATACACCAAGGATGGGGAATGCTACACGGGAAATCTTCTTGTTGGCGCCGATGGGGTTCACAGTCGGGTCCGAAGCGAAATGTGGAGGTTGGATTCCTCATCTTGTCGCGGTATGGGCTCGGAGAGCGATTATCGCGGTGAGTTTCTTCTTTCTTTCCTTCGCGGAAAGTCATGGTATCTGTTGCTGAGAATCGCGAACGTGCAGGGATGGAAATGGAGTATGCCTGTGTATTTGGGATTTCATCAGCCAACTCGAAGCTCCAGGCCGGACAGCAAATCAATTGCTACCGAGATGGGTGGAGTATACTAAGTGTTGTGGGTAAGCATGGGCGAACATATTGGTTCTTGTTCTTGAAGCTAGACAAGAAGTATCAATATCAGACCGCACCTCGACTTTCGTCCGAAGATGCTACCATCCACTGTGAGAAGATTGCCGACGAGCCTTTTTACCACGATGTGAAGTTTGGAGATCTATGGGATAGGAGAGAAGTCTTCAACATGGTTCCCTTGGAGGAGTATGCTCTTACACAGTGGCATCATGGGAATATCGTCTGCATTGGAGACAGCATGCATAAGGTACGCAACATATATCTGATTTCGGTGTAACTTCGTCGTCAGGCAGGCAGACTGACACCTCTCGTTCAGATTGCACCACACACAGGACAAGGCGCTAACTGTGCCATCGAGGATGCCGCGGCTCTCACCAACCGTCTGCGCCGTTTCCTTCAGGGCGACGGAGCAAGACTGAGGTCTTCCGACGAGCTCAACTACCTCCTACAGGAATTCACAACGTCTCGCATAGAACGCTTGTCAGTCATTCACTTCTCAGCAAGATTGGTAATGAGGCTACACGCACGAGAGGGCCTTCTCTTTAGACTTGCTGGACGATACTATCTCCCGTATGCCGGCGACATTCCGGCCGATAAGGCCTCAGCTGGGATTGCGGATGCACCGACGCTGGATTTCATCCCGCTACCTGACCGCACAGGGAGTGGCTGGATAGATTTTAAGAGAAGTACACGAAGTGCTCGACCTCGCTTGGTGCTGGGGTTCACTTTGCTTATTTCCTTGCTGGTCGCAGTGCCGAGAATTAGAGGGTGGTTCTTGCTTGTCTGAGCGATTTCACATATTATTCATTGCAATAATTCTCAACCAAATCTTAGTGGAAAACTTCAGAAATAGTGATTTCATAAAATTTTCTCGAAAGTATCATATATCGTGGCCGCCCTAAGTCTCTCTCTCGAACGCCTCTATCCCACCATGATGCGCAGCGATTGTTGAAGCTTGGGAACGTTCTGTGGATACTACAAGTCTCTAAGTTTGGTGAGATTGAGTACATGCAGTAGGTCTCAAATCCTCAAGTCATGCAATGTGTTGAAGTATTATGGGAGGCACGGGCATGTTTTTCTCGTTTTCCCCGCCACGGTGGCACAAAAGGGCCATTGTTCGGATGATGTAATCATACCATACTTCGAGTCGTTGCAGGGGTTGATTTAATTGTGAAGTTATGTTAGGAAGCTTGATTTTCAGCTTTTTCAACGGCCGAAATCATGGAAATTATGTGTTCTACATGACTGGGATTAGCTTCAATTTCGCCGGCTTTCTCGGCCTGTTGACTAGTTACATTTTACCTTACAAAAATGAGATAAAAGACCCCGTGATAGTAATTATTGTATTCAAAAGTTCTGCTGGCTCAAATTAGGTGTGATTAGGTTATCCGAAACATGGCACTTTTGTGCCACCGACCCCCGATATCTTTCTTTTCTTTCTGTTTTCTATTGCGCGTTATACTTTTCAACAACCTTCTGCGCCAAATGAAGCAGCGTTTGGCTCTGAATTATGTCGAAGACACTGATGCCCGGCGAAACATGGGTTGTCAACCAATTGCGCAGCTCGACTGCGACCAGAGAGTCTAGGCCGTAGTCCAACAAAGACTTCTGATTATCAATATCAGCTTCCTCGAGCATGAATGTAAATGCCAGTCGACCCTGGATCACATTGACGATGATTTCGAGAACCTCCTCCGCCGACCTCGCGCTCTCAATTCGCGCTCTAGGAGAAGAGGTATCTCCTCCTCCCCCTCCTCCTTCGGTCTGCCCTCCCTCAGCGTGGCCCGGGGTCTCGGCTGCCCGCGTTGCGTCGAACCGAGGTTCCCGACGCCATGGCAGATCCGCATTATCCGACCAGGCGGCAATACCCGGGACGATCTGCGAAGGATGAGAGCCATGAAGCTGGACCGATTCCAGAATGTAGAGGACTTCCTGAATCGAGTGCGCGTGGTAACCTGCTCGTTCCAGTCTTGCCAACGCCCCAGCACGAACAGCCATGCCAGTCTCAAGAACACTGCCCAGGTCTACAGAGACAGCCGGGATCCCCTGACTGCGTAGCTGACAAGCCAGGGAATCCTGGTATGTACCGGCCGCAGCATAGTTCCCCTGCCCGGGGCTGCCCACCACGCCCGTTGCCGAAGAGAGGATGATAAAGAAATCCAGGGTCGGATACTTTGCTAGCTGGGTAGCTAGATTTTGAGTCCCTCTTACCTTGGGATCGATTGCGCTCGTCCACTGCTGGTAAGTCATGTTGCTAAATACGGAGTTTCGTAAAACGCCAGCGGCTTGGATCACGCCTTTGATGGGGGGCCAGCGGCCGGCATACTCTGCGAAGAGAGCCTGAAGCTGTTGCTCACTACTGACATCGCAGTTTCTTATCTCATAGAATGTACCATGAGTACCCAAAGTGGCTTCCAAGTCTGCGTTGTCATTGCTCTCAGCATTTCGTGAAAGTAGGACGAGGTGAGTGGCGCCCCTGGCGGCCATCCACTTTGCTATCTCACGGCCAATGCCGCTCAATCCACCTACGATTAGATAGGCCGCTGAGGAAGGGAGTTGAAGTCGTTTGGGTCGCTTGAGCATCTGCATGTTTCATTAGTCTCATGATTAAAGGGGGGTGTACTCAGGGGGGAACGTCACGCACCGGAACATCAGCATCGTAATTCATCGCGAGCACTGTTTTCCCTTTATTCTTGCTGTTTTGCAGGTCACCAAATGCAGAGTGGACCTCACTTGATTGGTAGACATGAACCGCCGTTTGAGGATGTATAAGCTTCTGATGAATCAACTCGATGACCTTCCGAAACGCCTCCGAGAGCACTTCCGGCTGTCGGGTAGCGAGGTGACCAATGTCCACCGAGGTAAAGGAGAGACCTCTGGTGAAGTGTTTCATGTCCAAAAGATTGTTCTGCTGCGCGTCCGTCTGCCCAAGCTCCACGAACCGTCCACAGTCAACCAAACAGTCCAGGCCAGCTTGGAGCTGCACACCGGAAAAGGAGTTCAAAACCACATCTACACCTCTGCCGTGTGTATACTTGTAAACAGTCGACTTGAGATGGGGTGCGGGCGCCTGAATGACCTGATCTTCTGCAAGCCCGTGCATGCCATCTTGCATCAACACATCTCGTGCTCTGGCAGACTGCACCACGACGAGAATCCTAGCCTTTGCATGCTGCGCAATAGAAATCGCAGCCTGTGCAAGACCGTCAGCGGCACATTGGATCAAAACATACTCGTTCTGAGCCAACCGAGCAATCCTTATCAGGGCATGGTAAGCCGTCACGAAGGGCACCGGGATGGACGCTGCCAACTCAAAAGTCATCCCTGTTGGCATAAGAGCGACGTTCTTCCAGTGGACCAGTGCTCGATTTGAAATCCGACCCAGTGGTAGAAGGGCAAGTACGGGGTCACCCAGCTTGAATGTCCTGCCAGCAATGCTGCCTATTTTGGTCACGACTCCTGCGCATTCAAGACCCATTGTGCCGGGATGCATACTATTATGCGACTGACCAGTTGCTTCAGAGACATCCTGTTGGTTTATTCCGAAGGCCTGTGGCTGTATCTCCAGATATTCTTGCTCATCATCTTCCGGTGCGCGCGACGATAACGTCGCGGAGCTGTGGACTTCCGAAAAGGCCAGGCTTTCTAGGCGGCCAGGCACATGGGCTATAAGCGGCGCTTCCGTGTTCGCTGAATAAACAGGGAGTCTCGCTGTTTCTATCTTTGGAGTCGACGAAAGACGATGATAATGTGTAGCGTTGTCAACAGACTCCACCAGTCGGGGTACGTAGATCTGGCCCTGCCGCTCGGCGAGCTCATACTCTGCTTCGCCATTTTCCAGCAGCGGCAAGCTCACAAGATGCTGGTAGATCCTGCTGACAACCGAAATCGTCTCGCTCGACCATGATGCTCGGTGGGGATCGAGGTCCAGGGAGATGTACCGCTTCGTCTCATTTTCCAGCCGCAATGTCCTCAGCAGACCAATGTGGATTGCCTGCGCGGGATCCGTGCATTCCATCACCCCCCCCCGTGATACCCACACGGTCATTGTAGTAGCGCATTCGACGAAGGCTTTTACGGCATCAAAGCGTTTCTCGTCCATACCCTGGAGTACGGGTTCGTCAACGTCAAGGAAGATACAAGTCTCATAGACTTGATCACTAGGTAGCTCGTCAAGTCGATGTGTAGATATCTCTCCTGCGGAGGCCGCGCAAATCACGGCCAGTAAATCCTCGAGCCACTGATCCGCATTTGAACCCTTGGAGATGGAGTGGACAATGCACGCTGAGCCGCTTTTCGGTACTTTTCGAGCCGGGAGTTGAAGCTCTGGACGAGTAGACAGAATAAGGGAGTGCGTGCTCTGCTTTGCCTCGTGCGGGTTCGGAATCACCACATGTGGTTGCGCAAACTTGGTCTTCGAGAGCAGTTCCCTCCAGCTCCATTCTGCGAGCGTTAAAGGCCCTGTGAGGTTGCTTGCATGATTGGCAGGTACGACATCAGATAGCAGGGGTCGTACACCCCCAATTTCCTGTAGCACAAGGAGGCGTCCGCCGGGCTTGAGCAGGGCGTGGATATTTTCAAGGGCTGCTTCTGCGTTCTCAAAGTAGTCTGGTGCGAAGGCGGCAATGACTAGATCGAAACTGTCTTCATCGACTGCTTCGGTGAGCAGTTGTTGGTCCTCAGATATATTCAGCTGGATAAGCTGCATCTGGTCCTTGTGTCGTTCAAGAATTGAGTCGAGGCTATCAGACGGTGAAGAAGACAAATTGCGATCGCGCCCGATGACGGTGAGATGGTCAACCACAAGTCGTGAACCATCATTACCCTGAGAGAGGCCTTCAAGAACACTCAATATGAAGCTGTCATCGTCATACAAGCCAGTCTGCAAGATTCGGCTGCGTGGGTACTTGTGTACCCACAGAATGAGAAACTCCTTGAGCTGATTGAGAGATTGAACGTAGCCCTCTTGGTAAGTGCGAGTAGGCTGATGATGCATTTCATCGTTCAGGCTATGCACGGCGCAAAGGCTTTTGGCGTTTGTAAGATCGTTTTGTGTAACCATGGTGTAGATTCCTTTCTCGATCCCATTTTGCTCCGGGGGCCTATCGTGCTCGATGATGGTAATCGGATTTTCCAGATCCCGACTTCCCAACGACGGCGAGCTATACCCGCTTGCCTCTGAAGAGCAGCTATGTGTGACTGCATTTGCCAGATCGGACCCTGATAGCATGGAGCAATCCAGTTTCCAGACAGTATGGAAGAACTGAACTGCGGAATGTCCCGGGTCGTCTTCTCCGTTGCGCGTTGCAAGACCCAACGACTGGATGTGGAGACTGCTAATATAGAAGATCGGAGGACTGCCGACGTTGTCCGCGTCAAAGATTGATAGTCGCACCGTAAATCCTCGCCCATCGAGTTCCAGCACCTGCACATCAGCGCGAAGTCTGTTCTTCGCGGAGGTCTCGATAGAGGTGGACATGGAGACACCCTCAAGCAGGGTTGGGACAGAAGGTCCGAGCTGCAGCATCTGCTCCTTTGGCACAGCCGCATATGCGACATGGAAGAATGCATCTACAACCGTTGGATGGGCCCAGGCCTTCTGGGGGTGAGCTGAGGACATCGTCATCAAGGGTGTGTCCGGAATCTCTATGACGGCTGAGGCATGCATATCGCCGACATCAAGAGAGATAATATTCTGGAATGAACGGCCGAATGTAGGTCCGACTTTCGCAAGGTACCTATAGTACTCTGCTACGTCAACTGATGACGATAGTACGCGGTTCTGGGCGTGCACAAGTCCAAGTGGTGAATGAGGCTCCGAACTGACTCGACCACAGCAATGTTTAATCCATTGTCCCACTGACTGCTGCGAGTATATGGAGAATTCGTAGGTCGCGCCGTCGGTGGCCAGTTCTCGACAGCTCACCGGGCGTAAGCATACCTGGGTTGGCAATTCTTTCGGACTGTCGGGGACGACCATTGCGTTCGAGATTTCCAAGTTGCTCACGACAACGCGATCTAATGACTCAGGCTTAGTAGTAATGAATTGCTGGGCGGCTTCCAGAATCATGACCATGAACCCGGCAGCTGGAAATAGATTGTCTGACTGCAGTGTGTGTTCAACTAGCCAGGGCAAATCAGCAGTCGATACGTAATTGCGCCAAACCGCGGTCTCGGGATTCAGCCCTTCGACACGGACGCCTAGGATATCATGACGGGGATATTGCCTCTGACAGAACTCCTGTAGCTGCAGACAGTCTGTCCAGTATCGGTTCGTATGGTTCCAGGAATACCTCGGTAGACCTGGCATAACACGACCCTTGCAATGAGCATTGACCTCACGCAGCGAGACTGGAGATCCATGGGAATACAGGAATGCTGCGACGTCTTGTACAGTCTTTACCGCATTCTGTCCGCGGGTGAGGCAGGATGTGTATTTGATCCCCTGGGAGCTGAAGTTGGGTTGCGACAAGATCTGACGAATTGGCCCCGCCAGAGCCCCGTGGGGCCCGATCTCCACGAGGATATCAACCTGCCTGACGGGATCATCCCCCCGGAGAATCATCTTACTCAGACAATCCTCAAACAGAACACATTGGACCATGTTTCGAACCCAGTGTCGAGGTCCTAGTTTCACTGCGGACTCGATAACATCCCCAGTGACCGGGGATAGGAGGATGATGTCGGATAACTCGCCATTGGGAACCCGAATGTGTCTCTCCAGCTCCAGTAAGTAAGCCAAAGCGGCCATCTCCATATGCGGGGAATGATACGCTGCCTTGACCTTAACACGGCGATTGAAAACTCCTCTCTGCTCGCAAAGGGCTTCTAATTTTTCAATTGCATAGATGTCCCCGGACACAGTGACACTAGAAGGGCTGTTGATGCAAGCGATACTCAACATCCCTGAAGTGACCTCTTGTAGCAGTGTGGTGGCCGCTTCTTTGCCCAGTCCGAGAGCGATCATACCCCCCTGCATATGAGACTCTTCAATGAACCGCCCCATAAGGTTACCTCGGAGATAAGAGATGCCGACTGCCTGCTCGTGGCTGAGAGCCCCAGCAGAATATGCAGCCGCAATCTCTCCACTCGAGTGGCCAGTTGTGGCTGCTGGTCGAAGTCCCCAGGAGACTAGCAGGTCAGTCAGGGCGATCTGGACAGCAACAGAAAGCGGAAAAGAGAACGCTGGGTCATTGACCCTAGTTTCTTGCTCGTCTCTTTGTAGCTCCTCTATTATCTCGGTTATCTCCAGCGATCGGTGTCTTCATTCTCCTTGCTAGCACGTACCTGTCAGACTCCACGAACTCCCCAGCTTCGCGAGGATCATCTCCGATCTCTCAAGGCTTTCGCGATAAACTGGATATCTCTCGACTAGTTCACGACCCATGGCAAACCACTGCGCACCTTGGCCTGTATACACAAATCCGAGGCGTGGGCTAGAGCTAGTCTGAATGACAGGTACCCCGTCGTGGGCCAGCGCAGTCCGGATCTCGTCAATGCTTGACCCGGTGAGAGAAACTCTACACGGGAAATTCGACCGGCGTTCGTTCAGGGTATACACCACGTCATTCAGAGTCCACTTAGCTGGTGCTTGAGCCAAGTATTCTGCCAGCGAGCGCATGGCGGTTCGTAAACTCGTTTTATCTTTGGCGCTGAGAGAGACGACGAGGCGGTCATCTAAGCGAGTGGGATGTATCCCATTCAGTGGTAGCTCAGTTTCCGGATCCGTGCTAGATATAAAAGAATCAGGTGCGTCGAGGATAACATGGGTATTGGCTCCGCCAGCTCCAAAGTTGCTGATTGAGACTCGTCTCGCTTGCCCCTCTGGCCAGGGTTCAAGGGTGCGAGGGACCTGCAGGATGTCTCCGTTAGCCCATGCTTACGGGTTGATGAGACAGTGTTGGTCAGCAGGAGTTAATCTTACCGCAAGATTCAGACCCTTGAAATCTATGCGAGAGTTCAGATTCTGCAACAGGCTGTGGGGAGGAATCTGAGCAACCTCGAGCATTTTCACAGCCTTGATTATAGCTGCCATACCGCTGGCCGCCTCAAGATGGCCTAAATTTGCTTTAATAGAGCCTACCCGCAATGGGTCGTTTGGATCACGGTTAGCAGCTAGCACAGCAGCGACCGCCGCCATCTCAGTCGTATCACCGGAGATAGTGCCCGTCCCATGAGCCTCAACATAAGGGGTGTCTCGCGGATCGAGCCCGGCCCGCTCGTAGCATGCACGGATTAAAGACTCCTGTGCGCTGGCAGAAGGAGACGTAATTGTGGGTGTTTTCCCGTCTTGGTTGATGGCGGTTTCGCGGATCACTGCGCGGATCGGATCACCGTCTCGCAGAGCATCCTCGAGAGGCTTTACCACCAGGCTAGCAACACCCTCACCACGGCCGTATCCCTGAGCCCGCATGTCAAAGCTGTATGATTTTCCATCGGGTCCTGTGAGACTGTACGTTTCCCGGAGCAGTTTTCTTTAGCTTCTTATGGTTGTCGCAGTTATGGGTGGTGGTGGTGACTTACCCCAAACTCGACAGGCCTACAAACGTGGTAGGATGAAGAAGCAGGTTTGCTCCCCCCACAATTCCCATCTTTGCCTCCCCGTTTCGAATCGCCTGGCATGCGAGATGCAGCGCGGTGAGGGCGGTTGAGCATGCTGTATCCACACTGACGCTGGGACCCTTTAGATCGAAGAAGTGGGAGATGCGGTTAGCCGTGAAGGTCATCATATTCCCCGCCAGGAAATATCGCGATAGTCTCTCGGGGTCCTTCATCAACATGTCGTGATAGTCCATGAAGCACGACCCTGCAAAGACGCAGGTATCTGAACCAGCTACTTTCTCCAGAGGCAAGCCAGCTTCATGTAGAAATCAAGAACAAAGTAAGTATCTGGCTACTGCTCCTGATCAGGCGTGTGGATTAAAGAAAAGGGGTATATATACCCGACTCTAGGGCTTCGAACACCGTTTCTAGCAAAAGTCGAATCTGGGGATCCATGGTCTTTGCATGATAGATTTCCAACATCAGCCATCACACACTGCCCGACTCAAAGCTGGCGCAATCCACCACTCACCTTGGCCATATCACTCGTGAAATTAAAGAAAGATGCATCCCACTCCGATACATCCTCGTCGAGGAAGTGGGCTCCGCAGGTGGTGAACTATTGCCATGATTAGCGTAAAAGAGTATACGATGGGGCGCTTTCATGGAAATAGGGGCGCCGGAATCAGAGAGGGCCGCACTGTTCCCTTCTTTTCTGCATTGCGGTGATAAAATGCTGATGGGTTGAATCTGTCTTTTGGTATCTCAGACCAAGCACTCTTTGCTTCGGCGCACAGCTCCCATAAGCGCTCAGGAGTGTTACAACCCCCAGGAAATCGACAGCCCATGCCAATAATGGCAATCGGTATCGTCTTCTCGCCGTCCATCGTAATGAGGGAAAGAGGGAATAATTGCCTGATAGCACAGAAAGATGAGTAGCCTCGGGTGATGTCTGGCGGGTTATTCCATCCACTTCACGGTAAAAACAAAAGTGATAAGGAAGAAGAAGAGAAAGACGATGATGATGATGAGAAATGTAACGAAAGGATACTCAAACCTGCTTTCGATGGAACAGACAGGCAAGCATGATTTGTATGGCTATCAGCACATTCTATCAGTCTTCAGTACGATAGATAGACGTTGGCCTAGCCCCTACTGTAAGGGCGATCATCGGGCTTGATCCGCACATGCAGCGCCCTTGCATCCCAAGAGGCCATGCCATTTTCACCCAATTCCAATATCCTTGAAAAGCGGTGTGGCCTGTACATGCGTAAAGGCATTGCAGCCTGTACATGCGTAAAGGTGGTATCTTTGCAAGTCTCATGCAACGAAACCCAACACACCATCTCTAAGCCTTGCATTCCTTGTGAAACAATGACAGCTACCGGTGACAGAGGCTAAGATCACATTTCTCGCTGTGGCTTACATTCTGAAGAAGACTCAGAATTCAGCCATAGGGGATGTTGTACAGAGAGATGGGGATTACTGGACCATACGAAGTGGGTTAGAGAGAGTACTCATCTTTTCATTCTTTCATTAATTATTTTTGTTTTCCTCTGGGTTTTTTTCCCTTTCTGCGTTCCAATCCCATCGTAAATATCCAGCTCAGATTACATAACAAACTGCAGATCTATCCGAGTCAGAAAGGCTACATACATCATGCTCTCAACATGACCTCAACAGCGCAAGCCACGACCGTCCAAACTCCAAGCGCAAAATTCCTCTTGTGCACAAACCCACCAGTTTCAGGTTTCTTCGGATCAAAGACCACTGTCTGTTCTAAGTAGGAGGCTGACCAAATGCCCATCCAAGACATCCACAGCCATACCGACTCCAGCGGGCTGATAGTCCAATATATTCCCAACAGTACTGCGCCGCCCAACAGAAGTAAGCATATGCGAATATACTTTCCCACAAAGACATAGAACGAGTTCACATTCATCTTAGAATCATCGCGAATATCCTGGTAGCTGTAGGCGGTATTGAAAAACATAATCCAGAAGAAGGCGAAGAAACTAAGCGGTCGCGAGCGCAGGAAGACAGCTTCGAGCGGGCTTGTTTCCCCGTAGATTGCCGCCCAGCCGGTAACGACCGTACTGACAGCTGCTAGGCCCAAGAGATACTGGGGGTATAGATGGAGTCTCTTGAAGGCTGGCCGCTTGCCAAACGGATAGAGAATGGTAAGGAAGGTCTCAGGAACGAGAGTATAGAGCCTAGGTGAAGGGTATGTTTCAGTAAGAAGAATTCTTCCTCCCCCACCGTGGAAATGAGGTCCTACTCACAGGTACTTTCCACCTAGCATCCAGTACAGAATAGCGGCTGACAACAAGAATTGAAACAGCATCCACCAGAGTGCATGTGCAACTCGGAGACTGCCGGACGCCAGCGGACGGTTCTTCGTCCTGGCTACGTTCTTATCGATATCGCGGTCGATCCAGTCGTTCCAAACCATACCGGCCCCAGAGAAGATATAGCAATGAAGGAAGCAAAGAAACGTCTGTAAGAAGACATTCCGCGCAGATATGCTGGTGGGATCCTCCTTGATCCTCAGAGTGCCTGCAACCAATGTTGCCCAGACTGAGAGTAGGCACACGTTAGCCTGTGGTGCTTTTTCTGATAATGCTTCTTACCTCCGCCAAAAACACCGATGAATGAGTTGTATCTGTCAAATCGCGAAATACGGATGAGGTTCCGATATATCGGGGTGCTAGATCCATTATCGGGTGGCATGATTGTAAGTCGGAGTACGTTGAGTATGAGTTATTCGGGAGTCTGTCGAGGCTCTGTGATTCGTAGATCTCTGATAGACAACCGAGCGAAAAAGATAGTTAGTCCAATGGTATAGGTGTTGATGGCAGGCGAGAGAATAACGGTCACATGTATGGCTCTTCTGGCGCTCGGTGAGGATACTACTATGTATGTGATGGTGGAGATACCTACTGTAGGTAGAGCAGCGGGGGCAGGAATGTCGGTGGTGAACAGCATCCACGTCTCAGTCCTCCGGCTTACACCCTTGCATGGTATGCAGTTCGACCGGCCATAATTCCCAATATAGCCCAGGAAATGCGTGGGTGCATATTACTTGTTGGAAGACCTTGGCACCAGGCATGAGGAACGTACCAGCCAGCCATATCAGTAGACAAAACTGCAAGGAGCGGTGTGGGTCTACAATTTAGATAGGACAAGGAGAAAAAACAGGCACAAAAGTACATTCCCACTGCGGTGTGAAGGACATATTTTTCCAGACCTGCAAGAAAGCATAAAACTACAACGAGCAACCAACCAAGTCAACTAATCTGGTCTATAGTCATGGTTCTGCTCCAAAGCCTCCGTTTCCCGTACATAGTTTGCCCCCTCATACTTATAATTCTATGGATTTGCCACCTTCCGACCACCTTTTGACTAGACCTCGTCAGTCGCCAATTACGTGGTCAGACTGCTTTTGCCGAACCGAGCGCCATTCCAGCACAAGTACGCCGACAATCGCAAGCACCGAGAACGCAACTGCAACGTAAAATATATCCATAATTGCATCGTTGTAAGCGCTGACCATGTTTGGAAGGTCCTGAGCGGCCACAAAATTTCGGAAGTTTGTGAGGCCAGCCGCAAGAATCTTACTCGCATCGGCTGAGGGGACCCGCTTGCTGATATTAGCACGCAGAAATACCTGTAGCACATTCTGGCAGATTGCCAGAGCAAGTGTGGCACCCAGCGTCTGAATGAAGGTCATAAAGGCTGTTGCAACGGGTATGTCCTCTGCCTTGTTGACCGTCTGCACGATTGTAAAAGGCAACTGGATACAGAGCCCAACACCGATTCCCAGCAAGGCCTGATAGCCAATCCATTTGCTGTGCCCGGAATCAGGGTGTAGTGTCGTAAGCAGTCCAGCGCCTGTGATGCCCAAAATGCAGCCGACAATCATAAATGGGTTAAAATAGCCCACCTTCATAACCAAAGCGCCAGAGAGTATTGAAGCGGCCGTCACTGTCAGGATCATCGACAGGGTCATGACTCCAGACATGACGGCCGTTCGATCTTTCACTGTCTGAAACCAAATCGGCAGCTGGGCGGAATGATTCTTAGCCTGAGTTCCTTGAACATTTCCTTGTGCGACAATACGCCACTCACATAGTATTGAAGGCTGTAGTAGGAACCTCCCATGAAAAACATAAACCAGGCGGACCCCCAAACTCCGCGTTTTTTTACAATCCGACCTGGTAGCGTTGCCCTATCGCCGCGCCACCACTGGAGTCCAATAAAGGATATACCAAGAACACCACTCGTCACGAAGAGAGCAATAATCCAAGCGCTTTTCCACGCATACTTGACGCCACCCCATTGCACTGCTAGAAGAAGGCAGATGACCGCAGCGACAAACAAGATATTTCCAATTGGATCCAAATCCAACAGCTTCTGGCTCAATGGTATTCCCTGTTTGGGTGAGGGAGGCTTGAACATAAATAGAATGATGAGTGTAGGCAGAATGGCCAAGGGCAGATTGATGTAAAAACACCAGCGCCAGGTTACATGATCTGTAAAAACACCTCCCAGCCTTGTGAAACATCAGTCAGATGATAATCTCAACCAATGAAAATGCATTAGACATAACTCACAATGGCCCAACCACGCTCGCGACCCCATACACGGATGAGACAATTCCAAGAAGTAATGGCCGCGTCTCCGGCGGGACCGTATTTACTGCGATGAGCAGAGAACCAGTGAGGAGACCTCCACTACCCAGGCCAGCAATAGCTCTCCCAGTGATCAAGGCGGTAGATGTAGGGGCTATACCACAGAGAAAAGACCCGATCTCGAAGACAAGCAAAGCACACAGATACACCCATTTCACATTGAAGAAGGTATATAGTCGGCCGAAAATAAGGGTTACTGCGCATGTTGTGAGAAAGTACACACTTCCATACCAGCCAACATCGTCCAAGGAATGAAATTGGTCTGCGATCGTTGGGATAGCTGTTGTGATGATGGTATTGTCCTAGACAGGTTTCGATGTCAGTATCATACAATAACAACGGGCGATTTAAATTCAAGGTTCTCACCAGTGACGTCGCAAAGACATTCAGAGATAGGCCCAGCACGAGAGGGATCAATTTTCGAATAGGTAAATATCTGTCATGACTTTCTTGAGGCTCGGATGATACCAGCTTATCAGCCTCATCCATGGTCACAGGATTTAACGGAATCTCCATGGATGCCAACACTGAAACTGATGGGAGATCGATGATAGATTCTGCGAAGAGTGGTATCGCAAGCGACAGTACGGCGCTTTTTCATTTAGGTCCACAATACCTCATCCCCCATGATGTAAGCACCAGTCAAAAGAATGCGGGATCCTGCTGAGCCGGAAGGTAGCCGTGGCCCTTGCTTCCTCATTTCCTCTACCAGAATGATGACCAGACCAAGCACAGTCAAGAATGCTATCCATGTACTTTGTCACAGCTAATAATTATGACAGGCTATAGAATTATCTTTAGCCACCCTTCAGGGCGTTTCGAATCTCGTTTCCAGTCTCATCTTTTACCAGGGTAACTTTGGACCGTTGCAGCAGAGCCGAGCACCCACCGTTTCTCGGATGGGAGAGTCAATCTGCGAAGCAGTCAGTCATTTAGAGTTCTCCAAGGGGTGTTGGTTGGCCTACTATTTCCATGACGCCCTTTGCTGGCTTCCATTGTTTGAGACGGTCGCATGTTAAACACCTTGACCGCCCGGTTTCCCATATCAGTCTGAAGAAATCTATTGTGCTGATTAATGACGATCTTGCGGTGGCTCACCACCCAGAGAAGAAAGGTTAAGTGTATAAACGTAACCAGGTTCACCGCGAAGCTGACCACATGGGCTGCTTCATAATGAATTTTGCAAAACATCCAATGTAGAATAGTTTTACTCGTACCATATGCAGCGGAGAGGACGTTTCTATGTTCCATACAGTTGATGCTGCCAATAGGGCTCCCATCTCCCTCAAATATGGGGTTCTAAACTCTTTGCAGTAGAGAATACACAGCTCGGTAGAGGTAGATTGGCCCATAGCTCTTCGCTTCAGACCATTCCTTGATCACTTGGACATCGACATCGTGCACTGGAGAGTAGTCGTCGCATATCCCACTGTTTGCAATAACAACATCCAAGTGGCAGATGGCTGATCTTGGAGTCTTTGTACAGCGGTAGTAGCATCAGTCTCGGATCGGGAATCAATACTGAAAACACGAGTTTTGTGGACTCTCCACGAGGACATTTCAAGAGAAGGTTGGAGCTTTTAATGAAAGGGTCCCTCACAGATGCCACGACTGTAGTGTGTGGTCGGACGAGAAGCTCCACGAGGCCTCTGAATACCTGGATTTGCTATTAGTTCCTAGTAACATAAAGGTTTCATAACAATTTGCGCAGGCACTGGCAAGAGCTATATGCATCTGTTAGCCACAGGGCCCAAGTAGACTTTGTTAGGCATTATTCTCAAGCATTCGCTTAGCCTTGGAGAGCTGTAGTTTGAAAATAGAGAAGGGAAGGGGGGGGGGGGTGGGGGTTCCTTCCAAGGGAGGGTTTGTACACGAGAAGAGCAGGTTATCAATATTCATGCAGTGTTAGTGTTTAAATTAGTGTACACCTCGATTCAAGCAAGGTTTACAACATTCCTAACTTTGCCTGTGTAAGCATATGCATAGTGGTGGACTGAGTCTGAGACCACCACGCAATTCCTTGTATTGTGTAAGACATTTTGCCGCTAGATCTCACGACCCTTAATTCACCTTGCCTGAGATCCTGCCTCTACATATCCTCGGCTTGAGGTGCCGCTCCTTGCAACTACGGTGGCCCATTTTCCAGACTACTCAGTATCCGTGTCTTCGCCCACCCACACCGCTTCAAGATACAATGGATCAAAGCGGTGTGGGTGGGCGAAGACCGATAGCCCTTGCTCGTGCGGATCCACTGGAATGTTGTGTAACAGACTTTCGGTCCGTACCTTATCAATCTGCCGATGTAAATGTAAGGGCTTTGGCGGGAATTCCATTGTTAGATATGCGTGGCATAGTTTTCACAGCCCATCATTATGCATGATATGCTCTACCCCTTTATATCATCCGAATGACCCAAGATGCACATCTCAGGCTGGACTTGGGATTGCTTTTGCACGGCCTCTTTGTTGTATCTCTTTTATATGCAATGCATAGGCATACCGCCCAATAGCATCTCAGTATCTGGCAAGAAGCGGTGATACCTGATTTCCGGAAGACAGTTTTCAGGAAATTAGCGTTTTCGGACCCGACTTACCATTCAATACATTCGTCTCAGGCTTCGCTTAAACATAAAGAACAAAGCTATAGACGTGAATACAGCTTGTACAGTGTTCCCAAATCGGAGGAAGAAGTCAGTCGTCGTCCCCTGTTCGCAAATACAATTTGCGCTTTTGCGTCAGATAAACTGATCATATTGTCCGATCATTCAGCCCCTATCAGCTGGAGATACGCCCTATTCACTTTCTACATCGCAAAAAACAAACACGATGGATTGGTTTGATGGTTCTTCCGCCCCGCCGGAGTATCTGGAGGTCGCCTGGATGGCCGACCTAGCCCAGCTGGCTCAGGGTCTTGGTTGGGCAATTAACTATTCTTGTACAGTCTATCAATCTTTTCAAGACCGCACCTACGGGATGTCTATCTTGCCCCTCTGTTGCAATTTTGCCTGGGAGTTTGTCTACACGTTTATCTATCCGTCGAAAAACCTCGCCGAAAAGGTAGTGGTCAGCACGTATATGATGCTGAACTTGCTGATCATGTACTCGGCCATCAAATTCTCCCCACGTGAATGGGGCCATGCCCCCTTCGTTCAGAGGAATATCACATTGATTTTCCTGCTTGGAATCGCTGCCTTCGCCTCCGGGCACGTAGCTCTGGCAGAGACAGTAGGCGCTGGGAGAGCCGCCAACTGGGGCGCCTTTTTTTGTCTGGAGATGCTTTGTGTCGGTGCTTGGTGTCAGTTGATAAGCCGAGGGGGCTCTCGTGGTACTTCCTACATAATCTGGTAAGTCAGATGACCCCTTGTTGGCAATTCAGATAGGAAGGAATAATGCTCATTCTATGCTCCTTTTTTTCTTTTCGTCCTTTATGATAGGCTATCACGGTTTCTTGGTTCTTACGTGGGAATTGTCTCTGTAATCTTACGAGGGACTTATTGGCCGCATGAATTCGACTGGCTAGTGTCTCCCATGGCGAAGTGGCATATGGTCATATGTTTCTTACTTGACGTCGGATATATTCTTTTCTTGCGCAAGATTCGGAAAGCCGAGGCAGTCAGAAAACCTTGCTGATAGTCCTAAGAGGAATGGGAAAATGAGCGTCTGCCTTTTCAAGACAACCAACTGACTACAGGCGAAGATATGGGGAGTGCTGAACAGGTTGCTTCTGGCGGTTTCTTGAGAGAGCCATAGATCGTATCCATCATTGACGGCTTTATGTCATCAGGGGGATCGAGCACGTGTTTGATGTCCAGCAGTCGATTGTAGTTGGTGCCCCCGTACATATTCTGAAAGTTCCGATTCTTCAGTAAGCCGACTGCATGATAGGCAGGGTTCTCAGCTCCGCTGCTGTTCACCAAATCCCTGAGTAAAGGCATTTGGTGGTCATGTAATCGTCCCGTGATCACGTTTCTCTCATCCCACTGTGGGCCAGATGGAAGCCTGAGGGCCTGGCTTATGGCGACCATAGTCGACCGCCATTCCGGATGCATTGCGCTGTCAATGCGCTTCTTATGAGAGATGACTTGGCCGCCGCCCAGAACGTGCAAGCTAAAATGTCTCCTCCCCTAGGTGGAGTTCTGAGAATGTCCGGACCATCTTGGCTGGCACTTGTGGAGAGCTCACAAAATCCGCAGAAAGACGGATAGATCTTGCTATGATGCCAATTCCCGCTTGGTCTACACCTTTGGGCAGGGCGACGAACTCGCATCACTGAGTCATAAAAGGCAATATCCAGTTCGCAGGGTACGCCAGTCGCATTCAGGGAGCTTTGGAAAGTAGTAAGATGCGAGTGCGCTGTCTTATCTAAGTCAAAGAGATCCAGCATGATCCATGAGGCATTAGTCGGAAGGACTGGGAACAGATAGACCTTTGCGGCATTCCTTTGTGCATTGATTCGAGGAAACATGCTGATGAGCTTCTGCACTGCCATCCAGTATGTCTCATCGGCAGAAGCGAAGGTGCACCTGAGGCGTGGGACAGTGGCGGGTATGACCGGATATGCTGCAAGAGTCATCGTGGTGATGGTCCCGAATGTGCCTCCGCCGGTGCCGCGAATGGCCCAAAAAAAGTCCGAGTTCTCGAATGTATTGGCAGCGACGTGTTTTCCCTAGAACTCCGTATTAGCTTTTTGCACTTTTGAAAGCAATCGGGAAAAATGAAAGAACGATATTGCTCACATCAGCAGTGCGAAAGCGTAGCTTCCAGAACCTGATCCGATCCCTACCCGAGCTTGGGAAACACAATAGGCATCCCCCCGCTATGCACAAAACCCTCTGCGACACCGACGGTGCTGCAAAGTCCTACGACCACTGAAACCCATGTTCTGCGTCAGCCTTGTATAGCTCGCCAGCATGGGTGCTCGAATTAACTGTTAATTCGGATCGGAATTTGAGGGATTAAAGTTAGCGGTATAGGAAATGCCTTTCAATCTCCCGGTCCGCTTGCTCTTCCAGCAAGACCATGTCCCATTTTCCGAATTGTAAGACAGATGTTCCTCTCTTTGGCAAACAGGACCGTTCGTTGGATATATCGAACAGACTCGGCCGCGACGGAGTACAAGGGAATCCCGCCCTGGGCGCACTGCGTCAAGTTTGCCTCTTCCGCGAAGCATATTTCCCGTCGATCTGCCCAGTCCTCCCAGTTCATCAACTGCAAAGTCTCTGTGCCTTGGTAGCTTCCCTGGAATCTCTTCCTTTACGAGGTCCCAGGTTAATACCATCCTGTGTACGACCGAGGTCACTTCCTCCCGGAGTGCCTGAATCAGTTCCGGGTACTTGTCCAGAGACGAGTCCCCAAGAACACGCCGGAGGAGACTTGCGCAATCAAGCGGACCAGACTGGAGTGGAGAGGAATTTCGTGCCAATCTATTCCAGGCCTTATTTAGCAGATATACTCCCCCATCGGCCCTTGTAGATTCCAGGAAACAATTTCCCTCGCTGACCTGGTGAATCCGTCCAGCGTTCTTTCAAGGTAATATTAGTCTCGTCCATGATTGGTTCTTTTATCATTGCTGGTGAAAATGGTGTACATGTTAGCGGGAATCCTGCGGTAAGAAATTGGCTCCACCGCTGGAAGTCCTTACGCAGAGCCTTGATCAACTTGAGGACAACGTCGTTGACGACTTTCCCGTGTCTCTTTTCATTGGAGAAGGGCTCAAAGTCGGGCAAGTCAATACATCAGTCCTTCTTTCCCATCTCCATTAGCTCGAAGCGTTCACGATGTAGTGGTTAACTCAGATCCAAGTTATATTTGCTTACCAACTGGAGAGATTCAGCATGACTCCGACGGTGATCGTTACGAATTTCGTCCTCATATTCTTCGCCTGACAAGACAAATCTTCGGCCGCGCTCGGTGATGAGAAGAAAGTTCCGGGCCTGAAAGGAATGAGTTTTAGATCTCCTGTCAATTTTCTGAGTGGGTGCGCGAATATATCACCTTAGCCTGGAACCTCTGAAGATACTCCGCGCCATGGTTCAAGAACCTGATTTTCGCATTCGTGTATAGGAACTCATTCGCCTTTCTACCATCAAAAAAGGGAAATCTTTGTGCCAGTGCATCTTTTTTTCTCTGAGGAAAGATAGGAAAATGCTGCAGCCGATAGCGCCAGCAAGACAGGGCCCGTAGCTGAGAACGACGCCGTCTCCTGTATGATTTATTATGGCCATCTTAGACGCAGATTGATCTTGCTCAGGAGACCAAATTGACTAAAGAGTTGATCAAATCGTCAACTTATTACTATGTGTCCTCGGTCGAGAACACTCGAGTCTACAGTGGAATTATGACGCATACCCCAAGTGCATAACTTTGAGCGGTTCGTGGCGGCCCGAGCAATGTTGTAAATCTTATCATGTAGCATCTACTGGTCGTGCAGCTGTGTTGCGTTGTCAATACATGCATCGGTAAGGAGTTAGACAGGATCGCAGGAAAACATGCAACAGCATTCCTTGATCGCTATTTTTTTTTTTCCTTTTTTTTTCTCTTCTTTTCTCTTTTTTGGGGCGACACCTGGAAGCAAGTTTGGTGTTGTTTTTCAGGTTTACTTTACTCGATTTAGTTTATTTTTGTGTCTGGTTTTCTTCCCCTTGCACACGAACATAATTGGTCACTTCCAAAAGGGTCATTGCATGGGCTTGGCATGCAAGATATGCACTCACAAGCAATAGCACTGTATGACACCCCACCTTGCTTCTAGGCTTCGCAGGGAGTCTGCCTTTGTTCATCATTCCATCTCAGATTTTACCCTCAGAATAGTGCCTAAGGCAAAAGGTGGCGCAGCTAGGTTGTTTATATAAGTTGGTAGCCATTCTCGGCCATGTTCGACACAGCCCAGTAGCTAGGACAGAGCAACATTGAACAACCATGGTCCTCACCAGTATTTACGAAGTATTTCCCGCCAACTTGGGCGTTGTTTATCTCCTCGCAATACCAATCTTCGCATGGGTTCTGCTTAACATATTGTCGGGAAGCCCCTTGTACGATTTCCCAGCTGTCAATGGTAAGCAGAAATACGAAGTCCTCCTCACAAATGCCCGTCGACGATTCCAAACCCAGGCAGCGGCTCTGATCAAGTCTGGCTTTTCCGCGGTAAGCTAACAGTCCAACAACTGTTCTTGTCGCTCATAAACAAGAGATGTTCTCAACATGATGGCTTCTTTTTAGTCTAAAAACGCCTTCTGCATGATAACCGACAACGGTCCGATCCTCGTGCTCTCGAACAAGTACGCAAAGGAACTCCGCAACGATGACCGACTGAGTTTGAGCAAGTTTACGGCGAATGTACGGATATTGATGGCCTCGAGCAATGTCGTTCACTGACGACCATGAAATGACAGGAATTTCACTCGAAAATCCCCGGATTTGAACCATTCAATGTGGCAACGGTAGAGGGTCAACTAATGCTCAACGCCATCAAACAGCAGCTTCAGCAAGCTCTAGGTAAGTTGACTCAAGATGCACCTGGCAAGGAGAGGTGGGGAAATAGATATTGTTCTCATTAACCGTGACAATTTCCCAGACTGCCTGGTAGTGCCCTTATCTGCCGAGACCTCCGATGCGCTCTCCAAGAACTGGACCGATAATCCAGGTAGGCGATTTAGCAGTCCCAAATGATATAAACCGGCTTGCAGAAATCCTAACTCAAGTCCCAAGAGTGGAGGGAACTCATACTGAAGCCGAGTATACTTCAAATCGTCGCGCAGCTATCCTCCAAAGTTTTCACTGGGGACGATCTATGCCGGAACCCCGAGTGGCATCGAATCACCATCACCTACACTACGCATGTCTATGAAGCTACGCAGGCGCTATTCCTATGGCCTAAGCGTCTGCGTCCCACTATCGCTCGATTCCTGCCTGCCTGTCAAAAGCTAAGGACGCAGATTGAGCAAGCCCGCGCGATGATCTCCGCGGTCCTAGCCAAGAGGAAGAGTGAGAAAGATGCAGCAGGGCGTCTGTCCGACGCAATTGACTGGGTGGAGGAATCGTGTGAAGGACGTCCGTATGATGCAGCGATCACGCAGCTTCTTCTTTCCTTTGCAGCAATCCACTCGACAGCCGATATGATGACGCAGGTGCTGTATGACATTTGCGGGAGGGAAGAGCTTCTCAGTGAGATGCGGCAGGAAATCATCTCGGTCATTCAGGATCAAGGCTGGACTCGCAAGGGTCTTTTCAACCTAAAGCTGATGGACAGCGTCCTGAAAGAGAGTCAGCGATTGAAGCCCACAAGGATTAGTTAGCTCCACCCTACACTCAATCTGATAGAACATGCACATCGCGCTAACATTGCTTCCTTCATGTCAGTCTCCATGGGTCGTGTCTCCGAGGATACAATTCACCTATCCCACGGTGTCACTATCCCGAAGGGTGCCGCGGTCATGGTATCCAGCGACTCCATGTGGGATCCGAACGAGTACCCAGAGCCTCACAGTTTCGACGGCCATCGGTTTCTGCGCCTCCGTCAATCACCGGAGCAAGAGAAATACGCTCAGTTGGTCTCCTCGACGCCCAATCACATGGGATTTGGGTACGGCAAGCATGCATGCCCGGGTCGTTTCTTCGCCGCAAACGAGGTCAAGATCGCTCTATGCCATATGCTCCTCAAGTACGACTTCCGGCTCACTGATAATCGGCCTCCACATATTGTCAGCCTAGGTTTCAATCTTTTCACTGATCCGATGGCGAAGATCTCGCTGAGACGGAGGAAAGAGGAAATCCAGCTGCCCTGAATGGGACAAAGGGTTGGCTGGCGTCTACCTCACACGGCAGCATAGAAAGCTGAGTCCAAAAGTCGCTGATGGCATCCTATTCATGGAGTACTTTAGCTGGAGCCTGTTCCGTGGGATGGAGCTGGTGCTGGGATGGAATACCAATGTGCCAGAAATTGATCTTGATTAGTTTGGTATATTACGCCTGAGAAATACAGACCGTGCTAAAACAGAGAACTAATTAGTCAAGCAGAATTAATACGTACCATTCGCACTAATAGGAGTGTAGACAAGGACGGTGAAAATGGAAATTTGTTCAAAGAGACTCTCCGCTTGAGCGAAGTTTACCCCATGGCTTGTAATGATCAAAGTGTTTAACGATTCGGATAACATATGTATAAATCAAAATCCACTTTCAAGGCAAGAATATCATGCGTGGAAATTATTCGCCTGCCTGAGATGGTACTATTGTTCAGGATATGTTCAAACCACTGATAAATAAGAGAAACAAGCTGCCATCTGGCGGTTCTTTATCTAAGTGGAGTAGACTTGCATAAATGGCATAAGATATCCGTCAGTGTCAAATTGCAGCAACATGCTAAAGAAGGCATCCGGGATCATAATAAACGACTAAATCTGCGGCATACGAGCTGGATTCTTGAGAGAGGCACATGCTGGCCTGGGCGGAGAGGTAGCAGATCCATCTTAGCTAACGAATTCGCAACGGAGGTGTTTGATGAACGCCAAATAGCTATTCCTAAAATCAATCCGTGCTAAACCACGATTCCCGGATCTTATGATCATCAGGTCCATTACCCAAGGGATGATAGTAAAGTGACGTGTAAGCACTGTCCTCTGTGACCATAACTGACAACCATGAATGGGAACCCTTTGTTGTATCAAGATTGCGATTCGGCCTATCATCTAATGTCAAAACGCGCACATACAAAAAAAAAAAATAATTAGCACTCACTGAAGATATCTCAAGATCTCCGGATATGATCTGGCTTTTTCATGCCATCCGAGAAGGTCAAACCACTGCGACACTACCTGTGCAGCTTCGGCATCAGTTAGATCACAGAGCGCGAAATAAAACTTGATACTGGGCTGGGCATGGCCAGGACGGATTTCAAAGTTCCAAATCGCCCCCATTGTAGGCTTGCTTTCGTCCAGCTTTAGCATATCCCACAGTTTTGCAAGGATATCTAGGCTGCGGTCGATTAGTGGGCCTTGGAGCTTGCCCCCGAGTGTACAGACTTCTTGGACCTTGGCCCAGGTCCATTTCCAGTCTACACTGTAAAGTTTCAGTCGCGATTTGGACGGATCGACCAGGTCCCAACTAAAGAACGGCACCGGCGTCGAGGCGTGGAATTTCTCCATATACTCCAGGACTAACTCGACTGCCTCCGAGCATCGCATCTGGGGTTCAACACCCGCAACGGCGCGGCGGATTAGAGCGTGTGGATGTAGACCACTCGCGTGGCTAGCTTGTCGGGTCCAAAGGTACTGTTTCGTGACTATCTTGCCGTCTTTGAAGTCAAAGCCAAGGAGTGTTTGCGACCACGCAATCGGCTCTCTGCTCTCTTGCTGGAAAGTCTTCAAGCGTTCCTCTGGGATACAAAACTCGCGGGTAAAATGGTAATGGAGTGTGCGGTCGAACCCCTCCAGCCCCAGCGAGGCCAGTCGAGAAACCATACTATTGACCGTGTCGATGTTCAACGGATCCAAAGCAGTGGCGGTGATTTTGCTGATTGGGTCGATACTGACCCTAAGCACAGGATTTCCCGGGCCCCAGTTGACACTGGGCTCCCACACGATCTCCGAAGTATTCAGGCAGCACCGACGAACTGGCGGCCAAGGTCCCAGAGCTGGAATGACCATCTGGCGGAAGAAGACCAGATACTGATACTGCTGGTGGATGTCCATATCCATTATCTGGAGAAAACGCGCTATCAGCGCTCCGCTGTCATTCCACCATTGTTGCTCCGCTTCGCTATCGAAGCATCCGTACTTGGCAAAGCTTCTCCAAGTATCCAGCTTGGTAATGCTTTTCTCTGGACCTCGCTCTTTGCCCGACTCTGTCTTCGTTCCGGCAGGAAGGGGTCGATCGGTGATCGCGTCTTTGGCCATCTTTCACGAGTAGGTGGAAGCTGTATCTACCAGAATATGGCAAGTGAGGTTGGGTTGTACGGCGTCGACCAGAACAAAAAGGAAGAGACTGCTGCTTTCAAATAGACAGCCGAAGTGGGTTCGAGTGTTTAATGTACTACCAACAATACCGGGATTTTCAGCCGGAGGCTTCCACCCCCGGCAGCATCACATAACTGAATTACTAGACATGGTAACCAGAGCAAACGGGTGCATGAGCTTAAGGTACCGTTGCAGCAAGACGCACAATGCTAGGTGGCCCAGGGGCTGGTCTAGACTTGTTCACCGTACAGTTTGCGGCCATTCTGTATGCCACCCAATCTCCTTCTTTGCCCAGTTTGAACGAGCTTCCGCAGAGCCGGTTGTGGCAATCCAGAATTACTGCAGGGAGCTTGGTCTGGTGCATTCCAGACACAACGGCACATGTGCATATTTTGGATCGTCAAGAATGACCAGCAAAAGCTCTCTCCACCAGGCATGAGCATAACAAGCATTCTCGGAGTGTGTAGTACAAAGGAAATATGTTATCGGGGCGCCTTGGGCCTGAGCCTTGCTTCGTGCTCCGCACCATGGTGTATACTGATCCTCGCCATTTGTACACAATAGATAAGATTCCATCTGCTCGTCGGACCGGATGCACAAAAGTATGTATCGTATCTATTTTGAACGTTTTAGGCATCATTTATTTTTTCTACGTATAGCTCCTCCTTGTTCTAAGACAGAAAAGAAAAGAAAAAAAAAATGGAAAAAGCTTTTATTAGGGGTATAGTGCTGGTTCGAACCACGAAATTTGCTACGTGCCCGCATCATCCGAGTCCTCTTTCGGACCCGCACATACCTGTGTATAATCTATAGATAGCGGCGTCAAGTAGTCCTTCCTCTCTAATATCAGGATGCAAGGCTGTCCTTCTGTGTAACTGGAACCTAGTGGCGCTCTAACGTAGGATGGTCACTTATCAGAATCTTTCAACTCCATTGGTTTTTCTCCTCTCTTCCACATCTGATCCTGCAATGTCACGCACCTCTCTGGCTCCTTGCAGGCATTAATGTATTTGTATGCAGCGTGGTCGCGCGATTCATATGGCGGTGAGTCAGTGAATAAAGAATATCTAGAGTACTGTGCCGACCTACAAGGCCGCTTTGCAGTTACACAGCTTACCAGCGCTATGCAAGATATTGTTGACATTGGTGGACGTTGGAAGAGACGGTCTACGGAGCCCGGAAGCGGGAATTCCGCGACGGACCGCTAGATCACGTCGTGCAACCAACATTCTGCCTAATCCACATTCTGTCCCTTGCCGGAGTAAAGTGCCTTCATAACCCCAGCTGTCATTGTTCGCTTCACCGCTCCGAGATGAATTCGATGGCTCATTGGAAAACCCCTCCTGTGAGTTGTGCGCATGGTGGGAACCCAACAGGCCGCTGCTTTGAGTTGACGGCGGAGTCGATCCGTTTCGGGGGCCAATGTCGGGAATCTGTACGGCTTGGCACAGGCGAGTTCAGCAGGCTGGGTAAGGGGGGCGAGGGTGGGAGTCAGTCAGGGCTGGGGAATGAACATCAGGTCTTGGGAATAAACCACGAATGACTCTTTCCACCTCCCCTTTCCCACTTGCCTTGCGAAGGAGGAGATATCGCAATGGATACCATCCAGGAAGAGAACCTGAGGGTTATCATCATAGGAGGGGGCATAGCGGGATTGACTCTTGCTAATTGCCTAGATAGGACCAGTATCGACTACGTTGTTCTTGAAAAGCACCGCGAGATCACTGCCAACATCGGGGCCGCGATCGCACTCCAGCCGAATGGGGCGCGCATACTTGACCAACTAGGTATCTATAACCGTCTGAGAAAAGACCTGTATGATATCAACTCTTATCACACGGGCTTTCCGAACGGGTCGAGTTTTAACTCTTTTACCTGGGCATGGTTTAAGGCCAGGTACGTATCTCGAAGTTTTGGTTTTTGAGGATTTTTCCCTGTTCTTATATTTTATTATCCTGTTTTGCAACTTCTGCCATTTTTAACCGTTGACAATTGATCTAGCCTGGGCTATCCAATTTCGACGATAAGCCGCAAGAAGCTGCTAGAGCATTTGTACCAATCCTTGAAGGACACATCGAACGTCCACACCGGCGCCAAGGCTGTGAACATACGGGCAAGCTCCGTGCCGGGCCAGAACGTCATTGTCAAAACCGCGGACGGCCGTGAGTTTACAGGTGACTTGATAATTGGTGCAGATGGCGTCCATAGCATGGTACGATCAGAGATGTGGAAGGTGGCCGAAAGTAGGGAACCAGGTTCAACAGCCGAAGAACAAGAGCGCATGAAAATTGATTACATATGCCTCGTTGGAAGCTCGAAACCAAAAAAGACGATCTTGGGGCCCCATGAAATAGTCAATCGGGTTTACACAGGTGTGACGTTCTTGATCGTTCCGGATGTGGATGGCACGATCTACTGGTTCGTGAACGTGAAGCTTGATCGAACCATTATCCCTCCGTCCACACCACCAGGGCATTCCTCATCGGAGATTCAAGCTCAAGTGGAAGCCCTGTTAGATTATCACATTTGGGGCGACGCCAGGTTCAGGGATCTGTGGTCTACCGCTACCAACATCGCCTCGGTCCCGTTGGCCGAGGGCCTGCTGCGAGCGTGGAGCAATGGCAGGATCGCCTGTATCGGTGACTGTGCCTTTAAGGTAATCGCAACCCTGTTTCACTAAGCGGAAATGGTTCAACGCGTGTACTTACAATTCCACCATTAGCTGACGCCCAACCTTGGCCAAGGAGCGAACATTTCCATGGAATGTGCGGCAGATATTGCCAACGCTTGTGTCACCCTTCTTCGACTTCCATCCGGGAAAGGGAAGCCAACGAGTAAAGACATAGAGGACACCTTGGGCCAATGTACGGGCTTGCTTGCAAAGCGCCTTCAGGCTGTGGATAGGATGTCACAGTTCACAACCCGGCTTCAATCATTTGACTCGTTCAAGCACTGGATCATCTGCCGCTACGTTCTGAAGTATCTTGTTCTCCCGGCCTACTACTCAAACAAGAGAGAGATGGCCGCCGCAGTCACTCTCAATTATATTCCCCTTCCCGAACGAGCACGGGTGGCGTTAGAGCGAGATGGAAGGTTTGGAGCGAAGAGCATGGGGGCTTTGATATTTCTTTTCGGGCTGTTAGCCAGCCTCATTGGCGCCCTGCATGTGTTTAGATGAATGGCATAGGAGCATTTGAGCTGCAACGATACAGACATATAAAAAAGTTTCGAGCTCATAATACGGGCGGCATAGAGAATTGGGTCTTTAGGCATTATTTGGTGCAATAGATTGATGTCTGAGTAATGGTCTGAGAATGGACTTCTCAAGGTCGAAACAAGTACAGCTCGCAGCAGCATTTTCACTCGCCCATCTATGGCTCGGATCTCTGCGTAGAGTGCGTTATAAATATCCTGGACCGTGTCTTCTCCATCAAAAACGTCCACTCCATGACCGTGGCACTGCATACTCTGGGGCCCCCCTGCCGAACGGATAGCATGTTCTACGCCGTTAGCCCCGATCAGCAATAGCAAATTGAACTTGGCTGCTACAGTGCCATTGATGGTAGAATTGAAATCCCAAGCAGGAACAAGCCCACACCCAGAATCCTCTCTCTTCAAATGGTACTCGAGGACAGCTTCATCAACGGTCCAATAGTGAACATCATAGACCAGAACCATATACGCGGCAATCTCGTCCCATATGGCGCACGAAGCGGTTGGCTGTCGGGTTGATATGATTGTAGACAAACCCGCGCCGTAGGTATAGGTCAAACTGTAACTAGAAACATCCATATACGAAAACGTTGATGTGGCATATGCGATGACTCTATCGTCATCGTCAGTTGTGGCAGTGAAAGGGAACCCGGTCGGTGTAGGGGTTGCCAGACCGGTGCTGCTTCCGGAGCCCTATGTTTCGGTCAATTTGTGGTTGGCGACATTGAGCGTTGACACGACAGATGTCGCATAGGCAATCTGTGTTCCCTCGGCCGTTTTTATCAACGGAAAAGGGTTGCTGCTGGCGGGAAAGACTGCGTAGGTGCACGGTGACGAGATGGGCCGAATCGATCTGCTACTACTTGCGATGACACCGACAGAGGAATAATGAGCCAGTACTAGCAGAACCAGGATTACCCTCCCGGCCCGACAGCAACCAGGCCTCGCCTACCTGCATGTTGGGTGTGTTGGATCAGAAATGAATAGATTGCAAGATAATCCAAATATTCATGACTAGGTCCTTAGCAAAATAATTAAATAACTACAAGATCCTCTTGGGTATCTTTCGCCCGCCCTCATCGTGACAATCAAGTAGTTTTCTATATACCATTAGATTCACGCAAGTCATCTCAAAAGGATTCCATGTAAGATCTTAGCCTTATGAGTACGCATTTGACCTTGATTTGTTTCATATAATGCATGTCGCCATCTTCTCAACCTCCTTCCAATATAGTTTATGGGCTTGGCTTTCTGATGCTCGCCTCCTGGGTTAAACCAGCCCTCACTCTGGCCAGTATGAAACTTGGGGGGATAAGTGGACCCACCAGTTCGAACACTTGATAGATCTCTGAGTGAACGAAGGTCATGATTACAAATGATATATAGCGCGCGGAGATAAGAAATGCATCCCAGCAGGAACCGCGTCGAGCCCCCTTCAGCATATCTCAGTGTGGTTAACCGTTTTTGACAAGCAATTGCGAACCCTGCCGGTACACACTGGCGGGAAAAATGTTGAGACTACGAAACGCCGCTGTTGTGGGAGCATCTCCAGGAGGCGAATGACCTGACAAGGCGGCTGGATCTAGACTCGTATGATCAGGATTTTTCAAGCAGACATCAGTGAAGAAGCATTCCTACCCATGCTAGCGCTTGTGTGGTGCTTGGGGGGTGGGAACCACTCGGATAGTCGTGCCCAGTACCGGACATTGTGCTTCGTAAGATCGCCAGCCAAGTCTGTTATCTCCCCACGAAGTAGTCGGGGCCAGTCTACTGTCTCCCAATTAAGTAAGTAGCCAGAGCCACTGTCTCCCCATGAAGTAGTTGGGGCCAACTCTAAGATAATGGAGGACTAGAGAGCAGATCCCGTAGCATATAGAGCACATCCACCCAATAGCTTGTTGATGGTCCTTGTGTCCCTTCCCTCTTTTGGGCCGAGAGCGCATGTTCGGGGCATTTCACCAAAGCCGCTTTCACTGTGGAGCAGCTACGAGCTTGCCTCATTCACGGCTGTCAATATATGATCGAACTAGCGTTTGATGCCTACAAAGAGACTTATCATGCGTCTCTATGTTCTAGGCTGTGTGTTGCTGTGTCAGCTGGATTAGAGCCGTATCAGGCGGGCACCTTGGCGGGCGCGAAATCATGCCTGAAAGGCAAAAAATGCCAAATGCGAGTCCACAACCTGGATCTTTCAATTCTGGTCATGAATCGGTAGTTTGGCTTCACGTTCCTTTCGGGCGCATCAGGTCTAAAATCTCATAGGCACGCTCCCGCCGTCGCGAAGATGCCATCATGATCGACTAAGACGTTCGGCATTCACTGCTTCCGGTAGGCTACGTATTTCTTCGCTATCACCTCCGAGCCATGCTAAGAGCAGACATTTCAACCGGTAGATTCATTGGAAGAAAAGTACCAACGGCGGATGGCACATTCCGACATGATAATGGCGTGCTATGGGCTCATGTGATTGATAAGCCTGAATCGCAATCCAATGCGATCGCCTGTATACCTGTCGACGCCTATGCAAGTGCGTCTGTGTAGTGACAGTGAAGGAATACACACAGCCGACAGGATAGAATCAACATGGTTGGGCGCACATTGACATCTGTTGCGATTATCGGCGGTGGCCCCGGTGGACTCGGCGCGGCCATCGCCCTCTCGCAGCTCCCGTTCCTTCAGGTCACTCTCTACGAAAAGAGCCCGGAGCCTCGAGAGGCTGGTGCGGGAATCAGTCTTACTGCGAACGCGTGGAAAGTCCTTGACCTACTGGGAGCGAGCGACGGGGTCAAGGGAGGCTCCAAGTCCAACACACAGCAAAGGTACCCATGTCCCTAAAGTGTTGGTTTGGAACTCCAGCCTGACTGACAACCGCTGTCGAACGTCGCCAGGAACGCATTCACAGGTAAACTTCTCAGTGTCGTGCAGCAGCCCGAGAATGCGCAGGCGGACTCTCGAGGGGCGATTCGCGCCCGCAGAACGCAGCTCCAGTCGGCCCTTCTCACGCGAGTCCCTCACGGAGTTATTCAATTTGACAAGAAGCTCGTTTATGTCGAGGATTTGCCAGCCGGGGGAGTGCGTTTGGCATTTCATGATCAAACAGAAGCTGTTGCGGATCTTGTCATCGGGGCGGATGGAATACAATCGGTAAGCTTGCAGTCTTGGAATCCAGCGACTCGGCCTAACAAGCAGTTCTCCGGAAGGTTGTCCGACGGGCACTCTTTCCCGACCATCAGCTGGCTTTCACAAGGACCATTGCTTGGCGTGTTCTTGTTCCCAAGTCCAGTCTGTCTCATCTCCCGGACATCACATCAGCCACCGGCTGGTGGTGGGGGAGTCTGGTCATGTCTACTTCTCGGATGTAGATGATGCAGCTGAGACGGACCCAGCCTTTGAAATTACCGTGCGAGGGTATCGTGAGCCCGAGACCCCCGGGAAAACTGTCGTTTGGGGGATTCCTGCCACCAATGATCGCGTAGCATCTCGTGTCGAGGTGTGGACATTCGCTTCCAGGGATCGCGTCAACACGCTGACTTGCAAACAGACCTTCGACCAGCGAATAAAAGACGCTGTGGGAGTCGTTCCAGAAGGAGCCTGGAGAGAGTTTGCGATGTTTGCTGGGCCACGGCTGAACAGGATTGTGGGCTTTGACAACAAAGTGGCCCTGATTGGAGATGCCAGCCACCCTCTCTCGGGCACGTTTCCGCCCCTCCCCTTGAAGATTTCTTAGGGTCTTATATTCCTGACAGTTATTTAGGTGCCTTTGGCTCCGGCGCGACATTCGCTATGGAAGATGGCTGGATTCTCGCACGGGCGCTGGAGTATACTCAGGCTGCTTCTCGTCCAGTACAGGACGCTCTCGAGATTTTCAACACCGTTCGGTCTCCATATTACGCCAGAATGTACAAGCACCTGGATAGAGTGGAAGAGAAGTTGCGCCAAGCTCGGATAGAAAATGACAACTTCGATCACTTTTTACAGGCCAAGATTAACCACTTCCTCTACGGGGACACCGATTTCATCTACAAGAATGACATCAACCAGGTCTGGGAAGACTATGTGACAGCAGAGAAGACAGGAATCAGTCATGCCGTCAAGGAGTTGTAGCCATGGATATATGGTTCGTCACGAATGGAGAGATGCCTCGTTGATTATGTGAACATGTACCCAAGCTAGTATACCCTGTTTTGCCGGAGGGGCGACTTGTCACTCATACTCGCCACCACCCCGGCCCGTCTGGCCGAGACCTTTTTACTATGACCCACACCCACCCGGGGAACCGGAATATATTTAGGGTTGCGAGCTAGCAAGGAAATTGGAGAGTGGTGACAGGAAACTGGGAGAGGTACACAACAATACCTGCCAGACCAGTAAAACACCACCCTTCTGTGACACTCACCATTTCACTTACCCCAGGCTAGACACGCATAAAACCTTTCGATGAGATTCTGACTGCGAAGTACAAGACATGATGTCAACTAGCTGTAATCGGCCCGAAATCAAGCAGCACGACAACATGGGCCTTGTCCATGTCATGGGAACTCTCCGACCGTGGGATCTCCTATGAACCGCTAGCATATATACTGGATTTTGTTCCAATGGTGAACAGGTTTTTCGGATGACGTCCTGATCTCTGTTCATCAGATAGATAATGCCCCTCATTACTTCCCCAACTGGAGTAGGCACTCGCTTCTTTGCAACAAACTCTGTTCTCCAAAATGCCCACTATGTCGCGCAATCTCTGTATTACTGCAGTGGACGGCCACACCGGCTTCACTATTGCTGAGCTCCTCTTAACAGATAATGGGTTTAAGAAAGCCATCAACTCAGTTGTTGGTCTCACACTTCATCCTGAGTCCAAATCCGCGAAGGAGCTGGCCGGGCTCGGTGCCAAAATCGTTCCACACAAGCCTGGGCGAGTGAAGGAGATGGTCGAAACCCTGCGCGAGACTGGTGCAGACACGTTGTGCCTTATCCCCCCAGCACACGGATCCAAATTTGACATCACTACGGAGCTGATCGATGCTGCTAAAAAGGCCAATGTGCCGAACGTTTGCTTTATCAGCTCCGCGGGCTGTGACCTTGCCGAACGGGATCGCCAACCAAAACTGCGAGAGTTCATTGATCTCGAAAGTCGTGTCCTATCTTCCAAGGGAGACCCGCAAACCTCTACCGGACATTCTCCGGTTGTTATTAGGTAGGGCGGTGCTGTTCTGCAACAAGTAGATTCCCATTGCTGATTACCAAGATAGAGCTGGATTCTACGCCGAGAATCTCCTCCTCTATGCTCCGCAGGCACAGAAAGAAGGAGTCATTCCTCTTCCAGTTGGAAAGCAGCATAAATTCGCGCCGATTGCGCTCGGGGTGGGTTGTTTCTCCCCTATAATTAGATAACACATGGGCTGATACTAAATTACGTAGGATGTTGCTCAAGTTGCAGCACACGTCCTTTCCGGCAAAGGCAAGCACGGCTTCAGCGACAAACACCGCGGCCAATTGATCGTTCTGACAGGTATGATACACTTTTTACCCTGACCCTGAGAATAAGCGCTTACAATCATAGGGCCAATGCTTGCGACTGGTGACGAGCTTGCTACCGCTGCAAGTCAAGCACTAGGACAGGAAATGGCTTTCGAAGACATATCCGAGTGAGTAACCTTGGTCGCGCATCCGTACCTTTACTCCGTACCATTACTGATGCTCTATAGGGCCGAGGCCAATCGGATCCTGCACGCTCAGTCGGACAGTGATGAAACCGAGCTACAATATCTAATGGAGTATTACTCGCTAGTTCGAGAGGGTAAGACCAATTACATCTCGACGACAGCTTTCCATGATATCACTGGTGCACACCCTCAAGAACCTAACGAGTTCTTCAATGTTTACGCCAATGAGTTCAAACTTAATAATGGTGCAGATGGCACTAAGCGGCGGAAACTGAATCAGAAGCGGTAGTGGTGCTAAGCCTGATCATTCTTCTGGAGGCAGTATCCCCAGTCATGTCTCTCCCCGACAGGAGAATTTGACACGAGTTTGGGGGACACGGACGGCCATGGCATCGTGGCGACAAGAAAAGTTGTTCATTGACTTCTGATTGACTTTCCACAATTGAGCTCTTTGCACTTAAGACAAACTCCTTTTACATCCTGCTGGCCTCAAAAGATCCATACGTAATACAAGCAACTTGGTTTAGGTGTGTTATAATGTAAGACTTTTTTTCAAAAGGAAACAGCTACGAGTTCTCCTCCATAAACTTGCCGCGCCAAGCATAATTGTAATCGACCGATCGGATCAACTTGGCCGCAAAGCTCGGCCGACGACTATGAGGCTCTAAATGCCGCACAAGATAGATAGAATTTGTCATCGTAACGCTGTCTTTCGCTACTGTGGATTCTAAAGCTGATGATTCTGCATCCTGTCATAGAGTTGACTCAGCAGTATCGGCTGTGTGTCGTATTGGAGTTAGCCCGGCGGATAGCGTCTGGCGAGCACGACGAGCCGTCGCAGCATACTATTAGACGATATGGCAGACACAAGCCTTATTTGGGTATAATATGACGCCATCAGCCCCGATTGAGTGCCAGAGACCCGTGCAGCGTCGTCGGAGAATAATATTGTTTTGTGTTGCGGCCCAGCCAGGTCCGGTAAACATCCAATGCCACTGTTCCTCGCTGAAATGCACGAGCTGGAGGATCAGATGTACGAAAACATTGAGCCTGACTGCTACTCCCGGTATGAGATTTGAGTTATATACGGTTTCAAGCCTTGAGCTAAACTCATGATGGGTTCTTCCAACCTCACACAGCCACCCAAGTCTTTCAGCGATATACTTGCTTCAACTTCTATTAGGTTTCATTTGAATTCATGTTTTACATCGTTAATCCTTTCTCACAATCGCTTTTGACCTGTCCAAAGTCCAGTATTAAGATGGCCATACTAGAGGAGCCCATTACTAGCCCAAGTTAAATTTCCGGTGCCGCAGTTGAAGGCATATGTCTGGTATCGATAACTATGCGATTTTAGGTTCCGTCCAGGGTGAGAGATCATCCCTTTCATGTAAGATCTTCAAGATACCGTCGCGAGATGGCTGCGAACTGGCATATTCTCCTCCATGCCTGGCTGAGGGAATCCAGAGACCTTGACCCCCTTTCGGAACAGCAGACAGTGCGTAGATCCACCAAAGTGGAACATGCCGATTTCGTCCCCCTTCCTGATATGATCACCTTCTTTGACGGTGATGTCGCAGGTGGAAACTTCTGCCATTCCAACCCCAATAAACGCCATCAAGCCGATCGACGGTTCATCTGCTTCAATGAAAATCAACGCCCGGGTGGCAGTTGCCGTAATGTACGCCTGCGAGATGACCTGCCCGGCAAGGTCAATGTCCTGCCGGTTAGCGCGTGGATTGCCAACACCCTCAAACAGTGGCTCGGAATAGTAGGTGCCATCAACCACATAGGCTTTGATAACCTTGCCGCCCACGGGCGCATGCCAACGGTGATAGCTCAACGCACTCAAGAATGCCTGGTAGACTGTACCACCCACGAACTGAGCAGCGAGCTCGTCATGGCCTAGCATATCAAGTACAGAGTACGGCTGACTCTTAATCCAGAATTGATCCCGCGCACGAACGTTGTGGGCAATTCGGTATGGTCTCGACTCGCATGCGTTGGCAATCACCCGGCCGTTGTCGGGTTCAGCGACCGGGCGCATACCTTCAGAAAAGCGCCTGGTAAAGAAGTCGTCCCATGATTGGAAGCCATACTTCGGCGCCGATGGATCACACTCGAACATATGGTGGAATTCCAGGGTTTCCGCCGCGGTGGGACCGATTTTCGCTGCGGCTGTGAGGTCCCGGCGGCCGGTCTCGCCGAACCAACCATGGGACGCGTTATTCAGGACATCGGCCGACGCGGGAGATCTCAAGAACTCTCCCCATGCATTGAGAACTTTCTTGAGCATGGCATTGATTGCGGGGTCCAAGAATGCAGCATAGCCACTGGGGGTGCCCATTGGCCAGTCGAGGACCGCGTTGATGGGCAGGCCGACCAGGCCGACTCGGTGGGCTTTGTCGGTCCATGATGGAGCAGACGTGAGGAGGTGATTGAGGACCTTCAGAAAGTGGTTGTAGTCGCGGATCTGTGCAGTACCAGTTGGGTCTTGGCTGTATGGTTTCTTGTGCGGGATTTCTTTGAACATGCCCGCTAGGAGCATGTAGACTCGGGTGTTGGTTTCGATCAGCTGCTTGAACTCTTCTAGAACAGGGTGGAGAGGCCTATCCGTCCGGTCAACTTGGTCAATTATGCCGCTGAGCCATTCTTGGTGGCTTGCGTGGTCGGCTGGCATCCACTGGCCAATCCTGTCCGATGGTTGAATTAGACCGGGTGGGTTTGAGTCTGGGACGGGGATAGATATACTCATGGAGATGATGGGCATTGGTATGTTTAGACGACATGGGGAATGCTAGTTTGTGGATGCAATGGAAAATAGAACAGGTCCACTTATGAACAGTCGCGAAGGCTCTGGGGCTCTTCTCATGAGATGTAAGGTGATGGCGCAAAGAAAGCTTGTCCTCCGACAATCATCTTGGCAACCATTCTATTTAAATACTTGCGGCCCATTACATCATTATAACAGCGGGCAGATGACAAGGAAAGCGAATTGGCTATTAACTCCCGGGTCGATGTCCTCCACGTTTTGCGGCCTGCAGGAAAACCTGGAGACGTCCGACCAGCGAGTGACGTCATCGCCATGCCGCGGATTCATACTTTGAACTTTTTAGAGGATGCTTGACATGGCCTGATCTGTGGCATTGGGGAGTAACTGGGAGATTATTTCGCGGTTTAGGGATGGGAAAATTAGTTCGTGACTCGACACAAAGCTGTTCTCGAGCCTTACAGGGCGGAGGAGAGCCGTGCAGCACAAATCCACGTGTATCTTTCTGGATCTGTCTCCTTTATACTCATAACATGTCATGTTGTGTTCCACGTTCATCATGGCTTCTCTCGCCTACATCACCCAACTATGATTCTCTCGATCAGTAATGTGCACCCAACCTGCGACTTGAAAAGGAAATGGCCATCGAGGCTCTCTCACATGAGCCCGTACGTCGGAAACTTGATTGTTGCTCGAATCTTAGCCTCGTCGAGGGCCTGATGGTTGTCAGCTGAGCTTTCATCTTCGCGGTCAGAGCTGCTTGCATGAGGATGGAGAGCCTCCCTGATCTGTTATCGCCCTACCGACATGGCCATTCACGCGATTTTCCACCAGGGCCTCAGTAAGGTCGCTATCAGTGTTAAGGTCAGTGCTCCCCGCATTGGAGGTCTCCATGCTGTTTGCATCCTCACTTTTCACCCTGGTCGCACTGCCCGCACTGCCTTCATCGCTAGCGGAGTGTTCGAAATCGCCTCTCTCTGCTTCGATGCTAGCCTCGTGGGCGCCGTCCATCTCCTGCAGCGGCGGAGACGGGGAGTCATCACTCTCGCAGTAGTAGGAGTACGGGTGACCCCATTGCTTGGCAAAATTGGCCTTGACGTGGTCAAGGTACTCCTTGATATCGTTTTTCAGCAGGCTGATAAAGTACATGCCAGGCCAATCGTCGCAAGCGTCCATGGTCAACTCTCCAGGGTGAAAGGCACAGAGCCGCACGACGTCGGCGCAGGCGATCGCCCCAAACGCGGGACGGCCACTTCCGTTCACGCTGCGACAGACATCCGTGACGCTGGATGGAATATCGGCCATAGTCTGGTCCCAGGTAGGCATCCCGGGGACATCCGCACGGGCGCCGTAGCAGCGCACGACGAAAACCGGGCTGAAGGAAATGTCTCTCTCGCACGGGCGGACCGCAACCCGAATCACATACACCTCGACCCATGCTTCAGTGTGGTTCAGGCGGAGCTGGTAACCTTCCTCGGGGGGGAACCAGTACGACAAAATGCTGTTCCAGACACTGGCAACATCCGTACCCGTGCATTCAGAGTCAAGGATGTCCGTTTGGTCGCTGAGCGCGTCGCAGTTGTAGAACTGTGAAGAGTGGGAACCCCCAGGTTAGTACTTCGTGACAGATGAGACGCAGCTCCCTTTCGGTAGGTGACTCACCCGCGTTCTTTTTGCCCCGGGGCTTCGCATTTCTGCCGACTCTGGCGGCTTTCCGTATTTTCAGTGCTCTTCTGCTCTGATCGTGGAGCCCGGCATCGGTTTGATAGACTGGGCGTGGAAGGGTAGACGACAGGATTGACGAGAGGGGGCGGTTCCATGAGGAGAGGGTAGATTTCGATGCAACAAACATGAATATCTCAGTAGGCAGAACGTGGCTACAGGCCTCACTTGGTCGTTTGCCTACATCGTTCTCGTGAGCCTCTCTCCGAGCCCAGACAGCGAGAACGCCACCTATCAATGGGACATGGCGCATCCTCCCGAGTGCTTACTCGACAAGGAGATCTTGCCATGGATGGCGAATAGTGATAGTGGGATTGTCTAAGCCCGGTTCTGACCGTCCTCTTTGCATATAGCAGCGAGGCAGTCCAGCTCACATTGTTGAATCAGGTTATCAACCTAATATCACTTTCCCTTCCTATAATGGAATTTCAATCAGAACCGTGCGAGATGCAAGGCCTGCTTGATAGGCTTCGGTACGTAATGAAATCGTATGCTTAATGCAGCCCACCGAACAGCCGGTGCCCTTGAGGAGTGGAGAGAGCTGGTCTCCCTACCACCTCCAGGCTGTGGTCGCCCTCCCCAGCCACGGAAACTCGCAAGAGGGCCACCGTCGGTCGCACGCAAGGTCTATTTGGACACATTGAATCAACATACCCGCTTATTCAGAACCCCTATTCAGCATCTGTATTCGTTCTGAAAAAAATCTGCGATTGCACTAGACCGACCAATATCCAGCCAGTTATTTAGATGCTGATTTTGCCGATGGTCCTAGCTCATAGGCCTTCTTGCAGACAGGAATATCAACTCTGGGCCAAAACTACCAATGTGTGATTGATAACAAGACCTAATGGACTGAATGGGGAGATATACTTGACAACTAAAGAGCTGGGCGGGTTCTTATGTTGTAATTAAACACCTGCCAATAAACCGACAGTATGTAAAAATTTGATCAAAGGTCACAAATCTGGGTGCACCCATCGCTGCCACTCGACCAACTACAATGACGATCCTCACATGCCGCCCGAAATGTTGGGGACGCTTCTCTCCAGAAAGGCCAAATTTATTGAGGCATTTACTGATAGTGAACCACCAGCATCACCAGCATCTCCTCGTTCTTTTTCACGCAATCCGACTGCCGCGAGCTGCCGCCAGTTGCCTCATCAGTAGAACAGGTGGGTTCGCAAATCCACTTTCATTAAATGCAGCCAGTGCCCAGGTACAGGTGGAAAAGCTCACATCATCATCCAACGTATTTTAGTGGGCCCCCGAGGATCTACCGACGGGGCGATCTTTCTCGGTCAGCGAACGAGGAAACAAGCCCATCCCACTACATTCTCGCGAACTAGCAGTACGGCCATCATAACTCATCCACAAACATACTTCCATTGGCTTCTCGTTTACTTGCCCGTGTCTATGACACAAAAGAAGAGGGCATTTCTCACACTTTCAGCCGAACCGAATCACTCCGATATAAACCTCGGCTTGCCGATCGCATTGACTCGGTGGGGCCGAGTTCAAGGCAAGCCGACGTGGTTCGGAGAGAGGAGGGTCGGGACGTCGTCGGACTGTCTTCGGTGTTACCAGCAACCACGCAAATCGCTGATGCAGCGGGCATTGTCCGAGACTGGTGAGTATTACCAGGTGGCGCCCCCGTCTTTACTTACAATTCGTCCAGCAGTCTCGTGGTCCACAGGTCTCATGCGAAGAGAAGCGTGGTTGTATCGGGACATTGCCGATTCAGGATGGGCAGTACATGGCACTGATGACGGTCAAGAAATCAGTCCCTTGAACCTGGGTTTGGAAACCTTCAGCTACTTAATTCCCAGAAGCTTCAGCAAAAGAAATGAAAGCAACGCTTCATATTTGGAAAAGCCAAAGCCAGACTACAGGAAAGTATACCATGCATATAACCGTGTATGTAATAATTCTCTTCAATCCCCACCTGAAAAGTCTAATCTATCTAATGACAAGGCGGGAAACACGTTAGAGCACCGTGAGTAGTACCAGACGAACCCCACGCCTGAGTATCGTGGTCCCGAAGCCCCCGTACTCGAAAACCCGGAGTTTTGCGGATGACGACAGGCACTACCCCTAGCAGAGGATCCTTATATGGGGAAGTATTTCTCCCATCTTCTGGACTGTATTCACTTCAAGCCTTCCTACTCCCCCTTCAAGCACACGACCAACCCGCATCATGGAGACAAAACAACAGCAGCCAATTACGGCTTCACATGATGAGAATGTTCCTGCGGCTGGAACCACCACTACCCACCAAGAAAGTTATCAAAAGGGTTGGGTCATTGGAGGGAAATTCCGGGAGACAATAGACGACGAACAATCACCGCATTTCGAGGGCCGATTATTACAGGAGGTGGACTTCGACCTCCCCCTGACCGTGACCAAGCCAACAGAACATAATGGCCACAACTTCCTGGTTCTAGAGTTCGCCCATAGTGACAGAGAGAATCCGTTTAATTGGAGTGCAAAGAGGAAGGCCTTCATCAGCGTCCTTCTTTGCTTGATGACCCTCTTCATTGGTCTTGCCACAACAGCATACAGCTCGGGTATTTCGCGGATGACGGAGGATTTGGGTGTCTCGTCGGAGTTGGGACAGCTGGGTCTGTTTACCTTCAACTTCACCTGTGCACTTGCACCGCTCTTCCTGGCCCCGTTCTGTGAGCTTGCTGGTCGACGAGTCATCTATGTTGGTGCCTATGTCTGCTTTTCTCTTATGTTCATCGGACTCTCCCTCGGTAAGAATATTGCAACTATCCTTGTCTGCCGTGCCCTGCTCGGTCTCTTCGGCTGTGTCGGCACCATCCTCGTCGGTGGTACCTTCGGAGACATGTATACTCCCGCCCACCGTGCGATCCCCATGGCCTCGTTTGCCTTCGTTGCCATCTTCGGTACCGTAGCCGCTCCTATCTATGCTGGCTTCATCGACCAAGCTCTTGGATGGCGATGGGTGGAGGGGATCCAGGGCCTCGCCAACATTCCCTTGGTCATTATCATCGCTATCTTCCTGTGCGAGACTCGTGGTGGTGTGACATTGACCAAGCGGGCCAAGATGATCCGCCAGGCAACGGGCGATGAACGTTTTGTCACTCTGAACGACCTAGAAGCCCCCGGCATCAAGGAGATGCTACACAACTCGTCCGTGAAGGCTATTCGGATGCTCTCCTCGGAGCCTGTCGTCTTCGCCCTGGGTCTCTGGATCAGTTTTGCTTGGTTCTTGACTTTCCTCTTTCTTTCTGCCATCCCTATCACCTACCAAGAGAAGCGGGGCTGGGGCGAGGGGATCTCTGGTCTGCCTTACATTGCTCTCTGTGTTGGTACGACGATTGGGTTCGGCCTGAACTTTTTCCAGATTCGAAAGTACAACTCCATCATCGCCGACTCTGAGCGGGCAGCTCAACCAGAGGCCCGTCTCTACGGAGCCATGTGCGGTGCTATCTGGCTGCCCGTCGGTCTCTTTATTTACAGCTTCACTCAGTATAAGGAGCTGTTCTGGTTCGGTCCCATCGTCGGTCTGGTACTCATCGGCGTTGGAATCCTCTTCATTTTCGAATCCTGCTACAGCTACACTTCCGACTGCTATGGCGAGAACTCGTCTTCTGCCATTGCTGGTCAGGGTTTCATGCGTAACACTCTCGGTGCTGTGTCGCCCTTGTTTGCCTCGCAATTCTTCCACAACCTGGGCAGCCAATATGCGGGCATGCTGTTGGCTCTCATCGCCACTCTCCTGACCTTCATCCCCTTCGTCTTGTACAAATTTGGACCTGAATTGCGGGCACGATCCAAGCTGGCCAGCACTATTGTTAGTCTCGGCACTGGTGATTTGTAACGCTTGACGTTTTGAAGAATGCAAGGAGCGATAGATGAAGCAAGGATTGGTGATCAGCAAGTTAATGGAGTATTGGCTTGAAGTCTTCTGGGCCATGCATATTTAAGGAGTTGGAGGAGTGAATAAAAGTGACGCATTTGCAAGCGAATCAGAAATTCTCTCACAAAACTTCGTATTCACTAGCTACAATACCGGGGATCGTCTCCAGTCCGTAGCGGTCGAGGACCAGCCTGATTTGACTATCGATTAAAAGCCAACCGCCAATCAGCGGAGACTTGCCTAAAACAGGCTGGCACAAAAGGGCGGTCAACCTCACCCGTGATCCACCCACCACAATCTGCCTATATCCACCCGGAATGGGAAGGCGGTGGCCAAAATCTTTTCCCTTCTGAGTTTTCCACTTCATGGTGGTCTTCACTCCATCAACCCGCACTTCAACCGCATCCCCTGTTATTACACGGCAGTGATCCTTCGCGTGAGCCATTTCTCAAAAGATTTGGTTTCTGAACTCCCTTTCACCTCCACCCATCAACCCCCTACACCGTCGCAATGGCTGAGGAAACCAATGCCGCCTGGCCCATCGCCGATGAGGCCCTGAGCCAGCAGCTCCTGGATCTCGTTCAGCAGGGTGGTCACTATCGCCAGATCAAGAAGGGTGCTAACGAGTACGTTCATATCCTGTGCTCACAAAGAGCCCTGCCTCTTGGCCCATGCCATCAGTACCTGAACACCTCGACTAACCTGTTCTTTCTCTCTAGGACCACCAAGACCCTCAACCGTGGTACCTCTGAGCTCGTCGTTCTCGCTGCCGAGTAAGCATTTCCCCAGTCCATGGCCTGGAAAATCAATGCTAATGATCATCTCAGCACCACCCCTCTGCCCATTATTCTCCACCTGCCCCTTCTGTGCGAGGACAAGAACGTTCCCTACGTTTACGTTCCCTCCAAGATGGCTCTTGGCCGTGCCTGCGGTGTCAGCCGCCCCGTGATCGCTGTGTCCAGTAAGTTTCTCGCGAGGTCCCTATATATAATATAGTTCGTGCTAACCGGCACTTTCCAGTCACCACCAACGAGGCCAGCGAGCTCGCCAACCAGATCCGCACCCTCAAGATCCAGGTCGAGCGTCTGATGATCTAAGAAGTCGGTCGAGGCCGGAGATTCGTGGAGGAACATCTCGAGTTTGGGTGGAGTTTGAACTTTGCTGTGCATGCGGTTACAATGTTTTCCTCGGAAAGCCCCGGCTGCTTTGCCATGTAGCCCCACCCCTTGCTACTGAAGTCTTTAGCTAGATTTCTCTTCAGCTGGAGGTACGAATCCAGAATCTTTTTGAGAATTTTTGGCTCGGGCGTAGTTCACCGAGTTCGCCGAGATTTGGCGGGGTCTCGTAGCGTAGTCCAGTGTAGCTTAAACCCCCTTTTGAGAGGAGCTATCTGCAGATCTTTACTGCACGGCACACGGAGTAAAGCGTCATCCCGAAAAAAAAATATGCCACAACAGGTGTAGTCTCAATGCACTCGGCAGTATACCTTGGAATGGGATAGGCCGACAACACTAGAGTACCTTAGCAGCCCTGTCCATACGCCCAGTGCAGCGATCAATTTCGCCAAGCTTTGTGGCAGCGCCTTCTTCACCACAGTGCATGGATGGCGTGCACATACTTCGCCTATAATACACCTCAAGCCCAAAAAAGGGTCACGAAGTTAGCCTTTACCCGAACTGATCAACCGGCCATCGCCGACGGCGCCCCGTGAACTCGACCGAGCCCCTCCTGAGACAAAGCTAAACAGAGCAAATCACTCCTAAGCCCTAAACAAAATGGAGCCAGGGGCCGACGACCGAAAAACCAACATGAACGGATCGCCCCTGCAATAGGAACCGGTGGCCGAACCCTACCCGTGGCCCCGGCGTCGGCGTGTCAGCAGCGGCTACTAACGCGCCGATCAATCAATGCCAGACAAGGGGGAGGGGGTTCGGTCCTCTATAACCCTTCAATCTGTAGCCCCCGACCTCGGCTCTATTCGTAGGGCCTGGTCACCTTCACCTTCGAACGTGCGTTCCACAACAGCTGCGAATGGATTCTGTGCAGCCGACGCTAAAGGCGTTTGGTGGAGCACCATCTGGAAAGACCACGCACAGATATAGGGCAGGCGGTTCATCGCTCCTCGCCCACTCGGAGCTCAGGAGGGGTTTTGGATTAGCGTGCAGAATAGTTCTGTCCAATGGCAGTATGCGGAACAATATATTGAATTTGACCCATGGTCCACCGGTGGGTTTGAGATATAGCTTGCGGTTTCTTCTCCAGCCTTGCTCGATGTCCAGGGGCTATCCTTGATTCTTCGTTCTCTTTGCTCTCGCGTGATTTATATTCGTTCTTCGTCCATTAGATTTTCTCTCTTTCAGAAAGAGCCAAAACTCACAATGGTCTTCACCACTGCCCTCCTCGCAATCAGCCTGGCGCCATTGCTGGCAGCCGCCCAACTGTCCGGTACCGTGGGCCCGACAACCTCCTACTCGACGAAGGCGAGCCACAAAATCTGCAATGTGCTCGACTATGGTGGTGTCGCCGACAAGTCGACCGATATCAGCACCGCCATCAGCTCGGCCTGGAACGAGTGCAAGAGTGGCGGTGTGGTCTACATTCCATCTGGCGACTACGCGCTCAATTCCTGGGTCAAGCTGACCGGCGGGAAGAGCACTGCCATTCGACTGGATGGAATCCTCTACCGGACCGGCTCTGACGGAGGCAACATGATCTACATCGAGCACACTTCGGATTTCGAGCTGTTCAGCTCGACCTCGAAGGGTGCGGTGCAGGGCTCTGGCTATGAGTTCCACAAGAAGGGAGATCTGACCGGGCCTCGGATTCTGCGTCTGTATGAAGTTACCGACTTCTCGGTCCACGATCTTGCTCTGGTTGATGCCCCGGCTTTTCACTTCACCATGGACACTTGCCAGAACGGCGAGGTGTACAACATGGCTATTCGTGGCGGTAGCTCTGGCGGTCTGGACGGTATCGATGTGTGGTCTACCAACATCTGGGTTCACGATGTGCGCCGATGATAGCCCTCTCCCCCCTTCGAACAGGTTGACTCATTCCTTCTCTAGGTCGAGGTCACCAACAAGGACGAGTGTGTTACTGTCAAGGTATGAATGGTCTAGGAGATCATCATTGACCAGTCTAGACATCTCTAACTTCATTGCAGAGTCCCGCCAAGAACATCCTCGTGGAAAACATCTACTGCAACTGGAGCGGTGGCTGCGCCATGGGCTCCCTGGGTACCGATGTCGACATTTCCGACGTCACCTACCGCAACGTCTACACCTGGTCCTCCAACCAGATGTACATGATCAAGAGCAACGGTGGCAGCGGCTCCGTGTCCAATGTCGTCCTGGAGAACTTCATCGGTGCGTTCTATTCCTCGTCACCGATTCCGCAACACAAATAAAATATACTAACGATGCCCACTAGGCCACGGCAACGCCTACTCCCTCGACATTGACCAGCAATGGAGCAGCATGTCCACCGTTTCCGGCGACGGCGTGCAGTTGAACAACATCACCATCCGGAATTGGAAGGGCACGGAGACGGACGGCACGGAGCGCGGGCCGATCAAAGTGAACTGCGCCTCCCGCGCGCCCTGCACCGACGTGACGATCGTGGACTTCGCGATGTGGACCGAGTCGGGCCGCTACCAGAAGTACACCTGTAACAACGCGTACGGCGAGGGCGCGTGCCTGAAGCACGGTGACGACCATACCTCTTACAGCACGACGACGAAGGTGACCACCAAGCCCACTGGGTACTCTGCGGCGAAGATGAAGTCGGACCTGGCGAAGGCGTTTGGCACAGACTCGCCTATTCCGATCCCTGCGATCCCGACGTCGTTCTATCCGGGTGCTACGCCGATTAGTGCTCTGGCTGCGCATGCGACTTCTACCTAGAGGGTTGACGATTGGTGGGCTAGGTGCTGAGTTGAGTAGTTGAGTAGTATCTATCATTACTACGCGGTACCCAGGTTCTTGTACTATTTTGTGACCTTTTTTCCCCGTAGTGTTTGGGACATATATTGACTGACTGACAGTTGGGAGTGTTCTGTATCCCTGGGCCACGTTAAGTATATATTTGCTGGTTTACCTCCTGTGGAATCGTTAAGTACCCAAGATCCAAAATGCCATGACATCCATGAAAACGCACAGTAGCCTGACTAGCCCCTTCATTCGAGAAGTGTAGACAGGGCTACTCAACCGGGCAATACCATGTGTAGAAATGCCCCGATTTGGCCTACCGTCCCGAAATGTCCAAATGTGGGGGGAAAGCACACTTCGGTGGCTGCCAGAACTTTGACGAAACCGCGCGTGTCGATCACGCCATTGGAGGATCCAATCAGACACGAGGATTTAGGCAAGTCTGAAAGCAAACCAGCTCGAGCGCAAGCAAGGAATCCTCCCAGACAGAGTTTGCCGCTCCTTCTCGTGGCCCTGATTCGACAGGCCGCCGTTGATGCAGATTCCACGCTTCTTGCGCAAGGGTCAGCGTTGCATCGGGGATCTAGGCCCCGAGCCGCGCCGAGCCTCCCGTCGATATACAAAAGGGGACCAGGGACGAAGGGAGGGTGTTTGATTTTTACCTCCGTCTGAGCGGTCTCTGTGGTGATCGCGAGCCGCTGCCATGTCGGCGCCTACAAAATCGCCGGCCGACGAGCCCACCATGTTTGAGTCCGCGCGTGCAGCGCGCACGACCGCGCCAGAATCAGGCCCCGAGGCGGCATACAAGGCCAAAGCGGATGTGCTCAACCATGAAATCCAGGACATCGGCATGGGCCGGTACCAGTGGCAGCTGTTCGTGGTGATCGGCTTCGGCTGGGCAAGCGACAACCTCTGGCCGATCGCAACATCGCTGATCCTGCCGCCGCTGTCATACGAGTTCCACGCCTCGCAGGCGCCGCTACTCACCCTCGCGCAGAACATCGGGCTGCTCGTCGGCGCGGTGTTCTGGGGCTTCGGGTGCGACGTGTTCGGGCGCCGGTGGGCGTTCAACTTGACCATCGGTATCACGGCGGTGTTTGGGCTGGCCGCGGCGGGCTCGCCGAATTTCGGCGCCGCGTGTGCATTTGCGGCGCTGTGGTCTGTTGGGGTTGGGGGCAATCTGCCGGTTGATTCGGCCATTTTTTTGGAGTTTTTGCCCGGCTCGCACCAGTGGCTCTTAACGGTTCTGTCGGTCGACTGGGCCTTTGCGCAGTTGTTGGCTAATCTCGTCGCTTGGCCACTTCTGGGCAACATGTCATGCGGGTCGGGGGAGGGCTGCAGGAAAGCGAAGAATATGGGGTGGCGGTACTTTCTCATTGCCATGGGCGGGCTGGCGATGGTCATGTTTGTCGTCCGGTTTGTGTTCTTCACCATCTACGAGTCGCCCAAGTACTTGATGGGCAAAGGGAGGAATGCGCAGGCAGTCGAGGTGGTGCATGAAGTGGCCCACAGGAACGGCAAGGCTTCGTCTTTGACTCAGGACGAGCTCGATGATCTCGACGAGGGTGAGTCGCACGGGTTCACCGCGACCAACATCGTCCGGCAGCGACTGGACAAGCTTCGGTTTGAGCATATTCGAGCCCTCTTCGACACCCCCCGAAGAGCATACTCCACCACCCTGATCATTCTTGTCTGGGCTTTCATTGGTCTGGGCTTCCCTCTATACAACGCATTCCTCCCATACATCCAGCAGTCCCGGGGTATCGAGTTCGGCGACGGATCAACATACATCACGTACCGAAACTCGCTAATCATCGCCGCCATGGGCATTCCTGGCTGTCTCCTCGGCGGCCTGCTAGTTGAGCTCCCACGCTTCGGGCGAAAAGGCGCATTATCGACTTCAACAGCATTGACTGGTGCGTTTCTGCTCGCATCAACAACAGCAACCACATCGAACGCCTTGCTGGGATGGAACTGCGCCTACAATTTCATGAGCAGTCTCATGTACGCCGTGCTCTATGCGTACACGCCAGAAATATTCCTGACGAAAGATCGCGGGACGGGCAATGCACTGACAGCTTCCTCCAATCGCATATGCGGCATTATGGCGCCTATCATTGCTATGTTTGCTAATCTGAACTCTGCTGCACCGGTGTATGTTAGTGGGGCGTTGTTCGTTGTAGCAGGCATTTTGGTGGTCTTACTGCCATATGAGTCGAGAGGAAAGGCAAGTCTGTAAATTATTACGTGGTACGAGATTTCTAGCCAGCCTGTCTTGGTGAATCCTTGCAGGGCTGCCCGCACGTGTTTCTGGCACCTCCACCCCATCCCAGTTAATATAATACACTTTCATCAAGCCCTGGCCCGATCCACTCAGCACACGCCTCTATCAACTGGGTATGACATCATCCTTCCAATCGCCACAAGCACTATAGACGCAAATGAAAGCACTGTACCCTATCACCCACATAACGACCAAACACTATCCCACCATAGCCACAGTATTCAATGTAAGAAACTTCTGCCCTTGCCAGTGGCCCAATCACCTCCCAACAATTTTGGGGAATTTCAGCCAGTCGGCCCGCCGTACCACGTTGATATCATCGCCGTGTGGATACCTGGGGTACCCCTACGTCAGGCTAGCAACAACTGGGTTTGATCGGGCGGCCGTCACATTGTGACGGAGGAGAGGAAGTGGCGCTATCCGTGCGACTGCTGTCAAATGAGCGGCTGTTGTTTGCTCGCCGTTGCGCGTCACCCCATATGACAGCATGGCGTGTCACTTTTTGTGGGGTGGTCACAACCATTAGATCATTAAATCATTATATCATATTCAAGGGGAACCTATTTCCAAGGTTAGTGGGTATAAAAACTAGCACGTAAAAGAACCTGATATTCTGTCGCTAGAAACTGGCAACTACCAAGTCCAAGCAGAACCCCTCAAAAGCACTTCACTATCCATCAAACCCACTCCCTCTATCCTCTCAAGATGTCTCAGCAACAGCAGAACAGTGAGTTCCTCAATATATATGTCCCGGCGAATCCATCCCAGGCCTAACCATACCATTTTCTAAACAGGCGGCGGACTCCTCGGTGGTCTCGGCGACACCCTCGGCAAGACGGTCGGCGGCGTAACCAACACCGTGGGCGATACAGTCGGCGGGCTGGGCAACACCGTCGGGGGCGCGACCTCGGGTCTGGGTAACACCGTTTCGGGGGCAACCGAAGGCCTAGGAAATACGACGAAGAGTGCTGGCCAGGGCGTTTCCAACGGCTTCCAGAGCACTGGTGGGCAGAAGCAGACTGCGGAAAACCCACTCGGCTTGAACCGGTAGATCAGGATGTTCGATTATACGTACTGTACTTGATGATTGGATGTATATACAATATTCTTCCTGGTTCTCTATAACGTCGATGATACGTTTTGTTTCTGCTTGATGTATTTATCAATTTCAGGGATGCTTTCGTATAATGTGTTTGGTGCTGTAATATGCGCTTCTCTTAGTTTGGAAAGTTCTTTCTATACCTGGGAGATTGTTAGACGCGTGATTTTGAATATCCCGGTGAATGGTTCACAAAGGTCAGCCAAACGTGCATATAAAATCCCTAATTACTTCCGAGCAAAAGAGCCACAACGTCAGAGGCTGCTGATGTTTTCACCCTAGCTTTTTGATGTATATCAAAATCGTGAGTAATTTACGACCACCTATCTCAGGTACCATCACATCACCACAACCCGTTCTGCGGTGTTTGTCGTTAGCTTCCTCCTCTCGTTGCCCCATTCTCCTACTAAAATCAATATTATTTCATGTTTCCTGATCAGCGTTTCAGTCGTTAAGTTAACTAAGTTACAGGGGCTGAGTATGGGCTTAGTAATCGGGAAATGAAAGATCTTCTTCCAGCCACGAGAAGCTAGCAGTAATTCATATATAGGATGATACTTGACGTGATAGGCTTAATATGTACCTGCACTTTGACGTTCTATTTCCCTCGCCTTTTCTACCATGTATCTATCCCAAGTATTGTTGGACAGAGCCGTCCCCCAGTCTCAATTTATGCATCCCGGGATTCTGTGTCTCAATCCTTTCTATGTAGCAGACTACTGCCATTATTTATTCATACAAGATGCTATGGCCGAGTGGTCTAAGGCGCTTGACTAGAATTACGACCGTTTGGTCTGATACTATCCATCAAGTCCGTTCGCGGGCGGCGGTTCAAATCCGCCTGGCATCGAATTTTTGCATTTCTAGTGTGTATTTTAGCTTTTCTGGCGAATTATCGTTTTTGTGGCCACTACGCGAGTGGGGCCGTGGGTCGGGCATTGTGGATGGTAAGTGGTGGACGGAACATGGGCATGGCAAGCAGTTATCCGTTTGCTTGACAATTGCGTATGGTATGAATCTCTGTGAATTGGAAGCACATTATCCGTTCAATAAATTCGCATTGAATGTGTCTCTAGCACATGGGCTCCTAATAGGCTCCGAATGAGCGGTGCAGGTTCCGCTTTCCATAACTAATTCATAAGGTTTAGAGATGAACTCAATGCATGATGGTGCGACGCAGAGGGACTCGCAGATATGACTTTGCTACTATATTGAGAGGATAACGTGTGCAGCTATTTTAGCTCTCTGTATGCAAGTGATACCTGCAAAGTAATCTGTTCGGCAGTTTTTTTGGCTCCATAATTAAGATCTTATGAAGCTATTCATTGCACTGCACTGCACCTTTGATTCTAGGTTGAGAGCTTTTCTGATATATATGGTGGGACCTTATATGGCTACGCGGCTAAGGACGGATATTTTATCTTTTTCCTAAATGGCTTCAGCATCTCGTGTTCTCCACTCAACAACGCTGAGAATCTTCCTTAGGGCCGCCAGTTAATCCAGACCGATTGTCAACTCAATGTCTCCAGCACAGCACAATAGGGAAGCCAATGTCTATTTAGTAATAATAGACATGCATCATCCATATTTTGAGTTCCAAGGAACTGGAATGCGGGGGAACGGAAGCTAGAACGGAGGGTTGCAAGGCTAGAATGTCCGTGCCGAGGAAGCCGAGTTGTTTTGGCCGAACCACGGTCGAGCCATACATTCAACCCACAACAGGCTCACCTCGCCAATTCACCGAGTATTCAAGATAAAACATCAAGATCCATCAATAAAAAAAGCTCTTGCGGGATAAGACCAAGGGTGGCGGCTACCTACAATTTCACCCCGTCGCCTGTCGTCCACCCCTCGCCGCACTGACCAAGCCTAAGCTAACGCTGCATGGCTTTCCATAAAAATAGATAGGCATCAGGTTCAACTGCTACACAATCTTCCATTTGGCTCTACTGGAAGTCAGTCGTCAACCTTTCACTCAACGTGCTCTATTTCAGCATAGGGTGTGTATCATGAGCCTGCTGCGGTACATATTGTACCGGGAGATTTTGCGGCAGATGATCACCCACCCGCGGCATTCATTATCCCATCAGGGTATTTCCTAAGGACTGACAACGAACATTATGTTTACTTCTCTCTGTGGTGCCGGTTTAGGATGAATAAATGCGGTATCTTGCGTGGAAGCCGTGAACTTTAGACGCTGTATCTACCACTCGGGTTGAAAGTGACTGCCTAACATTTGTCGGATATGCGCTAATGAAAATAGTAGAAAGAGAACTTACTTCTCTTCGATGACAGATCTTCCATCGTTAGTTGCATCGTGGCTGCGTCGTCTGCTGCCATCGTGGCTGGGATATTGCCCAATGATCAGTATGCACTATTGACTGAGCTGGCTGGCGAGCAATGAGCTGCGATAAATTAGGCTTTGGCTGTCCAGGGTGATTATGGTGATCTCTGCGGTGCCTGATGCTGCATACGCTGCTGCCCAAGACAGTCATGGGGTTTGTCTTCTTGCCACTCGGCTTGCTTGCGAAGGGCGGGTATAGGTATTTCCTCTTCTCTCCGCCGACTTGGTAAGATTTTAACTGAATTTTGAAGCTGGGCCAATGCGCCCGAGAAATCTTTTCCAGGACACATTTTCTGGAGCAGGCCTCTGATTCGACGTTCTACACATTCGAGTTTTTACCCACTTGATCCTCTGGTCTATTGGGCTGGTCTGGCTATTCTCTGCATTAGCCTCTATCGCTCGTTTCAAAGATCCTCCCTTCAACATGGGCCGGTGGTTACTTAATTTTCCCTTGGGGGTTCTTCGCATCCAGCGCTGTTTAGATGAGACCGGGGCTGGCTTCGAGGTTATTTGATGCACAAAGAACGGTACGTTGTATTCACTGTTTCCATGAGTATTTCTGGGTCAGTCTTTCTTTGCTCGAAACTATATCGCTTTTTGTGGCAGCGTTATGGTTCTGATTATTATTGGCACTCGTCGAGGAGTGCTCACTTTGGCTCCGTGGCTGGCGGACCCTCGGGTGCCAGAGGACAAAAATGCCGGGAGGGTAGCATAATGGTAAATGGAGTCAAAGCGCATGACTGATCAAAACTTCCTACTGAATAAAATGGGTTTCATCCAGTAATCACCGTAATAATAATTTACAGCATCGCAGCTCTGTAGTCCAGCATATTGTGAAGACTGTATTGTTGGGTGTGTGGACCCCAGACCCTCTCACGTGATGTGGAGAACCGCTCAATTTTTAAATTTATTTTATTATTTTATTTTTATTATTATTTTCCCTTTCGCCCATCGAGAGATCGAGCCCAGCGTCATCCACTTGGTTCCCCGATCGTCCCATCTCGCCTGTGCCCGCCTTTCTCGCCAGGGCACGCCAGCCAGGGGCATCGGACTCGGTCAGCGCGCGCTGTCCTGCTCTCCCCACGCTGGCCTCTTTCCCCCCTGAATCGCCCTTTCGTGTGCGCCTGGCGATTTTTCCTTCTTGCGCTGACTGGCAGCACTCGGCCTCCGTACCCGCTACGCCTATTTAGGTAATTTTGGGCCTTGGTGCCTTACCCATCTGGTGCATCTGACACGGTTTGACACCTTAGTGCCTTAGTGCCTTGGTGACTCAGGCCGCGGGAACAACAAAACACGCGGCGCGACTCCAGCTGGCCGTCGTTGAAACCGCAATTTTGGCTGGGCCAGCGACCACGGCTCGGAATCGGCTGTTGATCGCATTGTGTATAGTTTGTTAGCCTCCCGGTAGTTTGGGATAGCGGTGGTCGCATGTGCCGTGCGTGAAACAGAAACAAGCCGAGCCATCCCATTCTTATCGAGGTGCCGCTGACGGCTTTCGTTCGAGGCACCACGTCATTGAAAATGATGGGATACGGGGGTCAGCCCTTTCACCATCAGCAGGCGCAGCAGCAACAACAGCAGCAGCAGCAGCAGCAGCAGTCGCAGCAACCCCATCAGACATCGCAGACCCAGCATCCGCTGGGGCCGCCGCGCCAGCATATCCCGTCGCCGTCGCTAGGCGCCGCGCCGAATCTGCCGCACCATGGAGGCAGTCCATTTCCTAGTAACAAACCCCTGTTTCGCGCAGGTCCACCGCAGCAACAGGCATTCTCTGCAGGGCAATCGCCCGATTTGCGCAAGATGGCACCGACATCTTCGAGCCCATTGACTGGGTACCCCACCACGACTAGCTACGGGCAATATCCCGGTCATTTTGCGCCGCAGGGCTCTCCTGAGGTGATGTCTCGCCCGGACTTTATGGCTCGTAATTCCGATCCGATGGCTCTGCAGAACCTACAGCGTGGCTTCCAGAATCAAATGGCGCATATCCGACCCCAGCCTGTAATGAGCCCTCCGACGGGCATGTCCCAAGGGCATGGCATGGGGATTCCATCGCCTCAGCAGTCGTTGAACAGGCTTCCGCACTCGGGTGTCCAACAGCGCGAAAGCCACCCCTCCGCCAGTTCGTCCATGGCTAGTCCCTCCATGTTCGCTATCAACCAGCAGCGCCAGCAGCCCCAGTCACAACCCCAATCGCCTCAGCAAACCCAGCAGCAGTTGCATCAATTCCAACAAAGACAACACCAGCACCAGCAGTATCAACAGCAACAGTATCAACAACAACAACAACAGCAGGAGCGTCTTCAGCAGCAAAGGATCGAACAGCAACGACTCGAGCAGCAAAAGCAACTTCAACAGCAGCGCCTAGAGGAGCAGCAACGTCTCGAGCAGCAGAAGCAGCAGGAACAGCAGAAACGTCTGGAGCAGCAACGGCAAGAGCAACAACGCCAGGAGCAACAACGCCAGGAACAGCAGCGCTTAGAGCAGCAACGCTTAGAGCAGCAACGCCTGGAGCAACAACGTCAGGAACAGCTACGCCTGGAGCAGCAGAAGCAGCAGGAACAACAGAAGTTGGAACAACAGAAACGCCTGGAACAGCAACGTCTAGAGCAGCAGAGGCAGCAGAAACAGTTGTTAGAACAGCAGCGGCTTGAACAACAGAAAAAACAGCAGATGGAGCAGCAACAAAAGCAGCAACTGGAGCAGCAGAGACTGCAAAAGCTACAACAGCAGACATTGGCTCACAATTCATATCAGCAGCAACATTCTCCTTTCCCGCAACACTCGCAGGTTTCATTTCATCAATATCAGCCGCAGGCTCAGGCTCATAATCAATATACGCAACACCAGCCACAGTTCTCGCAAGCTCCTCCGCAACCTCAATTCACCCAATCTCAACACACGCAATTCCAGCACTATCAACCTCCTTCACAGCCAGCAGCAGAGAAGCCTGCACGACCCCCTCCTGCGCCATCTGTGCCTGCTGCAGCTACGGGTAACGTGATCATCAAGACTGAGCACCCAAGCCCGGCACCGAAAAAGAAGTCAAAACCTAGGCAGTCTGTAGTTGCACAGGCTCAGCCTCAACATCAGGCCACCCCTCAGCCTCAGGTTACTCTGAATCCTTCAGCTCCTGCTGCTGCGCCGCCCAGCACGCCAATGCAGGCAAATGGACAAGCACAAGGACAAGCAACTACTGTGCCGGCAGCTGGTGGTATGCCCCCAGCTACGCCGACCCCAACAAAACGCAAGCGCGGGCGCCCACGGAAAGAGGAAGTCGCGGCCAGACAGGCTGCCGCTGCCGCAGCCGCTGCCGCTGCTGGCCTTCCCCTCCCAGGGACATCTCAACCCGGACAATCATTCCCGCCAAACATGACGCCGACTGCACCAGGATCTGCTGGAGCGCCCAGCTCGAGCACTCCCCAAATTATTATCGGGCCAGACGGAACTCCGCTACCATTCAAGCGTAAACGTGGTCGTCCTCGCAAGGCTGATCAGATCGCCTGGGCAGTTGCAACGGGCCAACCGTTGCCGCCACCAAAGCCCAAGAAGCCATCCACTGCTAAGCCGAGCGGTACTGGTCGACCTCGTGGCAGACCTCGCAAGGCAGATGTCGCCGCGGCGGCTGCTGCCGCTGCGGCAGCAGCCGCCGCCGCAGGTGGTGATCAGGTACAGGGAGAAAACAAGCCTCAGATAGGTGACAAGCCAGATGCGAATGCAGCTCAGAAGCGCTCGGCACCCGCTGATGACGACCCGCGCAAGCGGCCTTGCCCAACACCTCCACACCTACAACAAGGCCAGCCTCAACCTCAGCCTCAGCAACAGGGACAGCACTTACCTGCCCGAAGCCAAGCAAATTCACAGCCAAGCCAGGCTTTACCGCCGCAGCAACATCACGGGTTCACTCACATGCCGCAGCCAGGGCAGCACATGGGACACCAGTCTGGTCAGCACCTGCCACAGCAGCAGAACCAGCACCAGCACCGTCCACCAAACCAGCAATTGCCCTTGCAACCTGGCCACCCGCTATCCTTGCCGCCGCATATGCAGATGCACCAACAGACTACCGCTCACCCTCCCCGGCCGACGCCACCTCATCCGTTCATGCAAACTCAGATGCCATCGATGCAGTCGCCAATGCAGCAGTCGCCAATGCAGCAGTCGCCAATGCAGCAGTCACCAATGCAGCAGTCACCAATGCAGCAGTCACCAATGCAGCAGTCACCAATGCAGCAGTCACCAATGCAGCAGTCACCAATGCAGCAGTCACCAATGCAACTCCCTCAGCCGATTCACGGACATCCTCAACACCAGGGGCAGCAGCAGCTTCAGCATCAGGGACACCACCATGCTCAAAGTCGTCCTCCAGCGCAGCAACAAAATCGAGCTCCGCCGGCGCCGGCCCCACAGCATCAGCATCAGCATACCTTCCAGGTTCAGCTCCAGCCTCAAACGACCTAGAACTTGCGCTGTCTACGGTTGAGCTGTGCATACCCCTGCTATGCGGCCAGGCTGGTGCCTCCCCGACGCTTCCCTGTTCACTACTTCCGCCATGACTTCATTCTTCCTCCGACATTGTTTTCACTCTTACTATAGCCCTTTGGCGCACATTCCAATATTCCCTGCATTGGTTTACTGATTTTTTATATGCTATAACTTGTTCCTGTTTTATCTGATAACACGGCATGACCCACCCCTCCCACGATTGAATTCAGTGGTCACGCTATTTTGTATCCTGTGGCGTTTTCGCGTGTCTTTTTTCTTTTTCATGTTATGTTGCGTCCTGTTTCTCTCAGTCCTTGGCATGATGGGCATTCTGATTTGCAGATGCGTCCTTTGTTCAGTCGGGCCAGTGGATTTCTGATTTGTGGATTTCTGCTGGATGGTTGTTTGAGATACATATCTAATGTTGTAGTACATATTTCTAATCTTACGGGCTATTACATGGATTCCTACTTCCAAACAGCTAGGTGGAGAGTATAATTCTGAAGTAATTCGTAAGGCAAGCAGGCCCCGAACAGAGCATACCACCGCGCTAGCAATGGGCTAGGCAGGGCTGGAAAGCTATGATTTCTTCTTCTAGGCTTCTGGCCTTGTTTTGTTCCACTCTTTTATCCGCTCCCCACATCAACAAGTCTCATGGAGTCGACAACTTCAATATATGTCGCACTGAACTTGGCGCAGGCGCTTTAGGTATGGAGTTGTAACCTAGATCCCTGCTGTGCAGATTTGTGTATGAAGTCTCACCTCAGTAAGAAAGGATTTAGCGGGTTTGATGACTTCAACAGTTCGCGATCTTCACCTGCCAAGTCTGCCAAGACTGCCAATCTCTCCCACGTTCCCCAACGCCCTTAGCGGAATTTACCGGTCCCCTGGTCTTATTCTCCGATGGGACAATGCGCTCTGTTACGAGGTCTTCAAAAAATGGCAGCTTCTAAGCCTATTTCCTGATTGTTTTAAAAAAGCATCCTTAATTTCACTTAACAATAAATTTGGAACCTTAACTCTTGCTCTGGGCTGTTTCCCTTTAGACATACAGCCCTATCGCATTATGTCCGATTATTTAGACGAATCGGAGAAATTTCCCTTCTGACCTCTAAAGATCAATGGAGCAAGCATGGAAACCCCAAAAGAGGGGATACGCCCCACCGTTATCTCTGGGCAATTTGGGGTGAGGAGTTCAGACACGGCAGCCTCGGAAGGTCCAGTCGACGCTAAGATAGTAAGCTTGGCGGTGTCTATGTATTTAAGAGTGCCCCTGCTATTCAAGGCATTAGATTAAGTGCATCATGGCTTTGGGTTTTGGATCTCGCCTGTGGCGTGTTTCCGCTTCTATAGTTCTTCTCTTTGCTACCTCGACCACATCAACTACTATCGAAGATGGCAAGCTGTTCACCGTCAATGGAATCAGCTATTATGGCGGAGGCACTGCTGTCTCCAAGATAGTGACCTCCGCAGATTTCAGTACAACCCAATTCAACGCGGATATTGTTCCTATTACTATCATTCGAACAGATGATGCGGTTCTCACAAAGGACAGTCTGAAGGATATTATCTCAAACTATTCCGACTCCGATGATGTGTTCCAGACTGGATTCCTCCAGTGTAAGTTTGGGTTGAGCTGCTATTCTTCACAAATTCAGTTGAATTAACCTCACAACAGCGGTGTTTCTGCTCTACGACGGAGCTGGTCGGAGCAAAGCTGACATCTCAAGCCACCAAGCTCTGCAGAAGTTTGGAAGCAAAGTCGTAATGGCTTCGCCTCGCTATCGACCTGAAGCATATCTTACACCTGCCAAGCTGTTGCATGACCTACCCAAGGGACCCTACTTTTTCTCGCCCCAGACCGGAGAGGTTTATCAAGCCTTCCGTCTCTATTCAGACCACCAAGTTGCTTTCACTGAAGGAGCCCTGAGCGATGGAAATGGAGGATTCAAACCTTTGCCTGCAGCCGCATCGGTGAGTATTTGGTAGGAAAGCGTGCATTACTTTGAGCTAATTAGATTTAGGGAGCAATGACAAAAAGTGTGGCTGTTCCATCCCGGCTTTACTATACGCCCACTTCTAAAAAGCCACTTGCAGGAGTGAGTCTCAAACCCATGTAATGTTGGTTGAAATTATTGTTTATAAAATCTAGTTACGCTTGGGTGTCAAAGACATTTACCACATCAAGGGACTGCGGACTAGTGGAGGTAACAGAGCCTACTATGATTTGTACTCACCGCAAAACACCACCGGTCCCGCAATTCAACGCTTGATCGATCAAGGTGCTATTGTGGTCGGAAAGATGGGCACTGTTCAGTTTGCAAACGGTGACAACCCCACCGCTGACTGGGTCGACTTCCATTGTCCTTTCAACCCGAGAGTAAGTCTCTTGATTCATATACGGGAATCTATACTAACACTTCTCAGGGTGATGGCTACCAAGCTCCTGGTGGCTCATCTTCAGGACCTGGCGCCGGCATTGGTGCTTACGACTGGTTAGATATTGCCGTGGGAAGCGATACTGGTGGCTCCATGCGCAGCCCAGCAGGCATGCAAGGGCTATTTGCCAACCGTCCTTCTACTGGTGCCGTCTCCCTGGATGATGTTATTCCCCTCTGCCATGCACTCGACACAGCTGGTGTCTTCTCCCGCAATGCTGCCACCTGGTCAAAGGTTCTTCATGCTTGGTACCAGAACTTTACTGATTACAGGGAATATCCTAAGAAGATCTTCTATCAGGACTCTTCATTCCCTGCCACAAACACCTCAGCTGGTGCAATGCTCGAAGAGTTTGTTGTCAAGGTCGAAGATTTCCTCGCCACGAAGCGTGAGCATGTTAATATTTCTTCGCAATGGGAGAAAACCCATCCTTCAACAACAGCCGGCGCCATCAACGACGTGTTAAATACAGTGGGCTTCAAGATTATCTAAAATCTACCATCGCATGCTAATAAAACACAACAGACATACGCTTTCTTGGTATCCGTTGACCAATACCGCTCCCTTGCACTGCCATTCTACGCAGACTACGCTAAGAAGCACGAAGGTCGACGGCCCTTCATTAACCCAGGCCCTCTGGCACGATGGACATGGGGCCAGAACAACGGTGGTGACGCCGCCTTTACAGAGGCTCTCAAGAACAAGACCAGCTTCAAGAACTGGTGGGAAACAGACGGATACGGCAAGGCAGACGAAAAGACTTGTTCCGAGGGAATCTATCTCTACCCCTACACACAGGGAGACACGCAATACCGCAATGTCTATTTCAGGTGAGTTGGCATCATCAGAATCATGATAAAGCTTCAATATCTAACATCCACAGTGCCCCAACCGCACCTCCTCTAGGCTTTTCAAATGGCCGTATCGCCGTCTTAGCTGGTACCCCTGATATGATTGTCCCTGTTGGCGAGGTTGCTTATAACTCTACTATCTCGCTTAAGACGGAGTATATGCCAGTCACAATGAGCTTTGGGGCTGCCAGAGGCTGTGACTTCATGTTGGTGAATCTCATTGAGGATCTTGAGAAGGCTGGTATTGTGAAACCTGTCAGCACAGGATCGATGATGTATCCATCTTAGATTGACACTATGAATGACAGAAAGTCCAGAGTCGAACCAACCGATTCAACTCCAGAACACTGAGAATGGTGGCCAGGATTGTCCCGGACGTCGAGAAACCGACTACAAGATTAGTCTTCCAGATCGTGGATCGCACGTCGTATCACTAAAATTCCGGCTTCCAGCCGGTGCATGATCCGTGCCAGCTTTGCCCTTTGACCGTCCACCATCCTCGTAGCCCTCAGGTTTGTTGAAGTTGTGGGATAGAGCAGTATACTCCAGCATTCGCCCACCAGGTTTGATACCCCACTTCCCCCATATTATCTCCCACCTCATCAACGCTTTTTATTGAACGTAAACGTTAGTACACTTACCGACATGGAGATGGACAAACACGAACCTGGGAGTGACTCTTATCTGGACATTAGATTCCTCCTTCTATTCTGCCACCATACAAAGATCGAGTGGGCAACGGAAACTAAGATCAGTCACTATGGGTAATCGTATGCCTGTTAAATGGCTCAAACGGCCAGAGAAAGTGATCACGACTCAACGAAGACAAATCTTGTATTAATACGTAGCTAAAAAATACCCGACAACTATCAAATATCCTCACACCCATTGCAGCTTCAATTGTCTCTCAATTCCAGACTGAGTCTGGCACTGTTACAGGATCGGATGGAACCAGCGTCGATACTGAATAATGCGGCCAGACCAAGAGGTCGAATACCAGTAACACTACCTGAGAATACTGAATCTGTATCGAAGTGACATTGATCGTCCTGGGTGCAGTGATGTCATGCGGTGGGTTGACGAGGAACACCGGCACAGGCCTGTCTGCTGGTGAATCCGGGGAGACTTTCATAGGGGCTTGTCCAAGCTTGAACATTGGAACTTTGAGCTCATGTTGCACCGTCTCGATCCAGAAGGTAGCATTCATTTGGACTGCATTGGCATTTGGAGTCGTGGCGAGCGGGTTGCCTTCTAAGAATGCGATGTTCGCTGTTCCACCACCGAACACCGGAGCCGAAGGCATCGTGGACACCGTAAAGGCGATGTTCTGGAGAATAGTCTGTCCTTCGATGGCGTTGCGCAAAACAGTGTTTGGGTCGTCTAGCATTTCCTGGGTGATGGTGCCAGCAGCAATGAATTTCGAGAGATCCTGTGGGCGTCGAAGATCGGTGGGGACGGAGGCATTTGTGCTGCCAATCGGCACTGGGGTAGTAGTATCGCCTATGGGGAATACCGCCAGGCTGGCTGCTGGGATATCGGGTGGACCAGAAAAATTCGAAGTAGGCGCTAGGCATTGAGCATTGATAGTTGTGCCATGTGGAATGGACCCCATGCGCACGAGCGATTCGCCAAGGACTGGAGTATTGTTCGTGGCCGGGACGTTCATCCACAATCCAGTCTCGAAGTGGATGCCGGTGGGAGGATTATCAGCCATCCCAGTTTTCTCGTTTGTCACATCGTTGACGGCCTGTACATAGGATACGCCATTGAGGATGATGTTGCTCTGCGACTGAAGCCCGCGGTTAGGCACGGCGCCAAAATCTTCGGAGAACGTTATTGCGTCGTCTATCAGATTCAGCTCCAAGATGTTGTCGCGGGGAAATACTGCATTTTCTCCGCTATGCGGGCGAAAGATTGTGTTGAAGCCTGTCCCAGTAAAGCTTCCATTGAAGTTCGCCAGCACACCCAGTGGCGATGGTATCGGCAATAGCTCTTCCCCGATGAATTGGACCGGCTCGATCTGGAAACCGGGGGGGAGAGATATCACTGCCATGGCTACTGTCGCAGTTTGCAAATGATGTCAATCAAGGCGATTTGTTATCAGTAAAAACAGAGCAGAGTAGATAATTCAATTTCGGAGAATAAAAGCAGCTTCTGTAGGGCATGGAGGGCATTACATAGCGATTTAGGGAAGGGTCATCAGAGACGCTTTATCTTGTCACATGTCCCTCAGGCATTCCATTGCTGGCCTGTTGGCTAATTAGATGCTGCGGTTTGGATCGTTGTCTGGTGTTGAGCTAGTTCCTCTTGTAGGCCTGAGCACTTTGATGCCACAATAGAATCTTATGATACGTCAAATCCTGTAGAATGCTAGAAGAGCGATGACAAAGTAATGATTCAGCGATGAAGGGGCGGAATGGACAATGGACAATGTAGGGAATGTTTGGAATGTGTAGAAATTGACATGACTCGCTCACGGGTAGGAAATTCTAGCCGAGGTGTTGCATGTAAGCTTGAGAGAATAACAGAAGTATGACAGATTAACGAGTGAAAGAAATGAAAGAGGGTGAAGCAATTTCGGCCAGTAGTTCAGGAAAATAGGCAAATAACGTATTTCACAAGCGAGTGGCCCCCTCTAAAAGACATAGTAAATTCAATATATGGGGTTTTCTCCGGCCGGCGCCCCGGCCCGCCGTTTCCGAAGAATTATTCGTAGAGTAATCGGCGAATTGATCCCTTTGACCTTTATTACGCCTTTCTACAGTATTAAATCTCGATATCTAATACACGATGTTTTTGGAGTAATATCATACAAATGGTCCCGATTCAATCTCCTCGGTAAGCAGGAGTAGGTTTCTAGAGCAGAGGCAAGGAGTGATTGTCCTTTGGTTTACGCTCCATCCGAAGTACATAGTAGTCGACACTCAGGGTAGAGCTTATAAATGCGCCATATTGCGCGGAGCAGGCACTGCTTGTACTCAGTATTTCGCCACTGGAAAAGAGAATATCTTGTCTAGGATGATTATGGTCGTGTTGTAACGAAACGCGAACTTTAGCGTTTTAGCCCAGATTCTCGCGGCAGCCCTTCAAGTTAGCGAAGACAGGGGCTGGCTGTTCTAGGTCGTGTGGCGTCTGTTACGAACTTAATAGTTTTAAGCTCGGACTTTTGCAGAAGTCCTTTAGGCTAGTGTAACCTAAGGCTATTTGTTATAGGCAGTCTATGGCGGTCTTTGTAGTTGTGGCTCGGATTCTTACAAGAAGCCTTCTAAGCCAGTGTAACCCAAGGCTATTTGTTATAGGACGTTCTAGGCCATTCATAACCTTTTAGCCGCTGTGGACGTGCATCCAGATGCACATTATTCATCGGGCCTCGTATAAATCATCCGAATGAAAAACTAAAACCTTCCTGTATCATGATTGATGATGGAACTTCCGATTTACAACCAAGACATCGATACGGCGCGGTGAGAGCCAGATGTGCTGCAGACCTAGCGATTCGTCGGCCTTAGGTCTCAAATTGGACGCGTTCTTGTGGTCCCACTAATAGTTAAAATGGGAGGATTCAGAGGAATGTCCAGCAATATACTGTAAATTCGATTTCTAACCCTTTCCAACCGTACTTTCAATTCCCGTAGCTTTCAATCAATCAGTCAATCAAAGTTCTATTAACCTCCTGCAGCCTAACTAGTATCGTAATGGCTATGCAGGCGCTTCTTTCCAGTTGAACCAACAACTCGTATCCGTACGCCCGATCCCGCTCCGGTACAAAGGGTGAGGCAGGTTCTCAAAGAGTGGAAGCACCAGCCCATTATATATAAGCCAAACCCATAAGACCTGAAATACAAGCGATAAATTCAATGCCACCTAGTAATGCATTGGATATAAAAATGAGCGTGTGTTCCCGTAGGTTTCCACTCACGGATTTGGCGACTTGAACCAACCCATATCCACCTCATCTACCGGTCCCCATGTCTTTATCATCTTCTCCATCAAATCTGTTCTGCCTTCGACAGCCAAGACCTCCATCACAGCACGATACGCCGAGTTCAACGCGCCAACAACCCACGCATGACCACTGCTTGTGGCCTCGCCCGCTGTGTGTAGTCTTCCGTTACAACTCGGCCGCATCAGGGGCGGCAGAACATCTGAAAATTGTGCGGGTGCAAAGAGAGCATAAGCACCGATCGAGTATGGGTGGCTATACCAGTCCCACAAATGTGCTTCCACTAGCTGGTCCTGGAGAAATGATATGGATACGTTATGTAAACGTGCCATATCCTCCAAGACTACGTGCGTTATGAATTCTTCCTGATCTTCACTTTGGTAAAACGCAGCTAGTCGAGCGGCATCTTGGCTCCATGTATAGCTGGCGATCATTGTTCCTGGAGCATCGTGGACATCAAGCCCATAGGATGGGTACACGCAGCGTCGGATTGGAAGGTCCGTGGATGATCCCCCGCCGACGAAAGGAGCAGGTAACACATCCGGGTTTTCCCACCAGCGCGTCTTAAACCAAATGCCGATTTTTCCTGCGTCATCGTAGGCTAGAGCGCGCCACGCCATTGTGGTATTGTAATTGAGATCTGACAACGTGGACGTGTCGAGGATCCTTGTTGCTCCAAGCGGGATTGTGCTGATTACATGGTCATAAGAATGCTCAACAGTATGGTTCACGACAACTGTGAGGGACTCCGCTTGTCCGGGCTTGATGGCGGTCACGCGGTTGAGCAGTTTCGGCGGGTGATGCAGAACATTAAGAAGTCCATGGATTAGTCGTTCAAAGCCGCCGTTGATTGTCATCCAAGAATCAAGAGGAGCAGCCGTGAATATCCATTGTTCGATGACTGCCTGGGCAAGGGAGGCTTTATCAAAGGACAACGTTCCTTCCTCAATCGTTTCCAACCAATTGATCTGGGCGTTGGTAAAGCCTTTCTGCAAAAGATATGCCCGGACGGACAACTGGTCGAATTCCAAGAGCTTAGTATATCCTTGATCGATGTTTTGCTGTAGTGCATCCACCAGTTCGGCGAGCGCGTCGCTGTATATCGTATCGGGATTGATAACGGCGAATTCGGAGGGGGGGGATATTCCCGCCTTCAGTTGTTAGGACATGAAATGTTGCGGCAGAGGGAGTCACGTTGGCATGAACAGATATATTGTTATACATCTGGAATGTATTGTTCGTGGAGAAGATGAAGGGGATCAGATCAATTGCGTCAGCTCGGTCACTGACGTGCGAGTTCACATAGCTGACGACGGACCAGTTTTGAGTCCCAATCACCCGGTCCATGTAGGGCATAACGGGAATCCTCATGGCACCCGCATCCTGGATGTCCAGTTAGTTTTGTTACCAACACCCTCTCCAGCCGCTGCTGTGACTTCACACTTACATAATAATTGTAATACGCAGCTTCCTGAGGGGTCGACTTCTTCCAACCCTCCGGGTCAAAATAATGGGTGTAGATTCTTCCGCCCGCGCGTCCGTCTGCCTCCAGGATTTCGAAGTCGATATCCAGGCTCTGCAGCAGCAGAGCTGAATACAACCCCGCAGCACCTGCACCAATAATGCCAACCTTTAGCGGTGGTGACGGTGGTTGGCAGTCTTGGTCGCATGGCAACGCCGGAGAACCAGGGGGAAATGAGTTGTAGACTCCTGCGCGAGATATCAACTCACGGAAGAGTTGGGCCCGGGCAGAACCGGGGTCAATGGCATTTTCGGCGCCGTGTGCGCACAAGAACAAAAGGGAAGCGGAGAGGCAGAGTAAAGGCCTCATCTTGACAGCAACGGAAGAAAGCGAAGGTTGTCAGACCAAGCACACAATGGAAAATAATGATGCCTTCAAAGATAGGAAGAGGCAACCAGCCATTTCCTATCTATATGTCTCATGCTCCACTTTAACGTGGGGATGGAATGGGCTTGGAATGTTCACTTTAAGCTTACCAGTACAAAATTTGCAAATATTCCAGATCCCCGCTTGGGATGTAGGAGAATTGGGCTGTGCCATCCTGAGCCACCCCTAGAATATCACTGTACGGAGAACCGGAATTGTTGAAAGTTAGGTGAGTGATGCAACGTATAACTGAATGTTGAAGAGAAAGATGTGTTTGATGCTAGGGTTAAGGTCCCTCTTTAACACCTCTGAAGATAACTTACCTGTTGAGTGTATGAGGAATATTGATGATCGGCTTTTATAATTTACTAATTATGAATAAGCAACGAACATGGATTGATATTCCTGTAGGAATCTTGAATTGAGGGCGAAAGGATAGTACGGGTATCAGCTCCACGACTAAGATGTAAATAGTAAAATCCAAATTTCTCGGAGGGATCTAAGGCTTATGCAGGGATGAAAATCGAGGAATTCAGCCAAAAGACTTAAAATGCCAAACATTTAGGGTCTGCTCCTCTTACAGTCGTAGTAGTAGTAGAATGCCCTGAAATGAAGGAACGGAGTGAAAGGGGTTACAAACCGTGCGCCTGCGCGACCCCAGCTTTTTAACGCTGCCAATAACACAGCGTCACACACAGCCAACTTTCCCGCCAAGCCTCTTGCTCATTGGTGTTTGGTTGGATTCCTATTAACGTGCTTTTGTCGTCTTTCGAGTCCGTCCTCTTGCCTTATTACATGGATCATCCTGGCATTTTGCTTCAACTGCCCCTTCACTTCTGCTATGGCTCTTCCCGCATTGCCCCCTCACCACCGTATCTGTCTGCTGCACTCTTGTAATTCGCCAGTTCCTCTCCCCTTGTCGTTGTCGCTCGTCCCGGGGTCTTTCCTTTACACCAGTGTTGTCTCATTATGTCTCTTAATTACCGTCCATACTTCATACGTACAAAGCCCTTATATATATCTCGACCACAGCCCCCTCCGCTCGACCCTCACCCAGCCCTAACCCATGGCAGATCGCAGCTTGATAGGCCCAATTCGATCGTAGGAGAGTGGCGTATAACATCGCTTCTTTAATAGTAGACCAACTTTAAAAAGCCGCACAAGACGTTAAGGCTACCCAAAATATCTAAGACCCTGTCATTCGACGTCTTTAATAATACATCGTAACTATTGGCATGCGCGTTCCCAGATTGTTCTCCTAGAAACTAAGGATAAGATCAAAAGGTTCGAGGTTTAATCGTCCGATATGTAATGCCCGCATTTTTCACATTCAACCTATCAACATTGATGTGTCGTATGCAGCGCGAGTAAGCATTTTGCTGTTGCGCACACTCCCATCGCGAAGCCAGATTCATCGGAATTGTATACATCCACAGCTATTATACCGAATAAATAGATTGCACGCTCTACACGGCCATACTACTCGGGTAGCAAACGTGGATCTTCTTGCTGTGCACGCTGGTAGGTATTCTTGCGTGAAAAGGTTTGAGTTGGGTTTCAACCTGCCAGAGTGAACTTGATTCGATTCCAAGATCGACGACACCAGCCGAAACAGCTTTTGTGTGCTCACACCCAAGGCAAACTGATGTATGTAACCACAATCAAACCTTTCATGAGAAAGAACCGCCATCCTCAGAATCAATCGGGTCCTCCAATCCCTCCATCCTCCCCTCAGCTTCAGCCTCCGCTTCCAGCTGCTCCTGCACAGCAGTCCCACCCAACGACTTCGCGCTCGGCCAACCCCGCAAGTCAATGTTCAGCCCAGGCGCAATCTTCGCAACCACATCATCGCAAAGCAAAAATGCCCGTCTCGCCGCCCGATCAATAGACGCCATAGCATGGATCCATTGTAGCGCCTTCTTGGCCTGCACAACTACCTTGTCAAGATCCGATTCCAGGAGAGCCTGGTAATTGAAGGGAGGGGCGTCAGTTCCTGGTTTCGGGACTGAATTCTGCTTCGTGAGAGAGCAGTACGACAGGCCGAGCAGAAGAGATGCCGTAGCTTGCATGATGAAGTGCAGAACGCTCCACCAAGGCGTGACGCGGGCGAGCCAGGCAAAGTCAACTGTCTCGGGGAGGATTGAGATAAGCGAGCAGGCAGCCTGGAGGCAGTTCATCGCCATGTCTGCTTTGAGTTTTGTGTGAGGACGACCTTGCGCGGATGGGGAATTTGGGGCTTGCGAGGGGTGTGGTGGCGAGAGACACGGTCTGCACAGGATGACGCGGGCTGAATAGTAACTCATTGCCAAGCAAACTCGCTCGCGAGCGAACGGGGCATTTTCGTCGTCTAGCTGGGCGTGGTTCAGGTGCCAGGGTCCTGCGTCTGGGAGCGTGAATTTATAGCTAGCAGGTACTTTGGCCAACCATCGGTCCAATCGCAGAATATACTTTTGCAGGCGGTACTCAATCACGTTTGTGTCCTCCCGGATGCCCTGGACGCTGTATACATTATTTAAAGCAGCCTGTGATATGAGGGCGAGGTCCGTGAGGTGATAGAAGAGCAGCGATGGACATGGCTTGCAGTCAGCCATCCATGTTAGACCGCCTTGGAGCTGAGAGGGGAGCTCAAAGAGAGTGGATCGAAGTTGGGTTTCACGGAATGTTCGATCTTGCAGGAGGCGGCAGACATCTGGCTGTTCGAAGAATTCCTCTTCAATGGGAACTGGAGGGGGCAAGGAGCAGAGGCTTTCCCCGATGCAGGACGCTCGGCCATGCATGGAGGTGAGTAGGTGCTCGAGGGAGTAGATAGACCACCATAGTCTGCAACGGGCTTCTTTAGATGCGTTGTTGGTTCGGCCATCCGTAATGTGAAGATTTATACCAAGGGAGAGGCCTGAGCGAAGGGCCATGCTCGAAAACTTCGATGCCCTGTTGACTTGTCCCAGGCAGAGCAGATATATAGCCACTAGAGTCTCTAGTTGAATCTGCTGCAGATCGGTGTGTTCGAAAAGAATATTCTCGTGCAAGGCCAACTGCCGTGCACGGGTCAGATACACCAGGCCGTCTTCCCAAGCACTGGCGCCAGTGGGACTGATGAGTTTACAATATCGACAGCCAATGGCGAAGATCATGTTCAAGATAGCGAGCCATTTCTTCGGTGGCTTAGCCGGCCCACTGTAGAACTGCCGATACTGCGAGGTGAATGTGGGCTTGCGGATGATGCTGAACATCGGATGAACGTAGGCCATATACGCATCAAAGTATTGATCTGCAGTCTCGCGCGGGGGTACTGCCAGTGGATCAGAGTCACCGACGACCGGTATGTCCAGGTCGTCGAGGTGGTAGTTCATCATCGCGATGGGTATACCCCGATCTGGCTTCTCCGGCTGAGGCATAGCTGGCACGCCGAACGGACTTGGCTGCTGCGAGGTCCCGGCGGATGAGCCCGAGGAGAGCGATTGGACGTAGCCGCCGGTGCCTGTCCTGTGCTCGACACCATCTTCCAAGCGCTGCATCCACGCAACGTCAGAGTTCTTGCCGAAGAACCCAGCGGCGCGGGTATTTTCGTTCCGGTTCAGATCCTCATCGATCAGATCGATTGCGTCCAGCGAGCCGACCGACGAATCTGAATCCGAATCCGAATTCTCAGAGTCCTCATTGCGATTCGGACACTTGCTATCCGTGATCTATATCGATGAAGATGAATAGTTAAAAATTTGCATGAACGCATTTGAGTGTGGGGGTATGCTGAGAATATCCTGGACGAATCATCGGCGCGGGATGTCGTGATGGTAAGAAAGCACTTACCCTCAGCACTTTCCTAATCCTCCGAGCTGTGGGCGCATCAGCGTCCCCTTGTAGATCGTGAAGCAGGGATTCATATCGCTCGACACGCTGCGAAAGCAACCCGAGCAGCTTCTGCTCGCGGACACGTTTCACATCTTCATAGACACAGCGGTTATTGTGGTAGGTGCATTGGCCACAAGTCGGTCGGTCACCATCGCATTTGATTTTACGCTGCCGGCAGGCCTCGCATGCTCGCACAGAACGCCGCCGCCCACGCTGCGCAGCCGGAGCGGCCGCTCGGGGGATTGCGACCTTGTTGGTGCCGGAGGCTTCGCTTTGATCGGTAGAACCGGAAGGGAACATTCGCGATATGGCATTTAAGCACGGCAGGTGGGTGCTCAATTTTACCGCTGGACGAGTCGATGGGAAAAATTGATTCTCCCCTACATCGGATTGTGTGCCTGGAGGAGCCGAGGACACTGGGCTCAACGATGTGGCCTAGTATGGTGCGACGGGCGAGAGGTTGGATTCGGCAATTGTGTGCTCCAGCCAGTCACTCGAGTTGTGCATAGACACTGGAGGGTATGGGAAGTATCGCAGTGAGATAGGAATCAACTAGGGATTGGAATGGAAACCTGACCGAGCGGTCAAGTACTCTGGAAAGTAAAATGTCGAGGTAGGCAACCAGCACCAACCGGCCTGACGTGGTTCTCGGCCGCAAGGAGGTTGATTCAAACAGGTTTGGATAAAAGAACGGTACATCCAGTCGGTATGGCCCCTCCTGTCCTCTGCTTTGGTAAAAAGCCCCATATCGAAGCCCCGCGGACAACGGACGGGCCCGGACTGGCCAATGGTGACGAGCTGCTCGGGGGAGTGGGTCGTCGCCACAGCCGCAAAGAGCCAAAGTTGCACGCGTTGACGTCAGAAGCCGACCATCCTAACCCAGCCGGCTGGGCCAGATAAATCAAGAGAGTGGACGAGCACGAGGGGCGCATGTCGGTCACAACCAGCGGTCCAGAGAGGTTGATCGTCGGACATTGAACAACTTGCGAGCAGGCACCTGACTGGGTGATATCATCGCAGTCATTGCTCGGCTGGATTAACCGCAACCACCAGACAGAATTACCTCCGTCCTTCACAGATCACATCTCCAGAAAATCCAGGCAGATCTGCATATCAGCCACTCGGCAAATTACCATCCGACCTGCCGATTTCGTTCAGACAAGACACTGTCTTTGCCCAAACTCAGGCTCTCGTAACGGTCGAGCATGTCGGACAATCCTAGGCCAGGGTAACCCTGGAGCCCCTGCCCCTCGCCGCGCTCAATTCCACGGTACTTCTCCTCCTGGTTCAGTTTCTCGAGCCCCTCCGCATACTCATCGAAGCGGCCATGACCTTTCGCGGAGGACTCCTCGTCAAACAAATCCTTCAAATCCCCCGGAATGAAACTCGCAGCGCGAATTCGACTTCCCTGCGCCTTCGCCCGTACCGACTGCCGGAAAATATAAAACAGATTCCGGCCCAGCGCAGAGCGACTCGCCATGATCGAAAACGCACTGGCCAATGAGAGAAAATCCCGGTCGAGCACGTTGAAGGAGACCTGCTCGAGCATCGTGAACAGGGCGAGGTTAATCGCATACATGGCGAAATGATGCGCTCGGCTCACGCCGAACTCGCGGCGATGCAGACGTGTGAGTGCGACAATGCTCCGGGCCGCGGTTTGTGTGACTTCCCATGCGTTGTACTTCGGGTTTGGCTCGGGGGTTTGCCTGGGTGGACTTTCGGGCGTGTTGGGTGCTTCAGACGTGGTGTTTCTTGATCTACACATCTCGGAGATGCAGCTGAACAAGTTGATGATAAGCGTGTTGTACCGCATCCTGCGGAAGAGAATTAACAACTCCATTCCCCGGTGAAACCCCGTGACTACGATATTTGGCGGAGTAAGGATACTGGAGCATACTCACTTTAGCAAAATGATATGCGGGGCCACCCTTTCCCCACGAAAGATATCCGGCAACAAGTCATCCCACCGTCTCAGCCGCTCATACAAAGTGTCGCGGCTCTGCCGCTGCAGCGGTGCAAACCCACCGCGCTCATCTGCAAACATACTACGCGAAATATCGCGCGCAATAGTTGACAAATTGCAGGCCTCGTCAAAGTACACGCTCAAATAAGATGGCCTCGTTTCCCTGTGCGATGGGTAGGGCGTCCAGAGAGACTCGTCTTCAGGGAGATTGCGGTCGATGCGGGGCATATTGACGTGACTTATGAGACTGGGACGGAGAAATCCAGGATGGACCACACTACAAAGAGATGTCAGCATAGATCTGAGGCTCAGTGTCGAGATCCTGCTTGAGATATCGGGTCGCGGGTGTATAACTTGTACACTTACGTATCGATATTAAACAACCCCCACGCCGTCCGCCTGCACGAAGAATCCATATCCTCCGAGAGTTGCTCCGAGGTAATCCGGGGCCCTGCACTCCCAACCAGTCCTAGCGACTCGCCCATACGAATAGCTTCATGGAGCATAAGATAGCCCAGATCATCGTTGCGAGACATCGCATATCTGCTCTTGATTAGACCAGCGTCGAAACAATGACAAACACAATTTACATCCATACCGCTCATACATAAGCAGCGTCCCCTGCACCGACGCCAAACTCGGCTGCACAGGCAACTCGTCCTTCAGCCGCTCAGCCTCAGCAAGGAAATCACATCCTTTCGACGAGATATCCCCAGGAACCACATACGCCTCGGAAAACTCGGAGAAATACTAGAATAATTCCATCAGCGCCACACATCGCCGCCACACTATCAGGCTCCAAAGGCGGGATATACCCACACAGGCATTGCTCAGCATCGCATTCACTAGAAACGGGCTGCAGAACTGGCTCCCCATATCCCCGCCGGCCATGTGCTTCAAAAACACGGCCTCATCCACAAATGAATGGAACGGATAGTCCCACGTAAAATACAGCGACACCAGATGCGACACCAGATCGCTGTCCTGCGTCACAGTCGTCCACGGCTGCGCGGGCACATCAATGGGCGCCTCGTTGCACAGGTAATGAATATCCATCACCTTGCGTCGAAATGCAGGCGTGGTCCCCTCAATGTTGATCAAGTTCTGCATATCCTCGAGCTTGGACACCGCCTCCACGGAGGCCCTATCTGACGCGCCCAGGCTGGACAGGGTGTCGTGGATATATGCGCGAATCTCATCGGGCGGGGCATTGTGCCTGATGATCGCCAGCAGTTGGAGAGCCTTGCTCTCGTCAGCTTCACGGACGAGTTTAAAGACATCATTTAGCAGGTCGCGATGGTAGGACAGCTCGTCGGCGGTGCGCTTTGCAGCGACCCGGCGGCGTTGGTCGAGAGATTCGTCGAAGATACAGACGCGCTTGAAGGCGCGGCAGTTTTCGCAGGGTGGGGTGCCGGAGCACTGTTTTCAGAGGTGGAGTGTTAGTTGCTTCGTTGACAATATGCTGAAATTCATCCCACTTTGGCACCATCATGGGGCAGGGCAGGGCTGGGTTGTGCTGGGGGACCGCCTACTTTCCGCTTTGACTTCTTACATGCAAGGCATGCAGTAGACACTCTCTTTTTCCATGTGGAGTTGGAATTCGACGCCGCGGAAGACGAGCGGTTATGCTTCGGCTCTTTGAGCGGCGGGCTGCCGTGGTCGGAGGACCGCGAGGGGCCCGGGATGATTTGGCGTTGGTCAGTCATGGCGGGGCATGGATATGCACGTATATTTTTATCTGTATGTGTAGATATTTGTATGTGCATGTGCGAATGAGTATATACTGGTAGAATGCAGTTGGTGCGTTACAGGAATCTCGCGGCAATCATAACCGCAGATATAGTCGAAATGAGGCCGGGTGGCTAGCCATCTAAGACAAAAGGCATCGGTCCATGCCAATGACGACGGGGGCAAGAGGCGCTGGACATGCGAGTAGCCACAGCATAAACAAGGCGACAGCAGGAAAGACGGATGCGGCACATCAGGATTCAAGAGAGCATTAGGCTCAATGGGGACTGCCACGGCCAGCCAGCACGGACGGTAAGCCCTCGCACCAGCCCCAGATTGAATTCCAGGGGAGAGAAAGACAACAGCGAAGGTCCCGCACTCTTCCGACATCTCTATCTGATCTCTCACAGATTCGGCTTCGCCAACAATGTGCGCAGGCCAAGGTGGCACTCGACAGGCCAGTCCAGGGCCGTTGCAGCATTTCGGCGGATGACGTGCACTGAAGTCATCTGGAAGTAATAGCCGCCTATCTGATGCGAGATAGGCGCAGCCATAACCGGAACACAGGACGCATTTCCCAAGCACGTTTAGTTCGAATACTCAGGTTCCGGCCCTGACTGCGACTGGTGGCATTGGCGTAGGGCGTACTCCGTACGAAAGCCACCGCAGCAATGGCTGGGCGGGGACTGAGACATGCTGTCTGACGAACTGGGATGGAAGCAGGACGCCGCTAGTGGCGTCGCGGTGATCATTCGGAATCAAGTGCCGGCGAGAACACACGTGAGGAATGGGGTGGACGGGAGCCGAGGTCCTCTGAAGTACTATGTAGGCTGCGAGTTGTGGGGGGTTTGAGTGACAAGGCAGTGAAAGGGTGTCTCGTTCGTGTAGGGCTGAAACAAGTGGTTGATTTGGCCAGGGTCTAACGAGGGTGGCAGAGACTTGAACCAGGGCTGTGACTAGTATCAGACATCTTCCAACCCCCATTTCCAGCCAGATCAACCAATCTACGCCTCCATAGTCTAGTCCTGATGAGGCTGTTCTCTACGGGTGACGTACGTCTGGCACGGACATAAAACTAATTTCAAGAGGATGGCATTGGCTCGGATAGACCAGGGCAACAACAGCACTTGGTAGAAATGAAAGAAGACCGCAGTCCCACCCCTATGCAGCCCAGAGAAGAAGGAAGGAAAGAACAGACGCTGGATTATTGTAATGTAATACAAGCACATCTTTTGCATACTCCATGGAATTCCGTAGCCACGAATGCACCACCCAAGCAGAATAATTAAAGCAAGAACCACAAGGTGCCGACGACCCGCGCATCGCAACCCACACAGTTAATGTCAAATCTTCCTAGGGCCCAGAACAATACAAGGGCTGTGCGAGCCAGGTAGAGAGAGTGGGGGACGCCGAAACGAGACAATTAAAATTGGACACCAGAGGCATATTGTCTAGTGCTCCAGGATTCTCAGGCTGCCCTGCACAACGCAGTTCTCCAGCACGGAGCCAGGGGGGATATCAATGGTGCTGGTCTCGGTAGCAACAATAATGACGGTGCCCTTAAGGGTAACGTTGCGGCCGAGGTTGACAGCACCGGTGATGGTGAGGTGGTCGAGCTCGACAATGCGCGGGATGGAAGGAATGCGCTTCTGGAAGTCGGAGACCTTCTTGAAGTCCGAACCGAGCTTGATGACGGGGACACCGCCAAAGCGGTTGGGGTCCATGACCAGCTGGCCGTGCTCCAGGCGGTACAGATCAGACTTGACGACCATGAGATCGGAGCAGGTCTTGACGGGGAGGAAGCGGCGACGGGGCACGTTGACACCGTGGGCGTTCTTGAAGTGGCGGATGGCCGCACCAACGGCGGTCTCCAGCTGGTAGATGGCCTGGTCGGCCTCACCCTTCTTGTCAGCGGGAATGGACTTCTCGTTGGCGATGATCTCCATCTCCAGCTCGTTCTCCTCGACAACACGCTTGATGGCGCGGACGTTCATCCAGATGTTGTTGGTGTTGAAGTACTTGAACTTCTTGATGGACTTGAACTCATTGACGTGCTCCTTGGGCACCTGGGCAATCTCCAGCAGGCGGACCTTGCCATCGTAGTCGATGATGGTACCACCCTTGACATCAGCCTTGGTCTTGTCCGTCAGCTCCATGATGTACTCGGCGTTGGAGTCAACCATGTGCTGCAGAATGCGCAGATCCACCACGGCGCCCAGGTTGTCGGCATTGGACAGGAAGATGTACTCGATGCCACGCTCGATCAGCTTGTCGAGAGTGCCGGAGTTGTAAAGAGACTCAAAGACGTCACCGTGGCCAGGGGGGTACCAGTCCTGAAGGGGAGCATCGAAGCTCTTGGGGGCGGGCAGGAGGGAGTCCTTGATGATACGGGGGTAGCGGGACTGGTTGAAAGTGATGATATCAACATTGTGGCCCTCGTACTTCTTAATGATGGACTGGGTGTCCTGATCGGTGTTGAAGGAGTTCATGAGGACGAAGGGAACGTTGACGTTGAAGGTGCGGTTGAGGTGCTCGATCTGGCGGACGGACAGATCCAGGAAGGACATGCCCTCGCGGACCTCGATCACAGACTTGGGACCAACACAACCCATGGAGGTTCCCAGACCACCGTTCAGCTTAACCACGGCCAGCTTGTTCAGGAACTCAACCGAGGCGTCAGCACCGAGCTCGTCGTAGCCCACAACCTGCGAGGGCTGGGGGGAGCAATGCGCTCCCAGTTGACTACGTTGTGCTTGGCCTTGTCGTTGAGGAAACGGCGGAACAGAGCAAAGAAATTGTCCATCTCAGCCTCGAAGCGCTTCTTCTCGTTGCTGTCGGTCACAGAGTCGGCAAGCGCATTCAACGCATTGCGCATCTGTGAGGCGGCGACACTCGTAGAAGCATTCTCGAACGCCTGGTGGGAGGCGGCCTTGGTCAGCGCTCGTCCACTCAGAGTAACAGGAGACATGGCGGGAGGTTTAAACGATCGGGAGGGGGAGTGGGGGTTGTTGGAGTGGATGAGGCCGATAAATAGATCAAAGGAAAGTGAGAGTGAAGCCAGAAATGCTCCCAGCACAAGGGAATGGGGTTAAGCAATGGAAGTATGCCAAAAGCTCAGAATTGGGGGTATTTAGAGAAGGGGGCGAATAACAGGTGGAAGTCATGAGGTCAAAGCAGCAACAAGGTTGGACCGCATCCGCGAAGGTCAACAAGCACCAGCCAAATGTGGCGCTGTTCCCATCTTCAGCAGACGAAGGAGCGACCCAGCTGCGAAGTCCCCAGACAACCAGAATGAGGCAGGAGCGAGCAGCAGCATATTACTGCATCACCGCATCACCCCTCCGCCGATCGTTTCATCACGTGGGACCGTTGTAGACTTACCATGTGCGACTGGGACTTTCCGTGGTGCTTGCCCTCGAACGAGCCAGAAGAGCCATCGTTCGCGGGGGCGCGGAGGTGGGTAGGGAGCGCCTTGGCGGCCATTGTGTTAAAAAGAGAGGAAGCGAGGAGACCGGTCGGGATAGAATTCGTAGGAGTCTGGGCAAATAATAGCTGCGCTAGAAGGGTGGCGAGGTCAGCTTTGGGGAGGCAACACAAGACGAGCACAGGAAAGAAAGGGAAAATAGGAGCTGGCGCGGTGGAGACGGGACTATCTTTAAGAAGAGGGAAAAAGAGCAGAGCCAGGACAAGGAGGGGCTGCCCGAATCGCCACAGGGTGTGTCGATCAGTCGGGTAAAAAAGCGGCTTGCAGGATGTCGACAAGCTGCCGTCATTGGCAACGGGGCGGGCAGTGGATTGGCGGTGCGCAATGCAACTGGGGCGGGGAAGAACAGGAGACGGAGGGAGGAAAAACTCACCAGACTGATGATCAATCAATTGGTAGAATGATCAATCGTTCGAGGGTTGGGAGAAGAAGGGGGAGAGGAGAGATGAGAACGGTGAGGAAGTAAACGAAGGGGAGGTGGGGGAGTAACGTGATATTTATCATGCCTTCATTCCTATGCGGAGGGTCTACGGAGGTACGGAGTACATGACCTGCTATGAGCTGAGAGTATGAGCTAAGACTGTCCCCCAGCCCAACTCCTATTATTTTACTCCGTATCTGCACTGCGATTCCTCTCTCACGCCGACTGCTCCCTCTCCTCGTCCTTGTCCTCCCTCCTCCTTACATCCCGCTGTCGTCAGCGTCCAGCCACTGGCACTCCCAGCTCCATCCACGGGTCGGACCTTAAATCCAACGGCCGTGCCAGCTCGGGATGAGCTGCTGGACAAAGAAAGACCCCCGGGTCCTCCTCTGGCCTTGCCAGTACTCACATAAGCTGCGCCAGTGCTCTCCGATCTCCACGGCGACCGGGGTTCTCCTATCCCCAACGCCTCAGGAAAGCCTCGTTCTCCCCTAAAAAGGGACCTGCAAAAAGGGGGGCAACCACGGCGCACCAAGAGGGGCAGAACACTCTCCCGTGGGGGTGAAATGGCCAGGGAGAAACCGGACCAACCCTATGGACAGCCTCCAGTCCCAGTCTCAGTCCCAGTTCCTGGTTCCATCCGAGTTCCAGAACGACCCGAATCCAGACCGTCGCTGGCGGCCCCTTTTTCCCCTTTCGCTTGCTCGTGCCAATTCGCCCGGGACGCAACAATGGTCGGGTAGTGGATACAGGCTCAAAGGCACGTCCCCGGTCCGGCCCCACCGGTGGTGTTGTCCGCTTGCAGCCAGTTGCGTTGTCCGCTCGAAAGAGGTGTCACCTTCCTCGACCAGCGCGATACACTAAGACCCGAGAGCTGAGACCCGAGAGCTGAGACCCTGTTGCGCCAGCTTGCCGATTCGCTGTCGCTGCGATTACCTCGTATACTTGGTATCTTGTGCCCAGCCTCTGCACTCCGAACAACAGCATCGCAGAGACTTATCTCCACCGACCCTGTCTGGTACTAAAATCCCCCCGGAATGCAGCGCCTGTTGGGATTTTGATTGGATTGGAGTAGCGTCCATCGATAAGCAGACCGGCCTGTTCACCTGACCCTTCGCCCTCGAGATTGCAGGGCGATACGAAGCTCGTCCAACCAGCTACATAACTCGCGGTGCAATTACTCGAACAGTATCGCAGGCGTAATATTCTTCCCGAGCGCGCCGATAGCGTCTAGATTCCTACAGTGTTCCTACGGTGTATACCCCTCCTACGCCGCGACTGGAAAACCTGTAAAAGATTCGGGACTAAGCTGACACCAGTTAACGCCCGCGCCGCCAATGTGGAACAAGCAGCAAATTAGCCTCCACTGAACCAAACCTCCGCCGACCAGAAATAACTCGCCCTACGTAATTTGCCAAGACAGCGGGCGATTGAGTGAAATCGAATCACAAATCGAATGAGTTATCAAAGTGATTCATCGGAGGTGTATAATAATAATTATAATTTGCAATTAATATAGAAAGGGCCAATTAGTATAGCAAGGCTGTTGGTTGGGGATAATTTTCAACAAATTCATGCCTGGTGCTGAGTCAGCTCCCTACCTCCTTATGGCGCACTGTACGGAGGACCCCTCCATACTGTAGTACTGTATATCTATAGCGGCGGCTCAGATGGCTGCTTGTTAGGCAGGTACCTTTTTAGATCAACCGTTGAAAAGTTGAAAAGATACCCAGCTCTCGAGTGCACAACCGTGGATCAACTGCGCTCTTAAACCAAACGGATTCCCATCTGGCTTCTCTCGTCGCACCACTGTGTTCCTAAGCTACGGGAACGCTGCAGATCATCCCAACACAAAGGGGGCAGTGCAGGCAGGTAAGTTTCGGCGAAATCGCATTGCTCCACGCAATCGGTGGGCGAGGGGGGACCATGTGGGAGGACAGTGGGCGCTAAGGGGTTTCCTTTGGACCCCCTATTTTGTTTAGTTCTGTAGCTGTTAGCGTGTGGATAGGCTATAGCTGACTGTATGAGAAAGTTTACGAGTACACAGCTATGTACTCCTGAATATAACCAAGTTTTTGGTAGCAACTAGTTATTATTTACTGTAGTGGCGGTTCGAGGTCATGATACTGCTTTGTATCCGGAGTGTCGAGGCTCGTCTGAGCATCTGGGACTTCATTGCGGGGATTCTGTGGTAACGGCCATGCAAGCTCCATAAGGGGGCATGTTCACTGATCGCCAGAACCGCCAACAACATGCGCTAATACAACGACAGGCGTATGAATCAAGCTGATCACATGTATTGAATGATATGGTAGAGAGTAAATATATAATAACGACCGGTAATCCGACCAATTTATACCTATCTGTAGCTTATTTTTCTGCGGGCGGGCTTACAGTACATCTAGGTCGCTCGGGCCATCTATACTGGTCAAAAGTCACCGATTATCTCATCAGCCTCCTCCTCTCGCTCCCCCTCGTTCACCAGCTCCTTCACGTATAGCTCCTACTACCGTGCTGGGGCGCAAAGATTACATCGGCTAAAAAGACCAAAGTTAAGTTAATTAGATAGTCTTAGGTAATGGTAGATGATGATTCCAGTCCGTTAGCGCCATTCTCTTCCAAAAGACAATCATGTAAACACTAGACTCAACCACCCACATCTGTTAGTTAGTTACCGCAGACGCCATACTCCCATGCTTGTCACATCCCAGGGACAGGCACCTACACCAGTAGCTTCTCAGATAGAGATACCATCTTCTTTAGCACTCCTCGGGCTAACTTACGCTACGACATCTATATATAATATTCGCAAGGAGCCAAAAAGGACAATCAAAAATCAACCCGTCTGCACCCAGTCACTGAATGATCTACTATATAGACTCGATGGTATCAACAAGTTAGTAGGAACCGGAACAATATACCTATCAATATAATCCATTGACACGCTCCAAAATCCGCTAAGAACAGGCACAGGACAGCACCAAGCCGAACAGCGCATTGTATCGAGCCAAACCATGAGAAGGCAAGCAAGGCATAGACACAAGATAGCAGAAAAAGAAAGGCAAAAAAAAAGGAAAGAAAATGGATATCACATAACAATCCTAATACTAATCCTACTGTAACCAAGCAGACAGTCATACCCTTTTTCCTATACTCGGTAATCCATCCAACCCAGACTGAGTTCAACCATGAAACCCAAATCAACACCTTCAATTAAAATCACCATTCACATCCATATTTCCCCGCCAAAGCAATCACGCGCCACTAACACTCCTCTTACTCAAGAAGCTCCGCCGCGGCAACTTCCTTGAATCCGGGCTCTCAGCCCCGTCAACCTCAAAGCCAGCAGTAGAATGCGAGGTCGTTGGCCTCAAGCTCGCCGCATCGGATCCATCAAAATGAGACCTGATAACCACGGAGCCCTTGCCAACGGCAACAGTCTTATCCACTCCAGCCTCGGAGCCCTGGTCCGCAACCAAGAAAAAGCCCTCGCCGAGCAGATTGTCCGAGCCAAAGGTGGCATGGTCGACGACGCGGACCTGATACTGGGCGGCGGCGGGGACCTTGGGCACAGTGAAGGTGTCGTCGTACTGGACGGGGCCGTCGCCGGTCTTCTGTGCCTTTGTCTTGTGGACTTCCTTCGCGCCCTTGCGGCCCTGGACGCGGATGATAACGCGCAGGTTGGCGGAGGCGGGGAAGCCGGAGGCTGAGACGAGGGTGATATGTGCGGTGCCGGTATCTTCGCGGGGGCGCCGCCGCCGCCGCCGAAGATCGAGAGGCGGTCGCCGTAGATGGAGGCCGTGCTGCGGTTACGGCTGTGTTCCTTGAGCGGGCTGGGGGTGTTGAGGGGTGGTTCATGCCGTCGGCGAGGGCTGCGGCTGGGGTGAGGCTGGCGGCGTTGCGGACGTCGGCGGGGGTTCCTCCAGTGCGTGCTCGGCGAGGGAGGCGGCGTCGTCGCCATTCTGGTCCTTGTCCCTGTGGAAGCGGGACTTGATGCCTTTCCCGAGGAAAGAGGCACCGCGATGGACGTTGCCGCCGACAAAAGTTCCGACCTTGATGGGGGGCGCCGCCAACGCCGACGATGGTGGTGCCCAACGTGCCGCCGAAGGTAGACGAGCCTTGGCGTGAGCGCATCACATAGGTGGGCTTGAAGAGGAGGGTCAGCTGGACAGTACTTGGCTTGCCGTTCGAAGGCAGAGTGACGTCCTTGGACGGGTTGATCAGAGTGACGGAGACATCCTTCGGCTCGAAGGGCACGAGGGACTCAAGGTCGATAAGTCCCTCGCCGAGTCGATCATCGCCAGTGCCACGATCGAAGTCCCAAACCTCGACGCGGAAGTTACCGTCGATGCGGGTCTTGACAGGGGTCTCAAAGGACTCGCCCCAAGTCGGGTTCAGATTCTTCTTAACAACTTCGGTTTTGTAGATCGGATGTTTGATGTCATCGTCGATGAAGAACTTGCAGTATGGGTCGCTCTTGCCGTTTCTGTCAGCGATGGGCAGGTTCACGGCGCTGTTGACTTTCACGAGCAGGGAACCCATGTTGTTGATGCTCTCCTTGGGATCGAGCGTCATCCGGACGGGGATGTAGCGGGCGCTGACAGTGATCTTGCTGATCTCGCCAGTATTGGAACGGAGGACCAGCTCGGTGGGCTTGTACAGGATGCGCTGCAAAGTTGGGAGGGTATCACCAGTAAGTTTAGCAACGGTGTGCTCCTCGCTTGATTCCTTGGAATCATCCTTGTTGACCAGGCGGAGCGTCATCTTGGAGAACTCCAGCTCGCGCACGAAAGCCTCGCCGACTAAGCGACAGTTAGCAGATGTAGCCTGATCAAGAGCTGAGTTGTACATACTGTCTGATGTCTTCATAGTCTTCCCGTGAATCTTAGGTGAGACATAAGCCGGGAACATGTAGTCGTCCATCAGGACCTCCAGCTGCACGTTGCTGTGAGCCAGCTGGCCCTCATGGAACTTGAAAACGACGAAACCGGACTCTGTAAAGAATTAGCGGTTACAATACCATGACTGATATTTGGGGCCAAGATCGTACCGTATTTCGTGAGATCCTCCACGCCGAGCTCCATTCGGGGAATAGTCTTGATCGACCTCACCGACGTAGCGTCAGAGTCAGACGTCAACGGGCGCGCGGTATTAGTGTCCAGACTCGCGCGACCGTTAGTAGTCGGCTCGCCATTAGTCGTACCATTAGGCGCAGTGCCATTGGACAGCGCCTTCAAAGTCGTAGAGTCGACACTGGCCGACTTGGCGTGCCCAAGTTTGACTTTCGAGTCTGTGCTGATGCGAGGCGTACCCGGTACATCAGTACCAGTCAGCTCACTATCCTCCTCTTCCTTCTCCGCCTCGTCTTCAGGATTAAGGACCGGAATAGTCGGGTAGAAAGCAACGGTGTATGTGATGTTGCCCTTGAAGGGGCCTTTGCCGTAATGCAACGGAGATGTAGTAAGCTGTTTCTCGTCATCGATCTCGAATTCGCCGGCCTCCGACTCGCGGACAAAGTCAGACGCCTTGAGATCGACGTAGCCGAGCGAGCGATCCTTGTTGATGGTCTCCTCGTCCATGACCTCGATTGTCACCTTCTCGCGGGCGCTGCGGACCGGCACGTACACGACCTCGTCCCACTCGGGGTTAAGGTTGTTACGGAAGGTCACCGTGCGGCCACGTGTGATGCCGGAGAGCAGAACACGTGCGTAAGGATCCGACTTGCCCATGGACTCAAGGTTGCGCAGGTCAGTCGCGCCCTTGAAGTGGAAGCGCATTACGCCGATCGGGTCGACGTAGCCAGCGCTACCGGCGACGCCAGTTAGGGCGACAGGTTTCCATTGCAGCTTTAGCTTGGCGCGGCCGGCCTTGACTCCGTGGAGGTGGAACCAGTCCTTGCCTTGCTCCATCATCTTCATCATGTCGTTCATCTTGATTTGGTAGCGGCCGATGATGGGATCGGCCATGAGATCACGGTCGTCTTTGATAATCAAACCCAGGCGGGCATTCTTGCGGTCGGTAACGAGGAATTCCTTCGAGGCGTTTTGGAAGATGGGGTTGTTGGTGCGCTTCAACTTGTTGGTGACGTGGATTTCCTTGCCGTTCAGCAGCAGCACGCCGTACGGGTTCAACTTGCCAACGAAGCTCTTGCTGCCGTCTAGATCCTTGGCCTGCTCGACAGTGAACTGCGCAATACCGGTGTTCATTTCTGGTGGGGGCTCTGTTTCGCCCGAGTCCAGCTTGCTACCCTCGAGGACGGGGAAGAAGCGGATATCGGCGTGTATGGCACCGCGATGGCGGCCGCTAGACAGAACTTCCAGGTAGATACCCTCGTGCGAGGGCTCCTCTTCGAGCTTACTGAGCGGAAACGAGGCTGTTCCCAATTCCTTGTCCTTGCGGTATTCGTTCCAGTCGTAAGGGACGACGGTCAAGGCATCCGCGAAAGAGGTAATGATAACATAAATAGTCTCGTTCCAGCGGGGGCTGTCAGTGTCGTGCACGGTCTTGGTGCGGCCCAGCTCGGTGCGGTTGTTCAGCGAGACGACGGCATAGGGATCGGGAGTGCCAGAGAATTTGTCCGCGTTCTTGAGCTGGTGAGCGCCGTGCAGAGTCACCGCGACCACACCAATGGCTTGGTCGACCGGGTTTCCAGCAAGCATCTTGGCAATCTCGATGGGGAAGACATTGGGGTCGTACATCATGGGCTGCAGATTGTTGTGGATCTGCTCCTTGATGAAGTTCTCCAAACCCGGGATGAAGTTGATATCGAAGCCAAGAGTGTCACCACCAAGAGGCTTGCAGACGTAATCAATCTCAGGCGGGCTCAGGAAGCAGACGTCCACGCGCTCGATGTGCGGGAACGGCAGCTGAAGCTTGACCTTGACGCGCATCAGGCCCGAGCAGGCCATGTCCTCGACAATCACGTCCAGGCCCTTACTCACGACACCCTTACCGAGCCGAACTTCCAGAACAATCTTAGGGTTGATCTTGTCCTTGAGCTGGCGTGCAGTCAAATCCATGGTATCATTGGGCGTGAAGCTGAACTTCCAGTCCATAATAACGGTATCAGGATCGGTCTTGGGGTACGTCTTGACATGCTCCAGGCGGGGCGGCTTGGTACCGAGGACGAACGTCTTGAGACGCAGGCTGTCCAGGAAAGCAGGGGTCGAGGTGCTGAGGACCTGATCGACCGAGTTGATAATGGTGTCGCACAGAACGGGAGCATAGATGGGCCAGAACTTGACTAGGAAACTGTTAATCCACTCGAGACTCTCCGTGTCCGTCTCCAGGCGTTGTTTGGACATTTCACGATTAACATCGTCCCGGAAGTTCCGGCGCACTCGGCGTATGGACGTGCGGTAGTATGTGCTGCACCCGGCCATCACCAGGAGCACCCAGCCCACGCCACCGCCCAAGGCGGCGATGAGCCACGATGTCAGACACGCAAACACAATGACCGCGGCATTGTGGTACCAATCGCCAAAGAACTTGTCCGGCAGCCGGCCCTCCAGAAAGGTCGTGTGGTCGAGCAGCGTACCCTCCGCCTGTTCCTCCTCCGTCGGCTCGATGTGAAATTTGGGCGCCCAACCGGTGCGGTCGCGGGCCCAGCGCATATCCTCGTCCATCGCCTTTCCTCCCTCGGCCGCCGCATTGGCGTCCTCGGCCATGATCGCGGTGGCCGAGCGTGGGGGAGGAAGGTCATAATCTGCTTTTCCGGGGTCCTAGGTACACCTGATGAGCCTGGGGAGGATCCTGCCACCAACTACGGGGGAGGAATAGCGCTTACTTGGTCCGTAATCACTGCCATGCCCTCGGGCTTCTTGTCGCGATGGAAACCGGGCGGCAATCGCTAGACCCGAGCTCTCGTTAGTATATGCGATTTTTCTCCAATCGAGGGCCTGTCCCCCTCTCTTGGATCGATTTGATCACGGTTCCTGGTTCAACACCTACCGCTTCAGCTGCCGCGGCCTTATCTTCGGGCGAGGCATTGGGGTCGAATTGGTATGCAGGCGCGCCGGCCGCTCGAGTCTCCTGCACCAGGGCCTCCTCGATCGTGTCCGGATTGACCCTGGATTGGGGATCTTGAGCCAGCTCGGTGGCAGCATCAATCATCCCTTCCTCCTTCAGCTCCGTCTTCTCCGCGGCGACGGACGCCATCTCGGCGGTCGATGTGTTTCGTATTATGCCTCACAGTATGGGCGGGGAATCGTGATTGAGGTAGGATATTCTGGCGCCTGGTGTCACAGAATGGAGGAGCGAGTTAGAAAGGCATGGATCACGGTCGGTGGTGAGGTGGTGAGGTGGTGAGGTGGTGAAGTGGTGAGGTGGTGTGGCCCGAGGGAAATCCGGGGATTGGCAAGCTTGGTGAGGGGAAGGGGAGGGGGCGCTTGCTACTCACTGACGGGGGGACGTGATACCACCGAGTGGGTTGGGCGGAGTGAGGAGAGGAGGAGAAGAAGAGAGAAAAGAATTGTCGTGGGACAGTGACGATCGACGCAGAGGGAAGGAAAGGAGGAGCGCACAGCAGCAGTAGTGGAGAGCCGAAGCCAATTGAAGATGCGCAGGTCGGGCTTCGCAAGGCCAGCCGCTTGCGTCAAGAACACTGCACTGGTGGCTGGGCACGGCATTACGGCCCTTACGGCCATTACAGGGGAAATAGCATGATCTGGGCGGATATTCCGGTATAATTACCAAGCTTCCCAGCACTCTATTATTCAAGCTACGCAATGGCTGCTACTCCGTACAGTAGTGGGAATTATCGTGGTTCATCACGATGGGGCCTAGCGTCACAGCGCAGCAAGAAAAAAAGGGATCGTCTCCAGGCGATCGGAGATCAGTGACGTCTCTCGGCCTACTAGCATTGAACTTACTGGACATGGTTTAGTGAGCGAGAGAGGCGGTTCCGTCACGGCTAGCGAAAGCTATAGCCACGGTTCAGCCCGGGAACACTAGCTATACCCCCAGCAGCCCCCAGGAGCGTACGACGGCTGTAGGGGGTGCATCGGGAGAGTGCCGGAAATGATAATTGTTCATATGAGCTCCGTAATTTATTCTTCCCCCTCTCATGATGCCTTCTCCTTCCGAGCCCACTAGCGATAGGGGCCGGCCACTAGCAGCGAACTATTAAATTTCAATGGGGAGCACCGCCACACGGTCGCATTTCCACTATTATTATACTATTTATACTATTCAATCCAGAACTGGGCCATGGCGTCGTCCACTTGTCCTTCCCACTTTCCCACTTTTCCCTCCGACGGACCTGGTGGCGTGGCTGTGGCTAGGTTGTGCAAATCCACCAGCCCTACCAGGCATCAATATTATTCACCCAGCAAAAGGAAACCAAGTGGCACCAAACCACCCCCGAAAAGCCCCTTCAATAGCTAGTCGCCCTCCCATTCCCATTGGGAGCTCACATCGCCCTAGCCCACACCCCACACCCACTTTCCAGGGGAGAGGCCCCCATGCCCACACCCAAACAGCGTTTCGCGAGCGATACGTGTGGCCAGGCAAAGGTTCCTCCTCCCAGAAAGATCCTTAACTGCTCTCGGTGTAGCGCATCCCCGGACAAGCTCGCGGCGTGCCCCCGCCGGACCATCCCACAGAACTCAGAATCTAGCGGAGCATGTGGCCATCGTGCACTTCGAGTGGACCATTGTGTGTCTGTGCTCTACTGGACTGAACGGACGGGGCGGGACGGCACTATATTGGACTACTGTACCTATGTCATCCGAATGGTGCAGCATATCTGCAGCGACGGCTAATTTGTTGATTTGCTGATTTGTCCATGGCAAACCTGCAGACCGTGCTCTTGGAATTCGATCTATCAGATCTCGGCTTTCAGCCTTCGGAGGACGGTGGCTGGTAGGTCCTCGTGTCCTCGCCTCGGCAAAGGCTAGGCCGCTTCTTCTTTTTGCTTCTCCTCCCATTCCTGGCCTGGGGCAAACTTACGATGCGTGCGGGGGCGTGCCGGGGAGTGATAGTTCGGCTACTGTTGCCACAAGCTGACGATGCGTAAAGGGAAAGGAAAGGAAAGGAAAAAGGACATGCAGTCTCCAGTACTTCCTTCGTGGACTATGTGCGCTGGTAATTTCCAGCCAGCCCGCCCTCCCCCAATTTGGAAAGCTGCGTGGTTGTCTTTTCATTGCTTTTTTTTGTTTACATGAGACATCTAAGTCCGCTTTCCTTTCACTAGCTATCTCCCTGGGGAGTCGGGTCCGACTATCGTTCAGCCCTACCGACTCCGTACCTTCCTACCATTCTCGATTGACTGTTTTGCTCGGAAACGTGCCCTCTCTCCGCAATGCAAACCACTTCTCTTCTACTATCTCTTTGTCTCTACTGTTCTTCCCCGGCGAAAAAAAAGTCATCAGACTGGATACATTCATGCTAAGCAAACCATGACATAAAACCCGATTTTGAAAACACTGGAACTAGGTATGGAGTGATATCTGCAGCACAGCTCGTCACATCTTGAAAGTCGTTGCAATAAATACGGAGGCCAGCCAAAACCAAACCCCCGAGCGAACCTGGTCCCTCACAGCCCCCGAATAAAGGGACAAGATTTACGTTTAAATGAGCTTATTCAAGAGCCCGAGTGAAAGGACATATCAGGTCAAGGGTATGGGCGTTTACCGGCCCAGGCGGATCACACCGGCGGCCATCAGCTTCTGGATCTTGATGCGCACCGAGGCATTCTTCATGTGCTCCTGCAGCGCAGCAGGGTCGCCCTTCGCCTGGTTGAGGATGCTCTGCATGACGGGGTCCTGGAGGATGGACATAATCTAAGAACACAAGGATTAGCAATTACCTTCCAACGTCGGACCCGCAATGGACCCGCAGGGCAGGGGGAACATACTTCAGGATCATTCTGGATGCGCTCCATAGTCTGCTGCTCAGTCTCGCCGGCGCGAGCACTGAACTGCGCATCCAGACACTTCTGCTGCTGCTGCTCGATCTCGCGGGCGTGGGTGCCGTCGTCTTGCTCCGCGGCCGCGGTAAAGGTATCCAGCGCACGGTTGTACTCCTTCATGGCGACAAGCGCCTGGCCCTTGCGCATGTACGCGCGGATGAACTTGGGGTCGCGGGCGATGGCCTCGTCGCAGTCCTGCACGGCCTGCGGGAATGCCATCAGCTTGATCAGCGCGGCAGCGCGGTTTGAGTAGCCACGCGGGTCACTGGGCGCGCGCTTGGTCATCTCCGTGAAGGCGTCGACGGCACCGGGCCAGTCGGCCTCCTGGAACTTCTGCTGGCCGAGCTCGCGGGCTTTCTCGGCGGCCGCGGGGTCCATGTAGGCTTCCTTTTCGGCCTTAGCCTTGGTCTTCTCGGCGGTACGGAGCTTGGTCAGGACTTCCGGGGTGCGATGCTCCATAAGGGACTTGTTATAGTATTCGATGGCCTGGGCGAGGTCGCCCAGCTTTTCGTAGGCGGAGCCAATGCGGGCGAAAGCCCTGTTGTCAAACTGTCAGCAAAAAGAGTTCGACCCAAAAGGAAAGTTTCTTGTATCCTACTTGGCAACGGTCTTGAAGTCGGCGCGCAGATCGCGGCCTTCCTCCACGGCCTTCTGGCAGGTCTCCACCGCACCCTGGTAATCGCCCTTCTCGAACTTAGCGGCACCCAGGTTGTTCAGATAGGTAATATCCTTGTTCAACTCCCAGGCCTTCTCGTAGTGTTCAATGGCCTGGTCGAACTCCTTCTTCTTGTAGAAATCATTACCAATCTTCTTCTCAGCATCACCAGCCTCCCGGGCCTTCTTCTGGGCAAGTGCTTCCTCATCCTCGGGCTCGGGCTCGGGGGTAGGCTGCTTCTTGGGCTGCGCGGGAGCGGGCCTAGCCTCTGACGCTGGCTCAGCCTGAGCACCGGCAGGACCACCTCCAGGAGCACCACCAAAGTTCATATCGATACCCAGGAGTACACTCATAACCTGCAAGAAGCGCGGGTCCCGAATCTCCTCACCAACGCTGTTGGGGTTCTGTTGGATCTTCTTCAGCTTCGCCATGAAGTCGGCGTCGGCTAGCAGGTTCGCGGTCTGGGGGTTGCTGGCGAGCTTCTGGAACAGCGCAGGGTCGTTGAACATGCCACCCAGGCCACCGCTAGGATCACCCATAACACCATCAGCCGTAGCCTCGGCATTGATAGCGCGTTGGACAGCGCTCAGCCCAGATTTGGCCTGCTCGTTGCCCGGCTCGAGCTTCAATGCCTCTTCGTATGCGTCGTGGGCGGCCACTGTTAACAATCAGTCAGCGACTCCCGCTCCATGCCTACCTCATCCTCAATCCACCATCTTATCACTTACGGAGGTCACCCAGTCCCCGGTAGGCAGCACCCTTGCGGAGCTGGCCCTTGGACCAGTCGGGCTTGATGCTAATCGCCTTTTCGGCATCTTCGAGGGCTTTTTGGTACTCGGTCTGGGCGGAGTAGACGGCGGAACGGTTGGAGTAGAGGATGTGGTTCTCGGGCTCAATAGCGATAGCCTGGGTGAACTTCTCACTAGTGAAATCATATATCTCATCAGCAACCTGTCACGCATCACCCTCATAACTGAAGGCGGGGTAACAAACATACATTGCAGTTGGATAGTCCTTGGCCGAGAAGGCCTTGTTGCCTTCAGCCTTCAGAGAGTCAGCCATGGTGAAAGGGTGGTTTAATCGAGGTGTAAAGGGGTGTAAAGGTCAATCCCCGGGCGCTGCTGCGGTTATGAGCTCGCCCTCTTTGCCAGCGAGCTTCTCGAAATTTCCGGAAGATCGCTGGTGCCTGAGGCCGCAGGCCTAGAAGCGTGACGGTCTTAAGCTCCGGGCGCACTAAACCCAAACTGGCGCAGCCGACATCCCCGCTGCGAAAAAAGTCGCCAAACAGTGTTTTTTGTGTTTCCTCTCTGACTCAAATCTTGCCAGTCACGGTCGCTGTCGCCATGATCCTTTAACTGGCCCCTCCCTGCTCCTGCAGCTGCTCGAGTGGAACATGATCTCTCCCCTCCGACCTTAATCGTGCCCCCTCTCTACCCTCGCCGAAGCTGAGCCTCCCCCAACCTCTGACTCTCCCACCATGGGGTCTCGTGTCACCGAGGTCGCCTCGCGGCTCTACGACGCCTGCCTCGAGAGGTTCGACACCGACCATCTGTTCTACCAGCAAGACCTGCTCGCTCTCGACGTCATCCCACAAGGTGAAATCGATCTGCTGCTGAAATGCGCCCAGGCGCTGGTCGATCAAAAATTGTTCCGACTCCACCAAGGCGCAAATAACCGCCTCGCCTGGAAGCTCATTTCTCGCGATGATGCCGAGAAGTAAGTTGTCTTCTACTTCATCTCACTCATAGCCGTGGACACTTCAGGAGAGCTGTTTCGCTAATCAAAAAACTCTTCTATAGACTTCAGAACCTCAGCCCCGACGAGAGCTTAGTGTACAATGTCATCCACTCAAGTGGCCGCTCAGGCGTCTGGGTGCGCTCAATACAATCACGCACAAACCTGCACAAGTCCATCCTCGACCGTTGCGTGAAATCTCTCGAGAGCAAGAACTACATCAAGAGCGTCCACAATGTTAAGTACCCGACCCGAAAGATGTACATGCTCGCGGGCCTGGCCCCGAGCGAGGACATCACCGGAGGTGCCTGGTTCACGGACGGTGTCCTCGATGCCAACTTCATTAACAGTGTCGCGGGCTACATCGAATACACCGTCAGCCGACGCAGCTGGTACGAAGTCCCCGCCGCCGACCGCGGCCGCAGCAAGCGGATCAAGACCGCCACCGGCAAGGCGGAGGTAAAGTCTGAGTCAGAGAAGACATACCTTCCCTACCCTGCCAATTACCCGGGCTACCCGACGGTCGACATGATCACCAACGCGGTCAACCAGAGCGGCATCACGCCCGTGCGCTTGGGCGAAGACAGCATCATCCAGCTGCTTCAGATGCTCTGCTTCGACAAGAAACTCGTCTCGCTGAACAACGGCACTTCCTATAAGTCCGTCAAGAACCCCGAGATCGTCAAAGCAAGCCAGTCGCGCAAGCCAGCTGCGGAGGAGGAAATGGCTTCGCCTCTTCACGGCTTGGGCAAGAATGGAATGACTGAATCGCCATGCGGATCGTGCCCTAATATCCGTCTCTGCTCACCCGGTGCTGCCATCAGCCCGGAGACCTGTGAATATTTTGACCCATGGTACGAGAAGGTGCTCGGGTTTTGATCATCTCCAAAACTTGTTTGCGGATTCTTCGAGATATTGGCTGTCTCATAATTGAGCCGAGCGGTTGCACGACACGGCCAATTGAAGCCGAGCCTAACACCCACCAAAGAGAACGAGAGCCCCTTACACTCTCGCTCCTCTGATCTTCAGGTACTGTGATCTATGATCTACACGGTGCCCCTTTGCATGCAAAATGGAACGACCAAAAAAGGATTTGTGCATAGCGATTGGCGTTCTTTACTGTGATTATTTCTCCGGCCTAAGCTGCCCCTGGGGCTGCAGAGCGAATGCTCATATGTATTTTCCGGATGGGGTGAGATTGCGCTTGGTCCGTGGCTTTGACATGAAGCTCCCTACATGGACCATATTGTTCTAGAAATTAGAAATGACCTCAAAGATCATATCGGCACAAGTATCCGTGTCAATAATTGTAGACTGGATCTGGTTTGCTTTTCGGGTATACTACAGATACCCTACCTAGTATTTACACATGATTGATAGGCCGTATCGCGATGGCTCCATCTCGCTCACGTATAAGAGCTTGCACTACAAGAACAGGATTTACAATACGCTCTGGCTTCCATCCTATCTCTCAACCGCCATACCGAATGAACTATAGACTGTACTCATCGAAGTCGAGGAAAGGCGCTTCTGTATAAGAAAAAAAACCGATGTGATCGTATCGAGGCAGACTGGCTACATGCTCAAGAAGCGTACGTAATATGCTAAAGGATATCGAAAATCCGCCGCTCCACACATAACCGGCCTTACTTATCTTTGCTGGATCGCAAGCAAATCTTCGATTAGTCCTCTTATGCACCTCTCCCTATCGTGGAGAAGGTACATCCAGGCGGGCCATTACTGTTCCCAGTTTTAACCTGTGTCTAAATATACAAAGATCGTCCTAATGACCGACCTCCTAGTCCTTTTCAAATCACCTGGACGTGATCTATTTCTTAATACCAGAAAAGCTCAAGCCCATACCAACTCAGGGTCTGTTTCCCCATATTCGTGTTGCTTCTGTCACAAAATATTGTTCTTCCTGATGATGAACCCGCCATGTACTGACCCATTGTCGAGCTATCCACAATCAATCCTTACTATTGAAGATGACAATCACATTTCCATCCTCCTCTTCGTGCTTTGCTATCTATATCCCAAGATCTCCCTTTCAAATGACATCCAAGCTCAGAAAATATTACTTGCTAGAGTATGCGTAATCCCTATGCCTTGCTTCCAAAACAACATGAATGTTATTCATTAGCCCATGCTTGATCGGCAGGCAATGAATACATATGCCATGCGAGGAAGATGGAGAGGAATGAATATGGGTCAATGAAGAGCTTGAGTCCGATAATCGCAGCAGGCCAATAGGATTTTAGGAGGCACGCAGCGATTATAGAAAATCATGAGAACCGGGCACAAATTCTGCTCCACCCATGATACCCTATAATCTCCATAATATACTATTATGTCCGTTTACAGAGCCAAATGTGCTGTCTGCAAGCTTCCGATCACCGGTTAAAGTGCGGTGATACCAATCTCATATGAAAGTCGTGTAGAAAACCTGGCATTTGATAGAATCCAGGGAGTGTGAAGTAGAGTACGTAGAACATAAACACTGATAATTTGACTGGAAGTTACGATCTCGTGTTAGCTCTGTTCGGGTGTTCTGTCTCCTCGAAAACGAGGCCTAGCCGGGGCCCAAATCCATCAGCACGGACCCTCCACCATCCTTGGGGTCCGTGCAATCGCTACTAGGATAGGCCGGAAGCACGTAAGTAGAATCATATGTCGAACTAAAAAATGACTGTATTGACTAAGAATGTAGCCCGTGGAGCATTTTTGGTCTAGCGGTCATTTTGCCTATCTATCCGCAACAGCGCTTAAAATGTCCATTGCGTACCCCAAATCTCGGCGCCGCGATCATGGAAAATTTCTCTATGGAAAAAGGTCTTCGTTGACGAACTCCATTGCCTACAACTTGTCTCTTGATATGGAAAGGTCATCTCATTCCGATCCCAACCGTGGGAGATTTGCTGCATTGCCGCATAAACGCCTTAGATGGTCCAACGAGGAGACGACGATTGTGATATATTTTTCGTCGCGGCAGATTCATCCTAAAACGATCCGCTGCCTGCTGTTGCGTCGGGGCTATGTTCGTTCCACTAGCGCAATTGAACGCAAAGTGGTTTCCGTAGCCCAGCTGCATCCACATCTAAGGTCTTCTAAGGGGCACTGGGATTTGAATGCTGTTGACCACTGGATGGACGATTTACTTGGAAACCATGAGTCGGTGAATAAAGTAATTCATTTTTCACCGGAGGATGCAGAAGATGTGGTAATTGTGAGCCGCCCTCTTTACGCTATTTCTACATGTGTACTTACTGCCTCTGTATAAAATTAGAATCAACCAATCGATGCACCTTTGAGGGCGTTGAAATTAGATCTTTGTTTTGGGACCTCGTAAAATAATTGAACACGCGAACATCTGCAAGGCTTGCTGTAGGGGTGCTACAGGCCATTCGAAACACTATCAAAACAGTTTGCTTAGAAGGCGGAAGACCGACAAGCATTGCTTGTCAAGCAATTTCAATCGACATTGTCCAACAGGGGGCGGTAACCGCATCCATCCCGATTCTCAGAAAGCATCTATATATTTTAAGTCACTAATCCGATGATAAGCGAGGACAAAGAAACCCCGTCGAGGCCACCCTACTTCATTGATTTTGATATGGCTATCAGAGAGCAGCGAGCCAATGATCTGGTAGAAAACGGGGAGACCGGCACGCCAGAGTTTATGGCAATTGGTTCACTTCTAGGCAAGAAGCATTTTTTGTTCATGAGCTTCAATCATTCTCCTGGGAGATCATTTGGAAATGAAATTACTACTGGGGGCCCTAGGAAAGGCTTGTTGCAGGGCCTGAAAAGTGGAACTTTGTGGGAACAGAGAAGTTAGCGGGTATGAAAAGCCGAAACATTCGATGCTTTCAAGGGGATTTTGTGGTCCGCAAATAAGTACTCTACAGGGTACTGCCAGCTACCGATTTCATGCGTCAAGCCACTTTGTACCGCGGTATTTTATCGGAAAAACATGACGAAGATACCGGATTCGATGTGGACGAAACAGATCCTGCCGCGCGACCGAGAGGACTGAGAGTTGGCAGCAGCCCATCCTCCCGGGTTCATCAAGAATCATGCTGTCAGCATGGTATACTTCAAGCACGCGGTTTGTGCTGATTGGTTCATTATAAATGTCAAAAATAGGAGAACTGAAGAGTGGAAGGACTGGTCCGTAGACGAGACCTACACATGCATTCTGTCTCAAAGCCAGGATAACCATGAAAATGCAGACTTGCTTACATATAATCCTCTGTGACTTTGATAAGTCAGAAAGGAGAGGAGAGGGGGGGTAGCCTCACCAAGCAATATATCCACTATCCAGACCTTCCGATGCGACCTGGGTAGTGTGCCAAAGACCGCTGCGCTCTGATAGGGTAAGCCAAATCATAAGACGATTCTTATAAGTATTGGGGGGTCCTTGCTTTAAAACTCAGGTGCCTTCATTCAAACAGCCCTATATCTTACTATCAGCAAGCTATGATTCGCGCAAATCAACTAGCTAAGTTATGACAACTGATGATTTTCCCTCGGTCGATCGCCCCTTCATTATGAACCGGATAACCCGTTGTCCTTGATGCTGACAATCTGCACGCTAGCAAAACCACTTCACATATCTTCGCCATTAGCGACTGGATTTGAACCCATATACACATTGTTACTATGTCCCACGAAGAACGACATCGAGCCATTTATTTGGTGACGCATTTGGAGTGCTGGAATAGCTTTTCAGAATCTCCCTTTGAGCTACGTAAATCTGCAATATTCGTCGAAGAGTACGCTGGTGTGTCTCTGATCTGCATAGGCTTGTGCTCTGAAGTGCGGTAACCCGCAGCTCATCGGCGGTTGCAACTTCACGCAGCTCTCTGCGGAGCAATGAGGCCAGGAGCTCAACCTTCTCTTTCTTAAGTCAGGAATAGTCATCTAGCGGTTTAGGCAGCATACCTATTTTACATAGGAGACTTGGCCTTTTGAACGGTATAGATTTAGGCCACCAGGCTGGTTCCAAATCAGTCGCATATTTGATTTTAGGCTCGATGAGTTCGACCCAAAATCTGACAAGGTCTTCACAGACGTAGCTAGGCAAGGTTTCGATCTCAGTCTCATAATGCGAGGCTTGATTTCCGGCACCATCGCCGTATCTGGCTGTAAACGAGGTATGAGCAACTGAATCGGGGGTTTAGATTAGCATACTCACCGAATCTGTACGTATTCTCGAGGGGAATAAACTTGAATTGTTTAGTACGCCCTAGTCAACCAGCCTTGGTAAGCTATGAGATTCGAACTGGATATGAAATCTTTCTATCACCTGATGCAACCTCCTTTTCCATCGCATCATTCCGCTGAGATGAACTGGATGGCCCATGGCAATGGTTCGTGTAGAGTATGCCATGGCCTTGACCCGACGTTTCGAGATACGGAACGAATCGATTGTCCATCTCTGGATACCAGACAGAATGGGGTAGTAGGCTCTTATTTAAGGGCTTGTGATGACATGAACACGACGCTGGAATCGGTCAATCCTCCATAACCATCCTAGAGACTCCGGTATCAAGTTTATAGTACGTACATCTTGAATATTTCGACTCCGGCAACTTTCACTTAATCTCAAATATCAGCTCAGAATCTTAAAGGTGGGTTTCGGTGATATCAGCCCCGCCGAAGACACGGCCGGAAGGCTTTGGGTGCTTCATATGATGTAGAACTGAGGCCAGGCAGCGCGCCTCCTCTTTTGATCCTTGCAAAACAAACAGAAACAACGTCTATAGGATGCCAATCGGAGATTTTTCAACCAATCAAAGTTTTCGAAATTAGCATCTGTCCTTTCTCTAGCGTCTGATGTGATCGGTCAGAACGGAAAATACGTAGGGACTAAATTAATATTCACTTGGAAGAAGCAATCACCCAACGAGCTACATGGCGGGAGCTCGAAGTGGGGCAACGCGCCATTGAACCAAAGTACCACTGAAGCGGAGTAGTCCGAGTGGCTGCAATTGATATCTCTCCATGGCATTGCGCTTTGGTAGCACTGTACAGAGTACTTGCTGAAATCACATGCTGCCATTGAAACTCGAAACTACATTCTACTTCTACAATAGTCGTTTCTTAACATTGGCAAAGATCACCCTGATCTAATAAACCCGTCCGGATCACTTTTGGGATACTGCTTTACTGTGGTAGGAATCTTCCTTTAGCATGTTAATTTCGGCCCTCCTCCCGTGCACTGGTCACCAGTCGCTAGCCCAACGACACGGGCTTGTGGGGCCATGGCGCGATGAGAGGAGGCGCACGTTAAACCAATAGTGGGGGAATGTGAGATCTGTAAACAATCCTGAGCTGTCTATGAACTAAAATCAATTGGGTTGGGTAAGCCTCACTGGCAAGTACCGTCGGCATGCGCTGAACACTAATGATTAGGTCTTTGACTTGGTATAGAGTCCCGAGCTCTTTGACTCCATATTGCTTTTTTGGGTGACTACATTGGTAAATCACGATATTCCACGTAGACAATATGTCTTCCTAGCGCCAAAAAAAAAAGGGAAGATTGTGTAACCTTGTCTTTTTCTTACCAAGCATGATCAACATGATATCAGTTACTCTCTAATTAGCTTCGCTTTTACGCTAGTGGTAAACTTATAACCCGGTATCACAATAAATCTATATATTAATATACATATATATATATATATATATATATGTTTTTTTTTTTTTTTGGAAAAAAAAAAAAAAAAAAGAAGAGAAACATGTTTCTCAAGGAATTTCGACCCCTCGTTTTGGCACGGTGCTCGGCTTACACTTGCAATCACCCTATCCCAATCCAGCAACCAGCATAGGGAACAGTATTCTCAAGGCCAGCCACATCAGCCATAATGTCTCTACTTCTACACGAAAGCGGGGTCCCCGTTTAAATACGGATTATCTTTCCGGCCATGATGATTGGTGTTCTGCTCTAGTGCCACCCGCACGAGATAAGAGTAAGCCACTCCCTTCGTCAGCTGTAGGGATCTCCTAACCGTATCGGCACATGATGGCGAGCCCGGCGCTTGCTGCTCCACCAGCGCACAGAACCCGGCATAGGACCACCACCGACACGGGTGAGAGCAATCCCTAACGGTAAATTCCTGAAAACAATTTCCATGGTTTAGGTTGTTTTTTATGAGTGCAGACAGGGGTGAAAAGCATCAAGAGATCTTGGACTTCATATGACCTGTGGGCCGAAGGTCGATGGTCATTAGCAGTAATACCTCATCGAGTCTAGAATTATATACGAGGGGCCAGATAGCTATGTTCCAATCCGATGGAGTGGAGAGTGCAACCGTGCGTCTGGAAATAGGTACGATTCGGATGAGGAGAGTGTTGCCTCAGTCCATAGGGCGAAGCCAGCCACGTAGCGTAATAGACTACTCGATGATATGCCATCTCGTGACTCGAGCTCAATATGGTATCATTTCACGACATTTCCTCGTCTCGAAACTGGGGTAGAAGTTATCTCTGATATGGCAAAATAATGATAAGTAGAAAGGCGATTCAGAATCTGCTCCAATTAAGAAAACCACGATTTAGAATGGATATTTAAACATAAGCCTACGATCATACTAGCGTACCTACTACATCGTCGGTTCCACGCGTAAGTGTGGGGTAGACTCTTTATCTCTCACCGGTATGTGTTGGGACGTTGGGGCACAAGCATGTGTTGCTCATTGCTTCGCAAAGTTTACAGAGGCCACCCTACCATGGTCCTATATCATATAAGATCTATCCTTACTAAGGTAGCTCAAGCTTGCGCTGTTGGAACCTTTGAATTATTTTTCTAATAATCGATTATACCTATTTCATGAGCTCTAGCTATATCGTAGGGCTACAACATGCGTGACAAAGGGCTCAGAGGGTAAATACAGACAGGTACGCAGACTGTTACCCGACTTAAAGTTAACGTCACTTCTCAATCAACGCAAGCATACTCATTGAGGTCTTACTAGTGCTTGATTCCCAGCTGGGATGGGGCGGTGGGAAACTTCGCTCAAACCGCACGACGCAGTTGCTTAAAGACTATCTTGGCCGGCTATGACGATCATTGTGCTCTTCCTTCTTTTCATGTTGTTCCAGCAGTGTAATTCAGTGGGTTGCTTCTGTCCCGTCCCACCCTGGCATTTGCATACCCATGCAGATCGGCCGGACCGTAGCACGCTTATTAGGGGCAGACGATGATTGACACTGCGGTAAGTTTGACGTCGCACGAACCGGAGCAGTTCTTACACAGACTCTAGCGCTCCATTTTATGCTCCTATCCTTCTTACCTAGGGCCGGACGACTGCAGTTCAGTGATGATCTGCCTTTATTCTACAGCATGTGCTAGCATGTGCGTAAGATTCATGGCTTATCTGGGGCCAGTCGGTGGATAGGAGAGCTCTCCTGCAATTTAGCGGCCACTAGGAGCAGCGGTCACTCCAGTTTATCCCATGGTGACGACGCATGATATGCAAGCAGAGTAAAAACCCTGCCATTGTTGAACGCGTCTCCTAAACGGTTGTGGTCAGACTTTGAACTTGACCGTGGTGGCTATTACTCTGGTTGGCCGCTGCCAACGCGACTCATAGATACCCAAGAGCTCTAGATATGTACTTACGTTACACAAAGAAAACAACGAAAGATCGAAAGTGAAAAGTATAAGCTCTTTAGGTATCAGGACTCCTGTTTCAAAGGTGTCGCTCTCGTCCAGCTTTCTGATCTCAGTTGGAAGTAATAAGGCAACATGTAAAGGACCAGGCAACTATCAGTTTGGAATGAATCATGGTATCATTACTATATTGTAATCGATGAATAAACGCGGGGATGCGGACATGTCCTTGGCTGCGCAGCTATACATGTGAACGATAGGGAAGGCCTGTTAGGCAGCGTTGCCCTTGGTCTAAGCACGTCAACGCTTATTGAATTGAAGTTACGCCTGACGCAAAAAGATAAATTTGCCCGATGGGGCCAGAATCGATCGGGGGGAGAAAAACAGAACGAATACAACGCCAAAACCTCAATTCGCGACCTCGATCTCCGGTGATAACTTTGACCCATGCCGGGTGAGGATATCCACACAGACAAGCCAGGCTCGCTCAGAGGAAGGGTCGTTGGCCGACATTGCACGCAGCCAGCGGATGGCCTTTCGGACCTTCTCTGTAAGACCGGCAGCCTCGGTGGATCCCGGCTTTAATCGAGCGAACAGCTCAATTAGGAGGATGGTAGTGGACTGCATCACATAATGCAGGACACACCACCAGGGCGAAGCCCCGTAGAGCCAGTCCGTGTCCGCCTCGTCGGGAAGCAGATCTAACATCCGGCCCGCGACTTGCACGCAGGTAGACGCCATGGTATCGCATACGCTCGAGGAGATTGTAGCGTGTGGTTGGCAGGCGAGACGGCGGAGGCAGGGCTGGGAGATGACTAGTTTGGTGGTATAAAAGCGGAAGCCTAGACTGGTGCGTTGACGGATGAAGGATCGGGTGGTGTCCGGGGTTCCAAAGCGGAATTCTTTTGGAAGACGGGCGAACCACTCGTCGGTATTAGTGTTAAAGGTAAAGATTGCTATCTCAGTCTCCTCCCATGACCGCTGTGCCGCCCGAGGTGCATATAGGATTTCGATCGCTTCCCGAAGAAGAACCGTCAAGTCCACTGTGAATAAGAAGTACAGGGAGATGTTCGGCGCTGGGGTGTTCCCTATCACAGAGAGGCGCTTTTCGGTCTCATCACTCAAGTCACGGTTTTCTAAGTGAGTGTGTTCGGTCGAGGCATCGAGAGGCTGAGGGGTTGGGGGATTACAAGAGAGCAAGGACGCCAAAAGTGCATTTCGGGCCATGTGGTCGGTGATCAGCTGTGCAACCTCTTCCTTGTTGAGATCTTCCTCCGGATAGGGGAGTGGAAGAGGGGTGCTGCGGAAAGTCTCGTCGGTGGTGGGTGGTCGGCCCGTCAACACACAAAGCCCAGCATCGAGCATGAACAATGCCCACCACACACGGTACCGAATCTCTTTTGAGAAATGAGAGACCACATCACCCTCAATCCGAAAATTGAGGCCCATTGCTATGGCTGACCGGATCGCGATCCCGATCATCCGCCAGGACCTAGAAGGCGGGGGCCAGTTAGAACCCGGGTCGGCTTGGGAGCCCTAAAAGGTGGAGAGGCCGTACCGGTTAATTTGGCCGGTAGACAGCAGATAGAAGGCAGCTAAGCCTTCTACCTGCACCTGCTGTAGATTGGGATGGTCGAGCAACGCGGCATCACCCATGCTTAACCGCCACGCTCGCATAAAGTACTCCGTATGATTATAGGCTCCCTGCTCGGAGGAGCTCTGGGCTAGGTGTGCACGCCGCGTCGCGATGGCAAATACTAGGTTTAGCACGGCCACCCACCGCCTCCCGGGTCGTTGGGTGGGATTCGCGTAGAAGGAACGGTATTGGCCTAGGAACGTTTCCTTGCCAATGATTGGGAACTCGGGATGCACGGCTTGGAAGTAATCTTCGATCAGTTTATTCGCAATCGGTTGGGGAGGTCGGGCTAGAAAATCGACGTCGGCGTCGTCAGGGCCCGCGATCTGCGTAGTGTCCTGAAAGTAGTTGATCGATGAAATCGAGGGTCGATCGAGGGGGTCTCCGATGGGCGTATCATCTTGGTCAAGATCGCGTTTGAGTCTATATAGCCAGGTGATCGCCGAGTGCTCCCCCACGAAGCCCATCGCCTGGGAGGCCTCATCATGGTTGAAGTCCTCCTCAATATGGTGTGCGGCGGCTATCCAGGCATGAGATTCCAGATTTTCAGGAGCCTCGTTATAGTTAGAAGCCAGTCAGACGGCACGATGTGAATTGGTTAAGAGGGGAAAAGGAAATGCGAGGATGAGGGGATGGTGAAGGGGCGCGACCTCTCACTCTGACTAATTGGCCCAGCGTTTGATCAAAGCGGCGCGCCGGCGAGGCATTCAGCTGTGGATACAAGTCGCGCAGCAAGCCTTGGTAATGTTGAACCTGCGTAGTCAGACTCTGGAATTCCCTATCGTTTTACGTTAGATAATTGGGACTGCCGGTGACATGATAGTTTGATGTTTGATCGCACTTGAGGATCCGTTCTCGCTTCCGATCGCCATAGGAGCACGGGGTCCCCGCAGCCTGGCACCGCTGACAAGCTGGACGGTGCCCACTGCATTTGGCCTTTTTGTCGCGGCAATGCTCACAGGCCTTGCTAACACGACCACTCGCCATCGATTGGGTGGAGTGTACAGACCGGGGGATCGGGACTTTCTGGTTCAAAGACCGGTCGGGGTTAGGCATCAAGCCCAGGTCAGTGCCGGGAATGGGGTCGGGAAGCTCGGGAGGTGGCTGCGAGTGTCCAAGGATCAGATCGTCGTAGGCGAGCGGGGCCGTCTGCGGAATTCCTGAATCCTGCTCGAAACACTCTGCTTCCTCGGGGAGGCATGGAGGCGGGAAGTCGTCCTCCATCGTCCGAGACGGGAACAGACTGGGCTGCGTGGGAAAGGGAAAGACCGCGAGCTCCTTGCAATCTTAGCAGGTTGGGACCCAGACACATCCAGGACATGAGGAAGATTGTAGCATAGAGACAAGCAGACAACCGCCGAGAGATTAAAAAGTTACAGGGCGGGGCGCACCGCCCTCACGAATTCTACAGCGTTCCGAGCCTCTCTAGGGGGGAACTGCGGGAGAAAGTACGCTGGGGTCGGTTTCTGTAGCGTAGCGAAAAGTAGTGTTGGGGCTAGGAAATGCGGTGCTATAGTATTGGCGGTTCGAAAATCCGCCCTCTTTTGCCACAGCGGCCGGGAGTTATAACTCCTCCAGGGCGCCACACGCTGAGGATTGCGATCAAGTTGCAAGATCATCCATGCTGGTAGTTTTGGCTTTGTTGCTGCGAGCCCTGCCAAGGCAGGAAACGAGGTGTGAGCCGTGAAGAAAGCATGCCTTCGTCCTGGAGCTGTGCTGGGAACCATGTATATCCCCTTGGCCTGGTATCGGTCTGTCCAGTTCGAAAGTGTTGGCCCTGCTGCCCTGCTGCTCGGAGTAGTTCTGGGGTGTTTGACTAGCTGTGCTGAACGGCTTTGTCTGCGCCTTTCTCCAATAGCATAGCATGTCTCGATGGCCCGATTCGAACAATCCGTAGCCGCGCTAAACCATCGGGAGCTCCACCACTCCAGCAGGCCGTGTGGTGTAACTTACCTTCCCACGGTCTGCTTCGGCAAAGGCATCATCCTGGTCAAGGTCCGGAGAAGCCCCCCGTCGCTGAGATGCCCAGGGGACCTGATTTGACTTTCTGGTGAAGCAGAATTTGCCTCGTCCTTCCAATTCCGGGACGGACGGGCACATGCGCCTCGTTTCCCTTGGGAGGTTTCTGTGGTGCCCAAGGCCACTCTCACACTTCATGGACCTGGTCACCTGAGATGGGCCATCACTTGCTGGACCTCTGGTCTCTCGACTCGGAGAGCATCTCTTCCTGGACAACGCTGACTTTGCTGACTTGCTGACCATCGCTGAGGCACAGATGCGCGAAGCGAGCCGAACCCTCTCCCCTCGACACGAAGGGGGGTCCCCACCCGAATCACGAATCCATCCGGCGAATGCGTCCTCCGGAACGAACAATCTCATGCTAGGCATGGTTCCGGGATACCAGCAGAGTGCTATGGAGTGGCGAGTCTACTCAGCAGCCTGTGGGGTTGCGAAATACTAGAGACAGCAAGTTGGAAATCTTCTGGGGTTGAGAGCACGGCTCAACGGGCCTCTGAAGATGATACCATGCCGCGCAAGAGTATCTAAAAGTCGTGTTAGGGCCTGAAACTACGGATACAGTTTGCAAGCAACGGTCTAAGAAGGTGAAGAGGCGACAGAGGATGCACTCTGTCTGCCGGTCTGGCTGCTCGAGTGCTTCAGTGGTTCAGTGGTTCAGTGAGTTAGCTATGCATTACTGCTGTTTCTGCTCTTTCTACCTATTCTGCTTTTGGCGGTCATAAAACAGTCGGACTCAAACTGATCAGTCCAGTTATAGGTTACAGGATGCTTCACACGGTTCTCGACACCTCGCATCACCCTCCGATCGTGAACCCTCGGGCCGCGCGACGGCGACAGTGCAATCCGCGGCGACCCAAGACGGGCGCCGACCGTTCCTAAAATTATTGAACACCACTCCTGATAGAGACGGGAGTGTCGCGTTGGGACCAGGGCAAGATCCTCGCGATCTCGACTGTGGCAACTGCGGCGACTGCGGCGACTGCAGCGACAGAGTCGACAGCGAGGAGACGACAGCGACGCGCCCGGCCCTTCCTTAGAGATGGTCGGATGCGCTTGTCCACACCGTTGAATAATATAGGTCGGCCTACTATCCAGAGGTGAATGGCCCAGGAGACTGAAAGTGCCTCGGTGGTGGCAAAGTGGGGGTGCTGAAGGAATAATGATCCTGAGAAAGATTCAGCCCTAATAAGTGTTGTCCGGCCATTCGATCCGTCTCTTCAACAAGCTTAGTGTCGGGAAAGTGCGACCGTGATATGACAACAGGGAGGCAAAGCTCTCTTAATGGAGAGTGGTCGAAAGAGGGTGTGCCGCCACCGTGTTACATCATCTGACATTGCTTTGAACCACCAGTATCAACGCCTAACCACAACGAGACAATCGCTGACCAGGTTCCAAGGGACGTTGCAATTATTCTTCAGGATCGATCCAGTTTCGTATTCTCAGAGGTTTTGAAGCTACCGGAACACCGTCGTTGTGGCGATCTGGTCTGCTTGACTTAGGGTCTGGCCAGACATTGATATCAATCTTGGCGGGCAGAACCGCTTAACTGGTACCCGACATGATGGATACCGTTGGCGGAGCAGCTGATCGAGCTGTCCATCCAATGAACGTCATCTGTTGAGTCAAAGCTACTCTCAAGGTTCCAAGGAACGGGTCCGTGGAGCCCAGGTCAACCCAGGAACAGCTGGAGTGCGACCGAGTCTGTACAGGAGAGAGAGTCATGCTGGTTGACTCAAAGAGGAGGGCGCTCGGGTCCCCAGCGTCATGAAGCTGCTCCGGGAGGCGGGCAGGATTGGATACCGTGGCACTCCCGTTCGGAGAAATGGTCCGCTCACTCGGCCGATTCCCATCAAGGTCACCAGTCCTCCCTCTGGGTCTTTGCTGAGGCAAATGATGCATTTCCGGGAGCTTCAACTTCAGCCTCGCGTCTTGGCGTCTCTCGGTCGCTGAATGAAGGAGTCCGTGAGCGGTCGCTGCCACTGCTGCCCGCTATCTCGATCCGTCCTAGCTGTGGTCTGTCCTGTGAACAACCCACCGCGAGGCGCGGAGGCTCTCAGCTTCTGGACCCGCACTACAGTACCAGGTATCTCGGATCGTTAAATTTGGTTATGTTCTTACATACCAGAAAGGGGTGATAGGCCTGGACCAGAACCTAACGATTCGAGCGCCGTTTCGTACCTCCTCGTACTCCCAATCACCTGTGGACAGAGACCACCAGTTCCTCACTCATGCGACTAGTACTGCATTTGCTTTACAAGATGGCATTCCGCCGGAGCTGATGCCGCAGGTACCTCCACTTCAATCTCTCCTTCCCTCCGTTGAGCTGCTCCGTGCTTGGCACCGCCGTCACAATCCTCCCCCCTGCCTAAACTGCAGCTGGACACTCGGGATCTTGCTTTGGCGCCAAGCCCAGCGGCGGCTGTTCTACCAGCAAAATTCCTTGGTAGCGGCCTTCAGAGCACTTTCGTCTGACGTATCGCGATACATCCGGCTCTCTAAGTGCATGCAAATTTCTTCTATAGAAAGCTCTCGGCCATGCGATCGGATTTTTTCGCAACTTTCTAATTGCTCAGGAATCCGGGTTACAGACCATCCAATTATTCAACTAACTGCTAACTGTGCAGCGTTGACGTGTAACGGTCGCGTCAACGTGGAAGCATCCGTTTTCGATTCGATCAAGCGATACACCCGCCTATCAGGCCCAAATCCGCGGGTGCTATAATACGTCAAATATTCCATTGAGAGTAGCTCTCCATTAACTCTCTGGCTGAAGCGTTCTGTTCCATGGCCTGTGGCCTGCAGGTCAGCGTGCACGATACGATAGGTCTCCGACTGAGGCTCTTGGATCGTATCGGGCAACGGTGATCCGTATCCATAAATACAAAGTACAGTAGCGTGCAAGATTGCTTATTATCTTCACAGACGAGGCAAGTCGCAGCACACTGTACCACGGTGAAGTAAGAAGTTATCTTTCAGCGGGCGCGCGATATTCCTATCCCATCAAAGATGATGACAACACATGCATTCATTAGGGCTACTTGGTCAAAACGCCCCGTTGGACAGTCATGTGACCCCAGTGTTGATATCGTAACACAAGGACTCTTCTTCTACTAAGGGTCACAACTAGGGTCTAAAAGTCATCCCAGAGGGAGGACGGCCATCTTATCCAGATAACGACTGGGCTTTTCAGACAAGCGGTCCTAGAGCGCCTCGACCCCGTCATTCAAGATATAACGGTTCGTTTCCGGCCCATCGAAGGATGAATGCGTGGATGCTTTTGAAGTTACTGTAAGTTTCAATGTAATTATAAGCTTGCTAAATTCAGCTTCTTCAGCTATTTAGGATGGAGTAGTGATTAGCTCTCTACTAAATTACGAATGAGATATAACAAGTTGAGGGGATGTCCTAGTACCGTCTTATATGGCCCGATCTTCCCTAGTTAAGTGACGCCTAGAAGAGAAGAGATTATCATTAAGCTCCCCCCCCAAGTAATCATCCCACTTGTTATTCTCTCAGGGCTTCAGGCAATGCACAAAATCATAGTTGATTCTTTCGTTCAGACCATTCTTAACGTGGAATATGCCAAAGTTCCAAGCTAACGAATTTATCGATAAACCAGGTAAAGGGCTACCAAGATCTACCCAGAATTATTAACTATCAATTCAAATCATTCGGGGCATTGACGGAGGCATTGAAGGACGGGTGACGCACCAATCCGAGCCGGCGCAGATGTAGAACGTGCCTGGTTAGTGGTGAGGTGAACCGCATGGATTGAGGACTCGGACCCTTCTAGCAGGGTTCCCAGGCAAAGGAAACGAAAACAGAGGCAATACGCGATCCTCATGTCCCATTGGCGAGCGTTTGAATACGAACCTCCCACTCGAGGCACTATTTGCTCGTGGCTAGTAGATAAGGTAAAAGGACATCGGCCTTTTGCCCGTGGACATTCTCCCTCATTCTATATCAATAACTTGACCATTTCCAGCATCGGGTGCATTCCAGCATGTCTAACCCAACCATATCATCCGCAACTCTCCTCACCCTCGCAGTGCTGCCCCTCATGCGAGCTGAGTTCATGGCCGCGCATGCGCAAATCACCGCACTCCCAGAGGCCCGTCTCCTTCAGGTGCGGCGGGACGTTTACACGCGACGCGGGCTTTACCTCGTACGCTAGTTAGGACGGGCGCCGTCCTAACGGCGCACCGTGCACTGTCATAAGCGGACAGCGCGGCTGCAATGCATCCTGCAATGGTGTTGAGCAGTGCAGCCATGTCTGCTTGATTTCGGCTATCAGTGTTCGGCCAGTAGCATCTGTGTTTCGTCAATAATAGGGACGTCTCCTGCTCCGATTCTGTCGGGACCCTCAATGGCGAGTCCAGCCGAGTGTGGCGGGCTTTACTATTCTGCGCTGGCCAGCGGACTCCTCTGCAGTTGAGACGCCTGCGCTGCGTCCCTGACAACGAGTAGTAGTTCGGCGCCTAGCGGCGAATCGTCGAGTACACCAGCATCATCTTCGTCGAGCCCCGCAGCGATGAGCTCTTCGAGGGTGGCGAGTACTAGTATCCCTGTGGCAAGCTTGAAGGCATCTTCATCTTCCGCATCTTCTTCTTCTATTTGTAGTAGGCCTGCGTCGTTGGAGACGCCAGTTGAGACCACAGGGACATCTTCTGCGGCTGCTCCGGAAAAGAGCTCCACGGTGGCCTGGATGCTTTCACTGATCTTGGGTATTGCTTTTTAAGCGAAAGCCAAGCGGATAGGATGGATCGATTGGAGGTATCATGTATAGCCATCAAGTACTGTCCTGCTTGATGGTTATTGCGAAAAGTAGGGACCAAGAGGATCACGGAGGTTTATACAAAACGAGGTTCTAGGCCAATGGGACATCTTACATGAGCATGAAGAGGAATACTCATTAATTTCTGGTAGGACTTTTGCGAGTCACGCAGCAGCCATATAAGAATCAAGGAATTCCTTTATAAGAAACTAACATCCCAAACCAAATCCTTGTCCGATACGCCGTGGGTATAACAATCAACAATCAACAATCAACAACCAGCAATCATACAGATCATACAAAGAATAGAGCGGCAACGAGTGGGAGAGAAGCAAAGAGGTAGACACTGTCCCTCGCACTACTTCCCAAGCGTCTTCCTGCACTCATCACAATACCACGTCCCAACCGGCTCCCGCGTCAACCCCACGCACTTCCAATGGAACCATTCATACGGGCAGCTGTCGTTGTCGCACGCCACCATATCCCCGTGGCTGACGGTGCGGCATGTACAATACACCTTGGTATCCTCAGCACCCTCATCCTCATCGTCATCATCATCCATATCCTCGTCACCATCCACGGCATCGCTCTTATCCGATTCCGACATGTCAGCACTACTGAGCATGGAGTCGTCGTCTTCGTCACCTTCGCCAGCAGATGACTTCTTAAACGCCTTGAGGCGACCGCTAGCGCTGGACGAGCGCTTGTTGTGCTTGCTAGAGGCTGACGCCTTAATCTTCTTGACTTGCTGGTGCGGCGCGACTTTCTTGGTCAAGGCCTTCTTGATGCCGCTCGTTGCGCGCGGACCGACGCTGCCGGCGCGACTGCCAACTGGGGTCCCTGGCTTGGGGGTTCCAGGGCCCATGGAGGACTGGCGTAGGTTGGATGATGCGGCCGGAAGGGTACCCAGGGTGGCATTTAGGCGGCGGCGCTTGCTGTCCACTGCGCCGGCGGAGGACTCGCGCTGGCGCTGCTGGAGATGGACCGGTGTGGTACCGGCTGGGGTGGCGGGCGCGGAACTGCGGGCGCCGCCTTGCGCCGCGAGTGCGATCGGGCCTGGCGCGCGCGGCGTGGCCTGGCTCAGGCGCTGGACGGCGGCGAGGATAGGGTTCGTGTTTCCGGATGTCGGGTTGAGAGGCGTGGCATAGGAGGGAGAGTCAGACGGGGTCGTCGAGTCGGGAAAGAAAACCTTGGGCGGGTCGCGGTATTGGTTCTTATTATCGAAAAGCGAGGGCAGTGGCGGGTCATTCGAAAGCAAGCCCTCGTTGACAAGGTCGCGAATGCGCACGTCCAACCGCTTGATTTGGCGATCTAGCAGGACACACGCCTTTTCGCTCAACTGGATCTTCTCATCCTGCAACTGCTGACTCCGGTCTAAATTCTGGAGCACCGTCTTGCTATACTGGTCCTCTTTCGGGTTCGGCGCCAGACTGCCGTTCATCTTGATGAATTTCTGGATGCTGCCGTCCCGGGAGTTGATCGTGGCACGACACTCCTGCATAACCTTATCCTTGGCCTGAATTTCCTCCATCAGATGGTTGATTTCGAGGGGCAAGTTTGCCGAATCGTGGACGAACTGCTCCAGGACAGTCGCGCAGTCCTCCGCGCCGTTCGCCATGGTCGGTTTGGGAGCGGGTGTCGACGGCCGCTTAGGGCGAGCTGTGCCGATGGTAGATTTGCGAGGGGCCTTCTTGTGAGGAGTAGAACGGTAGTCTTTCTTCGGTCTGCCGCAGAGCCGGAAGTTGTTTGCTGGGCTCCCGGGTTCAGCGCCTTCTCCTTCTTCTTTTGGTTCGGGTCGAAGAATCAAGCGCAGGGTAATGAGGCCATTGCGCAGACAAGGCCCAGGCGGCTGCGGGTTGGCTGAGTCAGCGACACCCGCTGAGTCAAGGTTCGGGTCCATTCCCGTGATTTCGGGTGATCTGCGACGGATGTAGTAGGCTCTTCTGGACGCGCAGTATCCAGGGTATTCAGGGTATCCAGGCAACAATGAGCTTTTTCGCGGGAATTGCCGGGGTCACGTCTCCTGAAAGCCTGAAATCTGTGAGAAGGCGTGACACGAGCCCTTGATGTTATGGAGAGGGTGACGAGGTGGAAGAGCTGCTCTCACTTTGGTCTGCGTCGTCAAACGCGCAATGAGAAGAATAAAAGCAACAGGCAACCCCCCCCGCACTAGCCTCACCTTGTTTAGATTAATTCTGCATGTATTTGCAGGCTCTGAGTAATCTATCATTTGTTCATGTTTCTAAAGTCAAGCCCGGCTGATTCTGATCATTCGGGCATCCGAGGCCGAAGCAGAAGGGATGAGGGCTTCGCTGGTGGTTGTGGCATACAGATGGTAATTGACTCTCAGTGATGTCGTCGCCTGCAGATACGTGATTCCTACATGAGATTCTATGGGCTTTGGGAGACTTACATATCCCACTACCTTTTTCCCTCGGTCCGTCTACAATCTGGGGGGTGCAAATGGTGCAAACATCAAGCATATCGGATTTCCCCCGCGCTAACGCGTTTGCTTGCGTCAAGAAATGCACCTTAAAAGGCCCGCTTTACCTGCACCTTTTGTCGGATTCCTCCGTACATCTCCATATTAGGTCTCTTGACTTGCTATTTCCTGATTGTCTCCCAATTCCCAGACCGGTGCATCCGGTCAACCAGCAGAATGAGCCAGGAAGTGACGTCTTCGATGCCGGAGGGCATCTTCTCCCTTCTGGATACGGATCTCTACAAGCTGACGATGCAATGCGCGATCCTCAAGTACTTCCCTAATGTTTGTGAGTGGCTTCGACCTATGGATTGAGGGGTGGCCTCTGATACGTGGTAGATGTGACGTACGGCTTCACGAATCGGACCCCGCACATGAAGTTGCGGCGCGGGGCATACAAATGGCTTCTGCAGCAGATGGACAGTGGGTGATTCCCTTCAGGCTCCTCGGCTACAATTCTTTCATTCAACAACTAACATATCTGCTCCAGAGCTCGCCAATGTGCGCGTCACCGCTGAAGAGCGCGCATTTCTCAAGCAAAAATGCCCATACCTCAACGACACCTACATTACCTTCCTCGAGACTTTCCAGCTCAAACCCGCCGAGCAAATCGAGATCAAGTTCACCCCGACACATGACACCGGCAGCGATGAGGACGAGGGCGCTGTGGAATACATCATGAAGGGTCTCTGGGTCGATACGATTCTGTACGAGATCCCGCTGCTAGCGCTGACCAGCCAGGCGTATTTCATGTTCAGCGACACAGACTGGGACTATCGCAACCAGGAGGAGAAAGCCTTTAGGAAGGGCTGTGAGCTCCTGGAAAATGGTTGTGTGTTCTCGGAGTTTGGCTCGCGGCGGCGGAGAGACTATCATACTCACGATCTGGTGATGAAGGGACTGTGCCGCGCCGCAGAGGAGGGAAAGCGGCGGGGCTGGAAGGGTATCTTGACCGGAACCAGCAACGTGCACTTCGCCATGAAGTACAACGTCGGAGCCGTCGGCACCGTGGCGCACGAGTGGTACATGGCCATCGCGGCTATCACGGACGACTACGAGAATGCCAACGAGCTGGCGCTGCGGTATTGGCTCGGCTGCTTTGGCGACGGCGTAAGCTCTGTCCGTTACCCCATTTGCAGACTGTATCAACTAATCAACACCGCTCAGGTTCTCGGAATCGCGCTTACGGACACTTTCGGCACACCTGCCTTCCTGGACGCATTCCGCAAGCCCATCCTCGAAGCCCCCGTGCAGAGCGATGCCTCCGCAAGACCCCCTACCACGACCGATGTCCACACCGACAACAGCACTCATCCCACTAAAACCTACGCCCAGGTCTACACAGGTGTCCGCCAGGACTCTGGTGACCCCACCTACTTCGTCAAGATGGTGCGTGAATTTTACGACCGCGAGGGTATCACTGACAAGAAAACGGTCGTGTTCTCGGATTCACTGGATATCGACCGCTGCCTCGAGTACAAGACGATTGCCGAGGAGGCGAATTTCAACCCCACGTTTGGTGTGGGAACATTCTTCACGAGTACGTGTAGCCCTGCGCCTCAAGTGCATGTCCACCCAGTTTTCCGGTTTCTAACGCGAGTATAGATGATTTCGTCAACAGATCCAACGGCGAAAAGTCCAAGCCGCTCAACATTGTCATCAAGATCGCCAGCGCCAACGGCCGTCCCGCCGTCAAGCTCAGCGACAACATGGGCAAAAACACCGGCGACAGCGCCAAGGTGCAGGAGGTCAAGAAGAAGCTGGGCTACACGGAACAAACGTGGGCAGAGGGCGACGAGAGCAATCGCTGGACGAAGCGGACATAACCAGCGCCTGCTTACCATACCTACCACGATAAAGAGCAGAAACGGGCGGTCATTAGATGTGCCCACTTACAGGCTAAAGGTTGATTATTTGCTTCTGCGAAGACATACATGATGTCTCATAGAGGGACGAGAGTTTGCAATAATATCCTTTAATAGAGCAGCAGAGATGGCTGGTATTCAAAAAATACGCCGGCCAGCAATACAATCAGAGTTAACTTAAGTGTAAGATCATTCAAACAGTGCTCCATATTCAGAACTATGTCCATGTCATATATACTCTCATAGTGTCAAAAGATATACATGAGAAAGAGAACCCGGTCAAAAAGAGATCCTCAACATATGTACAAGACACCCAAAGAGCTATCATCCTATACATACAGACTTTCCCTAAAACCCCTCATCCCCAGTCTGAAACCCAAGATCCTTATCCAAATCCCCGGTAATATCTCCGTGCCCTGACGAACAATGCCTATATTGACCGGCTCCATCCTCATCATCCTTCAGTGTAAAATCAAAAGGATCTTGCTCCTGACCGCCCTGGGGGTGCTGCGCCGGGCTCTGCGTCCGGTGCGGTCCGTCAAAACCGCCATTGCCCTTGTCGAGTTCCGACAGTGACGTACCCCGGAATAGGGCTTGTGTCCAGTCCATGCTGTCGAAGTCTTGAGTGGGTGAGAGGTGCAGGTTTTTTGTGCTGGGGTTATGGGTGTTAGCGCTGGTCGGTGGGGAGGAGATGCCGGGAGAGGAGTAGGAGTCAAAGTCGAAGGACATGAAGCTGAAGGGGTTTTCGGTGGAGGTGTTAGAGACAGCGAAGTGGTCGTCGAAATCGTTCGGGAAAGGGCGGCGCATGGATTGGGGCGTTTCGTTGCGAGGTGGAGAGCTATTGCTTGGCTTGCGCTGGAGGTTGTCTCGGCTGCTGGTGGATACAGGCCGTGCGCGGGAGATGGAGGATTCGGCCTCACCGGCGTGTTGATCATCTAGATGGTGGAGGGAGTGGGTAGTGCTAGAGTCCGTGCTACTCGGTCTTCGGACGTCGGTGCAGAAGGTGGTAGGGGGTTCGAAATTGTATTGCATGATTTGGAAGAAGGGGTTGGAGCTGCAGTTGCCGGGCTGCAATTTGATGGCGGCTTCAAGGTTGCCGAACTCGACGCCGGCGGCCGGGTAGATGTCCTTCAGGCGGTGAAGAACCTGGACGCAGCGGTGGAAGTTGTTGATGCTGCTCTCACGCACAGCCGGGTTGTCGGACATGGAGTTGGAGAGGTGCGCTACTGCGGCGGGAAGTATCACCGTCACTCCCGACTGTGGTAGGAACCGGGTGAGGTTGAGCTGATTGAGACCTTGAATGATATGTGTGATCCCAGCAGCAGCATCATGCATCTTCGTTCGGGCCATATTACGCCACTCGAGGCGAGACTTTGACTGGTCTTTCGAGTGCGCTGCCCACGGTCGGTGCAGAGCACTGCTGGTAGCATGATATAGCAAGCGTAGCATAGCTCCATGTAGCAATAACACGTCTTCGCCATCGCGGAAATTGTTTCTCGATGCTGGTATGAATTGTGCATCCTTCGGAAGGCCGCTTGGCCAAGAGTCGAGTTTCTGGCTGCACCGTGTAAACTCCGACTCCGAGGCCTGCCGGGGAATCAGAGTGACAGTAGTGCGGTCTGTAGCTCCGAATTGACGCTGCGACGGTGCATACTGCGCGAAAAGCACCCTGCCAATGCATTGACAGAGCTTCACCTTCTCGATAAACATCGTCGCCAGGCGCTTTTGATGTGACAGGTCCTCGAGCTGCCTACAATGGAAAAGAGCCGTTACAGATGGCGAGTAGGGCTCAAAATCAAAGTCTTCCGGTTTCAGCATGGGGATGTTGCTGGTGCCCTCGTTGACCTGCAATGGGCGACGCATGCCCATGGCAATCAGCCGGTCTCGCGAGTACAAGCACCACCATATTCGGGTGCGTAGCCGACGAGCCTTCGGATCCATATCACTGGCCGACGGGTCCTGGTTCAATCCAATTGAATGTGCCTGTGTGTTGCAGACTCCAATCCAATCCCAGATATCCCGGTGTGGGCTGTTCTCAGTATCGGACCAGTAAGTCATCAGTAAGAGTGATTGTAGAATGACGATACGGTCTTCTTCACAGTCGAAGGAGTATAGTAACTATTAGCAGGGATCTGTATTAGCAGAGAATCTTGGAAGAGGCTCAAGGAGCAATCATTCTCATACCCTTAACCGGGTGAAGAAGGCATTGCGCGCATCCTTCCTAGTCGAGTACCCTGCATCCTGCAAGAGCTTTAGGTCGACGAAGGCCGTCCCAACAAACATGACAGCCTGGAACAATAAGACGCTGACATTTCCCTCGGGGTCATTCTCTGCCACGCATCTCAAAAACTCCTGTAAGTTGAGCACCGGCATAAAACTATGCACCCATTGGATGTAAGACCGCAGCAACTTGTTTCGTAATCCACTTTCCGGAATGGACAACGCCCCACGAAAGCGCAAAAACTCCAGGTCTTCCGGCGCAATGCGATCTGGCAACGGTTTCAAAAAGCGAGGCTCATCGTCCAACATCGCTGTCAGCGGATCAAAATTCGGATCGATCAAGTCTTGGACTGCAGAGACCATATGCGCCAGTGGCAGCGCTGCGTGAATACCCAGCGTGCGCCAGCCGTCCAGCGGCTTCGTCTCGCTGAGCCATGGCGCCTGTGGATCGTAACCTTGAAGATGATGGCGCTTGGATGCGGGCTCGTGGCGACCGTCAGCGTGCTGGACATTGCGTTTGAGGGACAGCGGGTTGCTGTCCGGCGAATGAAGCATGGCTACTCATGCAGTCACTCTCCGCATTTGGCTCGGGGAGGCCGGGTTCTCTCAAGCGCCGAGACGTGCGTAATTATACAGATCGGCATCGAGCAGGGCCTTCGCAAGATGGGGAATTCCCAATCCGCTTTAGTCCCCGGTGAAGGCGGTGTTCGGGAACTGGGGGGTTTGCGGGGTTTCTGTTCGGGTGGGGCTTATCTTCCCCCAGCCTTTCCGGCAAATCCAATCGCATCATATATAATAATAGATAGTACTCGATTACACCCCTGTGAGGGAAAGACGTAACTTCATACTGAGAGGGTTTCTGCTTCAAAGGGGATCATTCACGTCCTGTCCACTTGTCAGGAGAAATTCACCGTTTAATCCAGTCTTCGGTATAAGATAGAAGCGGTTGTCTTGGCGCATATAGCAAAACTTTGTCACAAACACCATTGGTTCTCGGGTTTTCAGGCGTTAAAAGGTGTTCTGCTTATTGTTCAAATAAAAAAAGCTTCTTGGAAGAGAAAAAAGTAATCGTCACCTGCAGGATTCGAACCTACGCTCACGAATGAACGCCCTTAGTTTTTGCTGTATGCACAGCTAATAGCAGGGGCGCGCCTTAACCACTCGGCCAAAGTGACTATTCATGATTATTTCTCTGACTTTTTGACCTATGAGGCAAACCAAAAAAGCCAATTTTAGCTATCTCTGTACTAGATTCCCATAATGTCAACAGCAGCACTGTGGTTATCCAAAGACACTTTATCGCTGTTTTGCCAACACCCAGCAATGCCACCTAGCAATTTTGAATGAATATATCCTCAGTAGCTTGATGGTGACTTTGTAACTGTCATGGAGAATCGTGATAATATTGCGACTAATCCCGCGTACGTCTTTGAGGACTCTAATGTGAATTTGGCGGAGACAGCGACCGCCTTATGTGATTTTAGAGACCTGTTATGTAGGGGAGAAACTTGTCAGAGGAAATAAAATGGCATACACTAGGCAGTGATAAAAAAGGAGGCGATTGCTGCAGCAAGAAATCCGAGGGACGGGGATAAAGTCGTGGCTAGGTATGCTTCTGTGTAGCCGACATCGAAACTACAGATTCCATGCCTAAGGCAGCGGCATTAAACACTAGGAGCGGGCACAAGATTATAGATTATAGTCGAAAGGGCCAGGATCCATGTTTCACTAAAAGAGGGCCTCGTTAGAACAAGGCCCCGATAACGTAAATTACCACTAATAGCACACTACCGAGCGGCGCACCCCAAAACACATAGTAAATGCGATAAATTACAACTTCATATCTCAACAACCATGTCTATTTACGATGATATATGATAGTATAATGGTCTAGGTAGTATCATTGGGTGGTTCACTAAGGTTGTAGGATATTCGTAAGTAGAAATTTGGGATGATCGAGATATATATATTTATGTCTAAAATGTATAAATTATGGTGTATTTCATAGTAAAATTGTAACACAATCAGTTAAAATTGCTTAAAACTAGGTAAGACACGATATTTCCTATGCCAAGCAAGGATAACCTATGCTGGTTGACATGAAGTTGTAATCTATCGCATTTACTACGTGTGTTGGGGTGCGCCGCTCGGTAGTGTGCGCCACTCGGTGGTGATTTACGTTATCCGTAGAGACAGCTGTCAGCAGTATCACTGCATGGTAAGAGTAGCCACGATAATTGGGTTCGTATGACTATCGCCTTGGATCAATTTTTACCTTCTCTCAGGATAATATCCACCGCAATGTTAAAACCGAGAGGGAATACGCGCCTGTCTCCTTGGTAACGGGTGCATTGCAATTCAAATATAGATAGCAGTCAGTATCTTATCAATATTGACCTGAACCAATTATATCGGCGTAGATGATGCTTGTGATTATTCTGAAGATCAAATAATTTATAGATTTTCGTTGGGGAACAAAACGGGTCGGGATCAGGTGGAGGAAAAAACATATCGTCACCTGCAGGATTCGAACCTACGCTCACGAATGAACGCCCTTAGTTTTTACTGTATGCACAGCTAATAGCAGGGGCGCGCCTTAACCACTCGGCCAAAGTGACACTTGATAGTCATGGGAAGGGAAAAAGGGTTAACACTGGATTTCCTTTTTTTAAGGTGGGACCTATAAGAGATAGAAAGTCTCTCAGCATCAGAGAAGAGGATGATTATAGCCCTTTAGGTCGGCGTAGAAAACAATCAGGGACAGGACTTGACCCCCGTGGGCAAAATTACACGCTTGTCATGCAAACTCCTAAGCTAAGACCGTTCAATTTCCTCGCGGTGGGCGAATTTTCGAATTAAAGCTTAGTTGTGTATTATGACCCAGAAGGACGGAGCAGAAACGTCCGGTAGGGAAGCAAGGTATGACAACAGCATAAACATGCTGATCAGATAAGGTCCATAAAATCAAAACTCATAATCGTTGGCCAGTACATTTGGCAATGAGCCTAGGTACGGCGGGATCCACGAGTGTGAACGAGGGTGAACAATGTGACTAGTTAGTCAACCAACTAAGTTAACTAACTAACTAGTTAGTCACTGGGTTTACCTAATCAATTTAACCTAGTTACATGAATGCAAACGAAAAAAGGCTGCGGACCAATCAACATATGTTAGAAGTGTTCGGTGTTCACTATTCCGAGGACTACATACCAATGAACCGTATATATGCAAGTGCACCGCCATTAGACCGAGAAAATGCGGCAGTCCGCAAGGCAAGAACCATCAATTTAGGACTATAGTGGCGCTGCAACCCAGAATTATAATATAATCAGGCAGTGAACGAGCGACCATAATGTCCAACTTTTACTTTGACATATGTGCTAGGCACCACTTCCAATTTCCGATCTAAGTGTCTCGCCTATAGAGAATCATCATGCGAAAAGCCCATGGCCCTTTGCAACTACACCTGCACTATCCAGAAGAAAAGTGGTAAAATTGGTATCCATAACAAACCACCTGGGCTGAGCATGTCTAATCCTGTCATGCCCGCCCTTCCAACAACTATTATACAGAGAGATTCAGAATAGCATCGATCGCGAATTGTCCATGCCAGATGTCCCCTTGGCTGACATTATGCCTCCGCGAGTTTCGAAGAAATGGATCGAGTCGAGCGAACGATATTTCGAGAGCGGAGCTATTTTACATACTGCAACTATGTCAGTGTCGGCTTCTGGGTATCGAGGGCTCGAGGCGTATCGACTCACGGAGGAAGGAGGAACTCGCCGAGGCTGCTGTGGAGGAACGCAACACCGGCCTAAAGTAACAAAGATGTCAGCCCTAAAACGGTCCAATGCCCAGGTATCTTGCAAGAAACATACACCGAAGACCAGGAGGCTGCGGACAAGGGTGGTGTTCTCGGGGTTGGTGGCCTCATCGTAGACGGTGCTCAGGAAGCCCTTCTGGGGGCGGGAGGAGTTCGAGACGACGGCACGGTTGGGGGCCATTTTGACGGATGATGCGAACGGCGGTTGGAGAGAGAAAATGGAATGTGAGGGTCGAGGTTGAAGGAGTGAATCGGAGAATGTAGAGAAATCTGCGGCCGCCGGGCCGCTTGGCGTCACTGCGTCTTTGGTGCATATAGGCAACCGTATATCTTTGCGGCGCGCAACAGCTGGAAATGCGACGGCGTCACAGTCCGGCATTTGGCATGAACCTGCAACTCCAGCAGAACCTTTGGTTTTGTTCTCTTGCCCTTCACCTTGCATATCATCCATTGAAGGCAGTCCGCTCAACTTCGTCTGAATCAAAGGGCTGCTTTTGACTCGATCGCTCGTACCACAACAGTCATGACGAGCGTCGATGAGCTCTTCAAAGTAAGTCGTACGGGTCGCGGAAGTCACCCCGGAGCATCACTGATAAGAAGCAGAAGCCACAATTAGCTGGCAGCTCCAAGCGCAAGTTTGAGCCCGTTCAGGACCCTAGTACGTTCCTCTCTGTCCCCCGCAAACGAACCTGCCGCAACTACCGCTAACAAAACACCGAAGATGAGCTTTACAAAGCAGCAAAGCTGGATTCCAATGGCGATGTGAGGTCAAAGGGCCAGGCGGCCATGGTGGACGATGAGATTGACGATAACGACGGCGAGGCTGGGCCCGAGTTACCCCCCGACTTCGACGAAGATATACCCGACGACGAGGAGGGCCGCTTTTTTGGTGGAGGCATGGAGCAGAAGACTGCCCAGGCTATGCAATACATTGATCAGAATGAGGAGGAAGAAGCTGCAGTACGAACTACATGACCCGAGCAATATAGTCAAATGCTAACAAGCCACGCGAACTGACAGCCCGAGAAATTTGATGCCGCCTGGGTTCGCCGTTTCGCTCTGAACTTCGAGAAAAAAATATCCAAGAACGCTGAGCTCCGCGCCAAGTTTGAGAATGACCCGCAGAAGTATGTCTGGCTTTATGTTGGAGAGAATGTTTCAGACTAATAGAGATGCGGCAGGTTCATGGTCTCCGAGGCTGACCTCGACACCGAGATTAAGGGGTTGTCCATTCTGTCGGAGAATCCCGAGCTCTACGAAGAATTCTCCAAGATGGGATGTGTCGGCTCTTTGGTCTCGCTACTCTCTCATGAGAACGCGGATATTGCGATCGACACTATCCAAATAATCAGCGAGCTAACGGATGAAGACGTTGAGGCTGAACAGAAGCAGTGGGATATCCTGGTCGATGCAATGGTATGTTGAAAGTTCGAGTGAATTCGTCATTCCAACAAATGTACTAACGAGCTCAAGATGAATGCCGACCTCATCGAACTGTTGACCCAAAATCTCTCCCGTTTAGACGAAGGTGCAGAGACCGACAGGGCTGGTGTTTACTATATCTTAAGTAGGTCCTGGGCTGAACGACTTCGGTATTCCCGATCTATTCCAAGTACTGATATCTTGTAGATGTTCTGGAAAACCTATCCTCCCAGTCCGCGCTCGCAGAGAAGATTGGACAAGATGCTGCTATCTTGCCTTGGATTTTGTCACGTATCCAGCAGACGGAAACCCCGGTGACCCAGAACAAGCAGTATGCTGCAGAGATCCTGGCAATCCTTCTGCAGTCCTCCTCGAAGAACCGGGAGAAGTTCATTGGACTTGATGGCGTCGATTCCCTCCTCCAACTTCTCAGCCAGTACCGGAAACGCGATCCGGCGAAGGATTCAAACGAAGAAGAATATGTGGAGAACTTGTTTGACTCTCTGGTTTGCCTTGTGGACGAGGAGACCGGCAAGGAGAAGTTTATCGAGGCGGAGGGCATTGAATTAGCCCAAATAATGCTCAGGGAGAGTAAATTCAGCAAGCCCAGGGCTCTTAGAGTTCTCGACCATGTTTTCGGTGGCGCTGGGGGAGGTCCAGCTTGCGAGCGGCTGATTGAGGTAGCTGGGTTGAGAACAATCTTCGGAATGTTCATGAAAAAGGTAAGATTGAAGTTCATTTGACCATGATACACATAGCTTACATTACACAGCAAGAGGGCCAGAACATCGAGCACCTGCTGGGAATCTTTGCTTCCCTTCTTCGCCTCCTGCCCGGTGGTTCCGCTCCGCGTATCCGAACGCTGGCCAAGTTCATGGAGAAGGACTACGAGAAGATCGAGAAACTCATCAAGCTGAGACGGGAGTATGCCGCACGTGTATCTCCCATCGAGCAGACGATCGAGAAGGAGCGGAAAGGGCTTTCGCAAGAGGATCAGGATCTTATGGCTGGCGAGTGGTTATCACGCCGGTTCGACGCGGGGCTTTTCTCCTTGCAGGTATGTTTTCGCTCATTCTGAATCCCGCAGAATCACACAGACTGATAATAAGTGGTTTAGACTATTGATGTAATTTTGGCATGGCTGATTGCCGAAGACGATGGCGCGAAGAAAAAAGTTGTTTCTCTTCTGGGAGACCGAGATGAGGATCTATCTCTGGTTCGGGGCACTCTCCAAGGTAGGGCTTCCCTTTCAACCGGCAGTAGTTGCATTGCTAACTGTTGTAGAACAATTGGAAGGGCTCGGAGACGAGGAGCAGGGACAGAAGGATTTTAAGGACATGCTAAGCACTTTGCTGCAGTTTGTCTGAGAGTAAGCTAAGAGACAATTGGAAGCAACGCATGTAATCTATTTTTCAATACTATATTCCTATTTATTGTCAATTAGGCTTGGAACAGCTGTGACCATTCTGTCTTCTCATGTTTTCGGTGTATGGAATCAGCATTTTTTTAATGTCTACGGTTGAGATGCTTCTACCACGTATATAGATTTGGCTTTGTACATCAGGTAGATGTGAAAATCAGACGTATATTTGACAAAAGGACAAGTCGTGTGCTTTGTTTGGGTCCTGAAATGCCTCCCGTAGAACACCACGTGACATAACTTTGCTCCTAGGTCATGTGACACGATGTGTCCACTTCAGGCCTAGTCTACTTCGGCGGCGCCGAAGCATCAAGATCCTTGGAGATCGGTAAGTCCTTTCATCCTGCCACTGCTGGGAGATCCTCATCCATCCCACCGAGCTCTTAGGTCGCTCCCTTACTTGTCTGTGACGCTTGCAAGAAATCTTTTTCTTCTGCCAGCCACTGACAGGCGGGTGTCGCAGCGCGTTGGGTGATTCTTTCGGATCACTGCCTTCCCTGGCCGCCGACGCGCCCTCCCTGCGCCCTCCGCGGATCAAATTCTTCCACTTTCCTTGACTCGTCCTGGACTCGTGGACGACCTAAGGAATATAACCACATCGCAACCATGGCCGACTACGATGAAGCTTACGAGGAGGAGTTCTACGACGAGGCGGATGACGGAATCACCTCCGAAGACTGCTGGACGGTAATCTCATCATTTTTCGACGTGAAGGGTCTTGTCTCCCAGCAGCTCGACTCTTTCGATGAATTCATCTCTTCGACCATGCAGGAGCTGGTGGAGGAACAAGGACAAGTGGTTCTCGATCAGACCCTCCCCCCGGCCGAAGACGAAATCGACCCGATCGTTGTGCGCCGCTACGAGCTCAAATTCGGCACTGTCATGCTTTCGCGACCATCTGTAACAGAAGGAGATGGTGCGACCACGATCATGTTGCCCCAGGAGGCGCGTTTGCGAAATCTCACATACGCCAGTCCCCTGTACCTGACCATCAGAAAGAAAATTATGGAGGGACGAGAGTGTCAGGTGGCCGACCGCGATGACGATGAAGCTGGCGACGCCGACGAAGACCGCAAGAACCGTGGCACATATCTGCAGTGGGAGCAGAGGGCTCTTCCGCCAGAGCAGAAGGAGGAGGAGACAGTTTTCATTGGCAAGATGCCCATCATGCTCAAGTCCAAGTACTGTATCTTGAAGGATCTGAAGGAGGAACGCCTTTACGCCTGGAATGAATGCCCGTACGATTCCGGCGGTTACTTTGTCATCAACGGCAGTGAAAAGGTTCTCATTGCGCAGGAGCGAAGTGCCGGAAACATCGTGCAGGTCTTCAAGAAGGCTCCCCCGAGCCCAACACCCTATGTTGCTGAAATCAGAAGTGCCGTCGAGAAGGGATCGCGGCTCCTCTCTCAGCTTGCACTCAAGCTCTTCGCCAAGGGTGATAGCGCCAAGGGTGGATTCGGCCCGACTATTCGATCGACTCTGCCATACGTCAAGACTGACATTCCGATCGTTGTTGTCTTCCGAGCCCTAGGAGTTGTGTCTGATGAGGATATTCTGAACCATATTTGCTATGACCGCAATGATACCCCGATGCTGGAGATGCTGAAGCCGTGCATTGAAGAAGGTTTCGTCATCCAGGACCGTGAAGTTGCTCTTGACTTCATCGCCAAGCGTGGCTCCTCTCAGTCTAACCTGAACCATGAGCGGCGTGTGCGCTACGCACGAGAGATCATGCAGAAGGAGTTGTTGCCGCATATTTCGCAAAGCGAGGGCAGCGAAACCCGAAAGGCCTTCTTTCTGGGCTACATGGTGCACCGTCTACTGCAGTGCGCTCTTGGCCGCCGTGATGTTGATGACCGTGATCACTTTGGAAAGAAGCGTCTGGATTTGGCTGGCCCACTTCTTGCCGGTCTTTTCCGAGTCCTTTTCACCCGCGTCACCCGTGACTTGCAGCGCTACGTGCAACGTTGTGTGGAGACCAACCGGGAGATTTATCTCAACATTGGTCTGAAAGCCAGCACTCTGACTGGTGGTTTGAAATATGCCCTGGCGACAGGTAACTGGGGTGAGCAGAAGAAGGCTGCCAGCTCCAAGGCCGGTGTTTCCCAGGTGCTGAGTCGCTATACCTACGCTTCCACCTTGTCCCATTTGCGCCGTACCAATACGCCTATTGGCCGAGATGGAAAGATTGCTAAACCGCGTCAACTTCATAACACTCACTGGGGGCTTGTGTGCCCAGCCGAGACACCCGAAGGCCAAGCTTGTGGTCTTGTCAAGAACTTGGCACTCATGTGCTATATCACTGTTGGTACACCCAGTGAACCGATCATTGATTTCATGATTCAGCGCAACATGGAAGTCCTTGAGGAATTCGAACCTCAAGTCACTCCCAATGCCACCAAGGTGTTTGTGAACGGTGTCTGGGTTGGTATTCACCGTGACCCTTCACATCTTGTCAACACTATGCAGTCCCTCCGTCGGCGCAACATGATCTCCCACGAGGTCAGCTTGATTCGTGACATTCGTGACCGAGAGTTCAAGATCTTCACAGATGCTGGCCGTGTGTGCCGGCCCCTCTTTGTTGTTGACAATGACCCCAAGAGTGAGAATGCTGGCTCATTGGTCCTTAACAAGGAGCACATTCGCCTGCTGGAGCAGGACAAGGATCTATCGCGTGACTTGGATCCGGAAGAGTACCGGGAGCGCGGATTCGGATGGGAGGGCTTGGTGAGATCGGGGGCTGTGGAATATGTGGACGCGGAGGAGGAAGAGACGATTATGATTGTGATGACCCCCGAAGACTTGGAGATTTCCAAGCAACTCCAAGCTGGCTACGCTCTACCAGAAGATGAAACCAACGACCCCAACAAGCGAGTTCGTTCGATTCTGAGCCAGCGGGCGCACACCTGGACGCACTGCGAGATTCACCCTAGTATGATCCTGGGCGTTTGTGCCAGTATCATTCCCTTCCCGGATCACAACCAGTCGCCTCGTAATACCTACCAGTCTGCAATGGGTAAACAGGCCATGGGTGTGTTCCTGACCAACTTTGCGCAGCGCATGGAGACCATGGCGAACATTCTTTACTATCCTCAGAAGCCTCTCGCCACCACCCGATCGATGGAGTTCCTCCGCTTCCGCGAGCTGCCTGCGGGTCAAAATGCGATTGTGGCTATCGCCACTTACTCTGGTTACAACCAGGAAGATTCGGTTATCATGAACCAGAGCAGTATCGACCGCGGTCTGTTCCGCAGTCTGTTCTACCGTACATATACAGACTCTGAGAAGATGGTGGGCTTGACGGTCGTTGAGCGATTCGAGAAGCCAATGCGGTCCGACACACTTGGCATGCGCAAGGGCACCTATGATAAGCTTGATGAGGATGGAATCGTTGCTCCGGGTGTGCGTGTTTCTGGAGAGGATATCATTATCGGCAAGACTGCGCCTCTGGCGCCCGATGCGGAAGAGCTCGGCCAGCGCACCAAGTCACACGTCAAGATCGACGTCTCGACGCCACTCCGAAGCACTGAGAATGGTATCGTGGACCAAGTGTTGGTCTCAACCGGCAACGACGATCTCAAATTCGTCAAGGTCCGTATGCGTACCACCAAGGTCCCGCAGATTGGTGACAAGTTCGCCTCTCGTCACGGTCAGAAGGGTACTATTGGTATCACTTACCGACAGGAGGATATGCCCTTCACCCGCGAGGGTGTGGTGCCTGACTTGATTATCAACCCGCACGCCATTCCATCTCGTATGACAATTGCTCACTTGATCGAGTGCCAGCTGAGTAAAGTGTCCGCTCTTCGTGGCTTCGAAGGTGACGCTACTCCTTTCACTGACGTGACTGTCGACTCGATCTCACGCCTGCTCCGCGAGCACGGTTACCAGTCCCGTGGATTCGAAGTCATGTATAATGGTCACACCGGCCGTAAGTTGGTGGCGCAGGTGTTCCTCGGCCCAACCTACTACCAGCGACTGCGCCATATGGTGGATGATAAGATCCACGCGCGTGCCCGTGGTCCAACTCAGATTCTCACCCGCCAGCCTGTGGAGGGTCGTGCGCGTGACGGTGGTCTGCGGTTCGGAGAGATGGAACGTGATTGTATGATTGCCCACGGTGCTAGTCATTTCCTCAAGGAGCGTCTCTTCGATGTATCGGATCCATTCCGTGTTCACATTTGCGACGACTGCGGCCTGATGACCCCGATTGCGTGAGTTCCCTGCATCCCTTCCACTCCCTAACAAAATCCTGTACCAAAAACCAAGTGCTAACATTACCCGTTTCTAGCAAACTCAAGAAGGGTCTCTTCGAATGCCGACTGTGCAACAACAAACACCGCATCTCCCAAGTCCACATCCCCTACGCCGCCAAGCTTCTGTTCCAAGAGCTGGCCTCGATGAACATTGCCGCCCGAATGTTTACCGACCGTTCCGGAGTATCGGTGCGGTAAAGCGCAAGTTTTGCAGGCCTACATCGGTTTTTATCTACTCCCTTTTTATCTTGTATTTTAATGATTTGCTCGAAAAATGTGCCTGTCCTCTAGGACTTTTGTTGCGGCGTCCGGGAGTGGCCAACGCATCTTCTTTCATCTGGTCATACATAGTCGGAATGATAAATTTATGTGCATGCTGTTCCTTCTTCTTCTGGACAATAGTCTACCATAATTGGTTCATTTGGGGGCCTTCTTCCTCTTGGTGCCTTGTATGGACTTAGGGTTTACCTGGGCGTGGACTTCCTGGTAGGGCTGTTGGGAAATATGGTGGCTTCTAGTGCGCCCTAGCTGCATATTTCACTATTAGTATAGCTATAAATAATTATAAAGTATCTCTAATATATTATATAGTATTTTATTTACTTATTAACTACTAAATTTATAGTAGAAGCTAGAAGAATTAGTCCCTCTAGCTATATAAAGATGGTCGCGGCTTCCGCGACCCTGACAGTCCCAATGACCAAAATCTTCTAAAATCAATTTTTCTCGTCCAAATCATTAAGGTTGGTGATAAAAGGCAGTCTGGTAGCAAGCCAAGGAATGTAATGCAGATCCACCCTTCCTCCCATTCCCTAATCCCTATAACTACAGAAAAAAATCTGTGGTTTGCGAATTACCAAGTAGTCTGATACGTTATGCTTCGTTCGACTGCTGTCGTTCCGTCCAGACATGAAACCCCAATCTTTGATCATTCTCATCCATAAATATCAGCTTGGTTGTAGCAAGACGCCTTGGCAGCGGATCTTGACCTCCCAGCTCATCAGGGACTACTAGCTGGTCAATGCTGCGGTCTCTGGTCGAGCGGAGGATGGTAGAAAACCCGTTCGAATAGGATAAACCGCTCTTGACGACAGACCACACACCAAGCCCAATACATAGTAGCGTGCAAAGGATCGCTACACCATATGGGATCCAAAGGTCCAATGGGTGGTAGATGTACCTTAGTTCCGACGTCACGACGGTGGTATTCACTGGTGTAGAATTGTTCTCCCTAGAAAGAAGAAACAGCAAGAGAAAGTCAGCCCTGACCATAACAGGTATGAGTAACGAAGCTCGCCATACCAGAAATATTCATTGGAGAGAAGACTGAGTGTCATGTTTTGAAACAGTTCCTCGAGGGCTGCTGAGAAGGAGCTGTTCTGACAGGCCCCGAAATATTGAGCGCCGTCTGTATCCCCAGCCATCTGACCACAGAGTGGATTTACTTGTGCCAAGTTTGTGGTCTGTACTGTCGTGCTGGTGAATATAAGGCTGCCGGCTGCTCCACCCCCAATCTCTCCCGTTATAATCTGGTCCATGACATACATAAGGGACTGAGATGCAAGGGCCATACTGGACATGCCACTTGTATTTTGTACAGTAGGGATCCCGTTCATCTCCTGATTACGCCGAACCATAAGATTCTGGGTGCCCGAGTTAAAGGCAAAGTCAACCGAATAGGAGATGTTCATAAGTGCGCATTCATAAAGCTGATTGGACTCTCCGCTGGGAGAGATGAGGCCTACCCAGAACCTGGAGCTGTCGTTGGAATTGTAGTCAAGGCCATCTTCCAAGGACTGATTCCAGTAGGCTACGGACGGCCCGAACCATGAATAGTAGTAAATCGCCCCCGAGATGCCATGCCCGAACAGGTCGTAGTCTAACGCCTGCGTCTCGGTATCGTTTGCAGTCTGGCAGCTCAGCCCAGGTCCGTAGAAGTCTAAGGTATAACTTGAATTTGGATAGTGAGCAGGAATTGGCAGAATCGTGCCATGGGTTGCACTGGACAACGACAGCCTCGTTACCAGGATATTCGCGGCCCGGAAACGGTTAGAGTCGTCAAGATTGGCGAAGATGGGACTATTGAAAGCCAGTTGGGGGACTTGTACCATTAAATAGCTCACGCGGAGAACTGACGCAATCGACAGTGCGGACGGAGTTACCACCGCTGCAAGGGGAAGAAGCCTGTAGTTGAAGACTCAGCACGAACAAAAGAAACAAGAATGGAGAAGGGCAAGTGCGCACAGACCATGTGATGCCGGCGATTAGCAGCAGAAGCGGCCGTGCTGTCCATATGCCTAGCCTTCCCAAGCTTAAAGCGTTCCCGAGGGCGTCGAACATTGCATCCAATGTGGTAATTGAGGTTGGACGATCCCGCACCACGAGCCATAGGTGCTGGACATAGGCAGTTGTCGATGCTGTGACCAGCAGCGATTTGACCAGGAAAGCAAGGCCAGTGCCGACACGTCCGACCCATTTTTGCTCATCATCAGTCGCGACAACTCGACCTTGGTAGTGGCGGAAGATGAGATCCTGTGCAATGGCAGACAAGACGCCCAGGACTAACAACCCGGCCATCATAACTGGGGCGCGCAAGGAGATTGTGGATTTGGCTTCTGCCCAAGATGGATATTGCGAGACCCTGTGGGCGATGAGGGCATTGCATGCAACAATTTGGTTGCTGGTTCCTCGTTCTGCTCATAATTGTTGTCTGGATATGGCTCGAGTTGAAAGTGTTGCACCTTGTAACGATTCTGTTCTGGCATGACGATAATGAGCGAACCAAGCTGTTTTGCTCTAGCTTCGATATATGTATTTTGCAAGTAGATTTTGCAAATGAGGACATGAGGATGCGACCCCTGTGCCTACACCAGACACTGGCCGCAAAGGAAGATATAAATAATCTGAAGTAATTACGCGCAACCACTCAGGCAAGTCAACCCCGTGGCGGACCCCAAATACCATCTACTAGCGTTTGGTTGAACTATTGTGTCGAAATATGTGGAGTGGTAACTTACTACTAAGAACGGGCTTATTCATCAAGCGCCCAGGTTTCTTATGTTTTTGTATGTAATACTGGCTTACAGAGAAACTCAGGCTTTGTAACAGCCGAGTATCGGCCGTACGGACAGAAATACGTCCGTACAGCCAGGGGATAGCTATTCAACAGGCGATCCCCCTGATCTTCTATCATCATCAATCTAATCAATTATCTCTCGTCCTATTAGATATCTTTTATACTAGCCTATACAGAATTAGCCCATTCTGTTAGTTATGAGCCCGAGTGTACACTGAAGCATTAAGATATAATTAACGAAGACCGTTACTCTGTATCTTAATAGTGAGAGCCTTCCTATCGCCGAATACCCCTAAACGACTATATAAAATCCTAGAAGAGATTAATAAGGACTCAGACCAGAGGAGATACCGTTAGGATCACGGTAAAAGATATATATAAAGATATCTAATGAGACTGAATCTTAAGTAATTTAACCTATCCTATAGGACTAGCGGTTAAGGACGAAGGCCTAGTAGAGGGTCTAGATTAGTTACTTTAAAACTAAAGCTATCGAAAACGACCTTTAGGAGTATCTTGACCCTATAAAGATAGATATAGAGATTAAAGAGCTTCTAAAGAAGGCTCCCCTGCCGCCGGTTAGTAAGATTAATAAGAATATAACAGACGAAGTCGACCTTACCGATAATAAATATAAGAAGTATATATAAATTCTTAATAGATACGACCGCGAAGAGGCCGAACGAGCGAGGACCGCCCGAGCCCTTAATAGGTTTAGTAATACTATATCCTATTCGTTAGCCGTAGAGTACTATTATATATTTATAGGCGTTATCTCTACTCGTAAGAAGTTAGTAAAGCTAAGGTAGGAGTTTATATAGAAGGAAGCCGACCGTATAGAAGACCTCCGAAGATAGTAGCGTTAAATACTAACGTACCCGTCTAATAATATATCTATCGATAAGTAGTTAACCGCCTAGACGTCTCTATACGAAGAAGCTAAAGCTATAGGTATACTAGATATCTTATACGGTCTAATACCTACTAAATTCGCTATTAGAGACTTCCTCGGAGCTATCTAGGTCTAGGATAATCTCTTCTATTTAATCTAGAGTAATAGGTTAGAGATAGAGAATCCTACCTTTAGTAAGGTTATATCTATATACCGTATACGACGAAGTCTGCTAGAGTGTTTAGGAAAGGAAAGGGTGTGATCCTGGGCGTACTTTACCTTCCTTTAACCTTATATGTTCGGCCCCTTACGGGTACCTTCTGCTATATTTAACCGTACTTATATCCTTATAGATATATTCGCTTACGATAATAATAGAATATACTCTTATACTCCCGTTATCTTATATAGTAGTAAACCTCTAAAACTAAGTAGCCTTCTACGGCCGCTTACGGGAGGGCCTAACTATATAGTGAATCTTAACTATCGGGAGGTCCTCCTAAAGCGATCTCTATATAACGGAGAGAGTAGGGGAAAAATTAGATTAATTAGGAGCTCTAAGAACCTTTCTTCTATCTATTCTAGCGTAGTAATACGGTATTAAGACCTAGCGAGCGATAGCTTACAGTCGGCGATATCGGCGACGTCGGGGTCTTTAGGAAAATAGCAGTAACCGAAACCCCTTACTACTACGTAAGGATCTACGAGTAATTACGTTAGTACGTATACGATACCTCCCGACTATAATAGGAAGATAGAGAAACGGATAGAATAGTCTAATTACTTTAGATTACCCCGCGATAAGGTATCCTTCCGGAGATTTACCCTCGGGTATACGGACTTAGTCCGTACCGAGGATCGGAAGTAAAAGATAAAGGATTAAAAGAGGTCGTTAAGGACCCCGATCGGCTACGAACGTAAACGTTTAGACTAGAAATACCTTAACTATATCTAAATTTTATTTAATCTAGAACCCTTATTTAAAGAACTTATCTTATTATAGAAAGCACCGTAGCTACTAGCCCGGGATAGATACGTCCGATTACTCCCGTTATAGAGGAAGCCCTTAGTTATCTACTAAAGAACCTAGCCGATTCCTACCGGGAGCGGATTATAAATAATACTAATCTTAGTATCTATAAAGAGATAGCGAAAAAGACCGCCCGGGTAATTTATAAAATAGCTACCTAGCCGTAAGCGCCCGTTCCGGCGTAACCGGCTACGTAGGTACCTATACCTCTACCGTAGGCTACTATAGGACTATTAGTATCTTTTAATTAAGCCTAATAGGAGATAAAAAAAACTATTCTAAAATATATTAGAAAGATTAAGAAGTACGATAGTAGCATTCCGGATAAAGCCGTACGCTATTATCTTCGTGATTATAAATATTATTTCGCGGAAGTAGCTAGATTCGTAGGTATTAAACCTAATAATAAAGATAAGGTTATATATACTCGTAGAGCCTTAACCGGCTATACTAATAATCGCTAGGAGCGATAGCTCGCGAACTTATACGGTAAAAAGATCGAGACCTAGTAAGTCTACTAGGATTAGATCTTATATAAGTTTTCGGAGTATTTTAGTAGTATAAAGAAGTAGGACCGTTTTATATTATATAAATAGGGCCGAAAGACTTTTACGTAGTATATTACCGAACTCTAGTAGGCCGTATCTAAGTATAATCCTAAGATATAGGAAGATATTATTATCTAATACCTCCGAACGGGCGTAAATACTAACTTATAGAAGAGATAGGCAGAAGAACGTAACCCTCCGACTAATCTACGGGGCGTTATTAACCGTTTTATTAATTTTAAGCGAGGATTAATAATCGTAAACTATATTAGCAGAATAACTACTAGCGACGAGCGTAATCTAGACGAGATAGATCTAAACGTAGTATAATCCTAGTAGAAAGATAAGAAAGGATCGAAATCGAATAATACTAAATACTTTATTTATAGTAAAAAAGGTTATTTTAAGCGTAAATACCCTAATCCTAAAACCGATAAGTTAAAAAGGGACTAGAATCTACTAATACCTAGGGACTCGAAAAACTAAAAAGGCTAACTACTCTCGAAGTAGTAGTTAGCCGTATAAAGAAAGCTTCGGTAATATCTAAACTACCGGATCAGGACCTATTAGATCTAGAGTAAGCTAATTAGGCTAACTTAAACGCCTTAGCGTATAAGTTCGGCCCCGTTAGGCCTAGAATTAAAGCTTCCCTCTTTACTATAGGGGATTTATTATTATTTTATAAGATAGTATTAGGAGCTACTAGTAGAAACGTAGTAATACGGGCTCTTCTAGACTATAGTATATCGTATACCTTTATCTTAATAGACGTTATAAAGAGGTTTTCGGGCCTAGGACTAACCCGCCGGTAAATAGATAAGTTAAGAGTACGGATACCCGATAGTAGCTATTTAGCTACTAATATATCCGTCCGTCTACTAATTACTATAGGTTTATAGCGGGGATATCTAATAGTATAGATTCTAGATCTTCCTAACTATAAATTTATCCTTAGTAAAGATTTCCTTACTACCTAAAATCCTAAGATCGACTAAGTAACTTCGAAGATAAAATTATATAATTATAAGCGAACCTATATAATTACGCTAATCGACCGCTAGAATACCTTAGAAGTAGACGACGGTTATCTAAACTTAATAAGAGCGAAATAAGTTCTATAGGCGGTATAGAAAAAAAGCACCGAGGCTATCTTTTTAGTCCTAAAGGTATTAAAAAAGGAGAAAACGGACGAGGTACCGGTATTAATACTAGATTATAGGAATAGATATATCCGGAAGATTATATATAAGTTTAAGTATATCTTTAAAGATAAACTCCCTAAGGCACTCCCGCCTAAATATATTATCGCCTACGAAATTAACACTAGGGATATATAACTAGTTAATATTAACTTATATCCTATATCGGATAAAAAGCTCTAGGAATAGGTATAATAGATCGAAAGCCTACTTTAAAAGGCTTAATCCGCCCGTTAGCGAGCGTATAGGGCTTCCCTATTATCTTTATAAAGAAGCCTAATAATAGTTAGTGTATATATATAGATTATAGGGCTTTAAATAAACTAATAGCTAAGAACGGGTACCTATTACTACGTATCTAGGAGCTTTTAGATTAGGTAGGTACCGCTAGGGTCCTATTAAAGATCGATCTTACATCGGGGTACTAGTAAATTCGGATAGGGGAGGGATTAATCGAGAAGACCGCCTTTAATATAATTTAGGGTAAGTACGAATAGCTCGCTATACCTTTCGGACTCTATAATACCCCCGCTACCTTCTAAATAACTATAAATAAGGCTTTTCGGCTATTTTTAGGAGATTTCGTAGTTATCTATCTCGACGATATTTTAATCTTCTCTAATTCGATAGAAGAGTATTACTAATACCTAGAAAAGGTCCTCTCCGTACTCGATTAATAGTAGCTAATCGCCTAGCCGGGTAAATATACAATAGCGACTAAAGAGTTAGAATTCTATAGCTATATTATTAGGAATAGTTAGATCCGTCTAGTCCCTACTAAAGTTAATATTATCTAGAAGTAGCCGACCCCTCGGAACGTATATAAAGTCCGTTA